AATGAAACACAGTTTAATGTTATCCAAATACTAATTATTTTCTGTTCAAAGGGAAATAACTCAAACTGAATAAATGATATAAAAATAGTTCTCTAAAATTAGATATGATGTTATATCTATTTTCAAATTATAATCAAAAATCTAAATACCACTTAGATTCAGCATATCAAAGAACACCAAGAATTCAATTTTTTTTTTAAATAAAAAAAATTGTATTTTGGACCCTTTGGACCCTTTGGACCTAAATGTGGACCAATTTGAAGACAGGCCTCAAAATTTAAAAAAAACCAACAAGAGACCAAAGGACAAAGAAATTAATTTTTAATTTCTGTTCAAAGGGAAATAACTCAAATTCATATAATAAAAATAAATTTTGCTACTTAAAATTCTAAAACTCAACAACGAGAACAGATGAAATCGTGAAAATTGAACTTGACCTTCATTTAGTCACAGGAAACAATATCTAAATTTGAAAAGATTTCGTCAAAGCATTTTCATGTTAATGAACGGACACTGTTTGGTAGCCGCTCGACCATTGCGCTAACAATGCAATTCTCCATATAGTTAATGTTTCCAAGGGGCATAACTCTTTTTAAAATAATTAATAGGCACTGATTTTTAAACTCGTCCAAGTCATTGCTGATATAAACCTATGATATAAGTTTCATAAAAATCTGGCAAGAATTGTACACATGAGAGCGCTAACGATGCAATTTTCCATATGTTTCCAAGGGACATAACTCTTCTAAAAGTTATTGATTGGCACTGATTTTTGAACTTGTTCAAGACATTGTTAATATAAACCTATGATATAAGTTTCATAAAAATCTGGCAGGAATTGTACAAATGAGAGCGTTAACGATGCAATTTTCCATATAATTAATGTTTCCAAGGGGCATAACTCTTTCAAAAATAATTGATCGGCACTGATTTTCGAACTCGTCCAAGACATTGATGATAGAAACCTATGATATAAGTTTCATAAAAATCTGGCAAGAATTGTACACATTAGAGCGCTAACGATGCAATTTTCCATATAATTAATGTTTGCAAGGGGCATAACTCTTTCAAAAATAATTGATCGGCACTGATTTTCGAACTTGTCCAAGACATTGCTGATAGAAACCTATGATATAAGTTTCATAAAAATCTGGCAAGAATTGTACACGTGAGAGCGCTAACAAGACGGGACGGCTATAGTCAAAGCATATAAGCAAAAATGAAAGACAAGAATACAAAAAATGACCATAGCACAATAAAACAATGGCGGGATGTATAAATGCTGAGCCACGCCAAAAGGATATTACCAAAAATGGACTAAACAGTAAAGGTTAAAAATAAACAAAGACAAATAAAAAGAACACCCTTACACTTAATTAAGATGATAAAAGACATCAGTACCTAGAATCTATACTTCAAGACCATCATGTATTATTTGTGATACTGAATATTTATCAAATGAGTTGAGAAATGTATATCCCATATGCAGGGGAGGTTGGTATATTGCTACTTCACTAGGTGGGGGAAATTCATAATTTCAAAATTAAAATCATTTCGTTTGTCATAGATTCTGGTACTGAGATGACCACTTGTGTCAAATTCGAGGTACAAGTCTAACAAGTCAAAATTGTGATTATTGAACTTGACCTCCATTTTGTTGTCAGTAACAACATATTAAAATTTAAAAAGGTTTGGTTGAACAGTTCATGAGTAAATGCACGGACACGACATTTTTTAAACTTTCAAGAACCGTAACTCCTGAACGGTAAAAGTCAAAATCGTCATTATTGAACTTGACCTCCATTTTGTTGTCAGTAACAACATATTAAAATTTAAAAAGGTTTGGTTGAACAGTTCATGAGTAAATGCACGGACACGACATTTTTTAAACTTTCAAGAACCGTAACTCCTGAACGGTAAAAGTCAAAATCGTCATTATTAAACTTGACCTCCATTTTGTTGTCAGTAACAATTAACATATTAAAATTTTAAAAGGTTTGGTTGAATGGTTCATGAGTAAATGCACGGACAACATTTGGTTGCCGCCCGCCCGCCAGCCCGACCAACCGACCGACCGCCCGCCGTACATCCCCAAATCAATAACCAACATTTTTGACACAAAAATCCGGTTAAAAATGGAAAGGGGGCTTCGTCAATAGATATATAAATTCACAAAAGTTTCATGAAAATTGGTGAAAGCGTTTTTGAGTTATTGTCCGACATATTGACAACGGTATACCATAATATTTCCTGTAAACAGGCATATAAAAACAGGAGTCTGACAGATCCCCAAATTGCTCACAAATTACAACTTATCACGGTCAAGCTGCTGACCAAATATTATACCTAAGAAAAGTGTGACAGAAATGATTTTTAGACTAATTGAGTAAGGAACGAATAGACATAAAGACAAGGTGAAGGCAAGCAATAAAGATCCAACTACCGGTACTAGAGTGGGATATAATATAATATAAAAGGTCAAACATAACAAATAACAAGCAACTAGAGTGGGATATACAGTCGACTCTCGTTATCTCAAACACATTTAAGTCGAAGTTCTGGATAACTCGAACAGAGTGTTTAGACCCTCAACAGTCATAAGTATACATATTTACTCTTTATATCTCGAATTTTCACTCAATTCGAATTAATTTCTCTGGTCCCAAGCGATTCAACATAACGAGAGTCGATTGCAATTAAATATAAAAGGTCAAACATAACAAATAACAAGCAAATGTGACACCTTAATTGTGATGCTTTGCATTTGTGCCAATTGCCATGTCATGTGTACAATTTTTTTTTTGTATTTGTGCCAATAACAAAGGTGAATTGTATAAAAATAGTAATATCTTTTTACTTATCAGTTTATACTTCTTATTAAATACTTGAATTAATTTCTTCTGTGTGCTAGCATTACATGTTACCCCTCTTCATCATGGCGAGATGGATATAGGCTTTGGAGCTGTTTCAATGATAATTAATTGTTGTAATATTCTAAACAGTTACCTTGATCTATTTTCTATTTACATGAATTCCTAGAAGAATCACCAACATTAGTTTGAAAACTTGTAAACACTTTATACAAACTAGATATGGATGATGCCCCCTCTGCTATGCATGAGTATAGTTCTACATACTTTAGATTTGACAAACAGTGATGTTGAAGTACAACTTGAAATTGTTGAGCTGTCTGTAAGACACAAATGATGCCCTCACCTGACCATAAGAAATCATAAATTTTACACTATGCATGATGATTTATCTTTTATTTTTATTCTGAGTACAAAAAAATGACTAAGTCCAAATACCTGGCATTTTGGAAATATTTGAAATTTTTTTTTAAAATCCTGTGGACATGCAGATTTCCATTATGTGTACAAACAACCTACATAATATTAAAGCTGTAGCTCAAAAATTGTAGGAGGAGACAGCCGGACAAACCAGGATCACTTTATACAGCTACTTCTAAACTAGAGGCTCTCAAGAGCCTGTGTCGCTCACCTGACTCTACTTTGGTTTTAGAAATCATGTAAAGATAGATAAAAATCATAACAGATACCTAAATAATGATTGAGGCCAAATTTGGATTAATATTGGTCCCATTATTTAATAAAATATCCTGGTGGCCATCTTGAACAGTAAATCGGCAACAAAGTAGCAACACTTAGTCAGCACCTCATAAGGAACATTCATGCCATGTTTGGTTTCATTCCATTCAGTGGTACTCTAAAAGAAGACATTTGTATGTATTTCCCATAGGTTCCTATGTTAAACTAAGCCCCCCCCCCCCCTAGCGGCCATCTTGGATGATGGATCAGCTGCAAAGTAACAACACTTGGTCAGCACTTCATAAGGAACATTCATGCCATGTTTGGTTCCATTCCATTCAGTGGTTTTCTAAAAGAAGACATTTGGATGTATTTCCCATAGGGTCCTATGTTAAACTAAGTCCCCCGCTGTCGGCCATCTTGGATGATGGACCAACTGCAAAGTAACAACACTTGGTCAGCACCTCATAAGGAACATTCATGCCATGTTTGGTTTCATTCCATTCAGTGGTTCTCTAAAAGAAGTCATTTGTATGCATTTCCCATAGGGTCCTATGTTAAACTAAGTCCCCCGCTGGCGGCCATCTTGGATGATGGATCGGCTACAAAATAACAACACTTGGTCAGCACCTCATAAGGAACATTCATGCCATGTTTGGTTTCATTCCATTCAGTGGTTCTCTAGAAGAAGTTCAAAATGTAAAAAGTTAAGGACGACGACGGACGACAGAAGCCAATTGATGAGAAAAGCTCACTTGGCCCTTTAGGCCAGGTGAGCTAAAAATGACAAAGTCCAAATACTTGGCATTTTGAGAATATTTGAAAAAATCAAAATCCTGTGGACATGCACACCTGCATTATGTGTAGAAACATCCAACAAAATATTAAAGCTGTCGCTCAAAAACTGTAGGAGGAGATAGCCGGACATATCATGTATCTGTATTTATATCCGGATGGATGGACGGACAGGGGTAAATTAATATGCCACTCCACATTTTGATGCAGGGACATAAAAAGACCCTTATTTATCCGGTATATGTTTTTTTTATATTATTTTTGAATTTAATTCACATGAATATATTGGCAATATATACTTCTTGAAAATAAGTACATGCAAAAAAGTACTAAAACAGCAACTGCTATAGGAAGAAAGAAAAACTAGCAGTAAAGTCAATTGGAACAGCAAAATATGGAGATAAAGTTAAGATCAATTAGATTAGTTACAGCATTGGGCACTTAACATTTTGAATGAACTTATTCTAAAAGTTACAATTAGACAACAGAATTTTTGGTATTGTAATTGCCATAAAAAACCTATGTCTATAAAATTATCACAGGCTAAACATAGATGTACTTGAAAAAGCAGAATGAAAAGTTTGATGTAAGGTAATAATTCCATTCAGATTGCATTTAACCTCAAGATATCTTTTGTCAAATATATAATACAATACATACATTTGAAAGCTAAGATAAACTTTATCTTTATTAATTAGAAATACAACATCTGATTATAAAATTATCTGCAGAACAGCAAAAATTCAATAGAATATCAATAATAAAATGGTTAATGACTATTGTGAAAGAGTTACTATATTATCAAAGAACTGTGATTACTAATTGAAGAACGTAAAATGCAACTGTTAGCACAAAATGTTAAGCGTCACTGCTTTTCTCTTGCTGTTTTTGGTCATTGTCTCTTCTGTGAGACATGTTATGTGCAACAAGACCAGTTGCAGGAACAGCTTTTGCCATTTTTGTTTGATACATTTGTTTCAAAGGTGGTTGCATGGACTGAGGAAGGTCAGTTTCAGCATCGTGCTCTCTTTCTTCTGTTGGATTTGATAATGTTTCAGCGTTCTTTTCATCAGCTGACAATTTGAATTTTATTTCTCTAAGAAACTGTATCTTTGGTTTAGATACTGGTTTCAAGGCTTGTTCGAGAACCTGATGCATAGGTAAGGCATAGGTCCAGTCATACTTCAAATCATCTTTCTCTTGAACTTCCTCTTTCAGCTTACTTTCTGATTTCTGTTCTGCAGGAGAAATAACAAATTTCTTGGTACATGATGATTCAGGGTAAACCTTATTCTTCCATCTTGGATTTCCCGATTTTCCAATAGCAGGATTCAGAAATCCCACTGGATCCAAACTACTGAGATCATCATGGTTCTCTTGGAAATCCACTTGCTATTGGAAAGAATGAAGAATTGGTTACTGATTTAACATAATTACAATCATAAACCATACAATCAGTGAAATATGAAGTACCTAATCCACTTATCTAGTTATATTGATAAAATTTGTAAAAGAATCTTTGATATTCCGGAGGGGGCAGGAGGACTGAATATTCATTTTTATCTGTTGCTACGCATGTTTATTTTTTTCCACGGCTTTGCTTTATTTTCACTTTTGTACACAATTGTTTCCTGCATTTTGCATTGCAGAATATTTATTTTCATCCTGACTTATGCAAGGTTATTTGTTTTCAGCTCTTACCAGCTGGCCAGGACATCATATTCATTTTCAAAATCCTCCTAACCCCATCCCCCGAAATCAAATGGTCATTCACTTATAGTTAATTCATTTCTATAAAAGATTGCTTAAAATGTTAAGCTTGTTTCTTTCCTGTAAAGTGAACATTCAAACTTTAAAAACAATGTAAATCTTCTGAGAAAACATATGTAGCCTTCTGTCTCAAAATAATATAAACAGAAATGGCATAGTCCATACTTTGGTAATGAAATCCCCAAAAAATCCTCAGATTAAATATTAAAATAGTAGTTGCACAATTTTATGTCCTGTAGAAGAATTTGTGCAATTTTGGTTGTCTTCTGTCCAGCCATTTTCATGGATTAACAAAGTTCCATACGAATACTGCTTTTGAAAATGACGACAAAAGTGACACCTATGTTTTGCTACAACTTTTCTGTCCAGTGATACAATAATGCAAATTAATCACTCAGTATTCATATTTGACAAACAAAATGTTAAGTTCATAAGAAAAGATTCAGATCTTGTGGAAGGTCAAGGTCATCAAACAACCCATTAAAACAAAAGATGACTTTTATTCACCTTTTGTTATTTCTACTTGATATACTACTAAAATCTCCCAAATATGTAAGAGAATGATAATCCCTTTCTTCATGATTATGTACGACCGTTAGCGAGTACTTATCAGTAAGTAAGGGATTATCATTCTCTTACAAACTTAGAATATTGTAAAGTGCTCAAGGCTCAAATGATTATTTTATCGGAATATTGGAAATAACTATTCTTCCCAACCGCTGGTCCCGTAATCAGAGTTTTTGAAAGCTAAAGATTTAGGTTATTTTTGATTTTAAAACTTTTTTTTTCTTTTTTGCATTGCTTTGACATTGTTTAATTTTTTTAAGTAATTTGAAGTTATTAATATTTTCATAATAACATTATACTGGTACCAATTTTACTGTACCATGTTTAATTTTTTAGTAATTTGAAGTTATTAATATTTTCATAATAACATTAAAGGTACCAATTTTACTGCACCAGTAAACTTCAACTTATTTTGATATTTTTGTTTGTTTCACAATTCAACTTTTAGACAGTTTCAATCACTGTGTGATAAATCCTTTCAATCTAATAAATGTGCTTCGAGGCAGTTGTAACTCATTTATAGAAACGCTTTTTTTTTAACTGTAAATAGACCCGAATAATAGGATAATCCCTTACTAAGAACATGATTCACATTCATTCTTCACAATTAAGAGACATCAATTCCTACAATTTCATTGGTTGTGAGCACTTTGCTATATTCTAAATAATTATAATCATACATAGATTATCATAAACTGTTAACACAGAGATATGTCTCGCCTATTTGTTATTTTGATAATGCATATGTTGAAATTAAAATAGCAATACTTTAACATGTAAGTTATGCAAATATTTAAAGTCAATGAACCATGACTGAAGGCACAGGGCTAAACACTATCCATTGAAATCAGATGTGCCAATGCTAATACAACTGCATACCATTGACTTTTCATAAGTCATTCCCTTTAAACAAACCTAAGCACAAACATTAACTTGTAAACTATGCAAAAGTTTCAAAGTCAATGAACCATAATGAGGAGGTGGGGTTATATAATCTCCGTGGAAACGAAACAAGTGCAAATACCAATACTTTTGCATATCAAATATCAATGACTTAAGATATGTGGTTGAAATCTTAAACTGACCTAATCACAAACTAATACATGTAAACTAAGCAAAAGTTTCAAAGTCAATAGACTGTGACTGAGAGGTAAGGACCAAATATACTCCATGGAAATGAGATGTGCTAATGATTAGGCCAAAATAAAAATATTGTATGTTTGCCCAAACGTGACCGACCCAAAAAAAACCCGCCGACTCAACTTCTTTTTTTGCTGTTTTTTTTCCAGATTTTTTCGTGTACGCTCCGTCATCGTATAAAACTTAATGTTCGTCGTCTTTGCGTTTGAAAGTAACTGTGAATAAGATTAAAAGAAAGTGTGTAAGAGACGCAGTTAATCGATATTCGATGTTCCTCGGTTTTTATCTTCTGATTTAACGAACGTAAAGAAGTAAAACATGTGAAAATGGCAGACAGTTTTTTTACGCTGTCCTCGTCTGTACTACTTAAAATAAACCAAAAAATAAAGCCTATTGTGTCTAATAGGCTTTATCGCTTTAACAATAAGAAAACCTGGAATGATGTTTTTGATGAGGTTGCCGATCCTGATGAGATGGACATGTGGAAAACCGATGAAGTTGTTGTTACTGTATCCGACAAGAGTGGGCTACAAACTTCCGAGCCTGACATGAGTGAACCTATTGAGGTTGTACAGGAATTTGACAATAAACTTAAGTTTGCTACTTTTACTGTGAAAAGATACCATTCTGAGTTGTTGAGTGATTTAATTCTATATAGTAGACTAATTTATACGGGTCTTAAATTCATGGCTTTTGATTGTCTCTACAAAGGTTTGATGGAAAAAAAAGATATACTGTTTTCATATTTTCATGCAAATTCTGATAAAAAAAAAAAAAGAATTTGCCTACCTACCTACCCACACCCAGTCATCATGGGTCGGGTTTGGGCAAACTGAAATATTTTTAATTGTGGCATTATACAACTGCATACCAATTATCATTGACCTAACACTAACAGTTCCCCTTAAACTGACCTAGTCACAAACTAATACATGAAAACTAAGCAAAATTTCAAAGTCAATAGACCATGACAGAGGGGGCGTGGCCAAATAATCTCCATGGAAATGAGATATGCCAATGCTTATACAATGCATACAAAATATTATTGACCTACCACTAGTGGTTCACCAGAAACTGACCTAATCACAAACTAATACATGAAAACTAAGCAAAAATGTCAAAGTCAATAGACCATGACAGAGCGGGCGTGGTGAAATAATCTCCATGGAAATGAGATATGCCAATGCTTATACAACTGCATACCAAATATCATTGACCTACCACTAGTGGTTCCCCAGAAACTGACCTAATCACAAACTAATACATGTAAACTAAGCAAAGTTTCAAAGTCAATAGACCATGACTGAGGGGGTGGGGCCAAAAAATCTCCATGGCAATGAGATGTGCCAATGCTTATACAACTGCATACCAAATATCATTGACCTACCACTAGTGGTTCACCATAAACTAGACCTAATCACAAACTAATACATTGTTGACACCCCTGTCGCCGAAGCTGGAAACAGCATACCTATGTCTCGCTTTTTTACTCCGTCAAGGCGAGACAAAAACTAGAGGCTCTAAAGAGCCTGTGTCGCTCACCTGGGTCTATGTGCATATTCAACAAAGGACACTTTCCAACATTGTTGACGAGAATAGAATTAATGACAAAAATCTCTGTATTGTTGATCTTGTATTGTTGATCATTTAGTCTGTTTAGGTTTCTCTATGTTCTTTAGTTTTTGCTCAAAACACAAAAGAGGGTAACAAAAATCCTCATTTAAGGGCAATCACTCTTATAAAGAATGACAGTCTACTATATTGGCAAAATTTGACTTGTTTGTAGATCATTTTTGCTTATTTAAGTTTCTATCTATTTAATTTTTAAGACATAAGGCAAAAATGCCAAAAATTGGTAAAAATCGTGATTAAAGGGCAATAACTCTAGTAAGGAGTCGACTGACGATTTCGACCATGTTAGACTTATTTGTAGAACTTGTCTTGCTGATATCATTTTTGCAATTTAAAGTAACTCTCTATCTATTATAATTTTCAAGATAATAGGCAAAATGAAAAATATGGTAAAATTTTTCATTTAAGGGCAATAACTCCTATAAGAAGTTGTCTGACAGTTTTGAAGTATATAGACAATTAGTAGAGCTCAACATTCTGAACATTTCTGTTTCTCTTAGATTTTCTCTATTTATAACAGTTTTCAAAATAATAGATAAAACTTGTATTTTACCCCCATGTTCCATTTTTAGCCATTTGGCCATCTTGGTTGGCAGGCAGGCAGGGTCATCTGACACATTATTTAAGCTAGATACTCTAATGATGATTGTGGCCAAGTTTGGTTAAATTTGGCCCAGTAGTTTCAGAGAAGCAGATTTTTGTAAAAGTTAACAGATGATGACGGACACCATGAGAAAAGCTCACTTGGCCCTCTTAAAGTCTTTGCAAGGTGAGCAAAAAAATCATCTTAAAGTACAGTATTTAAATTAAAAAACCAAAACACAACTTTTACAAATTCAAATAAGGCTTAAATGTATTCTCATCATGGACATCAATCAAGAACAGTATTCACTACTGAATACAATTTAGTATTCATGGATCAGTCTGTTATTATGTTAAAATGTGATCACTGAAATTTATTCATGAATGTTTTTAAAACAAAATGAACAACATTTCTGAGTAAAGAATGCTTATCACTCAAATCTTTATTGACATTAAATAAGACTGATCTTCAAAAAAGTATTCACAATCCCTTTTTACCTATTTTCAACATGGACTTTGCTTTAGCATGTTTAGTGGGATTAACAATTTTGAACAAGAAATAACTGTTGATACAATTTTAAAATGAACTGGACTATGTGGGATAATCCATTTCAAGATAGTGACTAGTATTCTTACTGTTTACATATGTTTTTGTGCTTTACATTATTTCCAAGCATTTATATATTCAAATAGTTAAGATTTTTGTGAACTTTCTTCCTTTTACTTAATTCATTAATTGCCATTTTATGGCTCTAAAGCCATATATTGAAAAGTATTTGATTTTAGGATCAATTTTGAACAGATATATCATGTTATGGAGGGGTATTTGCGAAAAAATACCAGTCAAGGGACTGTAAATTTCCTGAGCCGCTAGGCGAGGGAATTTCGGTCCCAAGACTGGTATTTTTAGCAAATACCCCTCCATAACATGATATATCTGTTTAATTACACCGAATAGATTTGGATTGAAACTAATTCATTAACATGTTTATGCATAATTTTGAGGATAAGAGGATATTATCATAGAACCGCCGGAATTATACATGTACTAATACGTGTTAGCTCGCTTTTTTATGTAACGTCATATCCAAAAAATGTTGGTGGGAAAATGCTCGAGAGGGTAAAAAAGGAATATCCAAAATGGTAAATACCATGGTATTTGAGGCAAATTCACCAGCAGTGGTGAAAAACAGGCAAATTCGTTTGAAATGAGGAAAAAATATTAGAATATGCGAAAAATACACTGGCTATCAACCAATCAAAATCTGGCTTTCTTATATAAGGTGTAATTAATCCAAAAATACCTTCTTCATTGGATTTGCAACAACAAAATGTGTACATTTAAAAGTACAAACGTAACAGTTACTGGTGCTTCTTTCTTCTCCTGATATAATATTTTATGTTTCATTTTAGTAAATATTGCTTGCAAATTGAAAAAATAACTATGGCATATGTATCAACATGTATTCTGGTAAAATAAAGACATTTCATATCAGAAATTGCAGATTCTATAAATGCTTACTTGTATGGAGAAAATCCAATAATATTCCTTACCTCTGCATCCAAAGTTGCTGCTTCAGGATTGCTGTTAATATACTTTTCCTGAAATAATACCCAAGTATCTCTTAGAAAACAGCATAAGTTCATCTCCAATATAATAAGCTCTGTCCATTGAATAATAAATTCCCACCTAAGATGAAAATCTTACAGAAGTAGGGGACATATCAATTCAAATGAAGTAAGTTCCCTAAAATTATCTCTTCAGAGTTGCCAGCAATATTTATTCACTCATGATTTTGTCTGCTTGATTCAAATCACTAAAGCTCATTTACTCACCACTGTATCTTCAGCAAATGACAAATTCTGAGATTGGGCATCACCTAGCAGATCTTTTGAGCTCTATAAATAGAAAGAAATATATAAACTTTATCAATTCTAAGGGTTGACTGGGGTATGTCTGGGCCTTTTAAAGCCGACCATACAGTATGGGTTTTTCTCATTGTTGAAGGTCGTACGGTTGCCTATAATTGCTTACATCCACTTCATTTGAACTTTGGTGGATAGTTGTCTCATTTGCAATCATACCACATCTCCTTATTTTTATATGTAAATATGGTTATTACAAGAGTTATCCCATTTGGCAGTTAAACTCTTCCCAAGGTGAGGAGTCGGTTGATTGTGTGGGATGTATAAATCTGGTCAAAAGTGAAACATTAACTCTGATGATTTCTGCATGTTAAAGATCCCTTGCAACAACACTCTGAGGAGTCAGTAGGTGGCCCATTGCAAGGCAAAATTTATGTCTCAACAACATATAGTTTTTTAAGAAAAATCTATGTAGTAGAAATTAGAGATTTGATGATTTTAAGACAAATTTCAGAAGTTTTTCCAGGTATTTTATGTGCTTTCTATACAAATGTTCACCTATTTTGAAAGAGCTCAATCAGTAAAATTTCAGATAATAAAAGAGATAAATGCATTATATTTTTTGATTTTCAGTTATAGTTAATGAGTCAAGGTTGTATGCAAAATTTCAGCAAAATCTGTGACATAGCCAATTTACTGTTCCTTGACCTTAACTGAATTTACAATGTCAATATGTCACATTCAATTACATAGTCAAAATAAATTCTAAGATCTAATAAATTATAATGGATATTATATAATGAACCTAAAGCTTACCAGCCAGCTGAATGTTTACAATGCAATATTCAAGACAATTTTTATTATTATGATTTATTTGTAGATGCTGATTTGCTGATAAATTTTACTATGTACAATTTCTCTGTATCTATAATAGTTTTCAAGATAATTGCCAAAGACACTAAAAATGGACAAAAATCTTCATATAAGGGCAATATCACCTACAGTTAAACCTGTATGAAGCAGTCACACATGGCAAGAATAAAAAGTGAGCACGCCAGAAAGGTGACCTTTTGAAAGAGGTTCCGAAAAAAAATTCTGATTTTAACACCCCATGTGGCAGGGATCAGGGCAAATTGTTTTGTATTTTCATCTTTTCTGCGAGCAGACAAATAAAAATTGGGGGATTCCGGCGCTCTAAATTTGAAGAAAATATTCTAAATAGTTAATATTCATGGAGAATTAAGTTAACGATACAGTTTTAAGGGAAACTGAAAGGAGTGGAACACGAGAAATTCATAAAAATTACAGTAGTTAAAAGTTGAAATGACGATTTTGAGTACGAAAATAGTGACTGCTGACCGCTGAATGAGTTAAATTATATAGAGAAAATGTTTGGGAGGGTCTGAAAGTGACCGTTAGAGGTAGGTGACTGGTGTAACAAGGTGATGGTTACGGCAGGTTTGACTGTATTAGGAGTCCATTTACAGTTCAGTTATATTGACTTTTAAATTGCTGAAATTATCTTGCTGATCATTCTGCGTTTTTACAGTTTTTTTTTATAGTTTTCAATTTTTGTCATGTTGACTTATTTGTTAATTTTAATTTTCTAATTAGTTTCTCTCTATCTGATACAGTTTTCTGTGCCTGGGCCCCCCTTATGGAGCTTCATTTATGGTTAATCCTGACTTTTTACTGGTTCCACTACAAATTTTGCCTAGTTTGTGGGCCCACAGACCACTTTTTTCAAAATCCTTGATCCGCATCTGAACAACTATTAGGAGTCATTTGATAATTATGTGTAAAATGAATAGTAGGTAGAACTGGATATTCGGTCCTGTCAGATTTTCTCCATCTACTATTGTTTTCAAGATATTAGACAACTACTTGCATTTTACCCTAATGTTCTATTTCTAGGAATTGCAGCCCAGTTGGTTGGTAAACAAGAACAAAAACGACAACATTTTTTAGATACGTACCCTTCGAGTCATTCAGCCGAAGGTGGGTTGAAATTGGTCTAGTGGTTTAAGAAGAAATATCCTTTTAAAAAAGTTGATGACAACAAACACAAAGGTATGGCAATAGCTGATTTTGCCCAAAAGAGGAGGCAACACAAATAATTGCCCATGTGAAACTTTGCTTCCTTTTATTAATAATTGAAGAATTTTTTACCTGGCTTACAAGGTCTCTATAAACTTTCTTGTTTTTCTCTCTGAAAAAATAAAACCCATAACTAACTAAAACAATTGTTTTGTGTTTTTTGTATGTTTTTGGCATTACATTTAAATACTCGAAGAAATTTTTAGTAATCTGACATTGGCTTTTAATGACAGTATTACAGCGGATGACCTTGAGGGCATTCCGGTGTTATGTTGCCGCAGACATTTCTACCCATGTGACTTGCATTTTTGACTGATAACCAAACGCATTTCGTATAAATTAATTATATAATACGCGGATATTATCGAGTGCAAAATAACATTCCTTATCGCTTGTTTTAAATTCATTTCTTCAATGAATACTCATGAAAATATTTTTTAAGAACATAAATAAATAATATGAAAATGTTTTGTCGTGAGAAATATATATATATAAGTAAAAAATCATTAATATCTATGCACACGGACCGAAAAATTGTGTTTGCGGATGAATATCTCATCACTTGTTATGTATTAATTTCATCAATACATATTCATTAGCGGGAGAAATATGAATGCCTACTCAAATCAAACCTATTAGAAAAACGAATTATTGCAGAAGAGTGTCCACCATGCACTTGCACTGCAGTATCATTAGAATAGTAGAATAGAATGATGGTATAAATGGATGACAATTTGCCGGTAAAGTTATTAAGATGATCTGCTATATATATAACTGTTGTACAAATATTAATATAATATATAACAACAAACCAGATTATACTGATAACAAATGATTATATCACTACAATATAATAATTATTACGGTGAGGTTGAATTCTCTGTCATTTATTCATCATCCACACAGGAACTTGTCTCAGAAAAAAATAAATAAATCTATGTACTTAACCAATTTTCATGTATAGAGATATTTTATTTTTTCTGAGACAAGAGCCTGTGACTATCCACCAGAACTTGAGGTCATCCGATGTTCAGTACTTCAGTACTTTGATTTTACTATGTTATTTGCTTCAATGTATGTCGTTTGTAAATGACTTTGCACTGACCTCTGTACTTTCTAATCTCCAAGAGCACGATCTCATATAATCATGGAAAAAGCAAAGCTATCGGATGATGATGATTGAAACTAAATTTTCTTATCAATCAATAAATGGAGTGAGAGGGTCAAGGACTTAATACAAATTAGTATATCATTTTAATTAGGAATTGACAATATTATATAAAGTTATAAACATTATTATCCTTGCATAAGTAGTGATAGTTTCCTCATACTTTACATGGACTAGAAAAAGTGGGGTGTCAGTTTTTTGTGCAAAAATGTAACTGAGCATTACAAATTCAAAGCGTTAATAATAAGGAAATGTCAAATATTTGTGTTCACTAAAAAAACATGGTCTTTTTAACAAATCAATAAAAGTATCTTTGAAAATTTGCAAACTAACCCTGCAGACTAGGGGCAATTTTATCCAGAAATATGGGCATCTATAAACATTGTCTATTGCTTAATATGGGCCTCAGTGGCTGAGTGGTCTAAGTAGCTTAACTACTGTATCACTAGCCTGTCAACACTGAAAGTCCCTTTAAACACCAACAATCAATCAATTAATCTATTGTTAATACATCCAATAGTGTGTTGACATCTAAATGTCTTTACTGGTTTCTGTTGTTGGGTTGCTGTATCATTCACATACACCACATCAATATTTATTCATATTTCATCTTTTTAATGTTATCAGTAGCTAAAAATGGACATACTTTCACAAAATACCTTTTTTTCCTATACATGTATCTATAAATGACCACTACAATGATAGTCACAATACAAACAACACTCAGGACAATCACTGGAATGATCCATATCTTAAAATCACAGTTTGGATCGTCTGCTGGACACCTGCACTCATACTTATTAACACCATCAATACATTCATATGGTTCCACACATGGGGAACTTAAACATTCATCAATGTTTTCTTCACAGTATACACCTATCCAGCCAAGTAAACATACACATTCAAAATTCTGATCAAAATGTTCTGCTCTATAGGTGCTGGTGCATGGATAGTTACTGCCATTCTTTGCTAAAACAAAAAAGTTATAGTGCCTCCAAGATAATTTTCCTGAAGATTTTTTACATGATATCAACATAAACAGAACAGGGTATATGTGAGTGGTGTTATAAGTATTGTTGAAGATCCTTTTAGTATGAAGAGGGTCTGTAAATATTCCACATTATGGATATTTTTGCTTTTGACTAATTAGTAAAGTAGAAACACACAGAATTCAAATACATAATGTTTTTGTATATCTGTTACTTGCTTGTGATAGCAAAAATAATGAAACATTATAAAAATAAAAAAATGTGGTATGATTGCAAAATGAGTCAACTCTAGATCTCCACCTGAATATCTTTCTGTAGCTACTTGCCTATTTTCATTATTCCATAAGTTATATCCCTTTTCTTCAATTTGTATGCGTAATGTCCCCTATATATCTAAGGGGACCCACGTATCGTCCTATGATTTTTGTTGTCTACAAATATAGTCCCTTGTGTGGATATGTATAACATGCCAATTTTTTTTTTATTCACTTTCCAAATTTATTTCTTAATATTTTATGCATATAATAGTAAGTAGGGGGATGAAATTACATGTAAAAAAAAATTGGGGCAAGAATATTTAGGTAAAGTAGTGATTTGGTCTAGTTTGAAAAGGTCAAAAATTAGTATGGGTGAAGCTGTCAAACTGAATTATAGACCCCCTTAACATAAAATTGTCCTCATCTTGAGAGCCGATAGACTTTTCTATAATTTGGATATAATTTGTCCAAAAAAGTAGTACACTACACTGTAAAAATCTTATTGGGATAGAGCGATATTTCTATTTTACCTTTATTGTCTAAAGGATATGCACTACGAAATAAGTGTGTTCTCGCGTCTAATGATTTTTAGACAATAGTGAAAATCTATACTAGTTGAGTACTATTTACCATTAGAAATTCACAAGTTTTGCTCTAATATTGATTCGCAGAAACTTTAATACTATTTTAACAAATATCAAACTTAGTGCGTATATCTGACCTAGGGGCGAGTTTCTTATGCTGTGTAAAGGAAAGCAGATATTTTGAAATTTATAAATCTATTCTAATTCTTATCCCAGAAATATGTATTCTTAAGGAACCTTACATGTAGCTTGCTTGAAAATGATAATTTTTCAAAGATTAAAGATGTTATAAAACAAATCCAAAACACCGCCCTGGGTGTCAAAAACTTAACTGAATCAAGCTTATACAGAACTTTTACAAATGAAATAAATACAATTAATTGTTGTGTCCTAGAAAAAATATTGTAGATAAAATGAATAAGACAAAAATCCTAAGAGCAGAAAAAAATGCTCTATTATCTGTAAAAAGGTAGATAACTCTGACTTTAAGGTTACACGATACCGAATGACGTTACGCCACCAGTTATCATTTTTGCTGTTGTCGACATCCATGAAATTGACGACAAACGTAAAACCTGATGTTTTATAATAACTTAGAATGTTTAACAAACAATTTGCCTCAGTCTGATATAAAATAGTTGAAAGATAAATGTTTCTTTATTTGATATATATATATATTAAAAATACCGTCATTTTAGCGACGCTTTTTATACGTATCATATTCAATCACAAAACAAAATTTACATAGATGCGATTCAAATGAAAGAACAAAAATGAGAAAAACAAAAAACATTACATTAATGTGAAATTTAAATAAATAAACATTTTTAATAGTAACTTTGCATGAACTAGCTGCAAAGTGTCGAGGGATTTGATGCAATATGTAATTTGACATTGATTGCTTCGTTGTCTTCCTCCCATTCTTCTTCACATTCTTTACAATTAAATATATACGTTTTAAATGTTCTATTGACAAGTACATGTAAGCATTTGTACGATTTATCTATCTGTGTTCTTATGCATAACAGACTGAGCTTTTTATTCTGGGTTCGTTTAATCTTGCAATACATTCTTATTTTATTAATGATGCATGCCGTTTCCCAAGAAAATTTTGTTTTGAAAGTAGAAATCCAAATTATAGAAACGCATGATAATGTGTGAAAATACGGGAAATTGTACCACAAGTAATGCAATTCCGATAAGAAGCCTATTTGTTTTTAAATGGTCACCGAAAAATGTCGCTAGCAAAATAGAAGAAGGAAATTTATTAGAAAAAGAATATTGATAGAATTTAGCGAAAAAAGCACCGTACAAGCAGACATATAAACTCAGACAGAAAATGGTTTGTTGGCATGGAATGAAAAAAGAAGAGTAGTTGAACTTGACTATTTTGACCGAACAACGTTACCTATGTTTCAAGTGTAAACAGTCTTTGAAGTTTATTGGACTGTACAGAAAAAATACGATATGGTTTCGGAAGCTTGTTTAAAATAAACTACTAGCATTGTATTCTTATAAGCACAGTCTAAATAGGACAGCTACATCGGAATAAGGATAAAGTAAGCAAAGGCTAAAACATATTGGATGTCAACACTAAATGTGCACTCGGTTAGGACAAAATAAAATAAAATCATTCAGATCCTGTTACATTTTTTTCTATGAATTCCATTCTGAAATAAATTATTTTCTCGAAATTTACAATCAAACGATTCATTAAAACCTGTGGCCCTACAATAAATAATGATCGGTACATCCAGAAAAGTGCTTCGAACGCAAACAAGTTATTAAAAGATATTTTCATTAACCTATTTTATTCAAACAGCAAAACAAACTGATTAAAAGAACAGAGTTCCAATGCCCCCCTCCCACGTTGAACATATTGTATCTATCAATGGCCTTTATAACTTTAAAAAAAAATTTGTTTGTTCTTTGATTTTTTTATAAATATCGTTAATAGAGAAATGCAGGCTTGAGAGCAAATGCAATGCAATTTCCGATAAAATTAATATTTCCAAGGGACATAACTCTTTTAAAAATATTTGATTGGCACTGACTTTCGAAATTATCCAAGACAATGCTGATATAAACCTTCAATATAATTTATTTAAAGATCTGGCAAAAAATGTACACTTGAGAGCGCTTACAAATGCAATTTTCCATATAATTAATATTTCCAAGGGGCATAACTCTTTTAAAAATAATTGATCGGCACTGATTTTCAAGCTTGTCAGTGACAATGCTGATATAAACCTAATATATAAGTTTTATAAAAATCTGGCAAGAATTGTACACGTGAGAGAGCTAACAAGACCAGACGAACAAACGGACAGACGGACGGACAGACACCTGGTATTTCTATGTCCCACACAACGCATCGTGCGGGGAAAAAAATCCAACGAGATTTTAAAATCATTTTGATTTTAGATTCATATTAATTTCCACATAGGCGTCGAGAAAAGCCCGAGAATATTCGCAGTCTTATAAGGAGTTTTTACAAGTATACTAAGTGTTTATTCAAATTAAAAGGGTTGTTATATCTTTGTGTGCATAAATGGAAATGTGGGATATACAATAAAACAGCAACTTGCCGATTAACGACACACAAAACCAAAGACATCTAGATAACACGTGACTAATGCAGGATGGACGAGTATTTTTTTACTGCTAATTTGTAGTTTTAGTAAAGATTTGTTAGTCCCTAGAATTGGAAAGTTAATAAGTATATTTAGTATAGCAAGTATTAAATCTATCAAATTATAACATCACATGTTCACAACAAAAGTCAGATTTTAACTATAACAGCAACATATTTCAGTCTCCTAGTACGTATTTGTTAGCCTTTAAACTTCTTGTATTTCAGATGAAAACTCAAACCATTATGAAATAAGGAGAAATGGTATGATTGCCAATGAGACAACTTTCCATCAAAGACCAAATGACGTAGATGTTGGCTTGCTTACGTTGCTACATTTGAGATCTCCCAATTACCATTCCACTATGAAATGCTTATTCAAAAAGATATTTTGTCACCAAATGATTTATAAAATAGAACATAATCATATATGCTAATATATATTTTGCTCCCTTGACAAAATACTGGGAGGATATTGTTTTACTCGTGTCAGTTCGACAGTCCGTCCTGCACTTGGAATATAGGGTTTATACGGCTGATTTCTTAGGACTACAGTTTTTAAGCTTAAACTTTTAAATTATGTACCTGGTGTTAGTACATATACTAAAGATGCGCATCTTGTCAGATTTTTTTATTTTCTTTTATTACAGGTTGATGAATTTGTCATTTTGATAATATATTGCGCCGAGGTTTTTTTTACCTATATTGAGGGTGCATATATATTCTCAGGATCATTTTTTTAAATAATTTTCCACCAACGACAGAAGGTTGAACTTTGTCTATTTAAGTGAAATTTTGCATACAGTTTGCAAGGTTTGTCCATCTAACTACGCACACAACCCACACGTTTACATCATACAGAGTATACTATATTTAGAATGTGTATTTTATAAGGATGTTGATTTTCTTTATAATTTTCACAACTAACAGAATGTTTAACCTTTTTTGATGGCTGCACCAAATTGTATTGTATCGTCCTGAAAATGCATGAAAGGTTTGCCACCGTACGTTAAGCAAACCATCAATCAATCAATTAAAATTATACCTCAACATCACTGTTTACCAAATCAAATTTTTGAAGCACTTTATTTTATTCATGCATGGATACATCGGTGACATCACCATTGTTTAGTTTGGTAGGGTTAAGTTGACGATTCAGTTTTGAAAAGCTTGAAGTGCACCCAGTTAATACGAAATAAAATTAACTCAGTCGAACGTCACACGTTTTCTGTCAAATTCTAAGCGTATCGGTCAACTTTGAAGCAATTTATCTAAAAAACAAGGATGGTGACATATGTATTTCTATACATGCATGGATTCAGTATACAATCCTGGATATTATGTTAGTATTTAGTCTTTCTCTGTATATAAAAACATAGCCATCCATTGAAAAATCTAAAAAAAATAAGTTAAAAAAAGGCATTTTCCCTATTCAACTAGGTAAATTTGTCGCCAAAATTGACGTTTTCTTATAAAAATTACAATTTGACCCCCATTTTTTATTTCATATTCAGTTGTAACTCGATTCAAAGTACCAGTGTGCCAAAAATTTTAGAAATCAGAAGATATGCCATTCGGTATCGTGTTACCCTAAATCATAAAAATTAGGAAAATATTGATTAAATCAGATACTTTTTTGTTTTATCCAAGAAACTGTTCGTTAATTAAAAAAGTATGGAAGTTTAAAATATTTTTTTTATCCTTTTATTTTTCAAGAATAGTTTGTTCTAACTGATATATTGGAAATTATAAAAACAAGACATCTTTGAGATGGGAGCCATCTCTGTGGTGCCTGCTGACCTTGAACTTTGACCTAGGAAGTTGTACAAACATTATCACACACCCTCTGGTGTTGGTTAATAGACATGTCCAGTATAAAGTATGAAATTAAAACAGTTCTCTAGATATAGAGCGGACACAATTTGTTATGGACAGACGGACACTATAGGGCGATCTGTCACTAAGCGGGGCCCTAATAAAAATTTCTGTTGAAACTTACGTTGACAAGACCCATCATTCTGACAAGGTGATTCCATTATAACAAACTGTATGGTCACTACTGACGATGAGGCATTCATGGAATCAGAGACATAAATTTTTATAAAGTCATTTCCTGTTACATTTACGCTTTGTTTGTAGGTCAAGGTGGTATAAATCCAGGACATGGTTACTTTAACATGAGGCAGAGTATAACTGAAGTTACCGCACGGTTCACTGGCTACCTGCAAAAATAAAACCATATTTTGTATTTAATTGGTTCAATCTCGCAATTTTTATTCATTAATAAAACCTGATCAAACCAGAGTTGAAAAACATTGATCAAAAACATTATATCCACTGCGACTTCTTTGCAGATACTATGCCAAGATTTCTTCTTTACATTGAAATGTATTTAACCAATAATATTGAGCAAAGCATACAATTTATGTTCACATCATCAAATGATATGGAAAATATTAATAACTTTATAGTTTGTCTACAAGTTGATCTGTGGGCTTTAGCTCATTAAATGATACCCTGGCTATAAGTATTGGATAAACAGAAAGTTGATAAGTAATTGATGTGAAAACGTATCATGCAGTATAAAGCATGCTCATATAAAGCTTGATACTAAATTTAAGGAAGCCATGATTTATTGTTCTTGTGAAAAATGCAGAGAAAATTTTCATACATGTGAAAGAATAAAAGTATTCAGTAAACAGGAAGTAAATGAGGGGTGAACATGAAAATGCATCACATAGTAAAGCATGCTCACATGAAGTCTAATACCAAATTTAGGGAAAGCTCTGATTCACATTTCCTGAGAAAAATTGACAAAAAATTCACACTATCATTATGTGCAAGAACGTATAAGCAATTGGTAAATAGAAAATTGATGAATGTGAAAATGCATCACACAATAAAGCATGCTGGTATGAATTCTGATATCCAATTTCAAGAAGCTCTGATTAATATTTCTTGAGAAAAATGTGACAAAAATGCTCAGGGGATTGTATTGGATAAGGGTTGATTGATACAGTATGAATATTGAAAAAGTAATATCATATCCTGTGGTGGATGCATTAATATTTGTTGGAAACCAATTTTCATGGATTTTGTGTTCAAAGGTGTACCACCAATTAAAATGTTCAATGAAGTACAATTTTTTTATAGGCTTGTATGCAGACAGACTGTGGCTAAAACAAAGAAATAAAAATTCCGAGAAATTACAAATTTATCATGAATCACGAAAATTGGTACCCACAGTAACGCTTTATAAGTTTTGGGTTTTTAAATATTTTAGCCTCGACTACCACTGAAGAGACATTAGTTGTCATAATGCGCATCTAGTGGGAAAAATTGGTAATGTTAATGTTATCATCATTAGCCTAAAAAAAATGTTTTTATGTGACATAAAGTAATACAGATTAGGTGTGTGATATAGCCTTTGGAACCATTACTGATACAGAACGCTTGCCAATGACTTTATTACACATATATTTACAACTAAGTATATAATATAAAACATTTTATTTACATTTGCATCAGTTTCACAGTCATACATATCTGGTACTGTTGTTTTCACTTCTGTAAACATAACTGTTCCCGTCATTGGTTTGTATACTTCCATAACAAGATGTTGTTGTTCCACATCAAAGGCTCCTATAACAACCGTGAAATCTTCTGTCCATTTGTTTTTGTTATATTCAGTCTTCTGTTCCAAATATACCTGAAATACATTTAAAACATAAATTCAAATACAGTCGACTCTCGTTATCTCGAAGTCAGCCGGACCATAGAAATATTTCGAGATACCCGTAGTTCGACTCAAACGAAAACCGGAAGTTTGACAGACCAAGGGACACAACTCTTGCTTAGCTTGGTAAAGCTAAAATAAACCCTGATGAATATTGGAAGGGGATCGATATTCTGGTCTCATATCGATGGATTTGTATGTTATGGTCACTCATTATTATAATAACATTGATTTCACTTATTCAATTATTTCTTTGAACAGTTACAATTTTTCCCTGTGGCTTTTATCCGAGAGAGTAATTTCCAATCGATCTTAGCGTTATTTAAGTCATTTAAATTTGACAAAATTGTTTATTCTCGGATACAAGAGTTTAGAAATTTAGACTTATTTTTATTTTCTTTTATCTCAATCTTTCTTTTAAAGAAAAAATACAAATAGATAAAAAACGCCGATTGAGTAGTTTTTATGTGATCACCAAGGGAAGTCTTAATCCCCACTTTATACACATCCAAGCTCATCAGTGTAAATCACGATTAATTAAATTAATTTTTTTTGTAAATATTTTAAATAATTTTTCATAAACTTTAACAATGTATCACTAATTATTTATCATGGTGATAAAAGATAATCTTAGGTAAACACTCGTGGAAATAGAATGTCATAAATCAATACAGTGGTCATTGACTGGAAATTTAATTACACGTGTATTGTCAGATTAACTCTTCAATCCATTTAAATCCCAGAGGTCATGTTTTGACATATGTGTAATAGTTCGAGATAAATAATGAATTTTGAATGCTTTTGTTAACCTTGGGACCGTAAATTTAGTTAGACTCAACCGAAATTTCGACTCATCAGGAACAAAGTTCGGGACCACGAGAAAACTTCGACAATGAAATTTCGAGTCAACCGAGTTCGAGACAACGAGAGTTAACTGTATCTATATTTTTGACACTGTTAGACTTAAATCCAGTAGTTTATTCTAATTGCTTACTGTGGATTCATTTATTAGTCCCCTACCAACAAAGTCAAAGGTTTGCACTCCGTCTGTCTGTCTGTCCATCCGTCAGTCTGGCAAATCAGTTTTCCAATTTTTTTTTCTTCATGCTTGAAGATATTGATTTGATATTTGATGTATTGTTTTATCATGACAAGTTACAGATCAAGTTTGAATTTTGTTCTGGTCTGATGATTTTGTGCAGAGTTATGGTCCTTGAACTTAGAAAATTCACTCAAATAATCAGTTTTCCACACTATTTTTTGTCATGTTTGAAGACATTGATTTGATGATTGGTATATAGCTTTATCATGACAAGTTACAGATCAAGTTGAATTTTGTTCCGGTCAAATGATTTTGTGCAGAGTTATGGTCCTTGGACTTAGAAAATTCACTCAAATAATCAATTTTCCACATTCTTTTTCGTCATGCTTGAAGATGTTGACTTGATATTTTTGATATTTGTTATATAGTTTACACCATGACAAGTTATAGATCAAGTTAGCATTTTGTTCCAGAACAATGAATTTTTAACCAGTAGGTGACTATGTATTGCCAGGCAATACTAACAGAATGCTTGTTTTAATGGGTACCAATTTTCATGGATTGAGGGAAAATTGTATTTTTGTGGATATTTGATTTCGCGGTTTTACAAAAGTCTGCCTAAAAGCCAATAGAATTTAATACTTTGTTGAACATTTAAATTCATGGTTCACCTGTACCCACGAAATCCACAAAAATTGGTATCCCACCATTAAACATGAATCCACAGTATGAGAAATAAGTTTGTAAGCATGCAATTATTTTCATCACGTAGATGAACAAATGTTGAACTTGCCTGTATATTAACAAATGTAACCTGCATAGTTCTTTTTCAAAGATTTTTCCTTTCATATTTTAATATATCTTTAAATTTCATACCATAACTGGCTCTGTTGGATCATCTAACAAAATAGACTGACCATACTGTACAAGGAACATTTCTGGTGGATCATTGGTATCTATAATTGTAATAACAAGTGTTATTTCACTGCTGGCTGGTGTTACATCCTTACTAGTTTGTACTTCTCTCAAGATGATATCAATTGCCTCTACTCCTGAACAATCTTTACATGGTGTATACATCAACCTAAAACAAAATATGAATGCCAGTTATAAATTAACTATCGTTATCTTATAACTTATATCAAAGACATTTTAATGTTATGAATTAAAGAACCTTTGTGAGCAAGCTCACATACCCCATGCCTTCATATTATCACTGGACAAACAAAATCTCACTTCACAAGTAGAATGAACACTATCAAATGCTTACCTTCACATATTAATCCTAATTTGAATGGCAGCATGTTGGGAATATGCAATAGGGATTACTCTAGCATCATATAATTTTTTTAATTGAATCATAATTTCCTGTCAATATGCACATCTACATCAAGGGTCTGGAAACGGTCATATTTGCCAGTCATGTCCTAAGATGAAAGCTATATGTCCTAGATGAGTAATTGGGATTTAGGAGAAATTTTATTTTTTAACAGAAATAATTTTGGTCATTTCATTGACTCATGTTTGAAATCGGGTTTCTTAATCGCCATTTTGCACTTGTGATCATTTGTTTTTGTTTATACTCCCTTTCCTGTAATAAAACTGCCTCTCCAGTAGTTTGATAATCCTAAGGGCCCTCCTAATATCTATATCAATGCCTCCGGGAGATCGCTAATCACTTTTTATCTGTGGTTTTAATTCGCACATGACATTGATCACAGGCTCAGAATAATATCTTTAAGAAATCAAAATTCCATGACAAGTGTATTCATTTATTTAATTACTTTTCAGCAAAGACAATCATCAATTCTGATTTAAAAATTAAACCTTAATTTTAATGACGTAGAAAAAGTATTTTTTCATGAGTAACACATGTGCTTTATTTACTACATAATACCTATGCGTGAAATTGTCTTCAGCAAATTAAATATTTAATCGTAAAATGCAAATTGATTTCATGCTTAATTAAACGAGTGCAACTATTATCTGTATATTCAAACACTTTTAAAGGTAATAAAATAAAAAAGCCTGTGATTACCTGTCAATTTGATAAACAAAACGAATCCCGGAAATGAATCCGAAATTATTCATACTTTAATATTATCACAAAACTTCCGGTTTTAATTTCCGTCAAATCGAAAGAAACGTAAGCAATGTCTGAGAAATGAACTATTTTGAGTCACTAAAATCATTTCAATTTTAAACTGTTACCTTCCCTAAACTGTTCTTGAAGGTTTTTTTTTAGAAAAATGGTTTGAAATTTACTTAGTAAATGCGATGAAACAGCAATACAAGTTTGTTGATGCTATGAATCTAGTTTGACATCGACAATTTGAAAAGGGGCACCAACTTTTCAATCATCTCAAAATGACCAAAATTGTGTGAAAAATTTCCAGATCCTTGATCTACATAGTATGTCCTCATTATCTACAAAGTTTTATGAAATTCAGTTGTGTAGTTTCAGAGGAGTTGCGATGACAAACTGTTGCAGTAGTATATTGAGGCCAATAAGTGCAAAGGGGCATAACTCCTAGAAAAAAAATTGAATCATAATTTTCTTTCCATATGCACGTCTACATAGTATGTCCTTATTATCTACAAAGTTTCATGAAATTCTGTTGTGTGGTTTCAGAGGAGTTGCGATGACAAGAACAGGACTGACTGACCGTAGTATATTGAGGCCAATAAGTTCAAAGGGGCATAACTCCTAGAAAAAATATTGAATCATAATTTCCTGTCGATATGCACATCTACATAGAATGTCCTTATTATCTATAAAGTTTCATGAAATTCTGTTGTCTGGTTTCAGAGGAGTTGCGATGATAAGGACTGACGGACTGTAGTATATTGAGGCCAATAAGTTCAAAGGGGCATAACTCCTAGAAAAAAAAATTGAATCATAATTTCCTGTTGATATGCACATCTACATAGTATGTCCTTATTATCTACAGAGTTTCATGAAATACTGTTGTGTGGTTTCAGATGAGTTGTGATGACAAGAACAGGACTGATGGACTGATGGACGGATCGACAGATGGATGGGTCAAAAACAGTATACCCGACGCAAAAAATTGCTTGGGGTATAAATTACAAATGGGAAATATGTAGGTCCACAGGTAAAAAAGACCCTAAAAATCCAGAAAAATTAAATATTGATTATACAAGACTATTTCTTCATAATTTTTTTTTTTTATCTATCAGTTTTTCATAAACATAGACTGCTTCAACAAAGTTTGTAGCTTATCATGCTTATGATGACTCAGAAATGTAATCTTTTTCTGAATTAATTTTGATTTCAGAAATCCTGATTTAGACTTTAACCAAATTTATCACAAGATTTCAAGATAGGTTTCACAAAAATAAAAATTTACTTTTTGAATTCTTATAGCATTATTTGTATGCAGAATTTCCTTAAATCAAAATAACTATTATCACATTTTTGTCCATTGTTCATGCAATTATCGCAAGAATAAATGCACATAAAAATTTCAGAATTGACAATACTTATCTTCCTAAAATAAATAAACTGTTGACACAGAAAAAGTCTCGCCTGTATGTATTAAATTAAGAAAAAGACAATCTGAAGGACAGCAACATTGCTAATTAATTCAAAGTCGCTGGGCCATGAACTAGTGGGGAGGGCTTTGAAATGGTCAACAAACTGAGAAGTACACACAGTAATGTAACTTTATACAAATATCATTGTCTATAATTGTAAGTAGCTCTTATCAAACTTACTTAAGTAGAAAACTTAACATTGAAAATTGTTAGTTAATTCAAAGTCACTGGACCGTGACCTAGGGCAGGGCCTCAAAATAGTCATAAAACTAATATGAACTGATAGTAATGCAACTTCATACAAAATATCATTGATCTATCACAAGTAGTTCTTATCAAACTTAACCGCCTTGGTGGTCTCGTGGTAGCGTGTTCGCTTCGAGTGCAGGAGGTTGTGGTTTCGAACCCCGGCCGGGTCAAACCAGACTTGTCTGGGTAAGGTGACATGTCTTCATGCAGACTGTCACCTTATGAACTAGCTCATTAAAAATCTGGCTCAGCATGTCGGTCGTCTGCAAAGCAGGGTTTATATTCATATTACATTAACATGTTCTCGTCCTGAATATGCATATTAATTTGCCGCTGGACGTTAAGCATCCATCATCCAACACCAACTACGAAGATGTCGTCATTGCCGGAAAAGCAATACCTATGTCTTGCCTTCCGCGACGAAAGTGGCAGGCGAGACAATAAAATCGCTGACTTACAAGCCATTCTCATACAAAACTGGATCACCAAGTTTGTATGTCTGTGTTTTAAGGTAAAATCTCACTATATCATCTTCTGCATCTGCTGCCTCCAACTGATACTGTATTGTCCCTAAAACAAAGCAAAGTCTCAATAAACTGTGTACCTATTTGATGAGCTTGGCACATGGGATTATTATTAAGGAAAACTATATGCCATTTGACATAAATTCACCTAATGGCTGAAAGAAAATATGGGGCATAAAGTGAGATGCCAGAATGAAAGTTTAAAGTTATAATTTCTAAAACAAACTAAAATATCTCCATCGCAACCAATAGCTGTACAAAAGAAAACCTTGTTTTTCAAAGGAGCACAAAGAAGTAAGTTTGGTAATGGACACTTTCAGCCCAGATAATTATGTTCCATGTTTCAAGATAAAAAATGCTTTAAGTTGACGAAAAGACAAGTAACAAAGTTTAATAAAATTCTTTTTGTCACAGTTTTACTTTAAAGCATTGAATTTTACATCCCAAGTAGGCCGAAAATAGTCCATATCTCGACAAAATTTAGGCCTAGGAAACAAAGAGCAGTCATCAAAGAGCTACATATTCAAGTCAAATATCTAAAATATTATAACAAGCATTATATTAAAAGATTTTTTTCGTTGATGCATGCACTCTATGTTTACTGTCCTAAAATTCAATGGAAATTTACCTATTTTCATTGAATTTTTTCGTGGGAAATTAAAATGAGTGCTATTTGTAATGTCAAGAATAAAATACAAGTATTAAATTTTCAACAAAAAGACATATTCTTATGTTGTACTGTTACACCACTGTCCCAGGTAAAGGGAGGGTTGGCACCTTCAAACTAGTTTAACCCCGCCACATTCTGTATGTGCCTGTCCCAAGTCTGGAACCTGTAATCTTCTTTTTATATATTTTCTATTTATTGATTGTATTAGCTTTGATTCATTGTGATATTGTTCAATAAATCCTAATTTGAAATTGTAGCTTGAAATAGAAGCCATTTGAGGGCCTTATTTAACCTACTCCTTTACCTTTCAATAGAAAACCACTATTTATGTCCAAGTGTTTTTGCTAACAGCAATTTTTTAACCTGATTTCATCTGGTAGCATTTTCATCATGATATCTATGGGACAATTTAAAAAAAAAAAAAACAGAGAGATACATACAATAAAATCAGAAATATCTTCTTTTTTTTAATTCAATACCTTGATCTTCATTGATAGATATAAATCTATTACTGATCAGTGTTGGTGCAGAATTGTATACTTTCTTTGATACAATGAAAACTGCAAATTGTGTCTCTTCAGAGAAATACAAAATGGATTCCTCAGTTTGGTTCCTTTCTTCTGAGTCAACTCTCCATGTTTTGCAAACCTTGAAAATTTTTGTATTAGAAAGTAATAATCCCAACACATTTGACAAATTTTTTTTTACACACTAAAATTATAAACTATAATTAAAAATTTGAAATCAATATCTCTTCAGTATATTTAAAACTTTAGAGAACAAGAATTGGTGTCCATAGGACACCATGTCCCGCTCCCACTATCACATTTCCATCTTCAGCGAACTAACTAATTTGGCATATATTTTAAAATAATTTAGTAGATAGATAATTGTGGGGAGAGTGTCACCAAAATTATCCAACAAATAGTTTCTTTATATTAATGCATCTTGCACCTACTGTCGTAAAACTTAATTTAGTAATCAAAGTACGAAATTTGAACTCTTAACAAGTTGCAAGTGTCTCCAAAATTGTCTAAAAAATAATTTCTTACAAATGCATCCTGGGCTTACGATAAAAAAACTTTACTCAGAACTCAAGAGTACAAAATATATGGTTGAAACACCAAATCCATTACTTTGATTGGTTGAATTCTGAGTATATGAGTACAATAATCGTACTCAAAATAATTATGACAGCAAGGCCAGACCTCATAATACCAGATGTTACCTTAAATTAAGTTGTCGGGGATATTCAAAGTTATTTGATTGATGTTTTTCATGACAACTTTCTATACATTTGTATAAATATAAATGGCAATCACTTCTTTTTTTGTGATAGAAGAAAGAGTAAAAGGATGAAATGAGTGAACTTCAACAAGTAAGAAATATTTTTTAGCACATACTAAATAGATAAGTGCAGTTTTTCATTTTTGTCTCGCCTGTGACAAAAGCAGCAGTAAGTGAGACATAGGGATTACATGTACTATACAGCGGGTTTGTAAACTATTTGTATAGAGCTTAATATTTCAGAAGGTAGATATATAGGCGACCTGGATGCTTCCTACCTTGTATGCAGATACCTTATGTCATTGTCATTGACCTCATATTTATGTTTCAGTGACTGCTTGAAAAAAAATTAGTTTTTTTGTCATGTGAATTTCTCACTTATTATGAGTAATAGGATAACCATATTTGGTAAATAGTTCCATGCAACATCTACATGTACATCAGACAGGGTTCACCTGACCTTGACCTCATGTCATATAAAGTTCCTTTTCTGAGATACTAAAAGCGGTAGGTCACCTGTATGTGGAGTATGGAATGATTGTAAGGGGTCAGTCTAGCAGGTTTCCTCTGACCTTGACCTCATTTTCATGGTTCATTGGTCAATGTTAAGTTCTGCCGTTTTGTGTTTTTTCAGGTACAATAAGCAATAGGTCAACTATATTTAGTGTATGGAATAATTGTAAGGTGTAAATGTCTCTAGCAGGTATCATCTGACCTTGACCTCATTTTCACCGTTCATAGGTCAATGTTAAGTTTTTCTGTTTTCATCTCTTTTTCAAATACTAATGGCAATAGGTCAGCTATATTTGGTGTATGGAATAATTGTAAGGTGTACATGTCTGTCTGGCAGGAATCATATGACCTTGACCCCATTTTCATGGTTCATTGGTCTATGTTAAGTTTTTGTGTTTTAGTCTGTTTTCAACTACCATATGCAATAGGTCAACTTTAGTTGGTGTATGGAATAATTGTAAGGTGTACATGTCTGTCTGACAGGATTTATATGACCTTGACCTCATTGTCATGGATCTTTGAAAAGGTTAAGTTTATGTGATACTTGTAGTAAACATTTTATCTTGAAGACTTTCAACATAAAATCAATGGTCAGTAAAGAAGGCGAGACATTTCAGCGTGTGCACTCTTGTTGAATATTACTACAGCAAGGCCTGAACACCCAAAGTAATGGAAATAGTCTGAAGTCTACTCTACAGATAGATGTCCCTAACTTATTACTTGGCCTTTGATTCCTGAACTATTTAGTGTTCTTTCTATTATCTACATCTGTCTTTGTTTGAGTTGTCTTGGTCTTATGTTTGTTTCTACATTTCGATGATACTCAATATCCTTTTTTATGTTTCAATCTTGCTAATTTGGATCAACTTAATTCTCATTGACCTAAAGATCTGTTTTTTCAAATCTATTCTATATTTAATCAAATTATGTGAAATTTACCTGAACAGTCTTTGTTCCATCCCCATTATCAACTTCTAAAACTGATGCATCACCACAGGTCTTACCACTCAGTTCCCACTGCTGAATAACTAAAAATACAACTAGAACTGTCAGTGAATTCACAAAAGAACAATACTATTAGCATATTTAAAATATAAATCTATAAATCTATTAAAAAAATAACAAAAAACAACAACAAAGAAACAGAGCCGAAACAATTAAGGATGCAAAGTTCCCTTTAACAAGCAAGACAGGGAAAACATTTATTTTTGCACAAAAAAATGTATAAAGTTTAATCAATATCCACCAAGCTGTTTAGGAGGAGTTTCACTTATCAGAGACTATTGACAAATATTATTATCTCCCTTTTAACATGTTGGACTGGAATTATATTCTGTAAAGCACATCCTTAGGTAGTTTTCTTCAACTATGTGAGGGGCCTCGGTGGCCGAGTGGTCTAAGTAGTCGAACTACTATATCACTAGCCTGTCAACACTGAGGTTGTGATTTCGAATCCGCGCGTGGCAGGTTCACTCGACTCCAATCTTAATTGAATAGAATTGTCAGTTTGTCTACTGAAGGTTGGTGGTTCTCGTCGGCTTCCTGAACCAATAAAAACTGACCGCCACGAAGTACAAAGTGGTGAAAGTGGCATTAAACACCAATTAATCAATCAATTATGTGAAATTTCTTCATTAACTGTCTAGATGTTTAGGAGGAGTTGTGCTTATTAATTAATACCACATATTGCAATATTGACGCAAGTAAATTCAATTATCTCCCCTTTATCATTTGGGACTGAGATTAAAACAACTGCGCTCTTCGACCGTTTGAAGTTTCAACAAAATCTGTCTAGCTGCTTAGAAGGTGTTGTACTTGAAAGTTAATCCACATAATGCAATATTGAAGAAAGTAAATTATATTATCTCCCCTTAAACATGTAGGACAGTCATAATTATCCTTTATGAATATCCCCAGGTAGTGTTCTACATTTGTGTAAAGTTTCATCAATATCTATTCACCTGTTTAGACAGAGTTGCTCTTGTTAGCTATAACCACATAATGCAATATTGAAGTAGGTAAATTTGATAATCTCCCCTTTAAACATGTAGGACAGGGACAATATTCCTTTATGCATATCCCCAGGTAGTGTGTAAAAGTTACACCAATCTGTGCCCAGCAGTTAAGAAGGAGTTAGAAGAGACTATTACCACATAGACATAGACATATTTTATTATTTCCAATGATGGTGCCTTAAAAAAAGCAGTACAATCATACAAAACTAAATAAACAAGAAAAATGATTTTTACAATTGAATATTTAACATAATGGAGCAGGGGAAAAAAACCTAACTAACTAAAAATACAGTACAAAATAATTGTCTAGTTTCTGGGCATCTCTACCTGTGGAAGTGGAGACAATCCCCTACTCCAAAGTACAAAAATATGTAGCATTAGCGACTAATTCTAAAAAATAAATTAGTTATGCACATTAATTTGTAATATTTCCTCTTTTTTATCAAACAAAGTTGCAACATACAACTTAATTTCAATATCATATTTTTATCTTCATTACTGAATAACCAAATTTATTTATTAACAGAGGACAAATGAGAAAAGTTTTTACCACTGAACATATTTAATCAAAGAGCTGATTGCTCTGAGGTGGAAGAAGATGCATAAAAGGTAACTTGAATTACCATAAAAGCAGCCCACACCAACCCAGCCTGCTTTGTCTTATTATTGCTTTCGACCTATTTTTTTCTTCCAAAAATAATAATACTCAACCAAAACTCACTATACTTAACATAAAAATCTGCAAATACTGTTGATTCAAATTAAATTTTCTATAACTAAATTCCACACATTCATCTCAGCATGGTCAACTTGATGCAATGCAATTTCGCCAAGCAATTATAACAGTAATTGATTTGGTTTCACTTGAAAGTTTTCTGTCAAAGGCAGATAGTTAACTTAAAAAAAAAACTGGCCACCAAGATTTTAGTCAAGTTTGCTTAAATTAGGGTTTTAAATAAATAAACATATATTGAAAAATTTTAAATATATCCAATGCAGATATGTGTCAGGCCAAGGATTGACCGGTCATGTCAGGTGATGACCTTGCTATGTTATTGCAATAATTTAGAGTCAAGCGCACACGTTAATCTGCTGGTGTTTTACACATCAAATGATGCACCGTCAGTTGACAGAATCACGTGTGCACTTGACTCTTTTAGCATTTCAAACCCGTTCATTTAAAGTGCTTGACCCATATATCATATTTGTTTTTCATCTAATATTTTTACACAAAAGTATGAGGGTAGAAAAGGCATTTTTCGTCAGGAGTCACACAGCCCTTTTCTGAAATTTTTCATGAAAATAAAACTATTGACAGCAACGAATTACTAGTTCCGTACTCGAGCCTCGATAATGTGTCATTTTTGTGTGTACCTTAATGACGAATAACGGTAAAGAGCTGGACTATTCAGTTGTTAAATCCCGTTTTTTATCACTTCTAAAACTTTGAAACGTATTAAGGCAAAAAGGCAATCATTGGGGACATTCCGACAATGACCGACATGAAAACTACGTACTTTTGAAATAGAATCTGTCAACAGACATTAGTTTGTACATTGATATTTCTGTCAACAGATGGTGCATCGTTTGATGTGTAAATAACCAGCAGATTCACGTGTGCGCTTGACTCTTTATTATCGCAATAACATACTTAGATATTCTAACTTTCGTTTTAAAAAACACATGTTGTCTAAAACTGGAATATGACTTAATTGATTGCATTAAAGATCTGAACGCAGACGGAACAACTAAATCCGTGTATTTTTTCAAGCATCATTGATTTGAAGTCGTACTCTCCACGTATATACTTGACTTTAATTCAAGATGGATTGTATGAATATATGACAATTCTGTTTATCATTATTTTGAAACTTTCAGATGCACAATTATATTTCCCATTTGTGCACATGCGCAGATACGTAACCAACGTGGTTTAAATTAACTCCAATAATCCAGTTGTTTTATCCCGATAATTCCAATTATTAATCTACCAAAGACAATTATTACAACAATCAGTGAGAATTATTATCATGACCTATTAATGCTACAAAACAAGCCATCAACTTTTAATTAATTTTTTTTTCATGTGTGTTCATGAATTTCGAGAATTTATACCATATAAATATCTGAATAAGTTTATTAAACTTTAATACCCATAATATCATTATTTTTTAACAATTGCAATGACGTATAAAACGTCCTTGATAAAAGCAGTCAATATAATACTTCCACAATAAAAGTAAGGAGAAGTAACCCAGGGTGAACGTACTCTATGGGGACGAACTCAGGGCGAACGGACCAAGGGCGAACATGTAATCAGGGCGAACCGACCCGATACCAAATTAACGCATGCGTACTACAAACTCTACTTTAAAGACATCCGGTTACAAGTAAACAAATAACGTTCATGTAAGATGAGATGAAATCTAATAATTTACATAAATAAAAAGGTTGATATTAATACATTAAAACATGAGAAATTATAACACTAACGATAGTGATCGTTTTTCAAGCCTAACTAATAGATTAAATGATGCAGATGCTTAGATCATGTGTAAACATCGGTGTCAAGATATGGCACGGAAGTTGTTATGAAATTGTAAAGCACAGAAAGGGATACGGCATACTTCTTGGTGACGGTTCAATGATTTTACAGCCGGCAGTAAAGGCTTTCAGAAGACTTGAAGTCTTCTTCCACCAAAAAGTAATTTGCCACATATTGCAATATTGAAGGAAGTAAATTTGAAAATCTAACACATTTCATCACAGGAAAGACAAAAAAAGAAATGTAAAAACAACTTTTATTATTTTTCCCTGACCAGACCATTTAATTGAAAGCAGATGTTAGTTAAAAAGCTCATTCAATCACAGTAAGAGGTTTTAAGCTGTCAAAGGTATCTAAATATTAATATCTATCATAGACTAAAATTTAGAAGCGATCAAAGGGCACTATCATATTGATTATTCATCTTTGCTGATTTCAAGTAAAAATAACTACACATGATCAAAATTGCATACCTGAATTCCAGTGAGCCAGAACAGTTCTGTTGTCTTCATTTTCACCAATACTATCTGGATATGTAATATTCATAGGCCCTGACATTGACAGGTGACCAACTGGTATTACAGAAAATGTAGTCACATAAGAGTGTATTCTGCAAGCAAATAAATAAAGAAATTAAAAAAAAAAGAAAACAACTTAAATACAAGTTATATTTACTGATGTTCAAAACTAATTTTCATTAATATAATACTAGGTGAAACTGCATATCAGACTTGGGAGGGGGGGGTCTAATATTTGTAGTCTAATCAGTTGTATGAGCTATATTTAAACTAGAGGCTCTCAAGAGCCTGTGTCGCTCATCTGTATCTACTGTGTTTTTGGAAATCATGTAAAATAAGGTTAAAATCATAATAAATAGTATTAGATACCCTAATAATGATTGAGGCCAAGTTTGGTGTAATTTGGCCCAGTAGTTAAATTAAAAGCAGGTCATCTCATTGTAGTCTTACAATAGTTACTGAAGACCCCTTATCATTATTTAAATTAGTTTTCAAGTTGTGACCATTTGAAATTGTTTTTTTTACAATTTTCCCTTAGACTTCTATAGTAAACCCCTTTGATCTTTTTTCAGCCATGGCGGCCATGTTGGTTGGATGACAGGGTCATCAGATACATTTTTCAATCAAGATACCCTATTAAAAATTGTGGCTAAGTTTAATTCTATTTGGCCCAGTAGATTAAGTGGAGAAGATTTTTGTAAAAGATTACAAAAATTTACGAAAAATTGACTATAAAGGGCAATAACTCCTTAAGGGGTTAATTGACAATTTTGGTCATGCTGACTTATTTGTAGATCGCACTTTGCTGAACATTATTACTGTTTACAGTTTATCTCTATCTATAATAATTTTTAAGATAATAACTAAAAACTGCAAAATTTCCTTAAAATTACCAATTCAGAGGCAGCAACCCAACAACGGGTTGTCTGATTCGTCTGAAAATTTCAGGGCAGATAGATCTAAACCTGATAAATTTTTATTACCCACACTCAGATTTGCTCTAAATGCTTTAGTTTCAGAGATATAAGCCAAACTGCATTTTACCCCCCATGTTCCATTTTTTGCCATGGCGGCCATCTTGGTTGATGGGCGGGGTCATCGGATGATACATTTTTTAAAAAAGATAACCTAATGATGATTTAGGCCAAGTTTGGTTTAATTTAGCCCAGTAGTTTCAGAGGAGAAGATTTTTGTAAAAGTTAATGATGACGAAGACGATGTACGACAAGTGATGAGAAAAGCTCACTTGGCCCTCTGGGCCAGGTGAGCTAAAAAGGGTACAGTATCTCATTCATATATATTGCGTCATAAAAAATTGATATGAAATAATTCAAAATGAAATAAAAGAAGAATGTGTCCATGGGATACAGATGTCCTCGCTTGAAAATATGCAAAGACAGTGACACCACCCAAATTCAAACTTGATTTGTGTTTGGTATTAATAAGCAATGTGTTTATGTTTTAGAACATTTGGTTGTGGCAAAGTAAAGTTAAAGAATGGAACTAAATTTCCAGATGAATGTACGTAAATAGAGACAGACACACGGACATACAGACAGACAAGAGTAAATCTTAATGCCATTTTCTCCTAGTGACAGGGCATAAATAACCATTATTATAACATTAAATTTTGGATTGAAGATATCATTACCTTCTGTACAATAATCTGTCAACCATGTCAAATGAAGTTGCTGGATTAACAATATAAGGTTGGAAATCTGTTGAAGAATCAGATCTGTATTCTGCGTTTAGATCCTCCTCTGATATTGGCTGTAGTACAACTGTTTGGCCAGGTTCCAGTCCTGTTATAAAAAGAAACTAGTGTATGAAAAGAGCTTACCAATACCTCTGAAATAGATGCCACCCCCCTTTTGGTGCTATCAGTAAAAAGGTATTAAAATTTTGGTAATTTGTGTCTGTTTTCAGTAATAATATTTACTTTGTAAAATTTATAATATTCATAAAAACAACTAGGCACACAGTGATATGATTGATTGATTATTGGTTGCTTAACAGTGGCAAATATTTCATGCTTGTTCAAGACGAGAACAAATTAACAATGAATACAAAAGGTAGGTCCTTTAATTGAGGCTGTCAAGGACGAGAGTCTGGAAATTTAGACTGCTACTGTAAAATGAGGGTATATTGGATATGAGACAAAAATTTAGCACTGCAACAGGCCACCTACAGACCCCTCACAGAGTTGTTACAATGGTTCTTAACATGCAGAGAGCGTGGCACTCTTACTTATTTAACATCCCCATTCTGACCTGACGTGGCTGCGTACTTGTACATCCAGCACAGCCAAACTAACGCCCCACTTTGGCAAGGGTTTAACTGCCTATTGGAGGAAGATCTGTAGTCACCATATTTCTATTCCCCAGTCACCTTTTGGGATGGCACTCAGTGACAAATAAATGATTTCCTTTATTTATCTGAACAACAAATCAGAGTCAATGAGCAAGTGAAGAACACCGACCATCGCGTTAAAAGGAAGTCTTTTTCACAATCTATGGAAAAGGCATAATGTTCCAGTTTCAGAATTTCTTTCCTTGCTTCAGAAATTGAATTGTTTCACTACCTAGACATTGTAAAATTGAAAACAAAAGACTTGTTTCATTCATTAATTAATTGGAATTGAACAAGAAATGGAGAGATTGTTTTTTACCGGTAGATGTCACGAGAAACCCAAAGAAAAATAACAGTATGAATCATTCAAGCGTTTAATTTTACACAATTCTTATAAAAAATGAACCGCCACAATGATAAAAATGATATATATAACTGAAAACTGTTCTGAACAGGTAATGAATGTGAATCCGTAACAAATAGACTATTAATCGTAATACCATAATTTTGGTCCAAAATTTGTAACAATTACGGGAAAATTGTAATGGTTGGCATCTATGCTCTGACCTGAAACATCTAAAATTAAGACTCAGCAATAACTCTGTCTTAGGCAATCTGAGTTACTCAAGAAAACAATGTGCTGTTTGAAAAATTGCTCAACCGTTTGGCTTGATATTAAATGCCTCCTAACAATGAAGCAGAAGGGCCACAGCAAATATAAAGAAGTGTTCTACTTTTGAATGATTTGGTTTTATTTCATTCAAATCTGACACATATCATTTTCATCTGATAACGCCATTGAATTTTCTCCACTAAGGCTAAAAATACACAAGTTTGACCTTAAATCCATTTAAAAATTTTTTTCTGGCAAACACATTTTAACCTCAGTGCACAGAGATATATAAAGACTATATTTGCACATGATATAAGCCAGAAATTAAGAAATAAGATTAAAAATCCTGGATGTATGCTTTTTATTTATCTAAATTTACCTTCAGGTGTTGTAACAACAATCACATCTGTCTCCCTCTTTTTCCGTGTTGAATTAGTAGCAACTGACTGTATAATTTCAATGGATTCTCCCTTTTCTGATGTTTTCAATACAGTTTTTGTATTTGTTATCAGTACACTTCCTATTGACTTATTGGTACAAAGTACAGCTTCATTACAAACCCTCATCGTCATAAATAATGTCCGTCCAGGTTCCATATGGAATACACTTGTCTTGTTCTCTGTAGATTCATAGGAGATATTCCAAACTTTGGTCTTAAGCTCTGACAAAGGTCTCAGCTTGATATCATCTATATACAAATATCCATCTTTGATAGAAGCTGATCCTGATGTGTTGTAACCAACCCAGGTACAAGGGAAAATGTTATCTAAATATTTGTCTGTTCCAATGCACATATCTAAAAATAAAATAAATATATTGTAATTATCCTACTTTATTATTGCTGTTAAGGGGCAGGAGGATTTTTTGCAGATGGACTTTGACAGAATTTCATTTTCACCTGTTGCTAGGTTGGGCTGTTGTCTGCTCTTTGGTCAGGTTGTTGACTTTTTGACACATTCCCCGTTTCCATTCTCAATTTTATTATTTATTTCAAGCACCCTCAGCTAAGCAAAAAATTATTTTCATTTTTGTACAAAATTATTTCCTGCATTTTGTAGGCTGAATGTTCCTTTTGATTGATTGACTGTTGGTGTTTAGCACTTTCAGCACTATTGGCTATATCGTGGGGTCAGTTTTTATTGGTGGAGGAAGCTGGAGAGCCTAGAGAGAACAATGACCTTTGGCAGGAAAACTGACAATCCTAGTCAATAAAGACTGGAGTTGAATGCACCTACCATGTGTGGGGTTCGAACTTACAACCTCAGTGTGAAAGGCTAGTAATGCAGTTGTTGAACTACTTTCGACCACTTGGCCACCTAGGCCCCTTATTCATGTAGAATATTTTATACCCTAATCTACCATTGAGGTATTGTTTGTTTTGTCCAAATGGGTTATCATACATGCATGGCTCTAAACATGAATGATCTATCAGACATACTGATTTGTTTAAAACTATTATAATCCAGAAAGAAAACGGAAATGATTTGAAACAAGATTATTTTTTTTTTAAATCAACAACAATATTGATGAACATACCATATCTCTTTACAGATTTATCTTCACTAACAGTAAAGGTGAACCCTATAGTTGTAGGATCTGTACTTTCCATGGCATCTGTAGGGACTACTCCTTCTTCAAATGGTTGGATGTCTCCTTTTATTGTATTATTCAAATTATCAACCTCTGGTGGCTCCAATAGTACCATAACACCTAAATAAACATAAAATATACTGTAGATTCATTAGTTTTCCTGGGTACCAATTTTCATGGATTAAGGAAAACTTTGTGGATATTTGATTTATAAACTAGGTTTTTGCCAAAGATTGCATATAACCATGATAACCTTTTATCAGCTATTTCTACATTTTCCTTTGATCCTACTGCCTATTATTTGTTTAGATCATGGAAAGGACTTAATACTCGAAATATTACACAATGAAGTCACGTATCAGTGCAGTACGTCCCGTTTTTATGTTCATCTGCTTCAATTTATCAATGAAATGCAAGTGACTTCATTCATACAACCATCAACTATCACAACGTTTTGTACGCGTATAAGTAGTTTTACTAGTTAATTCATTTTAGTTCATATTCTCAACCAAAAACACATATTTTTAAAACAAACTGCCTATAAAAAGAATAATGGCATTTTATTTTTTGATATTGACTTCATCAGCTCGAATATCAGCTTGCCCTTGCAGGCTCACTTGATATTCTTGCTGATAAAGTTTATTTCAAAAACAAAAATGCCATTATTCTATATATATTAAATTGGAATTTGTTGAACATTTATATTTGTTGTTCTACTGTACCCATGAAAACTGGTATCGAAAGAATAATATTGACTCCACAGTATTTAAATTTGAAGTAGCTTGATTGGTATCTCTTTGTAAAGTTTTAAGTCTCTATCCATATAGTAGGGATACACTGACTTGATCTACAGATATAGTAGGGATACACTGACTTGATCTACAGATATAGTAGGGATACACTGACTTGATCTACAGATATAGTAGGGATACACTGACTTGATCTACAGATATAGTAGGGATACACTGACTTGATCTACAGATATAGTAGGGATACACTGACTTGATCTACAGATATAGTACGGATACACTGACTTGATCTACACATATAGTAGGGATACACTGACTTGATCTACACATATAGTAGGGATACACTGACTTGATCTACACATATAGTAGGGATACACTGACTTGATCTATCCATATAGTAGGGATACACTGACTTGATCTATCCATATAGTAGGGATACACTGACTTGATCTACACATATAGTAGGGATACACTGACTTGATCTACACATATAGTAGGGATACACTGACTTGATCTACACATATAGTAGGGATACACTGACTTGATCTATAGATATAGTAGGGATACACTGACTTGATCTATGCATATAGTAGGGATACACTGACTTGATCTACACATATAGTAGGGATACACTGACTTGATCTACAGATATAGTAGGGATACACTGACTTGATCTATCCATATAGTAGGGATACACTGACTTGATCTACACATATAGTAGGGATACACTGACTTGATCTACACATATAGTAGGGATACACTGACTTGATCTACAGATATAGTAGGGATACACTGACTTGATCTATCCATATAGTAGGGATACACTGACTTGATCTACAGATATAGTAGGGATACACTGACTTGATCTACACATATAGTAGGGATACACTGACTTGATCTACAGATATAGTAAGGATACACTGACTTGATCTATCCATATAGTAGGGATACACTGACTTGATCTACAGATATAGTAGGGATACACTGACTTGATCTACACATATAGTAGGGATACACTGACTTGATCTACAGATATAGTAGGGATACACTGACTTGATCTATCCATATAGTAGGGATACACTGACTTGATCTACAGATATAGTAGGGATACACTGACTTGATCTACACATATAGTAGGGATACACTGACTTGATCTACAGATATAGTAGGGATACACTGACTTGATCTATCCATATAGTAGGGATACACTGACTTGATCTACAGATATAGTAGGGATACACTGACTTGATCTATGCATATAGTAGGGATACACTGACTTGATCTATACATATAGTAGGGATACACTGACTTGATCTACAGATATAGTAGGGATACACTGACTTGATCTATCCATATAGTAGGGATACACTGACTTGATCTACAGATATAGTAGGGATACACTGACTTGATCTACACATATAGTAGGGATACACTGACTGATCTATCCATATAGTAGGGATACACTGACTTGATCTACAGATATAGTAGGGATACACTGACTTGATCTACACATATAGTAGGGATACACTGACTTGATCTACAGATATAGTAGGGATACACTGACTTGATCTATCCATATAGTAGGGATACACTGACTTGATCTACAGATAGATATTAGCCAACAACCTCTCAGTTAAAAAAGTCTCTCCCCAAAAATGACGATTAACCCACTGTTTAAAGCATTTTTTTTTGGTTCGTCAAATATTAACCTAAAATTCACACATTAAGTTTGAGAATAACAATTTTCAACTTTCCTTCATTTTTAAATTTAGTACTCAAATATTAGTACAGGAGTGTTCAAGTATCAATTTTTGTAATGCATACCTGTTATATCATTCCAGTGAGTAGCTCTTCCTCCGCCATTAATACAAATGATAGATACATAGTATGTATGGTTATGCTTAAGGACGCCCTCTAGTGATGAGTTAAGGGCTGTCATGTTATGGCCAATGGACTGAAAACTTTGAACTTCTTCTCCACCTGGTGTTTCACCAATAGCCCACAAATTTTCCTAAAAGATCAACATTTTTTATAAATAGATGTTTAACTGTATTTGTGTTTATTTTTGGGGATATATTTCTAAGAAGGTTAAATTTTTAACCAACAGACACAGGTTTTCAGATATTTTTCAAATAATTTTTTTAATTAAATTAATATCTGCTATCAAATTATGAAAAAGGATATACATGAGACATCCAAAAAGCAAAAGGTTGCAAAATCTGTGTGTTCTATGCGAAGCACCAAAATCCTTTTGATCAATGAAAAGAAGATGGAGTTGCACAATATCTTAAGGTTTTGTTCTTTAAGAAAGCATAATACCATTATCTGACTTTCTGTCTCATTACCTTTATCTGACTTTCTTCATCAGTGCATCTCCAAAAAGCTTTAATAGTGTTGTTGGATGCTTGGTAACTAATCGGCTGAAACTCTCCTTGTGTCGCATCAATATATATTGGACTGGTCAACATTACATCAGGGTCAAATACAGGTCTTGTAAGATCAATATAAAATCCTGGTGAAGATGACAAAACATTGTCCCCAGCCCCTGTTACAGCTTTTCCTAAAATTTATAAAACAAAATAAGAAAAATGTGATCAGAAGCTAAGAAATAAATGATGATGAAGATAGATGGTTGTTTTGTCCATATATGGAATTTAGGACAATTTTTTTTATTAATTTGATAGGAATATGAACCATGCTTTTTACTAGAGTCATATTTTGACCGAGCTAGTTCACAAGGTTAAGTCTAAAGGAAGACATGTGTTTTACATATAAAAGAAATGTATGTGTGCAGAAAAAAAGGCAATTAATACACAACATAAAACTAACCTGTAAGATAATATATAACTGTTTTGTTATAGTAGTGTCCAGTTTCATTCACATCAACAACCTGAGGTGTTAAATCTAAGTCTGTCAAAGTAAATCTGAAATCCACATGTTGATCAATGTTACAGTTCCGATCACAATTATATTTAGAACATTCTCCAAAGCAAGGTATGCAGGGTACTATCACTTCTCTAAATGGTTCAATATCTGTTAAAAGTTTGTCGCTTCCAATGCCAACTTCATATTTTATTATTGGATTAGTCCCGCCCCTGAATGGATCACCATAGCGACAAAGTGCACCAGCTGATGGTGGCAATATTAGATTTTTGAAATATGCTTTGGTGGAAAATATGTTGAATTTATCTGTAATATCTGGTACAAAATTATCACGGTTGAAGACATGAAGAACTAATTGTGCTGATTCACTTAGATTAGGTATTCCACATAGTTCAGTTAATTCCTCATCATTGACAAATACAATAAGACACATAGAAATCTGAAATAGAATTAAAAAAAAAAAAAGAAATTGAAAAACTCTTAAAATACAATGAGTTGCCATTAATGTCATTTAAAGTATACTCCAAAATGTCAATAGTAGACTATGATGAAAAATTCTATAGTCCATAGGAATAATAGAAAAAAAAGTTTTGAAAAAACTGCTGGTAAATCTGACAATTGCTAACACAGTTCATAAATGTCTTGACCAAATATAAAATCATTTCTTAAAGGGGCATTAGCTGTCAAATTCATATTCACTGATTGACTCAAATTCTTATATTTGATTTATAACATACTAAAACGTATATCCTTAACAATGCAAGGACTCTATAATCTATATTGGCATTTTGTACAGAGCTTCCAAAATGGTCGTATTGTGCGGACTTATAAATTATATAAATGACTTGTTGTGCCAAGGCTGAAACAGACATTTTAACATAGTTTAGAAAAAAAATTTGAAGTTTATCGATCTTTTGACCCGACCTTTTGCCTTAAACAGCCACACATTTGCGGTTATATAAGTGACATGATGAATAAGTACTATCAAAACAAACCCTACTTTAATACCCTCTAAGTACAATCAAGGTTAATTAGTTCTCTGACAGCTGAAATTTACCTGTTCAGGCAACAGGTAAACTATTTTGTACCGGACATTGATCGGTCTATTAAAAGTTATTTACTTAAATTTCAGCCGTTTGCAACTAATTAATTTATTAATCAACAAAATTGAGATTATCAGAGAATGTTTATAAATCTGATTTGATGAAAATTTAAAAAGGTAGTAAATAAAGGTTTTAACGGAAAAATGGTCAGAATCACGTTGTTTGAACTAGCTAGTACACTCGTGCGCATGTGCGCAGATGTTAAATTTAGTTATGCATCTGAATTATCAAAAATGCTAAAAATATCATTGATACCTTTATCTAATGTTCATTTCAAGTATTTTCCTTAAGAAATAATGCAGAAAGTAGATATAAGAAGATGTGGTATGAGTGCCAATGAGACAACTCTCCATCCAAGTCAAAATTTATAAAAGTAAACCATAATAGATCACAGTAAGGTCTTCAACACGGAGCCTTGACTCACACCGAACAGTAAGCTATAAAGGGCCCCAAAAAAATAACTAGTGTAAAACCATTCAAACGGGAAAACCAACGGTCTAATCTATATAAAAAACGAGAAACGAGAAACACTTATGAACCACATCAACAAACGACAACTACTGAACATCAGATTCCTGACTTAGGACAGGTGCAAACAAATGCAGCGGGTTTAAACGTTTTAATGGTACCAAACCTTCACCCTTTTTCTGAAACAATAGTGTAACATCACAACATAGAAAGACACACTAAAGCTACTAAACTCACTCGTGCTTTGTTAATGTACACATATTCTACGTATCTTTTTAAAAACGAAAGTGAAGTTATTGGCAGCGTAATTTTGCACAAATTAAGAGTCTAAAGCAGATATTAGCACGCTGATGTTGCACACTTCTAATGGTGCACTGTCAATTTAACAGTTAACGCCAGGACATCGAATTTAAATAAAACATCAAGTTAAATACTGTTTTTGTGTAAATCATAATATATATGATGCCCAACTGATTACCATGGTTGCCTTTTGTTACTAAGTCTTAAGGTATTAAAATCGGGATAAGTCAAAAAAAAAAAAATGTCCGGCTGGCTCAAATATTTTTTGGAAGCCCTGATTTTGTGTGTATTTTAGTCTAGACGCCATCTTATTAGCCATCTAGATGACCTCCAAAGACTACCGACGGTTACATATAAAACCTGATATGAACATAAACATAAATATAAATAGATAGCGACCTCGTGCAATTGGACTTTTCTAGGTTTGTTTGACTTCATGTTTTGGGTTAAAAAAAATAAGTTAATGATCATTTTTACCTGCATAAGAATGATTTTGTGGATCAGATCAGTCATCAAAATGGTTCACCTTTGTTTCACTTTCAGTGTTGACATTCATTTCCTTTTAATGGCTGAACACGACTGATACCCCATACAGAAATTGCTAACAAAAGCACATGAGTTTCACATGTGAAGCACATGAGATGCAAGTAAGAATTGTATGCAAATCAGATTGCTCACATGTGCAGTTTGGTTGTTCATATGTGCCCAAAAAAATCAAAATCTAACATAATGCTCATATGTGCAATTCAAACCTCAGGTGAGCTTTTATCATCAATGTTAGTTTTATGTTAGTTCAAAGTTTTGTACTTTGAAAATTTTGTCCATTCTTCTAACCATTTAAAACTAACGTAGATCATTATCATATGAGCTTTTTGAAAATGACATGCCCAGTCAAGTACTTCCTGTAAATTCAAATTCAAAGCATCAATTTGGAGGGAGATGGAGATGAAAATTTTAAGCCATATTTTGTCAAAATTTGTGATATTTGAACTTAATAGCATTGTTGGAATCTGATAAAACCAGTGTGGCTGTGGTTAATTATTTGTAAGTTATCATTTCTATTTCATCATGTTCAATTTTGTTTCAGATTCTGAAATATATTACAATTTTAAGTCCTTTATGGAAGTATGCATGTTGCTTCAAATAAGTACTACATGTATATATATAATAGATAATTCCTGTTTTAAACTTTCTGAAATACAATACTTAAAGACATTCATTATGTACTAAACTTGCAAGTCCCTGCACTAGTTTTATAATGTAATGTAATGTTTTAATCATTATTGTTTAAATAACAAAAAAGACAAAATAATATGAAAATCATAACTGACAGTAATAAAGAATAAGTGTTCATGATGTGTCATTTATTTTATTTTCAATTACTTAAGATTTTCATTTAAATTTGAAAAATTATCCTATTTTGAAGCAACCAATTTTTTTTTTCTTTAGATACAATTTAATCATCATCATCTGGAAATGATTAGATAACAAAATCAAATGGGTCAACTTATATTCATGTGTGCAACATGTGAGCAGCTGCTCATATGAGCAATCTGATAAAATGCACATGTGAAACAAAAGCTCATATGAGCATTTGCAAGTGAGGTTTTTAACATGCAAATTAGGTTAGTTTCATATGTGCAGATTTTTTGCTCACATAATGCTCAGCTAATTTGCATGTTAAAAACCTCATGTGCAATCATTTTAGTTTCTAACGTGAGCATCTTATGTGCAACATGTTAGCACCGTTTGGTAAGGGACATGCATAACCAATTTCTAGCTAATGGGTTAAATAGAAGGTCACATGAATAGGGATTCAATGAGGTTGAATTATTCACTTGCAACTGAATAATTCATACGCTATGTTTCTTTGCTTATTTTGACAAAATTGAACTAAGCTTACTGCTAGACTGGTAAAATTTTCATCGAAATTTGATGCATTATGAAATACTAAATTGTAACATTGAACAAATCATGAATATTGTTGAAAAAATCAAGACATTTCTTCATATATATATATCCCAAAAAGGCTAAGCTGATACATTTTCCATTTTACATTTATTGATGATTGATTGTTGTTGTTTAATGCCACTTTCAGCACTATTGCCTAAAATTGGGGCGGTCAGTGTTTAATGGTGGAGGAAGCAAGAGCAACGGGAGTGAACCACCAACCTTCAGCATGAAAATTGACAATCCTTGTCAATTAAGATTGGAGTTGAACTTCTCATTGCAGGGTTTCAACTCACAACCTCAGTGTTGACACTTGGCAACCAAGGCCTCTTCCTTGTTGCACTTTCACTGATTATTAATCACTGTGATTAAACTTCAGAGTTTAATAATATTCACAGTTCACAGTTGTACTGTTGTAGAAATGGAATCCTTATGTTAGAGGTCACTTTTATGTTCCTCATGAGTGACTGTTTATTACCAGTTTGACAGTATGTATGTATTGTATATACATGTACTGTATTCCCTAGGTATGCTAAAATCCAACAAATATGATTTAAATACATGCTTACATCTACTGCATCATCCATCTCAGGTTGAAATATGATTTTGAAGTTGAGAAATTCTTCAGTGACATTGTAATCCACTGCTGTCTTCATTATGGGATGTATATCATTGAAAGATCGACACCAAGTAACTATCTTTGGATTATGATCTGCAAGAAAAAAATTGTTATTATTTAACTAAAACTTAAATTTGTTTTATTGATAAAGAAATAATAAATAAGAGCAATTTAATTTTATGAGTTTCTCTGTTGATATTTTTTTTAAAACTTTTCCATTTTTAAGTAATGAAAGCTTCAATTCTTTAAGCAAATAAGTATATTTAAGGGAATATGGCACGCTTGCCAATCCGACACTATCCAACAAAGACCTAAAGACAAAGATGTAAACAGCTACAGTTCATTGTACGATAAATTTATTATTTCTTTACCCTGAAGTTTGGAAGCAATTGTCACTAAACAGGATTTGAACAGTATTCTTTAGAATTATCTAAAAAGGTTTCATGGATAAAATCTGTATTTTAAGTAACAGTGGTAATAAATTTCATTTACTATTTCCTGAAGAATTGATCCTTTACAGGACTTTCGGGATATTTTTTCATATCTTTAACCATATGTTCCATTTATATAACATTGATCATGTTAATCTTATATTAGAGTTATTGGAAATAACTATTAAAAATTGACCCCTCATGATGATGCAGCAAAATTTTCTCAATTTTTCGCCTATATATTAGAAGTATGTATAATAAAGAAGACTACTTTGAAAGTATTAGTAATGAAGCCGATGTGATTTGTTTAACAGAAACTCATATAAAATATGAAGATATTATCATTGAGGATTATAATAGAGATCCTTATAGAAAAGATCGCAATAGCTCAGGGGGAGGAATTTATATCAGTAAATTTATTCAAGCCAAAACAAGTCAGGAATCTGATGTTCAGTAGTTGTTGTTTGTTGATGTGGTTCATAAGTGTTTCTCGTTTCTCGTTTTTTATATAGATTAGACCGTTGGTTTTTCCGTTTGAATGGTTTTACACAAGTAATTTTTGGGGCCCTTTATAGCTTGCTTTTCGGTGTGAGCCAAGGCTCCATGTTGAAGACCGTACTTTGACCTATAATGGTTTACTTTTATAAATTTTGACTTGGATGGAGAGTTGTCTCATTGGCACTCATACCACATCTTCTTATATCTACTGATTTTGATTTTGATAATGAAGCATTATGGCTTGAAATCAACTTCCCTTTACATAAATTGCTCCTTTGTGTTGTAAATCAACAACCTTCTAATAATAATACTTTTTTGGGATAAATTTCATGAATCCATAGAAAATCCATTGAGCCATTCTCCAATGTTGTAATAACTGGTGATGTAAATGTAGATATTCACATAAAATATTTGACATTATGAGACTAAATGGACTAAAACATGTAATAAACAAACTAACCAGATTTTGTGCCACACGCCAGTCCTTGCTAGATCCTATTTTAGTATCAGATTCATGTGATGTCTATGATTCCCATGTAATACAAATAGTTCGTACTTATAGTGATCATGACGGAACTATTGTATTCTTGAATAACCTCAACATGTCAAAAAACAATACTACATATAAAAGAATGAGAAATTGCATCAGAATCACAATGTTCAGACTTCAATGGTATCGGAGTGAATATTGAGCAGAAATGAAATAATCATACCAGAGAACACTTGAATTCCACAGGCTCTTTGTGCTATTGGTATACTGGTATCTACAGGTTCTGAAACATTACTGTTATCAGGATTATTGACGATATCGTATGGATGTGTTGTTGTCTGGACTGTTGTTCCTTTTGTAGTACTAGGTACTGTAGGTATTGTACTGTTTCCATACTTATCTGACAGATATCTCGAGCAGTTACAAAATTCACAGTCCTGTAAAATGAGAAATAGAACAGAGAATGGAAACGGGGAATGTCTGTTATATATATACAGCATGTGTTACCATTAAAGTTACAAACAATTAAACAGTTAATCTCAGAAAATATAAAACAGTGTTTGAAATTGAGGTCACCCCATAGGCTTGGGGCCTGCAGTTTCCAGAAAAGCTTGTTGAATTGTAAAAATGAATAAAAGGAAATAGCAACTAATTTTCAATTGGTATTTTGCTTTTCCACCAATTGACATTTCATTTGCCCAAAAAAAAACCTTTCCTTTGCGTCACAAATCATATTTCATTTACACCAAAATAAATATAATACTAATAGATATATGTATTGAAAAGAAGCTTTTAATAATAATGTTACAACATAGTTTTGATAGCATAATAAATCCCATCCATCATAAAACCACAATGAAAACATTAAACACTGATTTATACATAATTCTCCAGATTAGAAAATACCCCACTTAAACAGAACTCTGTTAGAGTTTGTATGTTTGGTACTATGATGGACTTAGTCTTGTATGAAGATTTGTCTCATTGGCACTCATACCAAATCTTTTTTCTATCTATTAGCTTAATCATTGAATAAAAAACAACCAAAATATATCATCAATAAGATTAATTCCGTTTACGACTAAGGGCACCAGTATGTATGAGAGTGTGTGTACTGTCGCTTGTGGTCCTGAATAATCTTGGCAAACCAAACATATACCAAAACTACAATTACTAACTGTATATAACGAAGTTAAGATATAAAACTAAACTATTTATTAAAACAAAAAACTAAAACTCACTAAGGACTAAAACATTTTCATATAATATAAAAAACATAGTTAATAGTAAAACATTTACATATTAATACCTTGATGTAACATTTGGCTTTCTAGGGGGCGACTCATTACAGTTTCTGACGAATAACATACACAAAATATATATTACTTATGCCTGTGGTAGATCCGAGCACTCACTGACAAAACATACAAAAAATATATATTACTTATGCCTGTGGTAGATCCGAGCAGACAAAACATACAAAAAATATATATTACTTATGCCTGTGGTAGATCCGAGCAAACAAAACTAATTTCGAGAACCTGTGGTAGATCCAAGCAGGTGAATGTGAATAAAAATAGATTCTGCGGTAGATCCCAGCAGGTTAATGTGAATAAAAATAGATCCTGCGGTAGATGCCAGCAGGTTACCTAATGCGAATAACAATAGATCCTGCGGTAGATGCCAGCAGGTGTACAAATGTACTTAATAATTTTAAATATGTATAAATGAATTGGGGGAAAATAATTTCCCTGAAATTATGTTGGCCAAAATGAGTGAAATTAATGAGTGAAAGCCCCCAAGAAAAGATACATCAGATATGATAAAAAACAATGAATAATAGTACCTTTAAAAAAAATACAAATTATATATATATTTAACCTCACATTTATGTACAAACAATAAGAAATGATGTATAAAATCTACTAAGAGAAATGTTCACTTAAAAACACATTTTATCTTGAGCTGCATGTATAGTTTTAGGGTTGGTTCTAATAGATATAACGCATGTAACAATCAGATGACCATCTACCTAAAGTTTGAATAATGTGGTCTTCAATTCCTGCAGCAGCTGCAGATGTAGCTGCTCCTATTCTAAATGAATGCCCACAAAATTTATCATCTTTATACCCAAGTCTAAAAAGTAAATCTTGCAGCAAAGAAATAAAGCGATCCCTTGATAAGGGAGTATGGTCATAATCATCGTTAACAAACAAAGGCGACTGAGGCTTAGCTCCTGAATCAGTTCTGAATTTTATATATTTTCTCAAGGTAGCTTCAGGGTGAAAAACATTGTTTTCAAAGATAGTAATATTTACACCTTGCCTGAATGGATCACACTTAGAAGAATGTAAATGGAAAACTAAATTTTTTAGTGACACATCTAAAGAAATATCTTGAATTGAAACAATGGTATCCTTAGAAAAGTCTTTACTACGACAAGTAAATTCTCCACATCGGAGGAATCCAAAAAAAGCTAAATTAAATGCGCTTTGTAGCATTAAATCAACCAATGGAGAAAATACCCCAGATCTTAACAAATTACATAGTTCTTTTAAAATCGAAGAAGTAATAGGCATTCGTTTAGGACGTATATAACACTGAGACTTTTTTAAACCTCTTAGAATGCACTGCAAACGAACAGTATTTGCTAGCGGGTCTGAATGACCCTGTTTTAAAAAATAGTGTCTTATACCTGCTAAATACAATATTATCATATTTAACAACAGTTGAATGTGCTAGTTTTAACGAATTTTTACAAAAGGCAACAAAAAAAATCAAACAATTTTCATCTATATATGGCAATGCATTTAAAAAACAGTCTTTTCCATTCATAACCATAAAGTTTTGAAAACATTTAACACCAGTCATATATGCCTGCTTTGTACTCTGACAAAGGCAGGCTTCCCATAATTCCTCAACTTGTTGAATCAACTCATCATTAACTGGGATGGCTTCAGGCAAGGTGTTGGTTCTTGATCTGCCAGTGGTTGTAGTAAGCGAAACTTCCTCATCTGATAACGAGAAATAGAGTCTGCTACAGTGTTTTCGACACCAGCAATATGTTGTGCATGAATGACGAAGTTATATAGAGCAGAAAGATAAGTTAGCTTCCTCATAAGTTTCATTATACTCTGGACTTTTGATCTTCCTTTGGAGATAATCTCTACGGTACTTAAATTGTCACAGTAAAATAATATACGTTTCCTACTCCAGTTGTGACCCCATAGAGCACAGGCCATCACTATAGGGTACAGTTCAAAGAAAGCCATAGACGTTTGTTCATTTAAAAGTTCTGGTGTAAATTCGCCTTGAAACCAACTTCCCTAATAATCCCCCGAACGATTTAGGTGTAGCATCTGTGTAAAGTTGGATATCTGCAGCTTTAATAATGTTGTCATTAATGAAAAAGGATATTCCATTCCAGTTTTTAAGAAATTGAGACCACATTGCCAAATCAGATCTGCAATTCTTAATATGTACATGGTGTGACAATTTTTTAACAGTAGTTGAAAGCTTAATCAAGTGAGACACAAATGATCTACCTGGTAAAATAACTCTACTTGCAAAATTTAAGTGGCCTAGCAGACTTAAAAGTTCCCTTTTAGTACATGTATTGCGTTTAGAAAAAGATTCAATTGTTTCTTGAATTCTTGCAATTTTCTCTTTAGGCAAACGTGCCTCCATCTTTATAGTATCAAGAAAAATGCCCAAATATTCTAAAATGACACAAGGACCTTCAGTTTTCTTTGTTGACAAAGGAATACCCAAAGATGAAAACATTTTTAACACATTGCTCATAGTTAAATGAGCATTATCTGCTCTTGGTACAATAATTAAAAAATCATCTAACAAATGTAAAATATTTACAATACCATAGTTATTTCTAGCTATCCAGCAAGCTGCCCTGGATAGTGTATCAAAAATTTTGGGACTTGATCTACACCCAAACACTAATCTCTTAAAAAAATAAAACTTTTTGTTCCACTGTATACCATGATAAGGCCATAATTCTGATTTAAGTGGGATAATTTTGAACGCATCGCAAATATCTGTTTTTAGAAGCCAACTTTTTCTACCTAACTGCTTAATAATATGAGTAGCATCATCAATAGAGTTATACTGCAAAGAAAATTCTTCCTTATCTATCAGTTCATTTAGACTTGGATTGTCCTCATCCTCATGTGGTGCTGAAAGATCAACAATTAAGCGCTTTTTCTTACTATATTTATGTTCTGCTAAACCAATGGGGTTTATGCGATAGTTGCTAAAAGGAATATCATTAAAAGGTCCAATGAGGTATCCTTTTGACACTTCAGTTTCAAGTAATTCTGACACGCATATAGGATTTGTAGATGCTGACTTCAAATTTTTACAAATAATAGACTTTGATGGGAGAGTCTTTAACCCAGTGTGAAAACCATATCTTAACCCATTTATCAAATAATTTTTAAAAGCTGAGTCAGGATGTCTATATAACTCTTTTTCCAAAACATCTATATTTACAGGTGTAGAGACAGACATGTCATAATTTTGAGGTGTATCTAGTTTCTCCTCTGTGTGTGGGGCCCGTTCTTTTGAGGCCCCTGGAACATGTTTTTTGTCTGCTGGCAGTTGATTTTTGAATGATCTCCTTTACAAGCCAAACACACATGGGCATTTCTATAGCGTGGCAGTATACATCCCCTGTATCCATTGAAATTGTTACAAATTTCTCTTCCAGAATGAAAAACCCTTTCCCTACCATATGTATCCTGGGAATCATCGATTTTATTTCTGGATGACCTTTGCGTGAGAGAACAAAATCCAGATGTGTGAAAGTTACTGCCGCAAACATTACAGGTGTTAGGCCTTATATTTGTGAATATATTACAGAATAATGTATTGTTCCTTATGGACCAATCAACTGCCATGTTATTGTAGCGTAAATGTGCAGCTGAATCGAGGGAAAAACGCTTATGGTATTCATAAAACCCATTGCCAGGGTATCGAGTAGCCATGTCTACAATGTCTCTCTCATACGTGTCGAGCTCACTCCTACGGTGGGGGAACGCGGAACACATAATGTTCTTGTAGATACCAAACGCTTGGATAAACTCCCCAATAGACAAAGATCTGTTTCGTCGTGGGTCAGGTTTTGTGTGGTAACTGGAAGTTTCATTCTTTTCTTCCCCGTCTGTTGTACCCATTCCCACATAATACGGGATAAGAAGAGAGGATAGGTTGATGTCCATACCTGTTATAATGCTTCTCCTTACTTGTGGTGTCACTGTTTCCACAAACGGCAAAGACTCGGCTGAATAGCCTCTTGGTGTTTGAACATAGCGATTGTTCCTAAGAGCTTGTTCTTCGCTACCCGCTGCAGCCATTGGCAATGCGTTAGTTCTCAGAGCGGAGTAGGCTGTCTCCAGGTTGAAATTAAGACCATTGGCATTGTTTACTTCTTCACTTCTTTGACGTCCGGTTGAAGCGAAAGTAGTAATCCATGTGTTTCCGATTCTCGTTGTTGTTGTCTCATCACGTGCTTCCACTGTTCTCTGGTGTTGACTTGGCCAGTTAGTGTTGTCACATTTTGTTGCAAGGACTGCACTGTCGTAGACAGCCTTGAAACAATGTTTATTAAAGTTCTATTGTTTGTCTCCACAGATGCATCTTGGGATGCCGCACTTCCTAATAAGGCGTCGTGCACGTGGTCGTTGATGGTGGTGTCTGTAGCAGAGGAATTCTGGGATCGCGCACTTCCCAATATGGTGTCAGCGTGGCCCTCGGCGTTTCTCCCCGCATCGGAAATAACATTTTCTCCAGACTCTCGTAAAAGCATGACCAATGCCATCCTCCTCGAATTTTGAGGAATTCTAATCCCTCTTGCGTTAAGTTCTTGTCTTAATCTGATTAAAGTCCAGTTTTCAGGCATTTCCGGATGGTAATGCACGTGTGTCCTTGTCCCCAATCTACGAATTGGTCCCATGATGAAGAATAACAGAGGTTTAAAATTAAAGCAGAATACAAATATAATCCAATTTAGAATCGTCTTAATGATAAATTGAAAGTTACAAACTCTGGAGAAAAACGATGCACTATCAAGACTATGAAGCACAAACTTAAACTAGAGGCTCTCAAGAGCCTGTGTCGCTCACCTGTATTTACTGATGCTTTGGAAATCATGTAAAATAAGGTTAAAATCATAATTTATAGTATTAGATATTAGATATTATAATGATATCTAAGATAATAACAAAAAACTGCAAAATTTTTGTAAAATTACTAACTCAGGGGCAGCAACCCAACAACGGGTCGTTGGATTTGTCTGAAAATTTCAGGGCAGATAAATCTAAATCTGATGAACATTTTTGCCACCTGTCAGATTTGCTCTAAATGCTTTAGTTTCAGAGATATAAACCAAAAACTGCATTTTACCCCTATGTTCTATTTTTAACTAAGTTGGCCATGATGGTTGGAAGGCGGGGTCATCGGACAAATTTTTTAAACTAGATACCCTAATAATGAATATGGCCAATTATGGTTAAATTTGTCTCAGTAGTTTCAGAGAAGAAGATTTTTGTAAAAGATTACAAAAATTTACGAAAAATTGTTAAAAATTGACTATTAAGGGCAATAACTCCTAAAGGGGTCAACTGACAATTTTGGTCATGACAACTTATTTGTAGATCTTACTTTGCTGAACATTATTGCTGTTTACAGTTCATCTCTATCTATAATAATATTCAAGATAATAACCAAAAACTGCAAAATTTCCTTAAAATTACCAATTCAGGGGCAGCAACCCAACAACAGGTTGTCAGATTTGTCTGAAAATTTCAGGGCAGATAGATCTTGACCTGATAATCAGTTTTACCCTATGTCAGATTTACTCTTAATGCTTTGGTTTCAGAGATATAAGCCAAAATCTACATTTTACCCCTATGTTCTATTTTTAGCCATGGCGGCCAGCTTGGTTGGTTGGCGGGGTCATTGGACACATTTTTTTAAACTAGATACCCTAATGATGATTGTGGCCAAGTTTGGTTAAATTTGGCCCAGTGGTTTCAGAGGAGAAGTTTTTGTAAAAAGCTAATGACGACAACGCCGACGGACGACGGACGCCAAGTGATGAGAAAAGCTCACTTGACCCTTCGGGTCAGGTGAGCTAAAAAGTACATTTGTGGCTGATCCTGAATTGTTTAAAAACGTAAATCCGAATTACTGGAAACGAAACACTTATACTTAGTGAACGAATTTTAGTTTAAAATAAACATACGAATTCTGTTTATATATAACTCCAAATAGCAAATAGAATAGAATATTCAAATTAAATCTCAGAGAAACAAAATATGGCTGCTGAAACTGCAACAAGCTTTATAAAATGACCACCTATCCCTTCAATATCTATAATGTGATTGGTCAAATCCTTATCTTATCTCTGTAGACAAAAATAACTTATCAAAGGTCTTGCTAATATTAAACAAATGATGGGACAGGGTAAAAGATGATGAGGACAGAACAAAAATGTATAAACTCCAATTTAATACATTAAATTCCCATCAGTTTTTTTAAATGCTGAAATTCTGCTTTCTGCTTGACTAAACCATGGTTGACTGTGTTCATTTAACCTTTATGGGAACATCTTTACACCTTTTCTACGTTTGTTAATACATCGCGTATCTTATATATTTGGTCAAATTACAAACTCTTTTCTTAAATTTGTCTCGGATTGAATTTTGTCTACATTGTCACCCTGAACATTTGAAAACTGCAATTTTTTACCTAAAAGCAACTCTCAGTTTTGTATGAGTGATGTGTATGAACTCATTTACTTATCCAGGGGAATACTCAACAAACTTTTGTGTAAGAAAATTGTATTAATTCAGGTTACAACTTATATTAACACTATTCCATTATATTTGACCTGTCAAGTGGCGCAAAAGCAGTATATATTTTTTGCCGGAAATGAAATACTGCATTTGTTTAAAAGTTGGTGCACTGCACACATATCAATGATTTTACCAAAGGTATTGGATCCAGTAAACAACACTGACAAACTGATGATGCCCAGTCAACTGGTTCTTCATATTCATAGGTTGCAATACTGGTATCCTGCCCATCCCAAAATAATATTTCTGTTACAGCAATTCCATGTCCATTTGCAGGTTTTACAGAAATCTGCAAGAGATTACAAATACTGAAATTAATCTTCTAGTAGAAATAGTTGGACTGCATTGAGCATGACCTGTTGAAACTGAATAATTCTTTTATTGTTTCATGTTTTTACTGCAAATTAAAGCTGAAATTCAAAAATTTCTTACATGATATGTGCCACCATTTTCAAAGCTAGCAGGTCTGTAATATGCACCAGTAAACATCTGCGGTTTTCTGTGGTCTCTTGCCAGTTTTACAGAAATAACATCATCATATATATCCTTGTCGATATTCTTTGTTAGATACAGCAATGACCATTTCTTGCCACTAGGATCTTTAAGACCAATCTGCTGCAGTTCCTTCCAGTCAGGATCATTCACCATTGAAATGTGTCTTGATGGACAGGCTAAACCGAGAGGATTGGCAAAGTGCAGAAATGAACCTAAACAATGTTACTAGTATGATTAATTGTCATAATAGAAAAGAAAAGCAATGTCATGTATAATTTTTTTTTAAATTTCTGTTAATAATATTAATAGGGGCGAGACTGCTCTTTATTTAAAGTGTATTAAAATAAATAAAAACATTTACTGTTTTTATGAACTCTATTATAAAATTTTGTTAACCTATCTCCAAAACATTAAACAAACAATTGTTGTGAAAATAGACATTGTTGATTTTACAATGTTATTTAAGAACTGAATGCTTCTTTTTGTAATTTAATGAGGTTGTAAAAGCATTCAGACCAAAGCACATTTTGTATGAAGCAAGTAAGTTCTCTTCATACTAAGTTGAACCCCTTTACAACCCTACAAAATAATAATTCTTATAATAACATTTTTATGTTACAATCAATAAATTACGTGTTAAATAAAGCTTTGGATTGTTTTTCATTAAACTATGAGTTAAATAAAGCCTTTGGATTGTTTTTCTAAGCATTGTTTTAATGTTGTCACAGAAAGCATGTGCATTCATGCATAGAAATAAACTTTTACTTCCGAAATGCCTGAACCAATAAAAATTATGGAATCATATGAAACATGTTTGTAATATTTTTATCAAGTATAACCTATATAATTCACACACTGAAGCATAAATTTTACACCAAATTAGAACATCTATAAATAAGAAATTTTGGACAACAGGTCCCATTCAATTTTACCTAAGGAATGAGTGGAGAAAGAAAAAACAAACATGAGATCAGATAGTAAATTTTAAATGGTATTTTTCAGCATAGTGTACATCACTCTAGTTGAATAAAACAGAAGTTTTTACCTGTTATAGTCTTAGTCGAACTAAACCAAACTTGTGGTGTTGAAAAGTCTGGTCCATCCTGCAAGGTACCAGCTGTTGGTTTTGAAGGGTCATATAGAACTGGTGAAGATTTTTGTACGATAGAAAGACCTGCACCATTAGTAACCTTAAACATAACAGTATATGGTATGTTCATCTGAAAAATAAAAACAAGAATGACAAATACATGTGACCAATTAATTATAAAATTGTGAACCAAAACTTGCTAATAAATAAAATTAACCATTTTGTTTTCCTTTTCAACAATAAATAATTCAAATGGAATTAGTTTTGTCACTTTAACAACTCCAGGTGACTTATGTAACAGGGTATAGGTTGCACTTTGTAAATACAGCTGTTTCTCAAACCATGCCTCTTTTGGGGAGATATATAATATTCATAGATATGTTAATTTGTTAACGTACTGGTTCCCTTTGATGATCTCTGTGTTTCATCTCATAGAGACATCACTTGGGAATGTAACCAGTATAGAAAAACATTGTAGCGCCTAAATTTTAATTCTAAGGAGGTCCAAAAATGGAGGTAAGGGTAGTATAGAATTTTAGTATAAGTTTAAACTCTTAGAAGTTCAGGGCATATAAATGTTGAAAATATGCCGCACAGCCCTATATTTTGACCTTTGAATAAAATAGTAGTGCATATAAACTTTCCGTTCTAGGATATTATTTTTCACGAAACTTCATAGTGAAAGTGTCACAGTTTTAGCCGCAAAGGGAGTTCCTATGGGAAATTGCATTGTCTATATTTACAGAATTGCAACCTATATAGGGTTAAAAATTAGAACATACAGAATTTCACAAAATCTTGTTTATCTCAGAGATTTTGAAGAATTTAACTCAAATATGAAGTTTTATAAATATTTCATGAAGATTGAGAAAATCCTGGGCCTTAACTATGATGAGTCAGCATAAATTCATAGTTTACAGTATGCATTGTTTACTTAAAGCCCTGAATTAAAAATAAATTTATAATATATGCCTATTTGTAATTTAAATTGTTTAGAAGTGCTTATATTTACCCTTCGCAGTCATTGCAACTCATTGATCCTTCTTAAATATTTTTAGTGGGGTGTTTTTGTCCTGTCGATAACCCAAAAGTAAGCCGTAACACCTAAATGTGCTTTTTTGTGACCGCGGCATAAAAAGTACAAGCTAGATTTACCAAAAGACCTCAGCAAACTTACAATAGTGTGTTCTATCCAAAATATGTACTAAATATTCCACATTGCTAGAAACAGGGAAACAATTTAGGAAATGTGAGGCCCCAGGGGCAAAAAAACAGAGAAAAAATGCCTCCCCCTGGGTCATAAAACAGATAATTTAACTTCTAAATGCTATGATTTTATTATTTCAAAGGTCTTTTGTAAAGAAAACAATAACTGTGGTAGGAAGTTATGCAAAAATCAGATGTAAGCAGTCATTTCTATCAAACTTTTAGTGAATTTATGCACCAGACTGATATCTTCATAAATACAACTTTTGCAAATATGGCTTTGTTTAAACACTTCTAGTTCATATATTAACTAACTTATGTTAGATATATGGTTAGGGATGATACTGTTGTAACATGAATTCTAAACTGACCATTTGAGGCAGAAATTGTGAACTTTCATTGACAAATAGGCATACAGTAAGATGTGGACTGGAGACACAGGCAGGATTGGGTACTTTGTTTAATCTTGAATGTTGGAATGATTAACTACTTAGCATTACATTTATAGTATTTTAAAATGCTTTCAAATTTGTTATCAGAATAGTTTCAAACAGGTTTTAGACAGTTCATGTCAGAAAACATGCACTTAGGGTAAGCTGGTAATAATTAAAGTCTTGTTTTCAAATTCTTTAAAAAATTGAAACAGGGGTAGGGGTATAAAATGTACTGTAAAAGGAAACTTAGAGTATATGCAGTGATTTCTTTAAGGCTATAATTCTGATAAATAAGTATTGTTGTGAGAAAAAGTGTTTTTAGAGAGTTCTCTATTTGAATAAATGTTTGTATAGGTTGCACTTTGTAAATACAGCTGTTTCTCAAACCATGCCTCTTTTGGGGAGATATATAATATTCATAGATATGTTAATTTGTTAACGTACTGGTTCCCTTTGATGATCTCTGTGTTTCATCTCATAGAGACATCACTTGGGAATGTAACCAGTATAGAAAAACATGGTAGCGCCTAAATTTTAATTCTTAGGAGGTCCAAAAATGGAGGTAAGGGTAGTATAGAATTTTAGTATAAGTTTAAACTCTTAGAAGTTCAGGGCATATAAATGTTGAAAATATGCCGCACAGCCCTATATTTTGACCTTTGAATAAAATAGTAGTGCATATAAACTTTCCGTTCTAGGATATTATTTTTCACGAAACTTCATAGTAAAAGTGTCACAGTTTTAGCCGCAAAGGGAGTTCCTATGGGAAATTGCATTGTCCATATTTACAGAATTGCAACCTAAAGGGAAGTAATAAATTTCACCTGCAGTATTTCTGACCTTGTTAAAAAAAGAACAAGTAAGTTTCTAAAAGAATAGAAAATTCTGTAATAAATGTGAAGCTATCTTTTTAGCTAAATAATAACACTGGAGATACAACTGTTGTTGAAAAACAAAACTAGAGGCTCAAAGGAGCTTGTTAGTTATTTGCTAACCTAGTATACTACTCATGATACTTATTTACTCTGAGTAAATATAGATGAATCAGACTAAATGTTCCAGAGGAGAACAAGATTTACTAGTGAATGACTGTTGACTGATATATTGTACTCAACGTTTTACTCTATGCTGCCAATAAAAAAAAAAGGTGAAGAAAAAAATGTTCATTTTTTGGATGGTTTTAGTTTTTTAAAACTGCTCTTTAATTAACCTTTCTACTTTTCTTTTTATGTATACATTGTATATGGTGAATTGTTATAACATACCGTTAGATTTAAATTGACAAAGCTGTATTCTGTGTAATTGTTTGTTAATTCTATCCAATCTACCAACAGTTCTTCCTCTCCATCAGAATAACAAGAAGTATTCCTCCACAGTGAAACTTCATATGTTGCTATCTCAGATTCTGGATCACTATAGTTTGTCCACTGAACTTGAACAGTTGTATTGTCAGAGGTGTAGGCCAGGTCCTGTCAGAAAATAAGATTAAATTTATTCTATCAATGCCATTAAGTCATGTCATAGAAATAAAGTATATAAACAAAGTTTTGTGTGGTATTGAATTTCCTAAACAGTGACAAAAAGGTAAAAAGCTTTTTCTCTATTTTTTGTGCTATTTTCACATTTCTTGATCGGTGTGAGAAAAATATTTCTCCTCACTAGTGAAATATCTGTTCTCGGCAAATGATAGGTCGAAATTTAATTATGACGTCAGATTTTCTTGGTTTCTTCTGAATTTCCTATTGTGACGTCATGAAAAAAGGCGACCATGTCTGATGACTTCACATATACAGAACACAACTTTTTGCAAATCTTTGAAAACGAAGGATAAAAATCATTAGAGAAACAGATTCAACCACTATAACTCGCGTATTACGATATTTCTCCACTCTCAACAGTTAAATTTTAATTATTTAAAAAACTCGGCAAGCCTCGCGCTTTAAATATTAAAATTTAACTGTCTCGAGTGGAGAAATATCATAACACACTTGTTACAGTGGTGAAATCTATATGTCAAGTGTAGCATGATACTATTAGAGCAAGTCAACAATGAGGGTCTAGATGGGGGTCCTTCATTTCTGTATTCTTCAAGTTTTTAGGCTATCATTCTTTATTCTTTTTGCATGTTATTCTCTATTGTTTATATTTCAACACTCCATTATTCACTGTTCTTTTTTTTTTGTCAATTTTTCTTTTTTCTGCACTTTGTGCCCATAATTCTCTATTCAGATCCATCCAGATCCTCAACAATTGCTTCTCTAGAGAGTTATCTGAACAGCAATACAAATTATACTAGCATACTCTTGTTTTGTAGTGACAAAAAGCGATTTATAAAAAAAAAAAAACATTTCAGTTCAAGTATTTTTCATAACTTTGGTTAACACATCCTATTTTCTAAACAATTTTAAAAAACCAATAAGTCTTTCCTCTATGAATTCAAAGCAAATGGCTGCAACAAAATCAGACATAGAATAAACAAGTAAAAATATATTATCAAAGTTGTTAAATTCTACATATCCAAGACTGTTCAACATCCTAGTACAATAAACCTATAAATATAATTTGGCACATAGTTTTCGTAACATACTGGTAGCACATGTTCTTCATCAAATAACAATACACCAGAACTTTTACCTGAAGCATATATGCATGTAAAGGTAATAAGAATTGAAAGATGGATAAATGGATGAACATTGGAGGTGCAAAAGGCAACCTCTTAACCATGCATATTCAGGATGAGACCATGTGAATATGATACTAATTGGAATCTAGCTTAATTTTTTTGAGCCAATGTGTTGTTGAATAAAATGGATGTTTACATCTTTCTGATATTGAATATGCCAAGTCTGTTAAAACACAAAAGCAAACCCCTAATATGATCCCCTGATAGACAATAAAGTGATTTGCAATTTGATAGGGCAGTTCAATATATCAACTAGACTATAATATTCTTTCTCTTACCTCCTATACATTTTTAGGAATATGGTTGGTTAAAAGCAACTGCGTGGAGACCATGTATATTTCATATGGGGTTAGTAGGCGGGGCTTATTTCAATACACGGTTAGTAAGCAGGGCTTATTTCAATACACGGTTAGTAGTGGTGTTACGTCCATTTAATAAACAACACAGTGTTGAGGAAAAATCTGAAAGGTTTCAATAGACGAAGAAATTGAGGATGAACGATTAAAATAAATTAAAAAAACACATTTAAAGCTAACAATTTGTTATCACAGTTGGCATTTGTTTTTGTAGACCAATGGAAGTAGGTTCTTGATACTAACGGTATTGAAGACTTGATCACTTTGATAGGCAACTAGTCTAAATACCACATGTTAAGATAGTCGGTAAGATTAAATTTTTACACAGTGTGCTAGTGACCTAATACAATATATATGGGGTCAGTAAATTCCATAAGGGGCTCTCACCCAATGTTGAATTTATTGACCCCATATATATCGTATTAGGTCACTAGCACACTATGTAACTAATAATATTTTAGCATCTTTGATAGAAAAGACACACTAAACAAAACAAACCATGTGATAAAATGGACCAGCAGTCATAGCTCCATACATTGGAGATGTTGTATCAACTGTGAATTTGTGGTGAATCATTCCACAATCTCCTGATTCATCTGTAGCTGTAGAATAGATAAAAAAAGATAAGATTAGATAAGATAAGCATGGCTTGGATGTCTTTTTGAAGCATATAAACAACAAGTAGAACTGTGAGCTAATGCTCACTAATGATTCCCCCTGCTTCAAGTATTCGTTTAATCTGAGTACTCTACTGAGTAGTATTTCAAAAACCCATTACACAGTAAATTATGTTTCTGTCAGATTTTCTCTATCTATAGGGGTTTTCAAGATAAAAGACAAAAATTGCATTTTATCCCTATTTTCTAAATTTAGCCATGTCGGCCATGTTTGGCAACATTTGTTATACTAGATACCCCATTGATGATTATGTCCAAGTTTGGTTAAATTTGACCAAGTAGTTTTGGAGCAGATGAACTTTGTAAAAGTTTACGGATGAGGGACTACGACGACAAAGGGACAATGACAGACAACGAACACCATGTGATACCCAGGGGCGTGGAAATGCTATGCCTGACTCGTACATTTGACCGACCAGACAAGCAATGTTTTGTGTCTTTGTTGTCAGTGGACAAGTAAAAAAATGTTGCTTGACAAGGTTAATTTATATAACCATATAGAGAAGTCCTCAAAACTTATTCAACAAAGCAGACAAAATATCAAATAACAAGACGAAAGCAACATGTTTAAGTAAAACAACATCAATGATTAAGAAATAGATCGATAATAAAAACAACAACAAAAAAGTATGCGGACCAAGGTTTCATTAATATTCTGCCATATTTTCCCCCATTGATCCGGGATTGTCGATCAGGTTATAGCAGCAATACACCAGAAATGGTCATTATTAATTTCGAGCTCTGATTTCTCAAGAATGACAACTAAATGACTGGTCGAGTTGGATAAGCATCTTTAGATAGGTCATCGATCGGAACTTGACCAATATAAAAGAGGCGCCTCATAAAAAATAAAACTTGGTTTTGGCTAGAAACGGAAATCAGAAGCGGCAAGGACAAATAGAGGGTTTTAAAGTTCTACAAAGTTTTGAATTCGCTTAGTTATCTTAAAAAATCTCAAATTTATAATTAGCCTATCAACAGCTTTTTGGGGGGGAAAGGGGGAGGGAGGGGGTGCAAACAACAATTCAACAAATCATCAATTATTTGGTCTCATCTCTTCATTTACTAAGTTTAAAACTTCGCACAGACTGACAGTGAAGAAAATATAAGTCATGATATAATTTCCCAGTTTCATGTAAGCTAGCATCGAAAAAACATTGCAAAAATTGGCCTCTAAATTCTTTAGTTTAAAGTTGTTTTTTTTTGGCTGGTTTCTTTCTCATTGGTGTATTCTCTACTTATCTTTTTATCATTCTAATATACAAACAACCACAATGAATACCATTTTTTTTGTGTTTCAAAACTGTTTTAGAAACATACATGTTTACAGTAAAATACATCTTCTTCATTCCAAAATTCACTAAGAAATCAGGGCAAGTAACTTTTCACCTGGATAAGTAAATTTTACAATTTCACTTGCCCGGGGACAAGTGATTACAACTTATATTTCCACACGCCTGATACCAAAAGCTAACACTGGCACTTTGGGCCAGGTGGGGCAATATGCGCAATTGTTTCTCCATAGGCGGTAATGGTAACGTTTTTTTCTGTAGCTCAGTCCATATCGTAAACTTGGATATGTATAATGGCTCGTTTCCAAGCTGAGACATTTTCACATATGTGGTTAAATTTTCGGGGTACGAAGTGTGATTCATTTTTCCGTAAATTAGCATACCCCGAAAATATTTTCGTGATGCGGCTCTTCATGATAAAAAGTCCTTTTTTCACACAATAATTTCTTTGAAAATTTAATACTTTGAATACATATAATAACTCCATAGTTTTTACACATTTATTCTATGGTCCTATACTTTCCGGATCAACACAAATGGTTAAGCTCAGTCACTTGTTAAAAATAGAAACATGTCCAATATCACTACACAGAGATTTTTTGTTAACACACAACTTTTGTGTTCCTCAATTGGAGGCGCATTAGGGATATTGACCCAATATATATTGGGGCAATATGCGCAATTGTTTCTCCATAGGCGGTAATGGTAATGTCTTCTTCTGTAGCTCAGTCCATATCGTAAACTTGGATATGTATGATGGCTCGTTTCGAAGCTGAGACATTTTCACATATGTGGTTAAATTTTCGGGGTACGAAGTGTGAATCATTTTTCCCTAAATTAGCATACCCCGAAAATATTTTCGTGATGCGGCTCTTCATGGTAAAAAGTCCCTTTTTTCACACAATAATTTCTTTGAAAATTTAATACTTTGAATACATATAATAACTCCGTAGTTTTTACACATTTATTCTATGGTCCTATACTTTCCAGATCAACACAAATGGTTAAGCTCAGTCACTTGTTAAAAATAGAAACATGTCCAATATCACTACACAGAGATTTTTTGTTTACACACAACTTTTGTGTTCCTCAATTAGAGGCGCATTAGGTATATTGACCCAGGTGAGCTAAAATTGTGATGAAAAATTAATAAATGGCCTAGCTGTTTGTGTTAGTATAATATATAAGTATTTAGTGAAAAGAAAGTTGATGAACAATGAAACTGAAACCATCTCACACAGTATAGTATGCTGAACAGCAACGACATAACAAATTTCAGGAAGCTCTGATTTGTAATTTCTGAGAAAAATGCGACAGAATTTCATTAAACAGACATGCAGGGGTGAAATGTGCCTCGTCAGTAAAATATAAAACCCAAACCATATATATAGTCTTTCCAATCAAGTTTTCTTTGCAAAACAGATGTTTGCTTATACCCATAACCCAGGCATAGTATGTTCCTCCTGACTGTAACTGTAGTGATGTCAGAGTAAAGAATGTATTATACTAGTTCCTACCTATAACCCAGGCATTGTATGTTCCTCCTGACTGTAACTGTAGTGATGTCAGAGTAAAGAATGTATTATACTTGTTCTTACCTATAACCCAGGCATAGTATGTTCCTCCTGACTGTAACTGTAATGATGTCAGAGTAAAGAATGTATTATACTAGTTCTTACCTATAACCCAGGCATAGTATGTTCCTCCTGACTGTAACTGTAGTGATGTCAGAGTAAAGAATGTATTATACTAGTTCCTACCTATAACCCAGGCATAGTATGTTCCTCCTGACTGTAACTGTAGTGATGTCAGAGTAAAGAATGTATTATACTAGTTCCTACCTATAACCCAGGCATAGTATGTTCCTCCTGACTGTAACTGTAGTGATGTCAGAGTAAAGAATGTATTATACTAGTTCCTACCTATAACCCAGGCATAGTATGGTCCTCCTGACTGTAACTGTAGTGATGTCAGAGTAAAGAATGTATTATACTAGTTCCTACCTATAACCCAGGCATAGTATGTTCCTCCTGACTGTAACTGTAGTGATGTCAGAGTAAAGAATGTATTATACTAGTTCCTACCTATAACCCAGGCATAGTATGTTCCTCCTGACTGTAACTGTAGTGATGTCAGAGTAAAGAATGTATTATACTAGTTCCTACCTATAACCCAGGCATAGTATGTTCCTCCGGACTGTAACTGTAGTGATGTCAGAGTAAAGAATGTATTATACTAGTTCCTACCTATAACCCAGGCATAGTATGTTCCTCCTGACTGTAACTGTAGTGATGTCAGAGTAAAGAATGTATTATACAAGTTCTTACCTATAACCCAGGCATAGTATGTTCCTCCTGACTGTAACTGTAGTGATGTCAGAGTAAAGAATGTATTATACAAGTTCTTACCTATAACCCAGGCATAGTATGTTCCTCCTGACTGTAACTGTAGTGATGTCAGAGTAAAGAATGTATTATACTAGTTCCTACCTATAACCCAGGCATAGTATGTTCCTCCTGACTGTAACTGTAGTGATGTCAGAGTAAAGAATGTATTATACAAGTTCTTACCTATAACCCAGGCATAGTATGTTCCTCCTGACTGTAACTGTAGTGATGTCAGAGTAAAGAATGTATTATACAAGTTCTTACCTATAACCCAGGCATAGTATGTTCCTCCTGACTGTAACTGTAGTGATGTCAGAGTAAAGAATGTATTATACTAGTTCCTACCTATAACCCAGGCATAGTATGTTCCTCCTGACTGTAACTGTAATGATGTCAGAGTAAAGAATGTATTATACTAGTTCCTACCTATAACCCAGGCATAGTATGTTCCTCCTGACTGTAACTGTAGTGATGTCAGAGTAAAGAATGTATTATACTAGTTCTTACCTATAACCCAGGCATAGTATGTTCCTCCTGACTGTAACTGTAGTGATGTCAGAGTAAAGAATGTATTATACTTGTTCTTACCTATAACCCAGGCATAGTATGTTCCTCCTGACTGTACGGTAGTGATGTCAGAGTAAAGAATGTATTATACAAGTTCTTACCTATAACCCAGGCATAGTATGATCCTCCTGACTGTAACTGTAGTGATGTCAGAGTAAAGAATGTATTATACTTGTTCTTACCTATAACCCAGGCATAGTATGATCCTCCTGACTGTAACTGTAGTGATGTCAGAGTAAAGAATGTATTATACTTGTTCTTACCTATAACCCAGGCATAGTATGTTCCTCCTGACTGTAACTGTAGTGATGTCAGAGTAAAGAATGTATTCAAGTTAATGTTTATCAAAGTTGCTATGTTAAATGTTTTTTCCACTGCTTGATTTCCCTTACGTCCATCAATCTAAAATGTAATAGAAAAGAACATTGGTTCAATAAATATTATTGATTTCTCATTTATCTGAATTTAAAACATTAAAATTTGAATAAAAGTCTTCCTCATGTTGGTATGACTCTGCTCAGCTCTTCACCAAATTGCATATCATGGCTTAATTTGTGACATCAGGTATGTTGACGGGCTTAAGCAAATTTAACCTGTTTTTATCACTTTGTTAAAATGTTTGACAGGACATTGAAAAGTTTGATCTAAACAAATTAAGTCCTCTTCTGGTTTGCTGGTCAAACAAAAAAGGAAAACCAGAGTGCACACACTGAAATGTCTCGCCTGCTTTACTGATCATTAATTTTATGTTGAAAGTCTTAAAGTTTTTACTAAAAGCATTACAGAAACTTCACATTTTCAAAGATCTATGACAATGAGGTCAAGGTCAGATAAATCGTTTCAGACAGACATATACACCATACTATTTTTTTTTACACCAAATATAGTTGACCTATTGCATATGCTAATTGAAAAACAGAACAAAACACAAAACTTAACATTGACCAATGAACCATGAAAATGAGGTCAAGGTCAGATGATACCTGCCAGACAGACATGTGCACCTTACAATTATTCCATACACCAAATATTGCTGACCTATTGCTTATAGTACTTGAAAAACAGACAAAAACTTAACATTGACCAATGAACCATGAAAATGAGTCAAGGTCAGATGATACCTGCCAGACAGACATGTACACCTTACAATCATTCAATACACCAAATATAGTTGATCTATTGCTTATAGTACTTGAAAAACAGTCAAAACACAAAAACTTAACATTGACCAATGAACCATGAAAATGAGGTCAAGGTCAGACGATACCTGCCAGACAGACTTGTACACCTTACAATCATTGCATACACTGAATATAGTTGATCTATTGCTTATAGTATTTGAAAAAACGGACATAATCATGTAACTTTAACCCTGATCACTGATCCATGAAATGAGGTTGAGGTCAGATGAACTCTGTCTGACAGACATGTAGACATTGCAAGGAACCCATATACCAAATATAGTTATCTTTTTACTCATAATAATTGAGAAATTCACATGACAAAAAAAAATCAATTTTTTTTTCAAGCAGTCGCTGAACCATGAAAATGAGGTTAGAGACAATGGATTGACCAAAACTTCATAACATAGGTATCTGCATACAAGATATGAAGCATCGGTCTTCTTCCTTCTGAAGTATAAAGCATCATACAAATAGTTTACACAGTTGCCGTCGCCGGATAGTAATACCTATGTCTCGCAGGCGAGACAAAAACCCTGATTTTTCTGTCATAAAAAAAACCAAACCAAATAAACACTATGTACACTGTCAAATAACATCATACTGATTTTTTAAAAGTGTACTAACTCATTAAAATGCTACATACTGTAAATTCCATCTGATATTTTACAGTTTAAATATTAAGAAAAAGAAGAAATTGTATTCTACTTGGTCAGAAATTGAAGAAGTAATGTGTGACACAATCACAAATAATTGACACTGCTAATGCTGATTCCAGCATGTCAAAGTCTTGCTTTTGCAACTATGTTTCCATGCCATACAAAAATTACACATTTCATAATAAGTGACGAGATTAAGGATTGATCGATTGATTGTTGGTTGCTTAGCGTCCAGTGTCGAGATTAAGGAAGAAAGATTATTGTGCCATCTACCATACGACATACATTAAGAATCTTAATATCAAATGATGCTTACATATTGTTTACAGTCAGTTCCAACAGCTTGAGTGTGATTGGACAGTCCTATATAATACATCATTATATCCAACTTAGATGTAAAACCTTCAAATTGTATATCTACATACATATCGGTATTAATAAAGTCGCCAATAATAATGGATCCACCTACAACAGTAAAAGAATATTATAAACCAATAAACAGTGTAAACATGCTATAATTCATTGTTCTCTGAAACTGGACTTGTAATAAGCTTCCAAGTTCTTAGTTTGTATATTCACATTCAAATAAATATATACTTCTAAATGTTAGAATGTCATGACATCATAAGTAAATATTATTTTAAATGACCTTTTGTTGGTGGGTTGCTGTCTAATAATTCACTTCCTTTCTGATATCTATGTACTTCATAATTACATGCATGAGATCAAAAGCAAAATTTTAGTATCAAAGAGATCTGCCGCATTACTGAGCAAGGAATATAAATCAGCTTACAAAAAATCATTCCCAAGATGTTTTTATTTTAGTGAATTTTCAAAAAGGTCATCTGCAGAAAAAAGTTATGTTGTTGTAGTTTTGTATATTAAAAATCAAACAGTATCCAAATGTAGATCTCCCCTACCAAACTCCTAAAAATTTTGGTAATTCATTAGAATTTCTCAACAACAGCCATGGTTAATCTGAGAAATGATCACCAATAAAGTTAAAAAAGCAGATATTCTATGGACTACTGTAAAGTTTTAATGAAATTGACCAGATTGTTAAAGATGAGAAAATAACTTGAGAAGTTTAAAGCCATGGTCCTCATAATGGCAACTGAAACTAAGTAATGGACATAGCTGAAACGGTCCTTTGAAAATTACCTTCAACACCACCATCATATCCAACATGGAAACCATTAGATGTAACCATGGCAACAGAATAAGATACACTGTAGGCTCTAACAGTAAAGTAATACATTGCTAATCCAGACTCAAGGTTGAGATCATAGAATGTGACTGATTTGTTCCCAGCAACATTTGTAAATGGTACAACATTATCCCTGGTTTTAGGAAATCTTCTGTCTGTTCCAACAGCTACTTCATAAAATAAGACCTGTTGGGTTTTATGTTGTTCATCAGTTTTTGAATCATCTACCTGATATCCTGGGTTTCCTAAAAAAAATATTGTTAAAATAACTACACTTGATGAAAAAAAATCTCACTATTATAAATAGCTTTCACAAGGTGTCAATATGCTTTGGTTCAATAAGTCATTAATGGTCAAAGTCTTATTATTCCTATGAAAATCATCAAATATAAATGGTGATATATATAGTTAGGTAAACTACTCATAATGACAAATGACAAACAATCCTACCATTGTACCAAGTATACAGGCAATATTAGGGAAAATATATCAGAGGAGTATTGTGTTAGACTAATATGTCCTCCTTTGATGTACAAAAACCTTGATATTGCCATGAATGCAATATTTTCTTTTTCAAGGCTTCATAATACACCAGTACAAGGTTTGAACAGTAGGAAGGTATGGCTTCATTTATATGTATATAGAACAAACATCTGAAAAGTAATTAACACCTCTCTCAAAAGGCAAACTCCTCATACAAAACATTTTCCCTATTTTTTCTAATCTGCCTTACTTAAAACAACATTTCAGTTCATCACAATAATAGATTTTAATGAAAACCTACCTTCAACATCTACCTGAAATGAGGCAGAAGCTGGCAAACCAAAACCATCCCAGTTTGCAGTGACCTTACGTTGAGAAGGAAGTATATTCAAATCAAATCCAGTTATGTATCCATCAAAAACTTTGCCTGGAAGCAGAGGATCTTCTTCTATAGTTACTCCATTACTTCTTATGATGTAGGTATAATTCAAAGCATTTGTAACTCTTAACAAGGAATAATACAGTTCTCTGTCTTTCATATGGAGTCCATCGAGCATTCCATTTTCTGAAACTGAAAATATGAAATTCTGAATAATATATTTCTATTTTCCCACAACTCTTACCATTGTTATTGTAACTGATAAAAAAATTATCACTATTTGATGTTTCTCAAAGAAGATGGAGTGCAAGTTCATCAATCATTACCATGATCGTTTTTCAAAACTCATGTTTTTAACTGGCATCTTTTCCTCCTCTGAATACAAACCCATTGACATTCTAAAAATGCTGCTACATTTCATTCAATAGTATTCTATTTATATTCCAAAAAGAAAACCAATAACAAAAATGAACCTAAAATGATAACTGTAAATATGTAATCACCATGCATGTCTAGCCATTCTGAGATAACTTTTCCATCCAGCCTTTGTATCTGCCATTCATTTCTCACTGATGGACAAGGGTCACCTGACATATCCCATGATGCTCTAAGTGTGTCAAAACTCTTCTGGAAATCTCTGTAATCATGTTAATATTGTTAATATATTATGAAGGTACTGACCATTCATCTTTTGAGGCTGGGGATGGATTTTATTAAACATTTTCTATTCAAAATTTCTTTCAGAAGTGAAGTGATTATTGTACTTTCAAGATGACTGCTATCACAAACCATATAAAGGCAAGTTTGCATTTTAAGAAATTACAACAGATCACAAGAACTGTTTAAGTTTAAACTAAAATCTTACACATCAACATCAGAGTTTTCCAGTACATCACTGATTGCAATATGTGACAATGGCTGAAGTCCTTGACTCAAGTAGGAGATATAAACTCCATTGGAAGTAGCCACACTTGAAACTCCAGCTCCATTTGTTCCTCTGATAGATACATAAACCTGGAATAAATATACCAATTAAACACACAAAAATATTTTGACACTCAGATGGAAACACAGACAGTCTTATAGATAATACTGTTAAACCAATATTCCCCCTTCAGAATGGGGGTATAATACACCATATAAGTTACAATGACCAAGTTTGCTTTGAAAAAAACTATGTTCAAAGGGACATTACTCATAAAAAACCCAGTTGGCTGAAACATCTAACAAAACATCATATTGAATAGACATTTTTGGTTCTCAAAAGTTTTAAAGGGAAGAATTCAAGATTAACAACCGGTAAACACATTTTGTCTGTGGGGATGATTGCATTTGGTTTGCAAGTCTAAAAAGGTTACAAATAAATTTGCAAGGACAAAGCCCTTTCTTTATCAGTGAGTCAAATGGACAGAGATGGACATTTCTATATATTCTCCAAAGATTTGTGAACAAAGACAACTTATTTCATTATTACAAAACATAAATAGTAAAACCATATACCAGTCCTACAGTACTTCAATTTTATATTGTAATGAAAAAAAAATGAAATACAATATCCTAGTAACCTTTCTATATCCCATCAAATTCAGCCCAGATACTGTATAATGTCTAGCATCCTCAGGTATATCAAAGAAAGACTTAATCTGTCCTCCACCTGGTGTTGTTCCTACTGCTATCTGGTACCTGTTATATTGTAAAATAAAAAATCAAATTACTGATATTGGTACATGCTATTGTTATGCAGTCCAAGAAAAACTAACAAAACTGAAGCATGTATCAACATAAAACTCAATAAGCAAGAACTTTTTACCTAAATTCTCTTGGAGAGCTATGAAAATAAAGGTAAGATCAAGTATTAAAAGGGAAAAGCTTACTTCAATTTTTATAAAATATGACTATAAATACTAGAGTTGGTATCAAAATTTGAACTGAAGTTTGGATTTGAAAAAGCATTTATCTGATCAAATCAAGAAATATTTTAGTTTTTAAACTAGAATATGAGAAATAAAGCATATACAATATTATTTATATTAACAGATATGTTTACGGTGAATAAAACAGAGCTTATCTAGGTGGAGTGGGCTAAAGTCCCACTCCTAACATTGCCTTGGTGCCCCCTTAAAAATCTGCATCTGTTAATCATTAATTATTGTTTTCCTTTTTTACAGTGAAATTGAAAATGGAGGGACTAATTGGTGGTGAATATCACAAATAACTTCTGTATATACTTCTTATACCAACCCAACAATTTCTGATTCATCATCAGTAAACAGCTGCCACGTCGCTGATACAGAAGTAAGGGAATCTGAGCAAACAGCATCTAATGCATCACATTCTGTAGTAGAAAGATTATCAGTTATAAGAATATCAATTATAGTCAGTATATAAAAGGATGAAAGGCAGGGTTCTTTAATAATTGAATAAATCCTGAGTTCACATATAATATAAAGTGTTCTGCAATTCATTTTTTTACTCAAATTTTACACATCTTTAACTACAATACTGTGGATTCAGTTATTTTCGTGGGTACCAATTTTTGTGGATTGAGGAAAACTTGCATTTTCGTGGATATTTGATTTTGTGGTTTTGCCAAAGTCTGCATACATTCCAATAGAAAATTTGTAATTCGTTGAACATTTCAATTCCTGGTTCCCCTGTAACCACAAAAATTGGTATCCAACAAATAATAATGACTTCGCAGTATCCAAATTCTCGCAAAACAGGCAAACAAATCATGATGTCTTACAAAAAGTAATTCAAATCCAATATTTACAAAATTCATAAATTAGGTCTATAAATAATGACTAGGAGGGGAATGATACAGTGGATGCACAATTTAAATTTTGTAATTATGGTGTAAGTTGTAGATAAACTACCCTGATCTCTAAATTAAAACATTTTTATAAAGATTACCTGATTTTAAAGAAACTTTAGAAAAAACTAGCAAATTAACAATCAATTATCAGCTAGCAACATATAAAAATTCAGAATTTTCACTTCAAGGAATTGGGCCTTCTTTTACTTTAGGAGTCCCTGTACTTTAAGGTAAGTGTCATTTATGGTTATGTTTAGGTCAGGGGTTGTTCTAGGTTAAGGGAAGGTTTAGGACAAGGGCTAGTGTTAGGGTTAGGTATGGATTATGACCCTAAAGTAAGAGAACGCCAGGAACTGAACGAAATAGTGACCTTCATCTGTAGTGCAGATTTTAGCATTCATTGCCACAGTTTCCATGTTGTCTTTGACATTGATTCTGTAGACTGTATGTAGGTCCACCACTCTCCCATGTTTAGGTGGTGTTGTATCAATGGAGATGGGTCCTGAGAAAGCAAATGTTTCCATATCCACTGAATTGATTGCTGTTACTGTGACATAGTAGGATTTACCATGGTCTAAACGATTATTCACTCCTATTAAAACAAGATAAAATATCAAGATACAATGCGAAATTGTTTTAATAATCTATAAATTGTATTATATTTTCTTTCTGTAACAATTTATGAGGTAAATATGTATTTTATTGACTTTGGATAAGGTAGAGTTCACAGAATTACAGAACACTAAAAAACATTTTCATAATATCCAGAAAGATGTTGATAAATCATTAACTATTATAAAGTGATCAACTTAAAATTGAAGATGTAAAAAAAGTACTTGTCAACAAAGACGAAAAAAAGCCAGTAGATTTGAGAACATGATAAGAAATCTTCATAAACAAAAATTCTTCACCAAGGAATAACACATATTTTTTTTTAACAGCATTCCACAATTTAGCTTCACAAAGTATTAAATGATTCAAGTTTTAAAGAAATTTTAAAATATCATATATGTATTGCAAAAATACAATAAAATACCTTTTATGCTATAAAAAGAAACAAATCCGCTGAGAGTTTCTTCAAATATATCAGAGGAGCCTTGTTCTGATCCAAGTGTAATAATAAACTTCTGAATGGGGCTCTCTTCATCTAGAAATCCTGACCATGAACATAGTATTGGGGTTTCCACCTGAAATTCAAGAAGTGCATATAACATATTCTATATATAAGGATTTGAGTTGATGTTCATGAGACAAAACATTCCTGGGACACCAGGAAACAATTAATATATCAAAAGGACAGTTGTTTTACTGCTGTTCTTCATCTTGATATTGCTGAAAGGTTTTCAATTATGATAAAAAACAAAAAATGACACCTTAATCACATCTTGCATGATTATACTTCAATGTCTGATGTTCACACTACTTATTCTAAGCTTACCCCAATATATTCTGGACAAGTCACATATCCTGTTCCTGGTTTACTGGTATCAATGATAACTGAACCAAATGTAGTAAGACCAATCATACCAGCTTTGTCTTCTGCCCAGATACTGATTATATTTGGTTTGCCTACAATAAAAAAGGGAATGTTTAATTCATGAATAAAAAAGTAAAAGAGAACTGAAATGTATTTCTGGTCAACCTGAAAAATCAAAATAGACATTTTCAATTTGGTTATTTATTTGCAGTTTTTTTAAACTACTGAATAATGTTGTTAGATAGTCAATTAAAAATGAGCATCCACCAGAATAAATATCTTTTTATGTTTGTTCTAGCTGTTCATATCATATACCTTTAAAATTAGCAAACAATTAAATAAGACTGAAAATTCATTATAATTTGCTTGAAAATTCCATTGCTTAAAAAACATTTCTGCTTTTTCAGGATAGATTAAATTTTAAAAATACACGAGATACTTATTGAGTTATCTATGAATTCCCAAAATGAAATAACTTCCACACCAATGTTCAAAGCACAAGGAGATAATTTATCTGGATCTTACATTTGATTAATGAAATGTGAAAACAAATGAATGGGTACATTAATTTTGCTCTTTTTTTTTTTTTGCATCTTCAAGCTTTTTGATTGATCAAAATAATCAACTTAAACAAGAATGTGTCCATAGTACACGGATGCCCCACTCGCACTATCATTTTCTATGTTCAGTGGACCGTGAAATTGGGGTCAAAACTCTAATCTGGCATTAAATTAGAAAGATCATATCATAGGGAACATGTGTACTAAGTTTCAAATTGATTGGACTTCAACTTGATCAAAAACTACCTTGACCAAAAACTTCAACCTGAAGCGGGACAGACAGATGGACGGACGGACGGACAGACGGACGAACAAACAAACACACAGACCAGAAAACATAATGCCCCTCCTACTATCGTAGGTGGGCCATAAAAATCTCAAAGAATGATTTTCTCTAATTTTACATATATTAATTGAATACAGAACATAATGTTTTTCATAATAAAAAGAATAAATTTCATTATTTTTTTTTATGAAAATTTTGCATGGTTGTACATTTAGCTTTCTTTTAAGAAAAAAATCACATATACATTATAAACTATACCTGTAATATCAGGTGTGATACTGCCAACCTCCAGGTGACTACTTTGTGTAGAGGATATATTTACTTTAGTTCTAGGTGATATGTCCTCTGCGTATGGATATGTGCCAACAGAATACCACACCCTTGTTACTTCACTGTCTGTATCATTATAGTGCCACATTGCAGACAGAGAGTCAGTTGTACTTTTATACATCGATGAACTTGAACCAATCTCACCACTGGCTGCACTTTTATCAGAAAGTCTGTGTAAAAAGAGTAATAGAAAGTATCAGTGTATCTACTGGTCCTCTAGATGTTTATCTTATATAAATTGGCTTGGTCAGTTGTCGTTACATTGATATTTAACCCTCATTTCCTTTTATTAAGGATGTACTTAGGTGAGATTTAGGAATTTATGTCAGATGTTCTGACTCCTTGCTTTTTTTCCTATGATACAGGGTAAAATATTTTGGCCCATAACACTCATTTTTCTTTTCATGTAAGACATCAATAGCTCATAAAAGGTCATTTACCAAAATTTAAGCAGATTTGAGACCCAAATAATACCAATGCAAATATAAGGTAACAGTCCGAGTCAGCCTTTTTCCGCCATTTTTTAAAACTCAAATATCTCGAAAAGGAGCTCAATAACCTATCAATATTTTGATCTTATTTTGTTCCTTAACTAATACTCATCTGACGTATATTATCAATTTTAAATTCTAGATTTTTAAAATTTCACCTATGTACACCCTTAAAAAACCTTGGTGGTCTCATGGTATTGTGCTTTCCTTGAGTGGAGGAGGTCGAGGGGTTGATCACCGACTTGAGCATTGGTATTTACTGCTTCTCCTCTAAACATGCAGCATTAAGGAGTAAAAGCAAAGATAGGTCAACTCAGAGTTCGAGTAATGTGTCCAAAGCAAAGCTTCATATTCATATCACATTAACGTGGTCCTTTCCTGATATGCAGGCTCAAATATTTAATTTTTTCATGTTGATTTTCACCAAACAAGCCGTATAGGATCAAAAATTCAGGTAGTCTGAAACTGTTTTGCTTAATATTATAAAACTGTTGATAGAGAGATAAGTCTTGCCTTTATTTTATTTTGTATACTAATGCAAACTCTGAAATTAAAATGGCAATACTTTTACATGTAAACAACAAATCATTCAAACTCAATGAACCATGATTGAAGGAGCAGGGCTAAAATAACCTCTGTACAAATGCATTTGCATGCCAGATATCATTGATGTAACGGGGGTTCATGTGGCTAACAAAACCAATCCATTAAAAGTTGATAAATTTATTATTGGCACCAGACGTATTCAATATAATGAAATAAACGCCCAAAATTATGGATTTTAGGCTCACTGACAACTCATACTTGTGCGTCAAGGATGTGCATTCACTGATATTTCCAACTATAACAACCACATGACTTTGAACAAATCTTCAATACAAAAGAACATCAAACCCCGTCAACTTTCAGCAGCAAACTAACTAGATAACTTATCTACCTGTAAAACGAAAACTATAATCAAGCGTGCATGACTAGCGGGAAATATACCCAGACTAAACTCATTTGCATAATAATGTAAAGATAATTCACATTATATAAAGAGACCAGTTTCTATACAATAAATTCTTACACTTTAATTAAGTAATTCAAACAATTTATTAAAAGATTTAACTGCTATCTTTTTATTATTTATTTTTGACTTTTACTATTTTTATAGCAATGGTTTCACAATAAATTATTTTGATTTTTTTAAGTAACTTTTCATAAAATAAAACACATATATAAAATTAAATTCACAAACATCATAAGACCGCTAAAAATGTCACTATTACATTGACCCACCACTAGTGGTATCCCATATTGTACCTCATAAGAAACTAATATACTGTTGACACTGTCACTGGAAACAGCAAGCCCAAGTCTCATTTTTGACTTCGTAGACACAAAAATAGGGATAAATGAATAGACTGAAAAAGTTTACAATAATTACCTATCCAAAACTATATCTGGTGGTAATAAATCTACTGTAATTCCATCTGATACAGACTCTATAATATTTCCAGCATTGGTTACACCTCTAATAGCAGAATAATATGTCTTTCCAGGTTCTAGTTGAGCATTTACTTGTGCATATCCAGAGCTTGTAATGCCTTAAAATATGAAAGAGAGTGCAATTGAAATACAAACATTTTTAGTCAAAAGACCAGATTTTTATATTCATACAAATAAAATTTGGTGAACCTAATCAATTGTTTTATTGAAAACAAAAGATAAAAAAAAAACTTGGCATCCTAGCCAAACCTCCTATTTGCATCAGTATGGCCAGGCACAATACAATTCACATGAACATATTTCAGCCCTGAACAGGACTGAATTACTATGCATGTGCATGTTCTATAAATCAATAATATATAAATTGGATTGTTAATTAACTGGTGATTCATGATGTTAATCAATAAAGTTTGGATTATATTGCTAAATTTTTCATGAAGTCATATTTTTTATGAATTTATAAATAATTTTCAATGAACTTGTGGCAATATAAATATTTCCCACCATGTGTCAAGAAATGATGCTATCCCTATATGCATCATTCTAAGATTCAATAAACAAATACATACATTGTAGTCCGCCTAGCCCTTCTGTCAAGAAGTGAGCCAGCGACTCTTTTCACAAAAAATCTTACGATTTGAATTGATCCTAAGTTATAATGAAATGTGTATGACTTACAAGTATTTTTACTCTGAAGATTTTTTGTGAAAAGAGCCGCAGGATCCCAGGCTAAGGAAAAAACAGTTAGGAATCTCCTAATAACATGACTTAAGTTAATTGTTTCCTTTCCATTCAACAAGTAAAAAAAGAAGGGACTATTAATTGACTAAAGTGAATAGATAATGTCTTGTGCCATTTCAAGTCTGAACCTAATTTGAAAGTCAAACATCATCCTTCGTGCTATGCTGAGGAGCTACAATACCAATTTTAAACATTATGCTTTGAATATTAATTACCATCTCCAGCAATATTTTGTTCTTCTACATGTAAAATTCCATCAGCTGAAAATGTGGTAACATCTTGTCCACCTGGACTTGTTCCTACAGCCCATTCATAGGCCATTACACCATGGAGATGACTCTCAAATCCTGTAAACTGTACACTAAGAGTAGAAATGTCAGATTGGTAATCGATGTCAACACCAATGTCAGATACAGGATCATGGTCTGTGCCATCCGTACCATCAATAACTATACCTAAATAATTAACACATTCATATGAAATATATTTTTCACAAAACCTGAATAAGAAGACAAACTATATTTTCAACCTTGGTTTAGTTTCAATTTTATCCCTATCCATTTAATTCATCAGTTGATATCATAGATTATTTTCTCTCCAGAACTGCCAGTGTGTGAGAAACTTGAAATTACTTTTATAGAGTTTAATATTTTTGTTTTTATCTATCCCTATCAGGTAAGGCAATTATTCCTATGATTTCTATACTTTCTCTCATACTTTATTCCATTTTAATTCTAATGAATCTTTTAGTTCAAAAATAGATATGAGGAATAAATATAAACACACCATACAACAATACAATGTGCACAAATGCAGAAAAGCTTGATACAAAATGTCCTTTGATCAAGACTTTTTACACCCCAATGAAGTTACAAAAGAAGCATTCTTAATTAACTGATAACCAATTACTGTGGATTCATTATTATTTGTTGGATACCAATTTTCGTGGATTTCATGGGTACAGATGACCCATGGATAATTAGAGATTTTCCATCAGGTTGTATGCAGACTTTGGCAAAACCACGAAATTAAATATCCACGAAAATGCAAGTTTTTCTCAATACACGAAAATTGGTACCCAAGAAAATAAATTAATCCACAGTAACACAATATACCTTAGAAAGGCTTGTATAGTCCGTGGTTTTATTCTCCAAAATTGGACCTTCCAGACAGGGTGCGGACTATAGAGTACAATAAGCAAGAAATAAGAGAAAAATTTCAATTTCGAGGGTGAGGTGGTTTGTTTACGTTCCGCCATCTTTGTTATTTATATTGTAGAGGGCGCTCTTATCATTTTTCAAACTAATAATTTTAACGCATCCATATTAATAAGTTATTTCTATTCAATATCAAATTAATACTGATAAATATAAAAACTAAACCTTTCATTACAAATTTCTTGTTTCTTTTCAATGCATTGGTTGAAATAAACTGGTATCTGCTTGATTGAAACGGTACAAACATAGTGAAAAAGACAACCATAAACCAGCTTAGAATTTGTAAACTACAAAACGTAATCGGTGATTGTTTGTTCCGTTTTGGTGTTTCATACTGACTAATATGGTTTGTATTAGCTTAAGACCCTTCAAACATTAATGTGATAGATATATTAAAGACTGTTTTACAAAAGGATGGAACTGTTTTACTTTCAAAGTCGTATTATAGTGATATCTGTTATGTACGGATTTCGACTCTCACCGGTTAATTTCTTCTTTTACACGTGCTTTTTAAACTTCCTGTTTAAACATACACAAGTTTCTAAATTGTTTTTTAAGTGAATTAAACTTATTTTAACAATCATGATGCTTTCTAGAATCATTTACAAGCAGTTTCAGCTTCTGTTTGATGATGGAAAACAGTTTTTTCCAAGAAAATACAGCAAACGACCGCACAGGATTTGAAAGTACCGGAGTTTCATTAGACCTTTTCTAACAGTTACAAAAAGTTTTTTTACCTAAAATTTCGTGGGGAGAAGGGGGTGCGGACTATGTACCAGTGCGAACTATACAAGCCTTTCTACGGTACTTGAGTATTGGTATCAATGTCAGGATAATCCCTCTAAATATTTACCTGCTTTGTCAGCTTCCACCACCACTATTGGTGTTGAAATCACAGGTGAACTTTCCAGGCCAGCACCATTTACTGCTATCAAACTAATAAAGTACACTGGGGTCTTTGTATCAATATCAGTAATATCCAGGGATAATCCATCTATATATTTATCTGTCTTTAGCCCAATATCTGTCCATGACTTCACTTCAGTTCCACCTTAGAATATAAAGAACAACATTATGTGTCCATGGGACACCATGCCTTGCTTACACTATCACATCTACATATTTAGGGAACTATATAATCATTGTCAAAACTGTAATTTGGCAAATAATTTTTTTCAAAGTTCACATCATAATGAACATTTGTACAAAGTTTCAAGTTGATGAGACCACAACTTCATGGTAAACTACCTTAACTGATAAGGGACTGAAGAAGAGACAGAATACTGTAAATTCAGAAATTATTGAGAGGTTTTTTTTTCTATGTAAATAATGCAACTGGGTGAGTATCGCCTTAATCAGAACTCAATTTCTAATATCTGATACATATATCTGTATGCAGCTTTTCCTTAAATCTCAATAATTAAACCCACATTTTAGTGCATTCTTCAAAAATTGCAATAATAGATGCACACAATAATTTCTGAATTTACAGTAACCAACACACACCGATCAGGAAACATAATGCCCCTCTACCATGGTAAGTAGGGCATACAAATATCCATATGATAGCTAAGTTAATAAAAGAACAGCATTCCAATGTACCCATCGGCTACACTTATTTTATCTGCCCAAGGCCAATAACTGAAAAAAAACATTTTTTTAGTTCTTTAGAACATTTTCGTAACTATCCTATATAAAGAAATGTAGACATGAGATTGGAATCATTGTTATATACGATATACTTTCTATCTGTCAAATTTGTCCCAGACATTGCTGATATAAACCTTTGATAGAATTGAGAATGGAAATGAGGAATGACCATTGTCCAGGGTTAGGGGAGGGTTGTGGGCTCACAAACATGTTTAACACCACCACATTCTTTATGTGCCTGTCCCAAGTCAGGAGCCTGTAGTTCAGTGGTTGTTGTTGGTTCATGTCTATCTTGTTTATCGTAAATTGTTTTGTTATAAATTAGGCCGTTAGTTTTCTTAATTGAATTGTTTCATACTTTGTATGTCAGAGCCTTTTATAGCCGACTATAAGGTACGGGTTTTTCTCATTGTTGAAGGCCTTACAGTTGCTTTTAATTGCTTAAATCCACTTCATTTGAACTTTGGTGGATAGTTGTCTCATTGGCAATCATACCACATCTCCTTATTTTTATAATGTGTAAAAGAGACAACAACCCAACTGATTTCATAACAATACTACAAGAAAAGTAAGCGTGTGAGTGCTTACAATGCAATATTCCTTATAATTTATATTTCCAAGAGACGTATCTCCTAAAAAATAGTTAATCACTAATATTCCAACTTGTCCAAGACATTGCTGATATAAACCTATGATATACATTTCAGAAAAATCAGGCAAGAATTGAACATACACTTGAGATCAGAGCTCTTACAAAGCAATTTCCTATAGAATTTAGATTTACAAGGGACATAACTCCAGTAAAAGAAATTGATGAGGACTGATTTTTTTTAACTTGTCCCAGACATCGCTGATATAAACCTTTGATCTAAATTTCATAACACTCATACAAGAAATGTAGGCAGGAGAGCACTTGTATACTGCATACGGAGTATATATCTCCCAATTGATACGATATTCCCGGGCTTGTGTTTCCTATCATGATTTCCTTGATAGAGGATTGCTGCTCACAAGGAAGCTATTAAACCAAGAGTTCCAAATGGTGAAGTTGAAGTCATCCCTTCGATAATTTTACGGACGCCATCACGAGTTGGTTGACCGTTATGGAATAACCGTTTCACAGATGATATCGGATATGTTCCTTATGTCGTAACTACAATACCCTTCCCTTTTCACGAATGTGACTTACCGAATTAGACTATTTACCGGATTTGTAATAACATAAGCAACTCGACGGGTGCCACATGTGGAGCAGGATCTGCTTACCCTTCCGGAGCACCTCAGATCACCCCCAGTTTTTGGTGGGGTTCGTGTTGCTTAGTCTTTAGTTTTCTATGTTGTGTCATCTGTACTATTATTTGTCTGTTTGTCTTTTTATTTTTGGCCATGACGTTGTCAGTTTGTTTTCGATCTATGAGTTTGACTGTCCCTCTGGTATCCTTCGTCCCTCTTTTGTAATGCAATTTTCCAATAATTTCTATTTCAATGGGCATATGGTCATGAAACATCATATTAAAAATCTGTATTTTGTTTTACAAATACCTGGTGAGGATCCAACAGCTATTTTGTAATTTATAACTCCTGACTGATGATCTATTGCTTGCCATGCTGCTTTTATACCATTTGTATCTGCTTGCCATACATAGCCATACACAACCTGCTCTACGTCATCTGATAATGTGTTAACATGAAGCCAGTGAATCTAGTGTAAGAAACAAACACCCATATGACTGTCAAAATTTTGTCAACAAAATATAACTCATATCTAAACAAGAATGTGTCCATAGTACACGGATGCCCCACTCGCACTACCATTTTCTATGTTCAGTGGACCATGAAATTTGGGTAAAAACTAATTTGGCATTCAAATTAGAAAGATCATATCATAGGGAACATGTGTACTAAGTTTCAAGTTGATTGGACTTCAACTTCATCGAAAACTACCTTCACCAAAAGCTTTAACCTGAAGCGGGACAGACGGACAAATGGATGGATGAACGGACGGACAGATGAACGGACGCACAGACCGAAAAACATAATGCCCCTCTACTATCGTAGGTGGGGCATAAAAAGTAATTAGTTATTCATTGTAATATGGTAGCAGTTGTTGTATGAAACATATCAGCATTGTTTATGGTCTTTAAGTTCAATAGCTAATCCAAACAGAAATATTAAACTTTATGGCATAAAACAAGGGTCCAGAAACAGTCGTATTTGCCAGACTTGACTTAAACTGCAAGGTCATTGACTGGAATGGTAGATTGGGAGTTAGGTCAAATTTTATTTTTTTACAGAAATAATTTCGGTCATTTCATTGAGATCAGGTTTCTTAATTGCCTTTTTTTAATAAGTTTTGTTTTTATATGCTTTTCCGGTAATAAAACTGCCACTCCAGTATAGTATGATAATCCTGAGGCCCTCCTAATAATCATATTAATGCCTCCAGAAGATATTGGCTAATGATCGCTAATCACTTTTAACCTGTGTTCTTCACACCTGACAGTAGTGATCAAGACCAGAACTAATATTTTAGAGAAATTCAATTCCATTACAACTTACTTCATTACTTAAGAATTTTTTAATAAAGACAATTGCCAATTCTAATTAAAAAATTAAAACTTTTATCAAATGTACGTTGAAAAACTACACGAGTCAAACATGTGCTTTATTTACTATGTAAAACACATGCGTGAAAATTGTGTGAAAAAATTTCTGGATCCTTGGTATAGAACATCTGGCCCCGAGAACAAAGCTATTTCGTAGTGCATTTCTTTTAGACAAAAAAAGCAAATTAAAAAAAATCGCACCAGCTCTACCAAAAAAAGATTTTTACAGTGTAGTGTACTACTTTTAAGACAAATTATATCAAAATTATAGAAAAGTCTATCGGCTCTTACTCAAAATATTTACAATTTAACGTTAAGGGTGCTGTAATTGAGTTTGACAGCTTCAGACAATTGTTTGAATATATAAGAAAAAGATCTTAAAATATTTTCTTTTTGTTACATATATTCATTTTACAGTTTAGGAAATTGTTCATTAGCCTTGATAAATGAAAATTTATTAAATTTTAATCATGCAAAGGATATATTTCTTGGCACCATGAAGCTGTTAAAGTACCAAGCCACTTTGACGTTTTGTTTCCTTAACAATTATTCAATCATTATTGATATTTATTAAATAAACTTTAATTACAAAGTTGCTTTATATATAAAAGTTCAAAAAATACAAAAAAATTTTTTAAATAAGTGTTTTCTTATTCAGAGAAAAATAATCTCAAAACTGAATTGTGACTTTTTGTCCTGTGACTTTCTGTACTACATTCTTTACTTTTTTGCCTCAAGGATACCTCATATTGTAATAAAAATATGACAGACTGAAATGACACAAGTTTGAATAGTTATTTTAGCCATGCTTTGCTAAATAACATATACTTCTTCAAGAACTCATTGACCTGTAATCCAAATACCTAGAGTTGAAGTAAGTGTTATGAGAAAAATATCATTCAGGTTACTTCCCTCGCTGAACATATATTTTTTAAATTAAAAAATCTTCTTCTAAATGCCATTGATCATTCTTTTCCTTTTTTATAGTCTTTAAATAATATTCCATTTGTCCAATAATCTTGAACAAAATATTTTCAGTTATTTTCTTTTACAAAGTAAAATATTTGTCAAAACCACATAAACAGGAAAAAGTGATGTGTATTTCTAGGCATTATTTTAACCTGCATGCAAAATTAATCATATAATATTAGTGGTTGCCCTGGTTGGCTTAATTGATCATTGTTCCTTCAAGATGTAAAAATGAAATTGAAACTTGAAATTACAATTTATAACAAATATTATATATAAAAGACATCATTTTCAAATTTTAATTTAATTTCAAATTATATTATTATTTTGCAATTCCTAAGAGAATAAACTGTAGGGTATGCCTATATAAGTCAAGTAGCAAGACAATGATGTATTGTGTTGGATATAACAATGATGACTTTAATTGAATTGTTGTTGTTTAACATCACTTTCAGAACTCTTGGCAAAATCATGGCAATCTGTTTTTATTGGTGGATGAAGCCTGAGTATCCAGAGCAAACAACGGACCTTTGGCACAAAAAGTGGCAATCCTGGTAAATTAAGATCCTATCTGCAAATAGCAAGGTTTGAACTCAGAATCTCAGTGATGACAGACAAGTAATCACATGTATACAATAAAGCATGCCCCTCTCTTTGGCATTGATAGGGAACAAAGTCTGTCCTACTTAGGAATTGTCTCCCTTTGGCAAACATCTCTATAATTTGCAACAACTTTGTGTGGGGTATAAATAGACACATAGCAATGGTAAACAATATTGTTTCAGTTTAAAAATGATTTAAAAATGAAACTAAATCAAAGTGCACATTTAGTTATGTTATTTGAAGACATGGAACCAGTATTTCAAGATAACTTTCTGGGACCAGCATAAAGACAGATAATTGGTTATGTATTCAACAAATAACTTACAATAGGAGGTGTTGTGTCTACCTTTACACCATTTGTCTCAAAAGATGCCATAAAACCTGCTTTATTTACAGCTCCTACTCTTATACTGTACACTGCACCCTGTCGGAGAGTCAGACTGGTGTCAACAAACTCATTCAGATTTGCATCATCCAATTCAATCCAATCACTGTGAGTTTCTACAAAAAACACATGTATAATCATGATAATGTTTAAAAGATTAATATCTCAAAATAAAATATACAAATACATAGATCAACAATGTTATTTGGCAAACTTGTTTTATATTCCAGTTTTCAATAGCTAGCATTTCATTGAAAGTTTGTTTCATTAAAATTTGCTGTTATAAAATTTTGGAAATCATTTTGAAATTGAGGAATATATCTCACTCATGCAAATCTGATTCCTTGTCCCATTTTAAAAGCTCTTCAACCTTTGTATTAGGTTTGGATGTTCAAATATTTCAACCTTGGGCATCACTAAAGAGACATTAATTGTCAAAATGCACATCTGATAATACTGTTAGTGTTATTATTAGGAATTTCAGCTAGTTGGTTAGATGGGTTAGAAAAATTGAAACAAAATTAAGGCAGAGGATTTGAAAATTTAATTAATTGTTGTTTGTTTAAAATCCAGTGGAATTATATCATGCATGTTGAAAACAATTTAAAAATTTATAAACGTTGCAGAGATGGATGTTGCAATAAAAAAATACAGAATTTTTTTATTTGAATGTGTCAGTCATTAAGACATATTTTTAGACATTAAACATTATATTTAAATTCTTATCAAACTTTTAATTGAATTATGTTAAATATCTAAAATTGTATACTACCTGGAACAATTTGTGATCTTATGCTCTGATATCTCTGGTAAATCTGTATTTTGAAATGATCCAATCCGGATTCTTCATCAATAAACTTGAAATTTGATGAGAGGCTGGTGGTATCAGACTACAAATACATCATTTTTATTTCTTTAAATTATTAAATGTTGAATTAATTCAATTGTAAACAAACCATTAGTGATATAAGATTACTTTTATGTAAAAACTATTACAGTGTTGCAAAATATATGTATCCTTTTAAAAATATATCTCAAATCAATTTTGATTGCTAGCAAATAACAAATTTCTATATTTTTTATTGCAATAACAATTAATTGTCTCCCTTTTTTTCAATACTATCAAATACAAAAAGTAATTGTGAATTTGGTGGAACTTCTTATAAAAGAGTTGGTTTTTTTGGCATACCAATCCAATATGTTTTATTCTGTAGTACTGTTTAAATGTTGGTATGATTTGGTAGGGGCTTGTGCAAGTAAGCGTTTCTTAATGAAAAAAGTATGATTTGGGGTCAAACTGACTCTAAAATCCAATGTTTTTCAATATTTCTCCAATTCTTAGATTTTAAAGTTGCATTTTTGTAACTCTAATAAAACCTTTTTATTCTAGTTTAAAAAAAATCTTTATTTGTAAGGTTTTTAATATAACTGAACTAAACTCTATAGTTTACAGCATAACTAACTCATTTTATCAAAATATATGAGACCAAATTGATCAAAACAACATAATTTTTTTTTAATTGTTAAATAAGATGGTGCAAATGGCACACTTCTACAAAAGCCATTTGAAAACTTCTGCAACAAGTTTCTTTGAAGAAACAACATTATCAAGGATAATGACTGAAAGCAAAATTTAAACCTACCAACTAGGCTATTTTTAGAAGGACACCCTGAACACAGATTTATGTATTGACCCATTGTAAGGCTGTTAAATATGGATGGTATTGACAAGGAAAAGTTTTTCATACCTGTCAACATTCACCTTATGATCATAACTTTCTTGAATAAAATTATGTAAATACAGGTGCAACTGACGTTTTTTGTATACATGGTTTTATCTACAATAAAATTAAAAGCAGAATGAAGCATACTGTATCTATATTTGATAGGATATCTAAAAATTTTCAACAAGGGCCCCTTAAATTAATTCCAGGCAACTAGATTTTTTTATGTTTGGTGCCTAGTTGGCTACCAAGTTACGGTTGTAATTTTCGTCCATAAAAGTGGAGTGTGTTGGTAAAAATTAAATCTGCCTTTAGATATACAGATACAGGCATTATCCTACCAACCTGAAATTCTAGATCTTTATGTTGAACAGAACCATCTCCAAGATGTATCAGCATGGGAGGTGTAAGATCTACAATAAAACCATCTGTTTCATTGACTATTGAGTTGAGAGCTCCATTTGTAGTTTGCAGAACCAGTTTTACTCTATCCTTATGTTCAAAATGAAAATTCAGCCATTTAGCACTCTCTGTCATATTAGAAAATGTCACAAAATCTCTCACTACTTGGAAACTTTCTGATAAATTCCTGAAAAAGTAGAATATACCAATAATAATTAAGAACTGAATGCCTCTTTTTGTAAATTTATTGGGGTGTAAAAGCATTGACCGAAATACATTTTGTATGAAGCGCGGAAGGGCTTCATTCTAAAAATGTGCGCACGGTCAACGCTTTAACAATCCTATAAAATTACTAAAAGAAGCATTCAATACTTATAATTACATTTTTTTGCTAGGATCATGAAAACACGATTTCTTATTTCTTTCAAGTTTTTCTTTTATTTACCTGTGCACTTTATTGTGGAAGCTTGTGTCGTCATGAATGTTACATTTCATTTTGAAATTTTGAAATGAAGGTTAATTTCAGAATGATGCGAGATTGCTGTTGGCCAATCAAAATAACATATTATAATGAAACATACATGTAATGTTATTATTAATTAATAAATTATATATTCTAAACACAAGATAAAAATATTTTTTTTCTCAAGAAAATCAATCCGCTGAATTTTTTAACCAAGTAGCAATACAAATTTTAGAGGCAAAACATGTATCTTAGGTCGAAAACACAGTGGTCGGAAAGCAGACAGATAATCAAACAAAAGGATTTTTCTGTCAAAAATATCTAATTTCATTAATAGATACTACCAGATCAAGAGAATATTCATTATTAAGTTTAAACTGAGACTGAATTTATTCTGAATAGAATATAATTAAAATTGTCATATATGTGCATTATGTCTCACAGGTTTGAATAGTCATTACATTTATGAAAATTATATGCAATGTATGAGCACCAATGAGCAGGGATGCATACCCAAAGTTAGTTAAATACCTAAATTTTAAACGTTCGTGAATGAAAAAAATACTTGCATGGTTTCAATTCACACAGATTTTAAATCCTTGCATCTCACAAACAAGAGGCTCTCAAGAGCCTGAATCGCTCACCTGCATTTCAGAGGAGAAGATTTTTAAATGTTAACAAACTTGATGAACAAATTGTGTAAAATTGTCTTTAAAGGGCAATAACTCCTTAAGGGGTCAATTGACAATTTTGGTCATATTAACTTTTTTGTAGATCTTACTTTGCTGAACATTATTGCGGCTTACAGTTTATATATATCTATAATAATATTCAAAATAATAACAAAAAACTGCAAATTTTTTTTAAAAACTACCAATTCGGTGGCAGCAACCCAACAATGGGTTGTTCAATTTGTCTGAAAATTTCAGGGCCGATAAATCTTGACCAATAAAACAATTTTACCCATGTCACATTTGCTCTAAAAGATTTAGTTTTTGAGATATAAGCCAATAACTGCATTTGACCCTTATGTTCTTTTTTTAGCCATGGCGGCCATGTTTGTCGATGGATACAAACTTGGGATACAATTTATAAACAAGATACCCTAAGAAACATTTAGTTAAAATTTGAAGGTAATTGGCCCAGTAGTTTCAGAGGAGAAGATTTTTGAAATAGTTTACGACGACAGACGACGACTACAGAAGACGACAGACGACGGACGCCAAGTGATGGCATAAGCTCACATGGGGCCCTTCGGTTCCCGGTGAGTTAAAAACGTTATTAATATTTTACAATAATCATAACAAAATTTAATTACTATCATAATAAAATTGAGAATGGAAATGGGGAATGTGTCAAAGAGACAACAACCCGACCACAGAACAGACAACAGCAGAAGGCCACCAACAGGTCTTCAATGCAGCGAGAAATTCCCGCACCCGGAGGCGTCCTTCAGCTGGCCCCTAAACAAATATATATACTAGTTCAGTGATAATGAACGCCATACTAAACTCCAAATTGTACACAAGAAACTAAAATTAAAAATAATACAAGACTAACAAAGGCTAGAGGCTCCTGACTTGGGACAGGCGCAAAAATGCGGCGGGGTTAAACATGTTTATGAGATCTCAACCCTCCCCCTATACCTCTAGCAAATGTAGAAAAGTAAACGCATAACAATACGCACATTAAAATTCAGTTCAAGAGAAGTCCGAGTCTGATGTCAGAAGATGTAACCAAAGAAAATAAACAAAATGACAATAATACATAAATAACAACAGACTACTAGCAGTTAACTGACATGCCAGCTCCAGACTTCAATTAAACTGATTGAAAGATTATGTCTTCATCATATGAATATCAGGCACAATCCTTCCCGTTAGGGGTTTAGTATCATACCATCATAACATATATGAGAAGAACATAACCCGTGTCATGCCAACAACTGGTTTTTAAATAAATGTGTTTAGTGCCGATGCAAAGACCCTATAAGTGAATCAATATTAACGCCAAAATATGCAATCTTTAATGACCTGACAACAGTATCGTAACTATATCCCTTCTTAATAAGTCTATTTAAAGGTTTTGTTAGTTTCAGAGGTGAATACTGACATTTTTGTGCTTTATAAAGAATATTTCCATAAAAAATTGGATGTGAAATACCTGAACGTATAAGAAGTCTGCATGTTGAGCTATATTTACGAATGATGTCCTTATACCGATGATAAAATTTAGTAAATGTTTTGACTAGTTTGTGATATCGAAAACCCTGGTGTAATAATTTTTCAGTAATACATAAATTTCTCTCGTTAAAATCTAAAACATTGTTACATACACGAGCGAATCGTACAAGTTGAGATATATAAACACCGTAAGATGGTGACAAGGGAACGTCACCATCTAAAAATGGATAATTAACGATAGGAAATGAAAAATCATCTCTTTTATCATATATTTTAGTATTAAGCTTTCCGTTAATGATATAGATAATGTTAATTAGTCTATACTGTTTTAGTATAGATTTATAAGTCTCTGCTTATATTTTGTATATCGATATATATTCATATAAAGAAATGTTAAACTTTAAAAAGAGATTGATTTGATAAATAAAATGTCCATCCGTAAATACTTGACGTTTGTGTTTATTGATATTATATTCTAAATTTTCCGAAAAAAATCACTAACAGGAATGTATGTTATTTATAAAATTTCAATTCATTTGTTTGTTTGTTTGTTTTAATATTTCAGCCTTATAGCATCTATATATTTGTACTATGGTACGATTTTGAAAATTGTATTCATTGTGTTGACTAGCTATCCTACACATCTTGATTCAATCACATTATACATCACCCTGTTCACACGCACACATCGGTTTGCATTCACAAAAATTCCGGATAAAATTCAATGAATCGGGAGTCAAAACACTTGAGGTAGGTAGTTCGACATCCGAATTCAACTATTAGATTAATATATGTGATTACAAAAATGCGTATTCTTATCCAGAGTATCAGTGCGTATACTTTCTATTTACTATTTCTTGCACAAAAATACCACGTGCATGCATAAATATTAATTTCACTCCTGAATGTGAATTTTCGCTTTTCTTATCTAAATTCAGGACACAGCAGTAAGAGCTTGACATATGACTTTCAAGCACGGTCATCATTACTTATGGTATTCTGACCTCTAGCTGTTTCTCGTTTGTTTTCTTTTTTGAGTCACTGTCCTATTATAAACTTAGACATTTTCGAAATGCTAAGGATTTTCTACCCAAGGAACAGATTACTTAACTTCGTACTTTATTTGGCCTTTTTAACTTTTTTATTCGAGCGTCACTGATGATTCTTTGTAGACTGAACTCGTGTCTAGCGTACACCATTTTAATCCTGTTATCCTTTTATTACTACATATCTTTTTATATAAATTAGTTCTTTTGAGAGTATGTTCAGGTATTCATAAAACTTCTGAAAATAAGATATTCTTCAAAATTCCTGTAGAATATTTGAATGATTTAAGAAAAATCAGGAAATCCTTAAAATTTGAGATGTTTTATGAGACCAAAATAAGTCTCTATATAAGAGATCCCAATGAAGCTGGTGTGCTATACTCTCAAGAAAAATATAAGAAACCTTCTTATAATTTGCATGCCACAGGGTTTCACTTCACATGGAAATTGGACTTTAAATTTACCTATACAACATCTACCATGAGTACAGGCAGCTTCAATAATGAGTTGAGAACATTAAAGGCATCCAGGAAACAAAATATGAAGATATGATAGATGAAATAAATGCATCCAGATTATAAAGTAAACTGAGTGCTTAAATTTATATTGCGATTGGTTTGTGCAATTTGCATTAGACATCCGGTTTGTAGAAACTGGGATTTGCAATTATGAAAAAATGATGTTCACTCCCAAGTAATAAATAGAATAGTCGAGCCTTAAAATGTTTATTCAAATAGTAGCTATATAAATACACTTTTCTATTCACAACTATCCAACATTGCTTTCAACTTACTTGTGCAAGAATCTACACACAGTTACATATTTTTAATAAAGGTGTTTTAACATCATCATTATCTGATTCTATTCACAGTCAATTATTTCAATTCAAAAGCAAACAAAAATTCAGCAACAACTTTTTGGTGATCAGTCAGCGGTCTTGGGTTCACGTATTGCTTTTCTTTTTTTTAAAGAAAGCAACTTGTTTTGCATATTTATACATCTTCACTTAGCCTTCAAAAATGTTGAAACGGTTTAATAATTATAAACATACCCTGCTGCCTGAACTTGAACATCATATTGTCTGATCGTTGATTCTGGATCATAAAAATTCTTCCACTGAATCTCTACCTTAGCTGCACTACCAGAGAACTGGACATCTTCAAACCCTGTCTTATTTCCATCAACAACATCTCCAGGAACAGGTTTTGTCAGATCAACAGTAACTGCAAGGTGGTGTAAATTTCTTGTTAGTAAAATACATTTTGATACTGTTTTCCTTTTTCTGACAGTCTTCTTTGTAATTATCATTTAGAGACAATTTGTTAATTACAAAAATGATAAAATTTGTAATATATTGCATAATAAAAATAAAGTTGCACATGTTGTAGTGCTAAGCATACTCTCACTTTTAATTTAAATTTTCTGATAACAGGAAGTAGGTGTCTAACAGTTCCCAAAAGTGCTCACACGTTACAGTTCATCACTGTCAAGTATAACAAATATTTGTTGGACGGACAAACAAGGTAATTGCAATACAGCCAAAGCTCTTACAGTGGGGTTTAAAAAATATAAAGTCAGAAGAAATGTAAATTTAATTACACTGAGATTGTCAGCAAAAGGTCTATGGTGATTTCTGACATTAAAATTCTATGTATCAAATTTATAAATTCTACAATTTATATATCTTATACCTCCATTTGAAATGGCCGACACATTTCTCTGATTGACAGCTCCATTAAATGCCCATACAGTGGTGAAATAAGTATGTCCATGTTCCAGGTAATTTTCAGGAGTTAGCTCTACACAAGCTTCATGAGTTTTCCTGCTGTATTCTGTCAAGTTAGCAATGTCTGTCACATTTATCTGTTTGATAGATCCAACACTGACCAAATACAATCCAATACCAGACTCTGGGTCATAGAAATGTAACCAGTTGGCACAAATCTGAAAAGAAACTTGGAAACATATATTTTAATCATAGTCATATTCATAATATTAACAAATTTTTGTGATGTTTTTATTATTTTGAAAATTGCAACAAGATAGGTTTAGCAAAAATAAAAACTCACATTTTAATTTTTGATAGCATTATTTGTATGTAGCATTTCAAATCACAATTATTAATCTCACATTTTTATCAACTGTTCAACAAGTATAATAATAAATGCTCGCAAAATATTTCTGTATTTGCAGTTCATACGTTTGTAAAACGGATCGATTGATTGTGTTTACAGCTCTTCTATAAAAGCATGCAAAGCAAACCTTTCATCAACTTGCTTGCTATGTTTGCTTGGATGTTTGCAAACAATAGGAAGGCGGAGTTTCAGTCTGTTTTATATATACTGGGATTTGATTGGACAATAAAAATTGACATGCAATGAAGTTAATGTTTATTGTCCAATCAAATTCCATTATATAGTAAACAGACTGAAACAGACTACCTAACTTTTGTTTACAAACATCTAAACAAACATAGCAAGCAAGTTGATCAAAGGTTTGCTTTGCATGCTTTTATAAAAGAGCTGTAATGAATGCCACTTTCAGCACTCTTGGCTATATCATGGCTCCCAGGTTTTTATGGTGGGGGAAGCCAGAGTACCCTTGAGTTGGATTCCAACTCACAACCTCATTGCAGGCCCTTTTGTAGAAAGATGAAACTAGAACTGTATGAAATAATCAATGTTGTCAGCATTAAATTAAAATTAATATGCTTTATATATGTTAAATTTACCCTGTCAGAATACTTGGTGTACATTAAATCTTCACCATAAATAGGACCATCCATTACAACTCCTGCATTAGGTGGAGTCTTGTCAACAATAATGGCTGAGTCAGCAATGCCAATAGTACGCAAGTCAACTGCACAAAAAAACACCCGACTATAGTTCCAAACAAATAGAATACAATTTTAAACAAATAATAGATCTAAATAAATAGAATATATTTTGAAATACATGTTCATAAGACGCTATGTATGCCCTGCATTTTCATGTACAGTGAACCACGAAACCTGGATTCAAAAACTAATTTGATATATATTGTAAAAAGTTCACATCATAATCAATAAAGATGAGTACTAAGTTTCATGTTGATTTGACCATAACTTTATGGTTAACTACTTTAAACAATTTACTGCTTTTTCTATCTATAATCATTTCCCCTTAAAATTTGAACATACATGTAAAACTAAATATGATGTATGGTCTTGTCTAGTTAAACCATTAATGCACTTTTGGTTAAGGTTGATGCATAACAAAGTTTTAATGCCATCCAAAGACCTTAAACATTGACCCTGAATTGGTTAATCCTCAGTGGATAAAAAAAGTATTAAGTTTTTTATATTCACCTTATTGTTATTTGTCCACCATTACAGAAGAAAGAAAGTCTGTTGCCACAAAGCAGAAGTCATTTTTGTATAATGTCAATAGGTCAAGAGTTGCAAAATTTCAGGTCATGTGCAACAGAATACCAACAAGTGAAACTGCTAGCTTCTGCTCACTGATGATACCCCCAGCCCAAATATTTGAGGGTAAACAGGAATTTGTTGAGTGATGAATCTGAAAACGCATCACATGGCATAGCTGACTTATATAAACACTGAAACCAAATTTCAGAAATCCTTGTAATGTAGTTCCTGAGAAAAATGTGACAAAATTTTCAACTTGGATGTGTTGTGTAAAATGATGTAAGTGTTCGGTAAACAGGAAGTTGTTGAGTGATCAATCTGAAAACACATCACACGGTATAGCCGACTTATATAAACCCTGAAACCAAATTTCAGAAATTAAACTATAGTGAAGTAAATACAGGATGTTTTAAAAATAATTCTACTGTCTTAAATGTAAGAATTGTACATATATTTGGACAGACATTTGGGCAAATAACTTTCTTGTGAGATGGACATCTTTTTTTCAAGTCTGAAGGCATTTATATCGATCAACACATGCATATATATTAAACTTAATGGGAATTATACCTCTGTTGACAGCTCTGACTTTTACCCAAACTGGAACTCCATCAGTTAAAAATCTAACAAGTGAGATATTTGGTGTAACAGCAAATCTTGTCCATCTCATTTCCAAGCAATCCCGTCTTGTTCTCCCTAAGCATACATCATTGTAGTCTAATCCTGAATGTGGATCACTGTAAGTAAAAGAGATAATTACATTCGATATCATAAGTTAATTATGGTTATTCTTTGGTTTTCTGTGTAGTGTTCAGAATTTTGTTTGTCTATTCAATATTTTCAATGTACAAACTACAATGGTGTGGTCAGTCTTCCTTTAATTTTTTTTTGTATAGTAGCACTTGGTATCATATAACTTTTGACACAGTTCTAAAAAGTCAAAAGTTGAAATTATCAAATTTGATTTGCAATGCTAGTTAATAATGTCTTGTTTTTATGCATGTTTGGGTTGCTGTCTCATTGACATATACTGCATTTGTACATATTTTCACAAATTAGGTATTGCAAATGAATTCTCCTGCATTTACATGTAATTCGTGATATTTACAAAATATATCAACACACAATTGCAAATAACTGGTCTTTTTGTATGAAGTGGAGATAAGTTTAAATTTAACACACAATGTAGCCTTTAGGAATTAATCATTATATATTAATAGTTGATAGATCTAAGTCCATACATACATCAGTGCTATTTCAAAATAACAATAATTTTACAATTATGAAAACAATTGTTTGTATTAAAGATACATTGTCCAAATTAAATATGTTGTAAATAATACAATAGGTGTTACATTTGATTGGCTTGGGTCAATATTACATTTGCGCTTTATTTTTTATTATCACAATAACATACAAAGAAGAAACTTTACTTTTGTAATACGTTTTCTAATGTATTTTTGTCAAGCCCCATCTAGTTTTTAAAAAGTAGTTCACTTCACATTATTTCTTCAAGTAAATAATTGAAATTTACAAAAGATAAGATTTCACACATATGCACCTACATGTACTTATGCAGACGTGGAACTTGGTTCTTTCAATTTTTTCACTTATAAACCTTTTTAATTTCATCATTTAATCATTTAAAATATTTCTTTGATAAAATCACTCACTTATTGATAAAATTATTTATATGCAAACCAGTTAAACAACTTCAAAAAGATTGGTTGTTGTCCAATTACTATAGGTGAGGGGTTGGACAGGGGGGTTAGCAATTCCCACTTCCCTCCCCTCTTACTCCTACTTCCCTCCCCTATACTCCCACTTCCCTCCCCCATATTCCAAATTCCCTCCCTAAATTGGTGAACATGTAGTCTTCAGGTCTAAAAAGGGAAATCTATGTTTTGACCTCTGAAAAAAAATAGTAGTGCATATGAACTTTCCATTCTAGGATATAAATTTTACCAAACTTCATAGTAAAAGTGGCACAGTTTTAGCCGTACAAGTATAAGTGCAACCTATACAGTTTAACTGTCAGGCCAACAAGTAAATCTCAGCTGACAACCAACTTACCTTGAAAGTAATAAGTATTTTGGTGAGTTGGTATGATACTGATGGGTGTGTATAACGACCTTGACTGGCTATAAGGCCCTCGCACAGCCAGTACTCACGAGTGGGTATTTAAGTAGGGCTTGTTTTTATAGTAATTACTTTAAATGTCCCTTTTAAGACCAGAAAAGTTTATCTGTGATAGGGTAAAAGGTTGCCTAAACCTCAATTTTTATTTCTGATTTATGTTAAAGTGGGAAATCAACATTTGAGGTCAGCTTCAGCAGTACATCAGCTGGTCAAAAATAAATTTTACAGGACATGAACAGAAAATACGACCATTTTGGAAACCATGCCCTTTTATATGAGATGTATAATACAGATCTTACACAAGCAGTGACAAACATCTAACAGAGCAAACCCAGCAGGCACCCGATGTTGTAAAGACGTGGATATTTGGTTGAAAATAGGTCGCAACGTCAGCGACCTAAATTCAACGTCAGTACAATGTCGAACTGCAAACGTCTGTCGGACGTTATAGAATGACGTCTATATAACCTTGGTTTTTGGTCGCGACCTTATACAACGTCAACACAACGTCGGATTCCAAATGTCTGTTGGACGTCTAAATTAATCTAAAATATCAAAATCACACGTACACGGACATATATACTCAGCAGGCACGCAACTTTTTATTAAGATTGGTTTACTGATGTTTTTCGCATTAATTCAATCATTACTTTTGCTAATGTATAAAAATCTTCAAATTATTGACATGATAAAAGTTAATGAATCACTTCAAAAAAATTTCGAAGTAAAATATTGTAATCACAAACAGATTTGATTTCAATTGGCGCATGCATATGAGGCCAACATTTCAAATTTATGTGCGCCAATATTTGATTACAACAATTTCTTCGACGTTTGATATACATACTTAGTTTTCAGTTGCTGTAAAAAGTGCAAAGTAAGTATAATTTTCATTTATTGTTTGCTTTAGTAATAGATATATGATAATTTAGTGTAAACAGTATTGTAGCTGTAATTATTCGCAAGAATGAGTTTAAGTGATTTGTGTAGATCAGAACTCGGATCAGATATGATTTATAATTATGCACATAGTCTGTCATATTTCTGCAGAAAGGTGACCTTAAGATATATTTGACTTATATATTGAAAAATGGGTAAAAGAACGTACTTATTTTTAAAAATTATGAACAGTGATTTGATAAAAAGCATAAATTCAAAATGGACAAATGAATTAGACACAAGTTTTTCAACTTGTAACGACTTCTTCAAAATTCTATCATTGCAGATACATGGAGGATGGATTCATAATAGATCATGGAATATCTGATGAAACAGAAGAATGTATTCATCTGGCAAGTAATTATTTATAACACCTTTATGGCTTATTAAAGTTCACCTAAGTAATGCTCAAATGATAAAATTTCGTTCTTATATGTTGATGTAAATAAAAGTCAAAGATTGAATTTTTTACCTTGAAATACATTTCAAACAAACAATTTCGTTCTACTCTAGCTGACACTCACAGCATGTATTCCAACATGTTATCGGTGAAGTAATGTGCAGATAAGAAACATGTGTGACCACAGCAAATTTTTGTCAAGAACTTGGTGCTTGTGGTGCATTATAGTGACTGTCACGATCTCAGTACTTGCGGTGCATTAACTATTGTTTCCCAAGATGAGTGATTGTACAGATCTAGGTGCTTGTGGGGCATTATGACAGTCAAGATCTCAGAGTGACTGTGTGAAGATTTCTGTGCTTGTGGTGCATTATTGTTTCTCAAGATGAGTGACTGTCAATATCTCGGTGCATGTGATGCATTATTTTCTCCCAAGATAAGTGAGTGTCAAGATCTCGGTGCTTGTGGGGAATTATTGTATCTCAAGATGAGTGACTGGCAAGATCTCAGTGCTTGCGGTGCATGATTGTTTCCCCAAGATGAGTGAATGTCAAGATCTCAGTGCTTGTGGTGCATTATTGTTTCTCAAGATGAGTGACTGTCAAGATCTCGGTGATATTTCAAGATAATTTGAAAATTTGTTTTTATATTTTCCATCATTGATCTGTGTTTGCAATGTATGATCAGGGGTTCAAATTAGCGGTGGTCCGAGGTCCGTGACCTTCCACTATTGCAATCGGACCTTCATTTTTGTTACTAGCTACGCCCGACGGACCTTCGATTTGAAAGAAAATAAAAATCAACTTTGCCAACCCTTTTAACAATCAGTATCGTAATTTCAAAGCCATATAACTATTGACATGGTATACCACCTCGAGAGCGTACTTCAAACCATTTTAAATGTCGGCAAAATAAGTTTGTTTACCCATTCAGGGGTTCAAATTAGCGGTGGTCTGTGGTCCGTGACTTTCCACTATTGCAATCGGACTTTCATTTTTGTTACTAGCTACGCCTGACGGACCTTCGATTTGAAAGAAAATAAAAATCAACTTTGCCAACCCTTTTAACAATCAGTATCGTAATTTCAAAGCCATATTACTATTGACATGGTATACCCCGCGAGAGCGTACTTCAAACCATTTTAAATGTCGGCAAAATAAGTTTGTTTACCCATTAGAAGTGATGAAAGTTGCCTTGAGTAAATTTGTAATTCATTCAGTGCATTAAATACGTCATATTCCCTTCCAAATAGCGTTTCAGACATCGTTTAATTTTGTAAATTTTCTCGTCCGTCATTGAAATATTTGTACAAACTACTGGTCGTATTCGGGAAAGGACCAGCTATGAATGACATCCGGATTCTAAGGATAATGACTACGGACCCATGAATGGCACATCTGACAGAAGAATATTGGGTCCAGGTGAGGGCGTAATGGGCGTACACACCCCCCCCCCCCCCCCCCCTTTTAAAAAAAAAAACCTATCGTAATCTGCTAATCTTGTTACATTAGTGCACTTCACAATTATTTTATGTTTTTTAGCAAAAAAGGTCCAAAAAGATTTGATTCAAATATCATAGAAACGCCCCTGACAGCTATGATATTTGAACTGTTACTTTAATTGTATACTCGGTTATGACTTGAACAGTATAAAAAAGATACATATAGCCCTTTATAGAAGTCACTTCTCCCTATGATCTGAAGTAGTGTAAGCCCTGAGATAATGGTATAATTACAAATAATTGAGACAACACACCCACTCACAGTGACACCCTCCCCAATACAAAAAAAAAAAAAGATTATTTGAGTTCATAAATACTTGTAAGACAAGTTTATTATTATACATGTTATACCACAGTGACACTGACTTTTAGACCCTAGCTAGTTGATATTTGTTGTTTTTTCCTATATTTACTTAACAAAACCTTATATGTCCACTGCAGGCTCTGCATATCAAGTCAAAAATACTGGCCAAGCCCGGACAATGCGAGCGTTTTTGAACCCCTGGTTAACAGCAAATTGCTAAGTAGTTGTGAAGACATGTCCACCAGCACTGAATTATAAGGTTACCAACCTTTGTTGGCAGGAATGAATTTCTGAGGTTTTAAAGATGTTGACGCACTTATTCAGGACAGGACGTTAACTTGAATGAATTATTGTTTCATTGCCTTAAGTGTCCAATTTAAGGTAGATAGGGTGTCTTCCTCCATCTTGGATTTTGAAATACAAGAAAACAATCGGTCTAGATCTTTAATAAAAGGTGCAAATTTTGAGAGTAGTAGGTAATTCATGTGTAAGAATTTTCATTTCAATAGAGAAAATGACATATTTTATCATATTTATGGTTGTATTTTACAGAAAAACAGAAAACTTTTGTTTGATTCTATTTTTTCCAACTTTGCCACATAAGGGGAGGCAACTCAAATGTAAGGGCAGATAATTCAGATAAAGTTACTTTTATAATAGAATGTGTTAGGAATTTACCTATTTTATTATGTAGCAAGAAAACGGGTACCGTGACCCCATTTTTTCTTTTTCTTATCTGAAAGCTTACTATTAGAGCTATCTTCTCATATTTTATCTCAAAATTCTATGGTGTAGTTTTCGTTTTATGGCAGAAAATTGGGTTTTCCATGCATAATCTATACAAAATCTGTCAATTTTGCACAACCTGTAGCGTGAAAATAAGCCCCGTGACCCATTCTTTTTATTTTTTTTTTTAAAAAGCATGATATAAACTACATTTTGGCAAATTATTAAAAAATTCTATGGATTATAATTTAGACACCCAATCTACCTTAAGAACGTTAATAAGGATTTAATTTGGTCCTTAATTAGCTCTGAAGACATCTGAGGATATTTAAAGCGATTAAATGGTTGTTGTTATGATGTTAATTTGACTTTGTACAGATATCTGAGGATATTTAAAGGGGTTTAATGGTGGTTTTTAGGACGTTGTTAGACGTTGTACAGACATCTGAGGATATTTAAAGAGGTTAAATGGTGGTTGTTAGGACGTTGATTAGACATTGTACAGACATCTAAAGATATTTAAAGAGGTTTAATGGTGGTTGTTAGGACGTTGTACAGACGTGGAACATCCTTATTCAGGTTCATCTTGCTAGTTGATCTGGTGTTGTACCAACGCTGTACTGATGTTGTAACTACACTGTACAGACGTTGAAAGGACGTTTGTCAAGACGTTGGGTAGACGTCAGTTTTTGACGTCTAAAAAATTTCATATACAACCAAAATCTAACGTAGGCCCGACTTTAGGGTCTGACGTCGAAATGATTTTTATACAACGTCAAATGTCTGCTGGGAAGTGAAATATCTGATTTTAATCAAGATTGTGACAAATTTTACCTGGAATTTTGTTTTGCAGTAAGGTTATAGGTGTCTTCATTATACTGAATATCATAAACCTCCCAAACCAACGGAGGTGAATTGTCTACTGTTAGTGGTGTTGTATGACAGACCGTTGTAGCCAGTGGACCTCCAAATTGTACCTCATTGAGTGCTCTCAATGTTATATAATATTCTCCATCTAAAAAGTAGAACATATACACATTTTTGAATGAATTTGATGAATAATATTTAATTCCTATTCGGTGAATAAATAATTTATTTACATGCTGTCATTACAAATTATTACAAATGATACCAAGGGCTACTCCAGTCACCGCATGATGAAGCTGAAGCATGCTGAACATGGAAAGATGAATAAAGAGCTGCGCTATGAGCTCATTATACGCCCATAGCTTTTTCAAAGAACAAAGTTCCATAACTCCTCAATGTCATATCAGAAATTTATAAAAAACTAAAGGGAGGTTATTTTAATATATACAAACCAGTCACCAAAGATTTATGAAAACTGCTCAAAGCACTTTTGAGTTATTGTTCGAAAACTGGAAAAATCCCCCTTTTTTAATGAATAAAACCCCATAACTCAGAAACGTAAAATCTAAAATTTATAAAATTGAAAGAGAGCTCACTGCAATAGATATAAACAATTCACCAAAGTTTCATACAAATTGGCTTAAGCGTTTTTGAGTTATTGTCCAACATGTGGACGACAGACGGACAACGGTATACCATAATACGTCCCGTAAACGGGCGAATGAAAAGTGAACAGGTACATTAAAATGATTGTAGACACAGTAATATGATGGACGTAAGATTACATTTTTAACAGCTCCTTCTATCACGAAAATGAAACCAGATGAAAATAATCAAAGGAAGATTTTTCTATGGTAAGAGGGAATTCAAATCCCATAGCGATAAAACATATTAACATATATGCAAAAACAAATCAATACAGAAGTTGTTTTTTTTAGGTCCTTTTTGGTCATATAGCTCTTCAACTGTTTCGATTCTTATACTTTCAAATATTCAGCTTTGAGTGTTCCTCATGGAGACAAATCCCAAAAATGCTTCAGACGCAGGAAATTTATAAAGTGTTGTTTTCATTTTTTTTTTTACTTTGTTTTTTCTCTCTGAATCTTAAGATCTACAGCAATTCTGTTAAAAACACCAAGACAAGATGTTTTTTAGGAATTAACATGCAAAATAAATACACCCACAGCAGACTTGATATAAAATACTAATAGTTTGTCATCAGTCCTTTTTAGTTCCAGCAACACTTTTTATCACAATAAACTGTTAACACAGAGATATGTCTCGCCTTTTTGGTATTTCGATAGAAAAATGCAAATTTTGAAATTAAAATAGGAATACTTTATCATGCAAGTTATGCAAAATATTCAAAGTCAATGAACCATGACTGAAAGTACCGAGCCAAACAATCTAATGAAAATGAGATGTGCCAATGCTAATACAACTGCATACCAAATACCTTTGTTCTACCACTAGTGGTTTCCCATAAACTGACCTAATCACAAACTAATACATGTAAACTAAGCAAAAGTTTCAAAGTCAATCGACCATGACTGAGGAGGCAGGGCCAAATAATCTTCATGGAGATGAGATGTGCCAATGCTAATATAACTGTATACCAAATATCATTGACCTACCACTAGTGGTTCCCCATAAACTGACCTAATTACAAACTAATACATGTAAACTAAGCAAAAATATCAAAGTCATAGACCATGACTGAGGGGGTGGGGCCAAATAATCTGCATGGAAATATGATGTGCCAATGCTACTACAACTGAATACCAAATATCACTGACCTACCACTAGTGGTTCCACATAAACTGACCTTATCACAAACTAATAAATGTGAACTAACCAAAAGTTTCAAAGTCAGTAGACCATGAATGAGAGGGCAGGGTCAAATAATCTCCATGGAAATGTGATGTGCCAATGCTAATACAACTGCATACCAAATATCACTGACCTAACACTAGTGGTTCCTTACAAACTGACCTAATCACAAACTAATACATTGTTGAAGCCACAGGCAGAAACAGCATACCTATGTTTCGCCTTTTGACTCTGTCAAGGCAAGACAAAAACAATGAGAGCTTACCATGGGAAAGTAAGTTCAAGTTAATGCCTCCTAAAAACAATGGTTAATAATGTTGGATAGAAAAAGCATGTTTCCTTGCAACAGGCCACCAATGGATCTCTCAAAGAGTGGTTGCAAGGGTTCTTTAACCTGAGAGAGCATGACACTCTATCGATACTAAGCATCAGATTTAACGTCCCCTTTCTGATTGGACATGACTGCAAATTTATACATGTCACACAGCCAAACAAATACCCCATTTTGGCAGGTTTTAACTGTCAGTTGAAAGAAGACCAACCAAGGTGACCGTATTTCTATACCCAAGTCACCCTTGGGATTAAAGTGTGTTTATAAAAACAGAGAAGTATATCATAGGATATCAAAACACCAAATTAAAATCACAACTTAAAAATTTGGGTTTTTGCTTGATTTTGCATGTGTTATTTATGACCAAACTTTTTCTTTTTGTATGATTTCTAATTTTAGTTCATTTATATGTTTTGGAGTTTTAGTTTGACACCCATTTTCACTGAACTAGTACACATTGTTGTTTAGGGACCAGCTGAAGCCCAGCTCCAGCTTCTTGCTGTGTTGAAGACCCATTGGTGGCCTTATGCTGTTTTCTGCTCTTTGGTCGAGTTGTTACCTCTTTGACATATTCCCCATTTCCATTCTCAATTTTATTTACATTTGAAATTATGTAAACTTACCTGGTAGTGTTTCATATGGAGCAGGAATAGGATAAATCATAGCAGTGTGGGTCCACTGGGATTTCTCAAAGAAATGTTTCTGTGGATCATGGTGTGGATGTATTAGGTCCTCACAGACATCCCTGCCAACATATATGGTATAACCAAGCAGTCCACTTTCTCTATCATTAAATCCATCCCAGTTTGCTTGAAAAATAAAGAAAACTCATACTTTAAGTTCTTTGATTAACAATACATATATGCTATAGATATTAAAATGGGTAGAAAAGGCACTGTTGAACATTTTGAGGGTTTAGAGCTTTCTTCAAATGTTGAGGACCTTAAAATCCCCTTCAATTTTTATGCAGTCTTTTTGTGCTATTTTCATAAAATTTGTAGAGAAAATGACGCTTTTTGAGAAGGTCTGCAAAAATATTCAAACAAATCAGAACGTTTTATTTTTTATTTTTTCAAAGAACATTATGTAGGAATTCCTTCCTTTTGCAATATTAAATGTTTAAGCTTTTTGTATTTGAATTTATTTCACACAGCTTTTATCAAATATAATACCTGTTATATATGTGTTAAATCTTGTATAAAGAAGATCAGTCATTGGTTCTATACCATTAAAAACTGCTTTAGATCCCTTACCATCAACAATTAACCTGTATGATAAAATAAAATCTATTTTTATCAAGAAACTATTCAACTTTGGAAAAAAAAACAATTTTAAATAAGATTAAATGAAATAATATTTCTTTTTAATTCTATAACTAAAAAATTTGTCTTGAAGACATATATACTCTGGATTCTTTAATTTGTCATGGGTCCAATACTAAGTGGATTGAGGAAAAATTTGTATTTTTGTTGATATTTGATTTCGCTGTTTCCCCATAATCAGAGTATAATCCTAGATAAAGTTTGTACTTCATTGAACATTTAAATTCCTGGTTCACTTTACCCAACGTAATCCACAAAATTTGGTATACCACAAATATGAATGAAACATAAGTGATAAAATTATTGGAAATTTAAAGACAACTGTACCTATGATTTTTGACATTAGGGTTAATTCCTTTACACTGGATAATCCAGTCTGGTCTGTGTAATTCAGGTATGAGTGACAAACAGTCAACACGTTCAAGGTAGTCCTTACTGGCATTTTGAATTTCACCTGTAAATAGAGAAATTCCTTTAATTCACAAGTCAAGTTCTGTAAAAGGTAGCCTTAATTGCAATATATGACAATTTTACCTTAATGATAAACTTCATTGATACTAAGAATTCAAATTCCAATTTCCCTTTAAAACTTGAAAGTTGGTATTTGCTGCTTGTCTTCTAGGCAAGTAGCATTAGGGAGTTTGAATAGTGTGTCTAGGTAGGGGAAATGTTTTCTTGCAGACTACTACCCGTTTGCGAACTAGCACTTTAAAACTCAGGTGCAGATTGTCAGTCTAGTACATTTTCATATCACATTTTAAACATGTTCTCATTCTGATTTTGCATTCAATTTTCCATTTGACATTAAACAGTCATTGTGTATCCAAGTATCATTGTGTCTTTCTTAATTCTTTTTTATTAGTGTCTTAAGGTAACACGATACCGAATGGAATATCTCCCGATTTCTAAAATTTTTGACACACTGGTACTTTGAATCGAGATAGATCGGAATATGAAATAAAAAATGGGGGTCACCATTCTTGTTTTTTTGTAATTTTGATAAGTAAATGTCAATTTTGGCGCCAAATTTACATAGATATATAGGGGAAATGCCTTTTTTTCTACTTACTTTTCTAGATTTTTCAATGGATGGCTATATTCTCATATACGGAGAAAGACTAAAAACTAACATAATATCCAGGATTGTACACCAAATCCATACATGTATAAAAAAACATATGTCACCATCCTTGTTTTTTAGATAAATCGCTTCAAAGATGACCGATACGCTTAGAAATTGACAAAAATATGTGACGTTACGGAATACAGAATAACGTTATTTTTTATTCAGAGGGATTGAAAAAAAATATGTAACGGGATCTGAATGGTGTTTGTTATTTCATTTTCATTCCCCCTGTCGAAAATTTCCTAATAATTCAATATAACATCTAATGAGTTAATTTTATTTCGTCCTAACTGGGTGCACTTTTAGCTTTCAAAACTGAATCTTCAACTTTACTTAACCCTACCAAACTAGACAATGCTGATGACACTGATGTATCCATGCATCAATAAAATAAAGTGCCTCAAAAATTTTATGTAAACAGTGATGTTGAAGTACAATTTGAATTGATTGATTGATGGTTGCTTAACGTCCAGTGGCAAATATTTCATGGATTTTCAGGACGATACAATACAATTTGAAAAGTTATGTCTAAAAGACACATTTGATGCAGCCGTCAAAAAAGATTACACAACCTGTTAGTTGTAAAAATTATAAAGAAAATCAACATCCTGATAAAATACGTATTCTATAAATATAGTATACTCTGTATGATGTAAACGTGTGGGTTGTGTACGTAGTTAATCAGACAAACCTTGCAAACTGTATGCAAAATTTCACTTGAATAGACAAAGTTCAACATTCTGTCATTCGAGGAAAATTATTAAAAAAAGGCGATCCTGAGAATATACATGCAATATAGGTAAAAAAAACTTGGTGCAATATATTATCAAAATGCCAAATTCAGCAACCTGTAATAAAAAAAATTAAAATCTGACAAGATGCGCGTATTGTATACATGTATGTACTAACACCAAGTACATAATTTAAAAGTTACAGCTTTAAAACTGTAATCCTAAAAAAAATCAGCCGTATAAACTCAATATACCAAGTAAGGGACGGACAGTCGAAGGACACGGGTAAAACAATATGCTCCCAGCATTTTGTCAAGGGAGTAAAATATATATTAGCATATATGATAATGTTCTATTTTATAAATCATTTGGTGACAAAATAAGAATCAATCAAAGAACAAACAATTTTTTTAAAAGTTATAATGGCCATTGACAGATACAATATGTACAACGCGGGAGGGGGTGGGGTGAGGGCATTGGAACTGTTTTTTTTAATCAGTTTGTTTTTGCAGTTTGAATAAAATGGGTTAATGAAAATATCGTTTTGTAGCTTGTTTGTGGTCGAAGTGCTTTTCTGGATTAACCTTCATCGAAGCACCGATCATTCATTCATTGTGGGGCCACAGGTTTTTAATTAATCGTTTGATTGTAAATTTCGAGAAATAATCTATTTCAGAATGGAATTGAAAGAAAAAAGATGTAACGGGATCTGAATGATTAAATTTTATTTCGACCTAACCGAGCGAGCATTTAGTGTTGACATTCCATATGTTTAAGCCTTTGTTAACTTTCTCCTTATTCCGATGTAGCTGTCCTGTTTAGACTGTGCTTATAAAATAACAATGCTAGTAGTTTGTTTTAAACAAGCTTCCGACACCATATCGGATTTCTTCTGTACAGTCCAATAAATTTCAAATACTGTTTACACTTGAAACATAGGGAATGTTGTTCGGCCAAATAGCCAATTTCAACAACTCTTCTTTTTTCATTCCATGCCAATAAACCAGTTTCTGTCGGAGTTTGTACGTCTGCTTGCATGGTGTTTTTCCGCTAAATTCTATTGGTATTCTTTTCCAAATAAATTTCCTTTTTCTTTTTTGTTAGCGACGTTTTTCGGTGACCATTTAAAAACGAATGGGCTTCATAGCGGAATTGCATTAATTGTGGTACAATTCCACATATTTTCATACATTATCATGCGTTTCTATAATTTGGATTTCTACTTTCAACCCAGAATAAAAAGCTCCGTCTGTTATGCATAAGAACATATATAGATTAATCGTACACATGCTTACTTATCAATAGAAACAGAAAATTTAAAAAGTACATTTTTAAATGTGAAGAATGAGAAGAAGAATGGGAGGAAGACGCCGAAACAATCAATTTCAAATAACGTACTGCATCAAATCCCTCGACATTCTACATCTATGCAAAGTTACTATTAAAAATGTTAATAAAAATAAAAGGTTTATTTACTATTTATATTTCACCTAAGTGTGATTTTCTTTTTCTCATTTTTGTTCTTTTATTTGAATTGTAATTATGCTAAGATTATTGTTTTGTGATTGAATATGATACGTATAGAAAGCGGCGTTAAAATGAAGGTATTTTTAATATATAATCATATATATTTGCAAATTTGAAATAAAGAAACATTTATCTTTCAACTATTTTATACCAGACTGAGGCAAATTGTTTGTTTAATTCGTTCTAAGTTATTATAAAACATCAGGTTTTACGTTTGCCGTCAATTTCAAAGATGTCGACAACAGCAGGAACGATAACTCGTGGCGTAACGTCATTCGGTATCGTGTTACCTTAATACTGACCCTGTTCACAATTATCTATTTCACATTTCAGATATTTTTAACTTTGAGTAATCTTTTCAAAAGCCTGAAAAGCATACATCTAAATACTTGATTGGCAGATTATGTCAAAAATGTTGATAACCAAATCAACAATATTTTTTATTTTATATTTGGTGTATATTTGGTGAAATAGCAATTAAATTATCCATAGTGCTTAAGGCTTTTAACAAAACAATTTTTAAATAGTCAACAAATAGTAAGCAACAATTGAAACAGCAAAATCAGAGAACTTGAAAGGTTGATACTCCGATAGGAAACAATGCATATAAGTCAGTTGATTTTTTGTTTCAGTTGTTTCCAGACATGTAACAGTGTTGTAAAGTCACAACTAGAGATTTGTAAATTTTTAGCTGAAGTTTGGGCCTCATAACTTTTTGACATTTTTATCAACTTTTCAGTGTTCATTTTTATAATAAAACTATATATTTCCCATTTTTTAAGATAAGAATATAACTATTTATGTTTTCTCTTAACAAGATAAACAAAGAACTAAATTTCGCCTTTGTCATGTAAAACATTGCTTTGAATATAAAATAAGGAGATGTGGTATGAGATGTTGAACTCCTTTTCACCTTTAAACTTTCATATCCAATTTATTATACCTGTGGTTGGTGTAGTTACGTCAAGAAGAACACCCTGTGTGTTGATGATAGACAAATATCCCAGGCTGTTTACAATTCGGAAATTAACAAAGTAAATTTTGTTGTGTTCTAATTGTAACTGGTTGAAGTTGAACTGCTTGGTCTTTGCAACTCCAAGTCTTTCATAGTGGTAAAATAGTCCTGATTTTGATCGTTTGAAATGATAACCTTCAATGGCTTCAACAAGTTCACACATTCCAATGCCAAAGTCATAATTAAAGCTCATACACTTTGTTGGAGGTAAATTAGCACATGCTCTAGCACAGTCTCCGGGAGAATTTTGTTCAGAATCTCTTCCTGCTTTTGGTGCTACTAATTTCCCATGACGAGAGCTTGTAAACATTTTCAATACTTCTCTATTTAGAGGATCAGATTCTGCAAAATTAAATTCATAGATAATGTTAATGGATTAATTGATTTATAAAGTAAGTATACGCCTTTTCTAATTTACAATTTTTCATTGATAAAATTCTAGTCACTGCAACTTGAAAATAAATTGAACTCTTGTCATTCAAGGCTATTAATGTTGAATTCTAGTTGGAAACTGGTTGAAATATGGTCAGTATATGTTGAAATTTGCTTAAACAAAGGTTGAATTTAAATTCTTTAAATTTCTGAAAAAGGGTAAAGTGCTGATTGAAATAAAACAATCTGAATTGATAATACCGTAAATATATTTCACATTTTATAAAACAAGAATGTGTCCATAGTACACAGTTGCCCCACTCGCACTATCATTTTCTATGTTCAGTGGACTGTGAAATTGGGGTAAAAACTCTAATAATGGCATTAAAATTAGAAAGATCATATCATAGGGAACATGTGTACTAAGTTTCAAGTTGATTGGACTTCAACTTCATCAAAAACTGCCTTGACCAAAAACTTTAACCTGAAGGGGGACAAACGGATGATCGAACGAATGGACGCACAGACCGAAAAACATAATGCCCCACTACTATCCTAGATGGGGCATAAAAATATCAGTTTCACTTCATTTAATTTAACCAAGTTTAAGTACAGGAGATGTTGCGTTTAAAATTTTTGTAAAAAAGCAGGTTGATAAAACAAAAATGTCACACCATGATCTAGTGTAACATCATGCTAGGCAACCACTTGATCTCCTAATTTATCAGCAATTTCTACATTTTCACATTGGTCCAACTGCCTAATATTTGTTAAGATGATAGACAGGACTTGATACTTAACAATATTATGCAATGACATCAGGTGTCAGTACAGCAAATGTTCATGTCCATCAGCCTCAATGCTCAATGTAAAAATAAAATGCATGTGACTTCATTCATACCACCGAACAACTATTACCATGTTTTGTAAGCTTAAAAATAGTTGTACTTACTGTTTGATTTTATTTCATATTCTCAACAAAAAAACATACTGTTAAGAGAAATTGACAATGAAAAGAATAATGGCATTTTATTTTTTTATACTGACTTCATCAGCTTGAATATCACTTTGCCCTAGCAGGTTCACTTGAAATTCTTGCTAATAAAGTCAGTATAAAAAAAAAATAATTCCATTATCTTCTATACGTCCTTGCCATAACCTAACCCTAATTCAGTTTCTATTAACCCTACTTCACTTTCTATATGAATTACCTTGACTAACATGGTTTATCACACCATGATCTAGTGTAACATCTTGCCAGGCAACCACCTGATCTCCCCATATGTCCTTGCCATAACCTAACCCTACTTCAGTTTCTAATAGGTCTGAATCTTCATACACACTAATTGATGCTGAAATAACTGATGGGTTGCTGGTTGTCTTGTAATCTTCATCAAATCTTCCACCAGGTAGTGTGACATCATATGTAGATAAGTAGCATGAAGCCTTGGACTTTTGACCTGAATCATTTTCTGCAGTTACCGTAAAGTAAAGTGGGACACCAGACGCTGATAAAACCTATGACAAAATAATCAATTTTTCAAGTAGTAGGTCAAACTAGAGGATCTAAAGAGCCTTTGTCGCTCACCTAGGTCGATGTGCATAATCAACAATGGACTCTCTCCAACATTGTAGACAAGAAAAGAATTCATGTCAAAAATCTCTTTTTTGTTGACCTTGTATTGCTGATCATTTCGTTTGATTAGGTTCTTTCTATCTTCTTTAGTTTTTGCTCAAAACACAAAAAAAAAGGGTAAAAAAATCCTCATTTAAGGGCAATTACTCCTATGAAGTGTGACAGTCTGCTAACTATCTTGGCAAAATTTGACTATTTGTGGATCTTGGCTTACTGATCATTTTTGTTAGGCAATAACTTCAATAAGGAGTCTTTCTAAAATTTCCTCCATATTGTCTGAAATGTAGATCTGGTCTTGCTGATCACTTCATCCTATTTTTGTTATTTAAAGTTTCTATTTATCTATTATAATTTTTAAGATATAAGGCAAAAACGCAAAAAATTGGTAAAAATCATCATTAAAGGGCAATAACTCTAATTAGGAGTTGACTGACAATTTCGACCATGCATACTTATCTGTAGATCTCGTCTTGCTGATAATTTTTGCAACTTAAAGTTTCTCTCTATCTATTAGTTTTTAAGATAATAGGCAAAAATGAAAAAAAATAGTAATATTTATCATTTAAGGGCAATAACTCCTATAAGAAGTTGCTTGACAGTCGTTACATCAATGAACAATTGGTAGAGCTCAACATTCTGAACATTTTTGCCTTGTCAGATTCTTTTCTATTTATAACTGTTTTCAAAATAAAAGACAAAACTTGCATTTTACCCCTATGTTATATTTTTAGCCATGTCAGCCATCTTGGTTGGTAGGCAGGGTCATCCGACACATTTTTTTAACTAGTTACCCCAATGACGATTGTGGACGAGTTTGGTTAAATTCGGTCCGGTAGTTTCAGAGGAGAAGAATTTTGTAAAAGTTAACACACGATGAAGGACTACGACGACGGACACCAAGTGATGAGAAAAGCTCACTTGGCATTTTAGGCCAGGAGAGCTAAAAAGCATTAATGAAATGCACGTTAGCGTTTGTGTCTTGTAATTTTGTTTTATTAAATAAAAGAAAAATGGGTCCACAGATGCCCCTGCTTGTAAATATGCAATCGTCAATAATGGAACATAACTAGAGAACAGTGAAAGTGATGCCACCCAAATTTCGAACTTTCTTGTAAGCAATTTTGCTGCATTTACTGCCTTTTTATGGCTGTCTTACCCACATAAAACAAATATTATAAACCAAGACGGCAATGATTTGTTAAAGATTTTACATTTCATTCTGAAAATAAACAGCTGCGCCATGAGCGCATGATAAGCCCGTCGTCTTGTGTGTGAATTTTTATGCAATAAGCATAAATAGTTTCTGACATACGGTGTGACATGCGAAAACCCCCTTTTTTTTTTATAAAAAACTCAATATCTCTAAAATAAAATTTTGAATCAAAACCAAAAAGTATACAGATCTTTAGATTAATATAACTAAGAAGTGTGTAAAATTTTAAGCAATAATCATAAATCGATTTTTGAGATAAGGCGCGACATGTGAAAACCCCCCTTTTAAAAAAAAAAAAACAATATCTCAAAAATAAAATTTTGAATCAAAACCAAAAAGTATACAGATCTTTAGATTAATATAACAAAGAAGTGTGTAAAATTTTAAGCAATAATCATAAATCGTTTTTGAGATACGGCGCGACATGTGAAAAACCCCTCCCCCTTTTTTTTTACAAAATACTCAATTACTCAAAAATAAAATTTTGAATCATCACCAAAAAGTATACAGATCTTAAGGTTAATATAACTAAGAAGTGTGTAAAGTTTTAAGCAATAATCATAAACTGTTTTTGAGATACGGTGCGACATGTGAAAAACCCATCCCCCTTTTTTAACAAAATACTCAATATCTCTAAAATAAAAATTTGAATCATCACCAAAAAGTGTACAGATCTTAAGATTAATATAACTAAGAAGTGTGTAAAGTTTTCAGCAATAATCATAAATTGTTTTTGAGATACGGCACGACATGTGAAAAAAAACACACACCTGTTTTAGTTACTAAGTCCCGTAACTCAAAAAGTTTTAATCTTATTTTCACCAAAAAGTATACAGATCGTTTGACCATCATAAGAAACAACTATGTTAAGTTTCATGAAATTTGGATAAGTCATTCTCAAGTTACGGTGCGACATGTTTATGCCGGACAGACAGACAGACGGACGCCGGACATTTGTATACCATAATACGACCCGTCAAAAATTTGACAGGCGTATAAAAACAGAGAAAACTTGAAAAATTTGATTTATTTTGGCCAATTTGTCCCAAAATCATCTATTCTCCTGTATGTGGTCTTAGTTTTCCTGTCAACATTCGTTTTCTTTTATTTTTCAGTTTGCTATAATGTACAAATTATATATATAGTAATCCCCATTTACACCATTGGGTAAACTAAGCTGAAACAGCAACGCCAGTTGTAAATTTAAAGAAAAAAATCAATCCAACCTCAGATAAAATAGTGGATGGACCACCAAGTTCCTTTTTGTTCACAACATCATGTCCACCAGGTACAGTTCCTACATCTAGATATAAATTGACTCCACTCCTGTCATCCCCAGCATGGATTGAAACTTCAAAACGAGGCTCTTTGTAATCAAGATTTGGAATCTGCCGTACTAAACATTGAGCTGATGACCTCTTTTTCTGAAAAAAAAGGGTATGGACTACAAATTCTAAGTATTCAGATTAGAATAATTTTAAATTCCTGGAATTAATACTAAAGATATATTGAATCCTCAGACTACCCATTTGAATCAAAATAATAGATTTTATTGCTATTTATGATTCTGAGACTCTTGACCTGGGATTTTAAAACACCTGTCCTATGTACATAATACTACTTTATCAATGATGTCTACCTTTCCTCTGTTGATGGTTTACAAAACTATTGTCCATCTTAAATATTATAGCCACCCTTCCCCTGTTTTTTTATCAGTGGTCTAATCTTTCCCTGTTTGGTCATCAATTATGCCTGCCTGTCCTGTTTGTTTTATCAATGTTGCCTACCCATCCCCTGTTTGGTTCATCAATGGTGCATGCTAGTCCCCTGTTTGGTTTATCAATGATGCATACTACTTGTCCCCTGTTTAGGTTATCAATGTCGCCTGCCCATCCCTGTTTGTTTTATCAATGTCGCCTGCCCATCCCTGTTTGGTTTATCAATGATGCCTGCCTGTCCCCTGTTTGGCTTATCAATAATCCATACCCATACCTGTTTGGTTTATCAATGATGCCTGCCCAACCCCTGTTCGGTTTATCCATGATGCTTGCCCATCCCTTATTAGGTTTATCAATAATGCATGGCCATCTTCTGTTTCATTAATCCATAATGCATGCCGGTCCACTGTTTGGTTTATCAATGATGCCTGCCCATCCACTGTTTGGTTTATCAATGATGCCTACCCACCCCCTGTTTGGATTATCAATGATGCCTACTCATCCCCTGTTTGGTTTATCGATGATGCCTACTCATCCGCTGTTTGGTTTATCAATGATGCCTGCCCATCCCCTGTTTGGTTTATCGATGATGCCTACTCATCCCCTGTTTGGTTTATCAATGATGGCTACTCATCCCCTGTTTGGTTTATCATGATAAGCTTTGCATAATTAGGAATCCTTTACTATGATTAGTGTACAAGAATGTCTGGCACTCACTCAATGATTTTTTTAACGAAGTTAACTAATGAAGTTCAGAAGACTCTATTTGCAACCAATATATATAGCATGACTGCTTACCCATGTTGATTCCACCCAATATTCATGCGTAATACAAATCACTTGTGTTCTTACTGGGAATAAACCAAGAGGTACATTTTCAATACAAATGATCAAATACCTATATATGACAACAACACTTCAAAAAGTCTGCAATTTTATGAAACTTGGTCAGCAATTGTTTCGCCAGCAAGGCAGACATCATCACGACAATTTACACACAAAAACTAAGTACTGAAGTATAAAGCTTTGTACACTAAATTTTGATGTCACAATGTGTGTTGCTCTGGGAAAAAGAAATGAAAAGTAAAAGTAGAGAGTTATAAATATATCAGATAAATATAAATTATATGATGCATGCCATTGTTCTAAGGGCTTGATATTTAATGGACGAACTTCCCATGGTCCCTACCAAATCAAGTAGATAAAAGATTTTAAACCTATAATGCTTACCCTTTCACTAGCTGAATCTTCAATGAAGGGTTTTATAGCTGGACCAGTTTTATCTACTTCACCCTTCCTACTATCAAGCAGCTTTGCTCTTATTGTTGGAGCTGTGTATTGCCAAAGGGTTGCTTTAAACAACGTTATTGTTATGGTTTTAAAGATCAATGAGACATCTACTGTTACTAAAGCCTTCAGTTTTAGGCTGATCGGTATTAGTTCAAGGTACATGGTAATTCTACAAAGAACAAACCAAAACTTCAGTTACATTGTGTTTCACATCTGACTCACAATTTGATGCTTTAATGTCTTAAATATATGACATTACAGTTTAGGAAAAGGACAATTATTACTGTTTGTATTAAATCTATTTAAAGTCCCTTTGTAAATTTCTAGAGTATAATTAGAGAATTCTTGTTCATTTTTTTTTAAAACCAAAAGTTCACCTATCTTCATCACAATTTATGAATGTGTACATATATGGTATGGGTTTTGCTCATTGTTGAAAGTTGTACACTGACCTGTAGATTACATCCTTGTCATATGGTCTATGTTAATCACAGACGATTGCATTGAGTGTGTACATAAAGGTAGAAACCTTGGTTAGCTGCTTGCTAGCTGAACTGTGAAGTCATTAATAGGTAAGGTATACTTTGGAAGAAGTCTAGTCCTACAGACAGATACTGTGGATTCATTTATTTTCGTGGGTATCAATTTTCGTGGATAGAGAAAAAAAGACGTTTCGTGGTATACGTAAGTTCATGGATCGCTAATTACAAAAAAAAAAAAATCAGATCATAATTCGTGGATTTCTTATTGATTTAGAAGATCATATAACCTCCTTGGTTTGATCAATAATAAAACAAACAAAAAAGAAGGAATTCATTGAAAAAGTTTTGAATTGTCAAAATCCTCGCTTAGTCATTCTAGGTTAAAGTGTTCATTGAAAACTTCTATTACAATAATGGACAGAGACAACTAATTATTTGTTTGTTTTACAATTTATAAATTCTTGTCGGAATTTTATAAGGCATTCAAAACTCTATGATTGAAAGCTTATTTCCCTAATCACGATATAATAAACAGTAATATAAGTAAAAGGTGTGAAAATAAATGTTCCTGTCATAAACAATATTACCTACGGGCAATACTCCCGTACTTATTCTATTGATTTTTAATCACCAGTAAACCAAACTATGACACGGTAATTAACAACTTGCAGTTATTTTCCATGAACAATTTTAATCAATTTTAAAACGTAAATTATCACTGATATTCGATATATTTATTATTGATTTAATCAAAATACTTGTATCGTCTTCATTAAAAACACGTGTTATGTTACAATGTTTATCGCTAGTCAACACTATACTAGAACTGCATAACATAACCGGAAATAAACATCCGACTCCATACACATTTCTCGGGATTATTCTTCGTTGAATTCTTAAATTTGTGGTTCGCTGTGACCCATGAAACCCACGAAAATTGGTATACCACGAATAAAAATGAATCCACAGTAGATTGGTTATCTGTCGGACTAGTCTCCTTTTAATGGAGGGTAGTTTACCTAGCATAATAATAACTTCACGGTTCAGCTAGCAAGCAAGCTAACTAAAGGTATTATCTTTATCTACACACTCAATGCAATCGGCTGTAAGTGGTCTCGATTGTATTGTAGGGTATTGGAAAGTTTTTTTGCATTTGAATGGTTTTACACTAGTAATTTTTTAGGCCCATTATAGCTTGCTGTTCGGTATGAGCCAAGGCTCAGTGTTGAAGGCCGTACTTTGACCTTTAATGGTTTACTTTTACAAATTGTGACTTGGATGGAGAGTTGTCTCATTGGCACTCATACCACATCTTCTTATATCTAATCATTCATATCACATTGCCTTATTTTTCAAATATCTATACCATAAATTCAGAAATTATTGCCAGTTTTTCATTAATGCAAATAATAGGACAGGGTGGGTCTCACAATAATTAGAACTTGAATTCTGATATCTGATACATACATCTGTATACAGATTTTCCTGAAATAGTAATAATTAATCTCACATTTTTGTCCCATGCTAAAAGATTGCAATAATAAATGCACACAATAATTTCTGAATTTACAGTATCAAATGAATGATATCAACATGAGCATAAAACAGCCAGATAAGGCCATAGTAGCAATTTTCAATCACTTAAAAGATTTTTGCACTTTGGTAAAATACATTTTTACATAAATACATTTACCCAACATCAAGGGGAAACTTGTTGAATGCTACTTCAGCTGTTGTTGGGAACCTCAAATCCATTATATATCCCTCTAGTCTAAGCTTGACAAACAGGACACCAACGCCTATTCCAACTTCTCCATAAACAAGAAATCCGACATATGGTGTTACCTTAGCTAATCCTTTCATTTGCATAATCTCTACACCTACAGCAAACTTCACACCATAATACATCCCAATGCCAACAGCTACAAAACAAAGGAGAAATATTTAGTTTATAATATTATAGGTTTATTGCATGAATATTAGTGAATATTGTCCAGAGTAGACTTTTATGTTGTATCAGCTTGCAGGAGCAATATATACTCTATGAGGGTAAATATTCATTGTATAGCAAAGTTTGAAATACTGTTTAAAACATATTTTTGTTGCTGATGCTTTAATAATTTGAAGCTATATTTGCACTAGTACGAAATCCAGGAATGTTGCATCCTATGTTCTGTGGAAAATATTATATTGCTATTAATAATTTATGATATGTTCTGTGGAAAATATTTTATTGCTATGAATAATTTATGATATTTCTATATCTCCAATCATTCGTCAACTTGTCACTTTTTTTAACATTTTTTTGGGCAATGAAACAGTTTTAATCTATATCAGAAACAGTAAAAAATGAATTAAATATGGGCATGCCCCAATTCATTCAAAATTTTTAACTTTCAACCCTGGCTACATTTTTCAGTTTGACTAACACAAAAAAGCTGTTTAGATGAAGATGCATCCAAATAATTCAGCAATACTTTGGTAAATTGCATGAAAGAAATCAATTAATTAAATAAAATATGTTTTAACTAAATACATACTATACTTCAGTGTGACAAATCCACCAATTATTACAAATCCAAACCCAAGTGGTGGTGGAAATTCTTTTAATATACTTTGGGTAGGCATTGGAATTTCTTGCCACAAGACAAGATCCTCAGATTTAAAAATGTCTGATTCTCCACCAAGTATATCTGATAAAAATTCTGATAACTGAAAAAAAATTAAAATATTCATTAGGTGAACATTTAACATTCCTAATCTTCTTTTTTGTATATGCTTAGCCACATTTTCTTAATAAACTAAATGCTTATCATCAAAGACTTTGCTATGTGGCCTGATGGTTTTCTTTTTATGACTTGCATCTGACAGAGAGAAAAAATAAATTCATCAATCAAATAATAAAAAGAAACAAAATTCCACAGAAATGATGATACATACTATTCAGCCTTTTGAATAGTATTGTTTTCAGTTTCAATGTCTAAGATCAACAACTAAACGCTTGTATTTTTTTTTAAATGAACCAAAGTAAAAAATTGAAAATAAATTATGTCATATTTTCAAAAATTTGTGGGAATTTTATCTACTGATTATCAGAAAGTTATTGGACAGGCAATTAAAGGAAATATTACCAAAGCTCTGTGAAGATCTCTCAGCTCATCCATCAATTTTGACACTTCTACTGGGTCTACATTTTTCACATCCAAGAGATTTTCAATATCTCCAATTGTCATCTTGGCAAGTTTTTGTCCCAGCAATTTTAATCCATGACTTGTTAAACCATGTCCAACAACAAATGCTTGATCACTTCTACCTGCTATGTCTGATGTACTGCTCCCAAGCATCTTTTGTATTTCATCTCCTGGCAATAAAATGTTTTTAATTGATATAATTCAAGTTAGAGTTAATTCCCTTTGTCACCATGTTGCAGTTTAATGTACACAAATTTCTTTAAGAATCAACCAAATCAAATTTGTAATATTGACCTCCAGACTTAACAAAGAGTACTTTTCTTGCTAGTTTTATTTGTTTCTGCCTTGTTTAATACATCACTACAATGTAGTAAGGATTTTTTATCAGACTTGCTTGTACCACATGTTTAAACTTTATAGTAGGTCAAACAATCAGAAAAATCGACCAGTTTGCCCTCTAACATGGTCGTCAAAGGGAAATAACTCAATATCAAACTATACATATGCCAATGGAAAACTATCTATTCATATGTAAAATTATGTATTCCTACATATAAACATCAGAAAGAAATCAACAATGTGTCAACAGAACACCATGCTCCACTTGCATTATTATATTTCAATATTTAAAGGACCACAAAATCTAGGTCATAACCTTAATTTGGCACATACAAGTTCACATCATAATAAACGTGTGTACTAGGATTTTAGTTTTTTTCCTTTACAGTGCTAGAATGTCAGAGACTTTTTTTGTAAATTTGTAGGTTTCATTGCTTTGGCTTTCAAGAAATTACTGTAAGAATTTGGTGTTATGAATTTGTACACCATATGCCTTCTGTTCTTTCAGAGTAAAAATCTAGGTCACATTGCATTTTCTTGAAACTACCAGATTGAGTGTTGAACTCCTACCATTGTGGTAACGGACTTAGTACTCAGTGAGAAATATGTTGTTTAACTGCCTAGACCACTCTGTAAAAATTAGAATGCCTTCTTTATTTTATGGTATTATTCACTTCACTGAAATTATCAAAATAAAAAAATCTTTCATACCTCCTGTAACTGACTCTGATATTTCAGTGTCAACTGCTATTGCAATTGTGGCAGGATTGTTCCAACCAAGAGCCTTCATAGCTGATTTCCCACTTGTTTTGGTGTCTGTAACTGATAGAACAGCTCCTTTCAAATTTTCTTGTATCAAATTCAACTTAAAGAAAGAAAAAGTCCTAATATTAGAATACATTGAATTTAATCAAAACAGATTTATATTAACCATACAAATGAACCATACAATGACTGTTCAAAAGCTAACTATGCAATATGGGTTTTGTTCATTGTTGAAGGCCCTACAGTGACCTATAGATGTTAACTTCTATGTCATTTGGTCTTTGGTGGAGAGCTGTCTCATTGGTATTCATACCACATCTTTTTATTTCTATATAAAAGTAGGTACACACATAGATGAATATAATATTTTTTTTGGAAGGAATGATCAAGAATGGAATTGTGAAATGCAGGAATAAACAGCTAATTAAAACTTTATCATAATATACAACCAACTGCCCTTTCATTTGTGGTGGTATACAGATTTTTTTTAAAGTGTTTTGTTAAAATATTTGCATATCAAAAGTGGTATTTTATGACATAAACATAGTTTCAGTACAAAATATTCATTGGTGTGTCGATGAAATCAATAGTAAATATTACTTCTGTTCCCCCATCTTTAAAAGGAGCAAAACTGTCAGTATTAGTCTATCAAACATAAAACATTTAACAAAATGGTGCTGTTTTCAATATTTTTCACAACTAAAAAAGATTCATGGTTTTAATAAATATTTCGTTTTTTTTTTTAAATTTTCAATTAAAATATTATTAATAAAAGAAGAATGTGTCTGAGGACATGAATGCCACCGCTCAAACTTTGCAATGAAAATGGGACAGACGGAAAAACAGACGGTCAAGGGTAACACTTAATGCCCCTGTCGCCTATCTTGCCTAAAATTCATCCTCTGATTTAAAAGTATACACAATATGGAAATATTAAAACTGATGACCAGTGATTACAATGATTTCATTACCTCATACTCTTTAACTTGTTCAAGATATTTCTCTATTTCTTCTGACGAAGCCTGTCTCTGCATCAATATTTTGATACCTTCTTTAAAATTCGATGCCATGGGTCTGGAAAGTTACAAAATATAAATTGAAAACAAATATCTAAACTTTTGAATGGAATGTATCACAAATGAATTTAACCCCTATCTACTTTTATGACAACAAATTTGTAACATCTTTTATTTCATAAATAAATTTGAGTGAACTTTAAATACAACATTATATTTTTCCTGAGTTATCAAATAGCTACATTGTATATTTTCTAATTTCTGTTGATTTAAGTCCTCTGTTTTGTGTGGGCATAATGAACAGGGCAGCAAATTCCTAAAAATATTCTAATTTTTGTCCCATTTCAATTTTCAAACTTTTTTTGTGTGTGTATAAATAGACATAACAACCCCCTTTCCCCAAAAAATTAAACTGTTCGTACCAGTGGTAGTCATTTTCTCGCCAATTGCAACTTTTCTCCACTGTTAGTGACATCAACTAGTCTTTTGAAACTTCAACTTGGACTATCATTTATATGCTGTGAACACAAGGTCTACTTTTCAGGACTGCAAATTACTTCCTTGTGTGAATCAATGTATAAAGTCCATTCCTTGACTGTTTTTAAAAGCAGATCTTGTGTTCACCTTGTATAAATCAGTCACTGACAGTTCATGTTAAATTTGCAAAGGCCTGTCAATGTAACTCTAAGCGGTGAACAAACACACTTGGTAAAAGAAAAATGACTGCAGCTGGGACACAGTGACATTTTGGTTCAATGTAAGAACTTTTCATAGTTAGAAGTTGATGGAACATACCTGAACTTTCAAATAATAATCAAACAGCTAAACTCTGAAATTATGGAAAACTGTTGGCCCCTAAAACCAGATTTTGGACAGAAGCCAAAATTTTAGTCTTGCAGGGTTACATTGGTTTATAAAATCCATGAATAAACACCTGCTTTTTATGGACTTTCAATATAACTACTACATCCCTTCCCCAGCTTTATCATGAAGGGATAATAACACTATACTGTTCTACCATATCTTATCGAAGATTACATTAAAAACATACATACTCTGTAATAGATCTTCTTCTTCTCTTCTTGCGTTTAGATGGTGAACAAACCATAGTGGAATTTTCCAATAACGTGAATTTACTACAAAATTCTGCAGCCAAATAACAAACTTGTAGGTTCAAAGTTACTATATAAGGATTAAGTCCTGAAGCAAGGGTATAATTATACTGAAAAGTGTCTCCAATGTCCTCAGTCACTACTTTATCTGAAAAGTAAGACAAAATCTTATTAATACTTAGAGCAACAATGTTAAAATTTATTTTCTACTGTTTTAATAATAATTCATTACAGATCATTATAAAGCCAGCATTACCAGAGATCAAATAGAAAAATATAGACAGCACTTGTACCTAGCTACCTTTAAAATTTCTATAAAATGAAAGTATTGATGCATTTTTCCCCATGGAAATGGGAAACAGTTTAATTATCCTGGTCTTGAAATCTTTAAATTCAGTCCTCTAAAATGAAACTTGAATTGCAAAGCCATGATTTATAGCTGAACTCATGGTATAAACACTTGCATGTTTCATTTCTGTTTGTTGACCTTCATTAGTATTTTTTGCTTGTTATATTGCCTGTCAACTGGTATATCCAAACTGTTAATTGAATTAATATGTACTCCAGAAATAAGTTAGTTTAAGTCATGTATTGTCTTCAGTTTTTTTAATATTGGATGCTCCCTTCAATATACTGCAAATTCAGAAATTATTGTGTGCATTTATTATTGCAATTTTTAAAGAAAGGACAAAAATATGAGATTTTTATCATTTCGATTTCAGGAAAATCTGATACAGATATATGTATCATATATCAGAATGTGAGTTTCATATCATTGCGATGATCACCCAGTTGCATTATCCACATTAATAAAAACCTAAAAATAATTTCTGAATTTACAGCAATTGCTTAAAGTATAGTACTACATATTTCAAGTGTTCTTCTTATCAATACATAACACTTTTTTCTTATAAAACAAACCTGGTTCAGGAGTTTTCTGCCAAACTTTCCTTTCAATACTATACTTCAGTTTACCACACGAACTAAAGAGGAATGTCACGTTGATACTCCTTTGTCCATTTATAAAAGTGAGAGGTAGACAACATGCTATACCCTGACAGTCAGATGTAGCTGAGCAAACTGTTGATCCATAGGATGTCAAACTTATATTGCAATCTACAATGTAAATGAATACTATGGATTCATTTATTTTTCTTGGGTTCCAATTTTCATGGATTGATGATTTTAAAAGTATATGTGTACAATCCTATAAGAAGTTTGAATTTGTGGTTCACCTTTTACCAACAAAATCTCCAAAAAATTAGTACCCAACAAATAATAATTAATTCTCAGTAATTAAACAAGTACAGTCAAACCTGTATATAAAGGTCATCCTTTTAACTGACCTTATAAGTGAGGTAATGTTTGATTTGAAGTTTAATATGCATGTATACTAATGTGGGACAAGAAGAAGGTGACCTGACAAGACAGGTTTTTGCTTACTAGAGGTGACCTTTATAGGTTGTAATTATGTAAATATAGATAATGCAATTCCCATAGGAACTCCTTTTACAGCTTAAACTGAGCCACTTTTACTATGAAGTTTCATAAAAAGTTATATCCTGGAATGCAAAGTCTACATGCACTACTATTTTTTGCAAAGGTCAAAACATAGGGTTGTGCAGCATATTTTCAGCATTTATATGCCTCAAACTTCCAAAAGTTCAAACTTATACTAAAATTCTGTACTATCCCTGCCTTTACTTTGAATCTGCCTGAGAATTCAATGTGATCACTATCCAACTGTATTTATACTGGTAAATTTCTAAATTGCATCTCTATGAGAAGAAACATGGAGATCATATCTATGAACCAGTTACATAAACAAACCAAATAAAATGCTTCGCTGAGCACAGCCTGATACGACCGCAGAGGTCCAACCCTGAACAGTTGGGGCAAATTTGGACACAATATTCAAGCTTGATACTGTCTGAATTTGGATTGTAATCAAATTTTTGACATAATATAGGTTTCTGACACAAAATAAATGTGGTCAAAGATCTTATAAATCCATTGCGCAATACTGTGCAATTGAAGATTTCTTCTTGAAACTTTTCAAAAATTCGAAATTAAAAAAAATTTGAAAAAAAATATGAATCCCTTAAAAAAAAATTTGGAAAAAAATCCCCCCCCTCCAACTTTTTGAAACCCCCCTTGGAGCAATAACCCCAAAACTCAATCCCAGCCTTTCCTTTGTAGTATGGAACCTTGTAGTACAATATCAGAGAGATCCATACACTTACACACAAGTTATTGTCTGGAAACTAGAAGAATGCTTGTTTTTGGCCCTTAATTCCTAAACTGTTGGCCCCATAACCCCTAAAATGAATCCCAACCTTCTACTTGTGGTATTAAACATTGTGGTACAATTTCAGAGCAATCGAAATGCTTATACACAAGTTATTATCCTGAAACTAGAATAAACAGCTGCGCCATGAGCGCATGATACGCCCGTCGTCTTGTGTGTGAATTTTTATGCAATAAGCATAAATAGTTTCTGACATACGGCGTGACATGCGAAAACCCCCCGTTTTTTTTACAAATAACTCAATATCTCTAAAATAAAATTTTGAATCAAAACCAAAAAGTATACAGATCTTTAGATTAATATAATTAATATAAGTAAGAAGTGTGTAAAATTTTAAGCAATAATCATAAATCGTTTTTGAGATACGGCACGACATGTGAAAACCCCTCCTTTAAAAAAAAAAAAAAAAATCAATATCTCAAAAATAATATTTTGAATCAAAACCAAAAAGTATACAGATCTTTAGATTAATATAACTAAGAAGTGTGTAAAATTTTAAGCAATAATCATAAATCGTTTTTGAGATACGGCACGACATGTGAAAACCCCCCCTTTAAAAAAAAAAAAATCAATATCTCAAAAATAATATTTTGAATCAAAACCAAAAAGTATACAGATCTTTAGATTAATATAACTAAGAAGTGTGTAAAATTTTAAGCAATAATCATAAATCGTTTTTGAGATACGGCACGACATGTGAAAACCCCCCCTTTTAAAAAAAAAAAAAGTCAATATCTCAAAAATAATATTTTGAATCAAAACCAAAAAGTATACAGATCTTTAGATTAATATAACTAAGAAGTGTGTAAAATTTTAAGCAATAATCATAAATCGTTTTTGAGATACGGCGCGACATGTGAAAAACCCCTCCCCCTTTTTTTACAAAATACTCAATAACTCAAAAATAAAATTTTTAATCATCACCAAAAAGTATACAGATCTTAAGGTTAATATAACTAAAAAGTGTGTAAAGTTTTAAGCAATAATCATAAATTGTTTTTGAGATACGGCGCGACATGTGAAAAACCCCTCCCCCTTTTATAACAAAATACTCAATATCTCTAAAATAAAATTTTGAATCATCACCAAAAAGTATACAGATCTTAAGATTAATATAACTAAGAAGTGTGTAAAGTTTTAAGCAATTATCATAAATTGTTTTTGAGATACGACGTGACATGTGAAAAAAAACACACACCTGTTTTAGTTACTAAGTCCCGTAACTCAAAAAGTTTTAATCTTATTTTCACCAAAAAGTATACAGATCGTTTGACCATTATAAGAAACAAATATGTAAAGTTTTATGAAATTTGGATAAGTCATTCTCAAGTTACGGTGCGACATGTTTACGCCGGACAGACAGACGGACAAGTTTGCCCCTGCTTAAGAGAGCCGCATCGTCCTATGATATTTTCTTATCGAGGTAGAAGGACAGACAGACAGACGGACGGACGCCGGACATTTGTATACCATAATACGTCCCGTCAAAAATTTGACGGGCGTATAAAAATGCTTGTTTTGGGCCCCTAATTCCTAAACGGTTGGAACCATCATCCCCAAAATCAATCCCAACCTTCCTTTTGTGGTATTGAACCTTCTTAAAAAATTTCATAAAGATCCATTCACTTAAACTAAAGTTATTGTCCGGAAACCAATGTGTCTTCGGACGATGATGCAGACGACATCATACCATTATACGATCCCAAAAAATTTTTTGCGGCCGTATAAATATATATGAATATTAAGCATCTCCCCAAAAGACGTATGTTTTGTGAATCAGATGTATTCACAAAGTGCATCCTATAGCCAGTTTGACTGTATTCATTGGTAAACTACTGATATTCACTATAAAAGATGTAAGATAAACTACTAAACTATCAAAATTCGTCTATGACCATGTTATACATACACCTATTTGATAACAAAAAGCATCCTTACCTTTTGCAGGTTTTAGAGGTGAACACTGTATCTGTTGCCATAAATCAAATGAAATTCCTGAAATACATAAAACAAAATTAAATAAAATTCTGTACTTATACAAACATAACAAGTGCTTGTTCTCAAGTATTTATTATGTCTTTCCACTTTTCTATGGAAAAACCTTCTGATTTCTTTCTGGGTTCTTTTTTTCTCTTCTGCCAAATTTTCTTCTTGTAATTTTTGTTTCTCAACATGTTGCTTAGATATTTAGTAAGTGATATTGTACATTTCATGAGCTTTTAAATTTGACCCTGCAAAGCCGAACAATTATCTTTGTACGAGTTATCTCCCTGAACACTGTTTTTCTTGTTAGGGAGCTACCATTTGATTTTTAGGGGGGGGGCTAGGATGAAAAATTGTGTCCTGCATTTTTTTTTTTTGTTGTAATCTCGGTCCTGCCTTTTTGTTTCTACTTTATTCGGTCCTGCTGTTTTTTTTATTAGTTTATCCTGACTTTTTATACATAGTTTGTCATCCTGCCTTTTTTTTTTGCCAAGTTGCTCATCCTGCCTTTTTTTTTTACTCAAAACTTCTGTCCTGCCTTTTTTTTCAAATTTCATCCTAGCCCCCCTCCCCCCCAAAAAAATCAAATGGTAGCTCCCTTATGCAACTCCTTTGATGCCATATAAGAAACCCCCCAAATTTTTGTTTTCTAAATCTATCCAAAATATCATTATATCCTCAGGATTTTCTAAATAATGAAGGTTATTTCGATCCCATTATGTTTTCGACAAGTGAAATGTAATTGTAACACATAAACCATAAGTAATAGAGACCTAGGCTAAAGTCAATGGTCAAGGTCATGTTTTAAATTTAACTTATTATTGCTTCTCCTAAGAAACCATATAAGATATCAACAAATTATTTTTACTCAAATGTTAGTAACATGTATATTTTGGTTGAAAGGGTATGCTGACATTTAAGGAGAGTATTCTCCCCTCTTATATTTAAAATTAGCTGCATGGCAATATAACTGATTAGCCATATATAGTATAGAGACCTAGAGTATTTTGATTTGAGATCCTTCCTTTATGATCTCAAATTGATTTCAAGGTCAGCTTCATTTGAAGTTCTAGATTTTGACCTTTCCTGTAACTTTCTTACTGATAAATAAAGTCAAAGGGTCTTGTAAAAAATGGTTGCCTTTTTTTGTACTATTTACATGTAAAAGTTACTAGAACCATATTTTTTGGATTCAGTCTGGTAATCTATCATATACAACCAAAAGGGATTTTTTTCAAACCAGAAGTAGCAACTTAAATCCCTCATTTCAAGCAAAAGTATACTGAACCATATATTTTTGGAATCAGCGTAAAGTAATCTATCATCTGACACCCAGAATGAATTATAAACTAGAAGTTTAATATTTTCATTTCAAAATATCGGCATTTGGAGATGGAAACACCTTAAATTGTTATCTGGATTGGTTTTTAATTTTAACTTTATTCCTGTCATGTAAACTATTTAAAAAATTTAAGAAACACATATCAAGAATCAAGAGATAACAGACATTTATGATTGATTGATTGATTATTTGATTGTTGGTGTTTGAAACCACTTTCAGCACTATTGGCTATATCCTGGCAGTCAGTTTTCATTGCAGGGGGAAGCAGGAGTGCTTAGAGAAAACCACAGACCTACGGCAGGAAAATGACCATGCTAGTAAATTTAGATTAGAGTAGAACGCTCCGGCCACATGTAGGGTTCGAACTCACCACCTCAGTGCTGACAGACTAGTGCTACCCTAGATAAACTACTTAGACCACTGGGCCTGATCTGTATGAGCCTGATACTTACATTACAAATAATATAGAAACAAGCTATAAATTTTCATTTATTTGCAATTTTTTTCATTTTTTCATTAGAAAAAATATGGTTTTCCTTCAACTTAATAAATGATGTGAATATAAATTATGCAATATGAAAATTGCTTTTTCAGTAAAATTGACAAAAGTGGCTAGTGGAAATTGCAAATTTAATACCACACTTTCTAGATGAAGAATCATGCATTTAATTCATTAGGCCAGAGATAATATCTAAATTTAGTCTACTATTCTTTGGTCAATCTTATTGAAAACCTCGATAATCATTTAATTGACTCTTTGGTAATTGTTTTCACATTGCTTATTACCAGACAAGGCATTTTTATAGACCAAAACATGTTACAGTATACCATCAGTTCTAGAAATCTGTAATCTTACAAATGTGTATGCAAGTTTGCATGTGGAACTGCATTTGAGTATGTAAGAGGAGATTTACATGAGTATAACTTTTAAAATTTCCACTATTATACCTGACAAATAGAAGTAAAAATATACAGATAAGGTAATTTGCAGAATAATTTTTAAATAAGAAACATTTTTGGAGTTGAGTGTGACATCCATTTTCATTTAACTAGTACACATTTTTGTTTAGGGGCCAGCTGAAGCCCGCCTCCGGGTGCTGGATTTTCTCACTGTGCTGAAGACCCATTTGAGACCTTCGGCTGTTTTCTGCTCTTTGGTCGGGTTGTTGACACAATTCCCCTTTCCATTCTCAATTTTATTTTGAATCAAGTCAAGTTTTTTGCAATTTTTATGTTTATATCTTTTCAAATAATCATTTCCATTTCCACATGTTCTACCTCTATAGTTTTCATAGAAACCAGTGAGATTATTTATATACCAATTTCCATAATAACTGCTCATTCAGAACTTTGTGCATGGATTTATAACTGATGTTGTTGAGCAATAGACAAAAACTATGAGATTGTGAAATTGCGATGCAGCGCTAGAATAATACTATCAAAATTTAAAAATAATAGTTTTTATTTTTTAGGAAACTTATCCTGTCACAATTTTCATAATAATAAAAACCTCACAAAATTTTATGAATTTACAGTAAATTAGACCAATAGCCCCATCAAAGCCACCACATCTAGTTAGGACAGTGAAATTAAGATCAGACCTGACCATTGCCCATTCTGTTTGCAGAACCTACCTTTTATATTAATTGTTGCCTTGTTCTCAACCAGTATAAGTGTGAAATTACTACCACTAGAAATTGAACAATATCAAACAATCAGTTAGTATTCTGTGTAAATAAAACTTAAGTCTTACATCTGAAAGTTGTAGAAATCAAAATATTCAATCCTACATAAATTGATATGTTCAAACCTTTGAAAGGGACTCTTTCTTCAGTTAGATCACATTGTGAGTATAGAAGATTTGAATCATCCATGACTGTGTAGTCATACAAACATACAGTACCATTCTCTTCAAAACAGGCCTTGATTTTCACATCCATAGAGAATACCTTTTCAGAAGGGATGTGATGGATGGCATACCTGTAAGTATAGTAAAGATTAAATCAAACCATAACAAATTTTCAAAATAGAAAATACTTGTAGTAGTTCATGTTGTCCTTTTAAATGTTGACATTTGTAAATACTGACAGTACAGAATATGCATGATGTTACTAAAATATAAACATTAGCAAGTGCATCACAAATCATGCATTTTCGACATATTCCCCATTTCTATTCTCAATTTTATCTTTACTCAATCCTATCAATTTATAATGTTTTCTTTGTTGTTTATGTATGCAAATTCTAATGTGCTAAGGTCTTTGTTGTTCTATTATGTCAATCTCTGACCTTGAAAAACAAGAAGAAAGACCCCTAAACTGTTCATTGATGGATGGTCCATGGCAAAAAAAAGTAAGTCATTTACAATGGACCTTTTATTTCTATGTAAGTTATGAGGCCAGACAAAAAAATAATAAATGCAGGTGGACAGAGAGAGAGCCATAGAACAGAAGAATCTCTATAACCCCTCCCCAAGTTTGTAGGATAACAGATACAAATCTACAGTACTTACACTAGTTGCAATACTCCATGGATCTGCAAATTTTCTTGTTTGCCTAAAATTATTTTATATGTTAACAAATATTATGCGTTCCATAATCTATATCTTTTCTATTTACCTTAATATTATTCACTTACTCACTCAACAGTATTCAAATTTCAAATAAATAGCTGATTTCTTTTATTTTGCTATGGAAATTGATGTCACAGCTGATGTCAATTAGTAAAAAAAAAGTATACAAGTGCTTGTTTTGTCTTTGAAAGTAATATATAAAATGAAGTAAACAGTGCAAGTTGAGCATCCCCTTTAGCCTCAAATATCTGACCTTGACCTCTTACTTTCAGTAACTGAGTCTGGAAAGATCCAATGAAGATGTTAATAACATCTATTGTGGACAAATGGTGTTAGGGATATATCTATGGAAATCAAAATAGATCATTCACTTGTCATCAGAGGAAAATAAAACATGTACCAAATTTCATCCTTGCATTTATTGTCAATTTGCCTTTTTATTTAAATCTATTTTGACCAAAATCATCTACATTGCTAGTAGGTAATTTATTTTGTCCCAGAAGTCCATTTATCTAGCTTTAATTCGAAGAAATTAAAATGACTTATCAGAGAAAGAAATGAAAAGGACTTTTTTGACAAAGAAAATTACCAGACATGACTATATATATATCCTGTAGTAAAACATTTTTTTTTAAATTAAATAATCTTGAAAATGGCAAAATCAGCTGTATATAAAATCAATTGTTTTAGAAAGACTTCCACATTAAACCAATTTATATCATATGAAAAAGGAATAGCAAATGTTAAAAACTTTAAAGTTAAAAAAATATTTCTTAAAATCATTGCCAATATATGTAAGCCTCAAATCTGTGCCCTTTCCTCAGATCTGTGTCCTATTCTTTATTGCGTCATAGACGTCACAAATCTATGTCCTGTCTTTCCTCAAATATATGTCATTTTCATTAAGTTATGCACTTTACTGTGTGTGTTGATATCAGAATTATCAAAACTTCTTTGAGGAAATATTTGTTTTTTTAAAATAATCTTGAAGGCCAAACGATAAATTAGATTTGCGTATATTGTCTTTTTTGTTTTTGTTATCTGAATTGTGTGTTTTGTGCCGATCTGATGAGTCAAGCCCTTTCCAACAGTTTTTTTTACAGTTTGTTATTATAAAGGACTTATTTGTACCTTGTCCTGATGACGCCGAACTAATCGGCGAAACATGTCGACTAAATAAATTTGCAGATCATTTAAGTGTTGTTGTCAAACTAGTGGTATTTAGTTTGTTATTATGTAGAGTTGTTACAAAACAGTCCTGTTAGGGTAGGGTTGAGAACTCTAATACCAACATATTCTATATGTGTCTGTCCCAATGCACATCACATTATAATTACTGAGAGTCTACTTTATAAAGGAAATAGATTTGAATATAACAAAGCGTCAAAGATTTAGTATCAATACGTCACGGACACAGATTTGATACTGGACAAAGGGCCACAGCAGATTTGAGGAAGGACACAGATTTGAGGCCAAACATAGATTTGACTCTTACATTTATAATGGCTACTTCTGGAAAAGTTTCTTTAAGCAACCTCACTTTGTACAGTCGTCCATGGATTGACTGCTGTAGCCCTTACTTGGCACTTTTTAATAGGCTGATGGGATGAAATTCTTCATGAAAAAGGAAAAAAATCTCATTTTCTTGAAAATTTAATTTGTAAAAGACTTTATTCAAAGAAGACAGTTTCATCAGAAAGCAAATAAAGGTACATACCCCATTCATAGTTGATCAAATCAAATTCAAAATATTTTTCCTCCAACCACACTTCCAGTAAGTAATCACATGTTTTAAGATTAACCGATGTGTAGACATATCTTTTCAGAACAGCAATCTCTGCACAACATGTAACAGTATCACAACTGTCCAGAATGTGACATGCTACACCTTTATCTAACAGGACAGATGGTGTAGTTATGTTTGAACATTCTGAAAAAAATATTGTAATTACAATATAAAACTTATTACTTATTAAATCAAGCAGGATATATCAAAAATTTCTTATATTGCTATCATGAAAATTGCTAATAAAAATCAACATAATCATAAGTCTCCTTGTAAATGTATCAACCATAATACAATACTGTCTGCTTATTTGCTTTTAGTTCATTGTTGAAGTATTAATCAGGCTGTTGGTTTTCTCTTTTGAATTATTTCACATTTTATCATACCAGGCTATGCAGTATGAGTTTTGCTCATTGTGGAATGCCTTACTGTGACATGCAAATGTTCAAATTTTTGTCATTAGGTCTTTATGAATAGCTATATCTCATTGGCAATCAACCACCACATCTCTTTATTTAAATAGTATTACCTAAATCAAGGTTGTTTAATCAGCTGAGCAATATAGATTTATACACTATAAACTCTTAAAATGTTCAGATTGAACTGATAGCTGCAAGAAAATTGATTAACACATGTACAGTTTGACCTATAATATAAAAATCTAGTAGAGACCCAATACAACCTGCTTTTCTGTATTATATCTTTACTAATGACCAGGTCACACGGAATTGTTTTTAAATGGACAATTTATATTATTATACCTTACATTATATAGTAATTATTTGATTGGCTAATACGGAATCACAGGTCATAGTTCTTTTTCCAAAAATTGGCAGGAGTGGTGAATAACCATGACAAATTGAAGCCTCTAATCAAACAACGTTAACCCTATTATTCCCCGGTGAATTACCATTTCAGCCCCTTGGTTTTTGCACAAGTTATCTCCCATAAAAAATGACATCATTGACGCCTGTAAACAAATTGGCAACGGCCAGGTAAGAAGCCCATGAAGTAACAAGAAAACAAATTAAACAAGGCTTGGAAAATCATCTAGTTCCGAGGATATGTCTCTTAAACGATCCCTTTCAGGGCCATCAATATTTTACAGAAAGAGTCTACCTTTGTTGTACATACCAGAAATTCTTAGACACAAAATAATTTTCTAACGTAAGTGTTTTAAAAATCTTATTTTTCTCCCGTAGGGCAATATTTTACACTCAATTGTTTGTTCTGTATAATAAAACAGTTATGGTCCATTGAGCAGATGAATATCCAAATTGTCAACTCGATTAAGGGTTGACAATTTTGGATTTTCACCTCCTCAGTGGGCCATAATTGTATAATGTATTTTAAATCATTGGTTAATAAATATATATAGAGGACATATATATTTTTCCTCATCTGTGATGAATTTATAAAAAAGAAGTGAATATACCATTGTTCCAACCACCAGCAGACTGGTTATAAGGTAGCATATTGGCATCACATTTATTGGACCATCCCATGTAATCAGACAGTCCAAGTTCTGTAATTAGGTCATTTGCAGTAATATCTTTTATATGGTGCAGGTCTGTATTTCTACTTGACAACCAATCATCCAATGAAAATGCTGTATATAAATAAATAATATAAAATATCTTACTTATGCCAGTATTACAGATTTGTAATGTAGTATTGGCATGGTTTATTATTTATTTAACAGAAAAATACAGTAACTAATTTATATAAAAAGAAGTCATCTTGAAAAAGACATCACAGTGTATTTTCTGGTTTTGATCTTACATTTTCCCCATTGTTTTTAACTCCCGCAAGCTATGAAAAAGAGATAACAAATATATATATATATATCTAAAGCAACAGAATACACAATATGATTGTATTTTTGGGTTACTAATACTACGTAGATATACCTACACGAGTTAAGAAAACCTGGTGCCATGTCACATGATGTAAAATTAACAGCTGTGTTATTTAAGACTACAATCTGTAATTCACATTCATCTGGTTCAAAACAAACAGTTATTTCCAAGTAAATGTTGTATGAAGAGAAACCTTTGTCTATGTTATAACTGAAAGTAAAGAAATCATTCAGAAAATTCTAGTTTCAATTTCAAAAACACTTAGCACAGTCAGATTGATTTTTTTACTGATCTTTTGGGTGCAAGTATATGTAAAGATTATTGGGTTTCCTACACATTCATATCGAAAAATATCAGCTATGAGCCACAATGTGAACCTTTCGGTGAACCTTTTTGGCGAGTGAGCGCATCAAACAAGCTTAAAAGCTTAGCATTGTGTTGATTGGCTGATATCTTTATGTAGAAAACCTGATAAGCTGTTTGTCATTTTATTACTGGTCTTTCCCCTCTCTTTTGCAGTTTTACGCTTGTCAAAAGGTAGCTTGATAATGTCTCCTCAGACATTGTGATAAAGGCCAAGGGAAGGAGGATCAGGCCTTATAACCAGTCAATTGATGGATCGAACAATGGTATAATCTCGAAGTTTATCTCGAGCCTGATATTGACTTAAACTGTACACTTATTGCAAAGTATTGTTATATGTTAAATTTTAATAGCCTGACCAACACCAACTGTTTCTCATGAAAGTTTTTATTTCCTTTGTAATTAATATTCATTATTATTGCTTATCATGTTTTTGAAAGATGACACATGGAAATATCCCAAAACAGAAATAACTCTTATAATGATGCATATATAAGAAACAATATTTGCTAACGAATACCATAATAGTTATACATGGGTAACTTTTTAGTCGGTTAGTTGTGACTTTAATGTGCAGATAAAAATTAATCAACATGAAATATTTGGGAACCAGCAGAAAGGTTTTTAAGAATACTAATAACTTTTTAACTGTCTGTAAAATTGAGAATGGAAATGGGGAATGTGTCAAAGAGACAACAACCTGACCAAAGAGCAGAAAACAGCCTTACTTACTTAAGTTTTACTATCCCGTTTATTCCAAATGAGCTACTTTCACCTGAAAATAAATGAAATTAAAATGACTTTACATATCACTCTAGCATAAGTGTCACACTGAAAAAGTCAAAAGGTATTGTCCAACTCAAATCAAACTAGTATTACAGCAGATTCCAACGAGTGTGTAGCTAAAGGTAGATTCTTTGGTTAGCTTCCTTGCTAGCTCAACCATGAAATGATTATTACCTTAAATTGGGAGGAGCAAAGCGCTATTTTATCATCCAATGAAAACATTTATATCAATGGCCTGTTTATTATTCATAATATATGTATGTTTCATACAAAGGTTTACCTAGACTACTTTGCAAATGAAATTTCATTTCATAGTCTTTGATTGAATTAAAAAATCTTTTTATTACAATAAATCAGAAGCGGAGTGACTTTTTTTTTAAAATATTTACGCCGTGAATAGGCAGTTTAGTTAATTAATGTCTTTTGGTGTAATCCCCACGCATAAAACATTGTTATGTATTTTCTTTATATATGCATATTTTTTAGAACTAAAATCTTTTATATTCATACAGAAAAGAAAAATTATCATACTTAATATCATGCACGGTTGTAGTACTTATATTTAGTTAAAAATGCAACGAAAAAAAAACCAGCAAACAACTGCAGTTTAGAATTGAAAATATTGCAGAGTTTATGGACATCCACTTGGTTTGTTAACATTACCTTACTTATTAGTTTCAGATAAATAATGCAGCCATGAAGACCAATTTTTATGTCTCTAATTCAGTTAGATTTAATCTGACCTAGATTGAATGATCAGGTCATATGTACTTTTGAACACCTTCAAATCTTTTTGACCTGTCCGGGTGTATTGTAAACATATGTGTATGTGTAAAAGTGAATACGGTCAGCACTTGTCAGTCATATCCAACTACATTTTATTAACTTGATGTAACAAATTCAACAGACAGATAAAATATATTATTATTTGTAATGTCTGACGAAGAAGAAAGCATTTTAGGAATGTCAGCTTTCAGTTAACTTTTCACCATTTATCAAAATAAAATTGGCACATCAAACACACCTACAACATGCTTGTGAATGAGCTTATAATTATCATTAAATTTTAAATTTAGATTGAAAACTTATTTTTAAACTGACTTGTAAAACTAGTTTTACAATGTTTATATTCTGTCACTTAATTCTGATTGGTTCTCTGCTTAACTATTGACTCCACCCAAAGGCTGGATGTACCTTACCTAATAACGACTTCATGGTTGAGCTAGCAAGGAAGCTAACCAAAGATTCTACCTTTAGCTACACACTCGTTGGAATGTGCTGTAAAGCACTGTCTAAGAAGGAGGTGGTATCTTGAGGAGTGACAGTTTAAATGTGTGACAACGATTTCAGTGTGGTTGACACATATTCTGAAATAGCCTTTGAGCTATATTAAATTAACTTAATAATATTTACAGTAGGTGTTCATTTCATACAAATGCTGATCTTTTATTGGCCGAAAAATATATAATTTGATTCCATCAAATGTTTTCAATTTGTACGTAAACAACCTAGTATGTGCATTAAAGCAACAAATCCCTATGAAGGCAACCAAAAAATCAGCTCCACCCACCTTTTAAATCAACACTATTTTTACACATTTTTCATGTACTATGTGCAAACCGTTATATTATAAAAATTGGCTAATTAATCAATTTGAAAAAGTAATTGACATTAAATATATTGGAAATATGAATAACTAATAGAAATATGTAACAATAAATTATTATCCCATGATGTACACGTTTAATAATTATTGTTTGATTAATATTTCATCACCTATTTACTTTGGAATCGACATCTTCATGATGCAAATTTCAGCTACATGATGTATCATTGATTTCATGTGGAATTATTCTGTTTTTGTTGATCTCACCAGACAATATCTGCCGAAGTTTTGTGTACATAGTTTCATTTTAAAGTCACATGAAACATTAAATTAAAAAAAAAGTTGAATATGTTTTACATACTTGAAAGGCTAAGTTTTATTATAAAACAAGTGTACGTCAACTTTCTTATGAAAGAAAATCCTTTGAATTATCAAAATCTTCATAAATATGCTGCTATTGAATTATTGTCTTCCTGCACACTAATTTGCCGCTATTTTCCTATATGCAGTGACCTTAACTCTAAGACCTCTCATTAGAATTTTGGCCAACGAACAGCACAAGTGCCAGGGGAAAAACATGATAAAAGAATGTAAACAAACGTGCACTGGAAGGTAAATAGTAAGAACTGTTTCTTAAAGAACAAATTATCTCATATCATTTAACAACAAGGAAGGAAAGGTTTAATTAACAAATGTGAACAAATGGAAAAAATAAAAAATAATATCATGGCTCTATCAATTCACTTATTTTTTACATGCTCTATATGCTCTGTATTGATTGTTTATCAATGACACGATCCTGTAAACTTCTCCAACATACTCAAAATTTTTTAAATTAGCTTCTGATCAACAAACACTAAATGAAATATTATTTGTCAATAATATTTTATAGATTTATGATACATGTAAACAAGAATGTGTCCATAGTACACGGATGCCTCACTCACACTATCATTTTCTATGTTCAGTGGACCGTGAAATTGGCGTCAAAACTCTAATTTGGCATTAAAATTAGAAAGATCATATCATAGGGAACATGTGTACTAAGTTTCAAGTTGATTAGACTTCATCTTCATCAAAAATTACCTTGACCAAAAACTTTTAACCTGAAGCGGGACAGACGGACAAACAGACAGACGGACTAACGAACGGACGCACAAACGGAAAAACATAATGCCCCTCTACTATCGTAGGTGGTGCATAAAAAAGTGCATACAAGACTTAGTTCAGTATATATGCATGCATTGGATCAAGAATTTTATCAAAAATTATAATTACAAGAAGTTCGTTACATATGACTAAGATTCAAAATGTATATTGAGACTATTTATCTTTCAAGATCTTTGAACATTAGAATTAAATGCTGTGTTTTTGAAAATTTATACAAAATGAAAGCAAGTGACCATTTCATGTTTAGCCAGAAGCACTTTCACGCTATAAGTAAAATGTGAAGGTCACTTGCTTTCATTTTCGTCCAAGTTTTATAAAAAAAACTACACCTTTCAATTCCATAATCAAAACATACCGTAAAAAACTTCTGACAATTTGAGATTATGAATCAAATTGTCAATTTGCAGTTTTAAGTTGTTCCTACACTGATTCATCTCGAATACAATAAGGACTGATGTATTTAGGATCGGTAAATTTACACAGCATTCAACACTTGTACAATCAGTTGACACACTACAAGACAAACTATCTTCTCTACCCACTGGTATTACTTTTATATTGGATAAACCACATCCTGAAATATAAAAAGCAATTACTTATCAATATTTCATTAATAGGAGTAAGAATAACTCTATGCCTGCAGTCAATGTAGACAATTAACAGTCAGGGGCATTACTTAAACAAGTAACTTTTAAAATTACCTAAACAAGTCAGGGATCACCACAACCTATTTAAGGATGGAGGTGCGCCATGCTAAAATTTCTAGCACCACGTTAAAATTCCCAGTGCTACGCTTATTTCATTGTCCGCCACACTTGAAAATTCAATAGATTGAAGTTAAATTTCAGATATCCCTAATCCGATTATCATGTCAGTGGCAATTAAGAAGTCGAATTATTGTTAATTGCCTCAAGGGATGTACCCTGACAGCTGAATATATTATTTACATGGTCTCGCGTGGTTGAACAAGGTAACAACCAATGAACGATCATGACCCAGTTTCTTCAATTTGAAAAGTAAAACTTGTTTGCAAACTACAATTATTTTATAAATGCATACATTTGACTATACCTTAAATGGAATGTTTATATCCTATCTAGATTTATAAAAGATGTAATCCAGAAAACAAATGGATTCCCTGACCACATGGTCCTTTTGTTGACAACAATGTCACATGATATCTTTTGGTGGGAAAATACTGGGAAATACCTAACTAACAGATAAACATTGTCTGGTTATTTTTAGACAGTTAGATCTGGGATAGGAGTTTCCTTATCTTAAAACTCATTTAAAGTAAGAAAAGAGTAAAACTTGATATATAATTCCTTTACATAATTGTATTGGAAAAGAGGGGAGTTAATTCAATAAAATTCTACATAACAAATATGATTTTTTTTTTTATTATTAATTTCTTTATCTTTTTAGACCTTTTTACCATGTGGTTTTCCATAAGACAATTTAGATAAAATTTGTCAGAATATTCCTGCAATCTGGGAAGCCACATCAGGTGTTTACTCTCCCTGTTTAATATGTCCAGGCTACAAGACCACAAATAGGACCAATTACAAAATCTGTGAGACCCCCTTTCCAAATTAGCTATATATATATATGACAAATACATGCAAGGCATATAATTAATAATTCATGCACAAGGAATCGATTCGACAACGCAACACAAAATCTCTGATTTGATGAACTTTCTCCCCACCCATGATTTTCATTCTGTGGTGAACCCTGCAAGTAATGTTGAAAACGAGGCTATTTTAAATATTACTTATATAGGTAACTTTTCTCAATAATATTTTTATAGGTGTTCATTCATACAGATTTTACTAGCTTTAACTAATTTTCACAGTCATCTGGTTATTTTTCCCATGAAATATAAAAACTAATCCTCCTGAAACACTAATTGCCTTTCTGATGCACTTATCTTTCATGTCGATGCTTCTTGGTCAAAGATTGGTCTCTTGGGACTATTAAAATATCATTTTTCTTGAAAATCTTGAAGGTAGACACATAGAAATAGATAGAAACTTGTGATTTAATTAAGACAATGAAGTTATTTATAATTTGTAACCCAAAACAATTACATGTGTTCCTTAAATAATTGTATTTACTAATTTTTTCAAAAATGTATAAAATAACTTATTCAAGCAATATTTTTGTCATTAATTTTTTAAAGTAACCTTTTATCTCTATACTAGCTCCTCTCGAAATTAATAAATTCTTAATTTTATGTAATAAAATGATGTAAAAATTCATGAAAACTACATTTAGTCTGTGTTTCTATTGAAATTTAAAATTACTCTATTAATTTAATTATTTAAAAAAAAAAAAATTACCTATATATCTTTGCTGAAAGACGGGGTCATCGGACACATTTTTTTAAACTAGATACCCCAATAATGATTGTGGCCAATTAATTTCAAAGGAGAAGATTTTTGTAAAAGTAAACGGAGGCTGGTGAGCTGAAAATGGGGTAGTTTTCAGAAATATGTTACCATACATAACACATGGCATGATTCCAAAAAATTACCATAAATGAGGTAGTCATAAAGTAGCAATAGATTATCCTACCATATTTTAAAATTCAACATACCATTATTACTCAGAACTTTATGATTACAAGATTCTGATTTAAGAAATTGATGAATTTCAAGATCCTGTTTGATCTGCACTTCTGCCCACACTGGTAATCTGTCTGATACACTTGGTATGTTCTTCTCATCAAGCCAAGCAACCAAGGAATGTTCTATGATAAAAATACAAATTCATCAATATGACATAAAAACTTCAGGTGTTTCTTGCGTTCTTGCTAGTAGAGCAGATTCTGCTTACCATTCTGTAGCACCTGAGATCACTCCATGTTTTTGGTAGGGTTTGTGTTGCTCAGTCTTTAATTTTCTATGTAGTGTTTTGTGAACCTGTTTGTCTTTTTTTCGTCTTATGTTTTTTGCCATGGTATTGTCAGTTTCTCTTGACTTATGAGTTTTGAATGTCCTCCCACCTCATTTTTTTACACATGTTTCAAACTATCTAAGTAGCTATGAAAATATGTTTATTCTGAAATTTGCTACTCAACTTTGAAGAAGAAATAAAATGTATGTATTTTTTTACAATAGTAACTGAAAGCATTTTGAATGATGCATCTACATTTATAATGAAAACTAGTACAGCTGACACTGCTAACTGATGCTTCCAGAGCTAGACATTTATTAATGGATAACATGGTAATTTCAAGCGTTCAAAAAACTATGTATGCTGGGAATGATAAATAAGCATGTACTAGCATTATCAATTTTTCATCTGATTAATTATTACTAATAATAATTCTATATGCTACATCAATTAAACAGAATCTATTTGTGCACAATTATCATTTTTTAACCTTAATAAGTATTGAAAACAAGGTCAGTCACATATATATTTTGTTGGTCATTTTCATAAAATATCTATTGGAAGCTAAAACATTTGGTGAAATGAAGGAAATCTGGTTGTGGAACTTAACTGGTAGGTATCCTCCTAAAGTTGGAATACTGGTACTCTCTATATCTAACTAATATTTTTACCATTATCCTTAGATCTGTCACAGTCTTCTTTATCAATCTTCAGACCATCTAGTATAACCTGATCTACTGTGCAGTTCCCATTTGCTTCTAAACAAACCAAAATGGTCATGAACACCATATAATTGTTTTCTGCTGCTAAATTGTAAACAACAGTTCTGAAATGGAAATAACACATACATTTTCCTGACCTAACAAGTATGCTAATAGAAATTAATAGGAATAAAATAACCATGAATCCTTATCCGAAAGATTTTCCACTTTTCTAGGTAGACATCCTTCAAATTTGTCATCTATATGTCTTAGCCCATTAACAGTACAACTGAAACACTGACTGTAAAGCATGAAAACTCAAAGTTAAAAATTCAACAAAAATTGGTTGTGAAGAGATTTATGACTAAAAGGGACCAAACATAATAGTCAAATCCATCTGAGGTCAACTTTGCTGATCTGAAATAATAAAAGTAAATAATTTAATTCCCTAAATGCTATATTGGCATACCTATAACTCATACTGTGGCAAAACTGCTAAAGTTGAACTCAGTTAAGTCTGATAATTTGAATCAAGCCATTTCTCACAGCAACATAGACTTCAAGTGAACAGGTGCAAAAACATTTGTTACCAAAGTTTGGTTTATAATGTACAATAATAAAGTATAGAAAGTCTTATATTAACAACACTTTAGGGACTGCTGCAGAAAATTTATTGAGTTACGTTGTTTCGGTGATGATCCTGATGACAGTGCCCTAGGCACAGAAACAGGTAGATCAATAAACTTTCTACAGCAGTCCCTAAAGTGTTGTTGTTATAAGACTTTCTACATTTTATGTGCTTCATCATAACGACCCTGCATACCTGAGGTATGCATTTAAGGGACTCTACCGTACTAGATTCACCAGGCGTTGATTCACTTTCTTTTGTAATAATAAAGTATTTTAAACTTACTCAGTTCTCAGAACACCTACAAGTCCATGTTTCAGTTTGGTACCTAAAATTAACAAAAATATTGCATATTGAACTAAATTTTATTGTATCAATTGAAACAATGTTTTATTGATATAAGAAGATTAATGAATGTCTATGTTTCTTTTTATAAAATCTTTAAATATTGATTGATTGATTGCTGGTTGCTTAATGCCATTAAAGTTTCATTATGTATGAAAATAAGTTAAGTAAACTTTTAAATCATATTTCAACCCTATGCAGAAGCATATTTAAACAACTTCGAACAAATAAAAATAATAACTATAGAGAAATTTTATTTATTGGACTAACTGACCTAAGCACTTTTATGTTTTTACCTCTTACAAAGCATTTTTAATATCTGGGTGATAAATATTGGTTACTGTAAAAGAATGAAAGCTAAAAATTGAACTATTCATAATAAATTTGATTCCAAAACCATTTTTAGACTCACCCCATTTGTAATCTATCAATGATATTTCCTCCGTCAATCTTTCCAGTTGTATAGTCAGTATACTATTACAATGGTCTAGAGACAATGATACTTCCATTGTTCTTCCAAGATCTTCTACATTAACACAACACCTTATCTTGTTACATGTGGCATCAAGGTTACAGCTTACAGGTTCGCTCAAATTTTTCAGGCCTTCAGTACTTGGGCAAACTAAGGTGAATTTCAAAATCATTTCAAACCTTTTTCTTACTGTTCAGATTATAAGCAAGCAAGCTTTATTGAACAAATCATGCATAGTGAACTACATAAGGGATAGACTACAATTTTGAAAACTTAATACAATGAATTTGAAATCTGATTGATTGGTTTATCAATTTTAAAATTGTCTATTGATGAAAATCCAGTGGCAAATATAACAACATAAAATTTGAAAATCTAAATTAGACTTTACTGTATAATGTTAACATAGTACTAAAGCTAAAACCACCATTCTCAAAGTCCTAATAAATTTCTTTTTTTATCTTCTGCTTACATGAGTTCCATCCTTTGGTGGCTGGAATGTATGGATCAATGGAGCGATTACATCTAGTGGACAGCAGGTAGTAAGACAAACCAATATACTCAAATAGTTGAGACACATCAACACTGGTCAAGCTGTCATTCTTTGAAATCCCTGATTCATTCCTCCATCTTTCAAGCGAGAAATCTGAAAAGAAACTCAAAATTAAAGTTTTAAGACAGTTTCTTCTATCAGTATGTTCATCGGCTGAAGAAAATGTTCTCATACTGATGATATAACAATATGGGCTCCAGTAGGTCATAAGATCACATTTAAAAGATGCCTCAGGTAATGGGGTCACAGATTTGACCATGTAGGAGCCACCTATATAAAAGCTTCAATAGTTAATTACTACATTAAAAGATCAAAGATTTAAGGGGGCAATAATTACAGCCATATCATATCTTTATTGAAAAAGATATGATAAATAACGAAGATGTGGGGTTAACATCGTAAAGATATTACAGATAGTTTTTATTGATACCTACTTATTAAACTAGGTTTCAAGACGAGAGGGTGATTTTGTATGTATTTGATATATTTCTAATTGAAAAACTTTTAAAAGTTCATTTGAACATGCTTCAATAAGATACCTTCTTTTACAAATCCACCATCACTTGAGCATTGTAACACTGGTAGCATAGTGTTCTCCAGTATCACATAATCCTGTTCACATGTACCTTGACTCTCTGTACAAATACTTATATTCTTTGATACCAGATAGGAATGCTTCTCCTCAAGGTAGTCGATGATTATTCTGGCAATAATACAAACAACATGAAGTAAAATTTCAAATGGGAGACTATATCTATCTTTCTATTTTGTCTCTCGATCTATCTTCATGTTTACAAATATTCTATATAATAAGTGATTTGATCTAAAATTTTCAAAATTGCCATTTCAATAGATGTGTAAAATATGTCTAAAATGTATATAAACATACATTATATTATTCTTATCAATAACAAAATTTAAGTAGCTAACAAATTTAAAATTAGTTTGTTTTTATTGTGTATAAAACTTGTTATATTTTTATACATTACATACTTTATGTTTACAATTCCTGCCAGTGAAAACTGTTGGACTTCACCTTAAATATAAAAATTAAATAAATTTAAGATAAAAAATATATTAAGAAGTATGATAAATCAACTTATATTCCTTTTATAAATTTTGGGCCTTAAAGTTTCTGCACCGTTAAAGCTGGCAACCTTCTTTTGACTGTTTTTTTTTTTCATTTATAAGGCAAATAGTGGTATTTAGGCAAACTATTTACTCAATTAAATAGAAATATAATCAAAGTGATCAAAATATTTTACAGCATTTTTAAAACTAGAATTGTGAGTGAACTCTCAGAAGGATACCTCCAGCCTGCAATACTATTAGTATTTGAACCAAGTAAATTTGATTATCTCCCCTTTGACATGTTGAACTAGGATTATTTTCCTTTCTACATTATCTCAATCAGTGTTCTACAACTGTGTAATGTTTTATCAATAGCCGTCTAGCTTTTTAGAGGAATAAAATAACCATTAGAAGCTCATATGCAACATTTTGGGAAGCACAAAAATATTCATTGGAAAATTATATTCTTTTTGTACTATTGTATCTTTTCTCTCAAAGGTTATAGAATAAATAATTTACTGTGGATTCATTTATTTTCATGGGTACCAATTTTCATGAATTGAGGTTAACTTGCATTTTCGTGGATATTTCATTTCATGGATTTGTCAATGTCTGTGTACAAGACAAAAGAAGATTTGTAGTTCATTGAACATTCAAATTCGTGGTTCTCCTGTACCCATGAAACCCAAGAAAACTGATATCCAACAAATAATAATGAATCCACAGTATCTGTGCTAGCAGATGACTTTTTCCATTTTTACAAAACCTTACAAAATGATATTCTTCTAACAAGAGTTGCATACCAAATGCAAAGTCTGTTATTGAGATGTTGTACACAAATTTTTCTATTCCGACAGTAACAATATATGAACATGGATCAACTAGAACTTTGGTATGGAAGTCTCTGCTTAACTTGTTGGCATGGACACAACATTCTACACCAGTACACAGTGCAGATAGGTGACATGGAACTTCCACTGAATCATTCAATGATACATTTAATGGACAATCTGGGAAAAAAAATACAGAGTAAAATTTAACAAGAAATACAAAGTAAAATTTAACATAAAATACATACAATAAAATTGTTCTTGTTTTGATATAATATCTTCAAAAAAAACACGTCAAATATCATCATTTTAAGCTTACCCATTTTGAAATTTGGGACTTTACAGCAAAAATTAAAGTCATTGTTGGTTCTTAATTTTGTATAAACCACATACATGTTTACCTTTAATTTTGTTTTCTTGCTGTCTAATTGATTTTAGCTAACCTATACTGTTTTCCTAAAGATAATACCATAATATTGAAATAATAATAAATTACTAAGAATTTTTAGATGTTGACTTATGGTTATGTTATACAGAAAATATATAACATAAGATAATAAGCTTGTGTCAACTTAAACTCAATTTCATATTTACTCCTATTCATTTTTCACTCGTTATAAAAATGCTACAATCTTTTAAATCAGTACAAAACATTTTTCTTTATCCTTCATGAATAAATAACAAGATTTGGTTAAACCTCAACAAAAATATTAAATTGAACATATAGGCACAAACCATTTGTGAGAGCTAATTTGCTGAACAGTGCAACATCTGCCCCACATTCCTCATTCAATAAATATGGAGCTAGACCAGTGTCTTCAAACAATAACAGCTGACCATAACTTGGTAATGGAACAGACATGTTTTCATTCTTAAGCCAAGTTGAAAGGGAGAAATCTGAAAAGTAATAGTAAATGAAATCTTAATTTTTAGTATTTTCAAACAATTGCATGAACTTCCAGGAAATATTTAATTTAAACAAAAGCATATGTATTAAGACATTAGCACCTGCACTATAAAGAGACCTTTGCAGTGAGAGGCTGTACTCTTTTAAAAGACAATAGTCACCATTGCAGAATTCATATAAAATTTTCCTATTTTGTTAGTACATTTATCATTATACCCTTATTTTCAAAAACAAAAAGGTTGGTTTGCCTTTACCTTTCTGAATATTTTTTTGATCAATATTTACAATATTCATCTTACATGTATGATTTTTAATTGCACCCTGTCACTTTCTTGTTTTTTTGCTAGATATCTAAAAGAAGAAAGAAATGCAGTTTGCAGACTAGTATGTAACTATACATATTTACTTGATATATAATAGCTGTTATCCCATGCACACAATGTCTTTTTCAGCCAGGTGTTACTAAGTATCTGTGTTGTCACATGACAAGTCTTGTTACTTTCAAAACAAACACTCATGTTCAGACTAACTAAGTACAGGCTTTCACCATCAAAATCGTTGATCATGTACGAAAGACGCAGAACACCAGCAAGCCAGAACTCCTCCTGTACTCCTGCAATTAAAATTTTTACATAATATATGAAGAACAAGACGTGTCTGAACATACGTAGCAATGTGCTGTTTTGAAGAACAGCCTTCATTGCTATAAATAGACAAGAATTCTCAAAGGTCAGGGTTTTTTTTTACAAAAAAATCTTATGAAAAAAATTGATCCCAACTTATACTTAAATGTTTATGAGTATTTTTCTCAAATTTTTTTTTGGTGAAATTGATTGCTGTATCTTATCAAGGTAACCATAACCAATCAAAATATAGGAATTTGATTGTTCTCATAATTGACCTGATCTTTCTTCTAGAAACCCAGGTAAATAGAACATCAAAACATTAATAATCATAATAATGATGATTGATGGCTGTTTGAAGTCAAGTGGCAAATAAAATGCATATTCAGGATGAGAACATATTAATATGATAAGAATATTAACTCTGCTTCGTACTAGACCTAAATGCTGAGCCAGATTTTTAGTGTGCTAAATCACAAGGTAACAGACCACATGTCACCCTACCCGTGCATACTATTCTGACTCCCAACTGACCAGTCTTTGATCATACTCCTAAATGCTGCATGCTTAGCAGAGATGTAGCAAAAAACAACTTTAAAGTCTTTGGTTTCAAACTCACAACCTTACACACTCAAAAGGAACACACTATGTGGAGACCACAGAGGTGGTCAATAATAAGTTTAGGAATTGATTTTCATCACCGATGGTCTGTAACTATTGTTATTCTCAAAAGTCTGTTTTGAAATAGCTGGTTCAGCTTATGAATAATGTGATTCCTTTGCCACAGCAAGATCACCTACAAAGTGACCAGAGTCTGACATAGGCAAAACAGTTTATTGTTGAAGTCTGTATATTGACCTGTTTCATTGGGTTGCTATATCATTGCTGTACACCATATATCTCATAAAGATACAAATCAGCTCAAGAAAATACGAAAGAGGTATCAGATTTGTTTTTCTCTCTAGCAATGTATTAGATGTTGACTTATTAGTATGTTAACCCAAAATATTTTTTTTATTAAAGGTAAGGAAGTCTTTCTAGTAAATGGATAAAGATAGAAATGTTTAATGTTATTAAAGTTCAGGATGAGTTGCAAGATTTTCTTTTAAATGACGCTTCATATATGTCTACGCTTATTTTGTCAAAAAGAGGGGTTCAACAGGAAGTCATTCTATTTGTATTTATGGTTGGGAATGGTTTATCTGTTTTAAGCCTTTTTCGTTACAAAGAAGGTCTATATGGAATATCATACAGTCTAGTTCATTAAACAAGAGGTAAATCTGCACAAAAATGGTTTATGACATATGAGCCTTGTTCATTATGGTCAGTAGGTAAATCAGGATCCCATATAAGTCTGGTTCATTTAAGAGGAGGTAAATCAGGATGAGTATGGTTTATCCTATATGAAGACTGGTCAATTATAGCTAAAGTAAATCTGGATGAAAATGGTATATCCTAAAAACAGTTCAGTCAATCTAAAAGTCATTATGTAAGTCTGGAATTGTGCTTAGGAGTAGTTAAAACCTAGGCTTAAATTAAAATATTGTTTGTTTGCAGTTTACCGACCGACCTTCGAAAATCCGCCCGACTGTGAACATTTTATTGCTTTTAATTTGAAGAAATTATTTTTAATACTTCAATCGACTCATTCCGGAATTTCGGGTTGTTTCCGGAATTGATTTCGAGTCCAGGTCAATTACATGTTTGAAGTTCGGTTTTTCTTCCCTTCCTGTCAAGCGTTCATCGGACCCTTTAATGGTAAAGCACACGGAGATTGTTTACAGGTATCCACGAAGTCATGGAGGAGTACTTTATTCTGTCGTCTTCTGTCAATTTTAAGACAAATAATACACAGAAAAGTTTCAAAGTAAACTGTTTATACTGATTCAGGCAGAATTGCACACGGAATGATGTCTTCGATGATATCATTGACGATGATGCAGCGGATATTCATAAAACGACACGATAACCGTTTTTGTCTTAAACAAATCGGATACAGAATCTTTTGAGACTGACTTTATGGAACCAATATCAGTGGTTCAACAATTCGACACCAGCCTGAAGTATGCCATATTTTCTTTAAGTCCTCGTGAAGATGACAAAGAGGAAACAGACTCCTCCGTGACTTCATGGATAACTGTAAACACCCCTGTACGGTGGAAGGACACATTTGAAATGTTAAATCAATAAGAAGCCACACAAAATACACAAAGATGTAGAGAAAATGAATGGTTGGCTTGAGAAATAAATATATTCTTTCTGTATCAAATCTATCTTCGATTGCAATGAGTATGCTCCTTTAGGATAAGGGGGGCTGTCCCACTCATTGCAATTATTCTCTCTCTTACAATATTAAATATACCCAAACTGTGTGGCCTGTGTGAATTGAATTGAAATATGTCCTTAGCTAGGAGCTATGCTGCTATTTTTTTATGCAGTCAAAACATTTTAGTACAGACCATTTACTTTTAATAGGGTGCTATGGATTTCACCCCAAAGCTAGACTTAAGATTTTTGTTTGTTTTAATTAAAGCCTGGCATCAACATATCTTTCCAAATATAACCTTTATGTCAGATGTCTAATATATTTATTTTTAAGTTGTCTTTTTTTTCAATTGAGGAAGATTCAATGGTTGATTTTTTTTTTACACACTCCTAAATTGTCTTTTGAATCTTTAATATCTACATTTTTCTGATGCAAATACTCTACTCATGAAAACATTCTAGTAAAGATGCATATATGTCAGTGAATATGTTTCTTTACAACAATTCTAGTCATTCCTTGTTTATAAGTGTTCCAGTATTTCATAATACCATAAATTTATGTCATAAATTGTATAATGACACTATGTTAAGTTTCAGTTTTGGTTAAAAAGGTGTTTACCTGAAAATGCCTGTTCATTTCATGTTGGTTTTCAGTGTTTGCTGTTTTAAAATGTTTTGGTTTGTGTTAAACTACTTGTTTAAACTTTATTCTGGCTGATAAAATAAAATATTTTTCTTACCTACCGACCCTGCAGTCTGAAAGTACAGTCGGAAAACTGCAAACAAACATATTTTTAAGGTTGGCCCTATACAGAGAAATTGATCACTTATTAAATTAATTATTGTTGATTATCGCACAATAAAAAAAAAAAAAATCACAAACATATTATATGTTATTATCATTATGAACTCAGTGATGACATTAATACTTATCAACAGAACACCAATTAATGGTCACAAGACTAAGTGAGTTTTGGATGTAATGGCCAAATAACCATCTGAACTACGACTATTGCTATGTTAAAGAGTATTCACATTTAAAATATTTAATCACTTATGATATTTTACAAACGAAAGTAAATTGATGTTTGTAAATAAAGTGAAGTTAACTGTTCTCACAATACATATTAATTTGTTTTACACGAAGAGACTAAAAATGAAAAAAAGTTTATAGTTTTTAAAGGGATTCAATGGAAAAATTGTTGTAAAATCCAATTAAAATAAAATGTTCTTTAAGGCATTCTTAACAGAAACACTGACAAATGAGTCAATAATAGAAAAATGGGTTCAATGAGGAATTTTTAGTACAAGTAAGTGGACATCAAAACATTTTTATAACTGTAAAAAGGGAGCTCCTTTTTCAGGTTCATAAAATTATACACATAAATTGAAAAATTGTACAATATAAAATAGTTGATGGATGATATGGGTAGAGAGACACAGTAGTTATTACAAAATACCTGCAGAAAGTTGGCAGGTCAATAATGACATGTAATGAGGCAAATGCAACAGTATACCAAAATACTGATGACTTACCAGAAGTAGTCCTGCTACATCAATAAAACTTTCTTTAAATAAAAAAATAACATACCCCACTGGTAGTTGCTTAGTGAAATGTTTCTGTGGAATCTTTCAATGCCAACTGTAAACATCTGTTTACATGGATCTATATTCAGGTAAGTATGGAAGGAGTATGGAATAAAGTCTATATCAACACAGCATTCTACTCTGGTACAACTTGTGTCTAAATAGCAGGTAATTGGGTCAGGAATTTCAGTAAGAGTAATTTTGCTTGAACAACCTGAAATTAAAGTCAGATCAAACACCCATTTATAAATAGTAAATATCAAAAAAATGTTTTTTTTTTTTAAATTATCTTTTCAAATAAAAACTACTGAACATTACATATTCAAAAACAATGGTTATATAGGAAGAAAATATCTTTATCATTTTATTATATGAAGAAAAATAATGTGAAAACTAACATTAAATTAACATTTTGTGTATGGATAGAAATAATATAAAATGTTATAAATAGCAATTGAAAGAGAAAGACAAATTAAATAGATAATTGAATAAATAGAATAAATAAATAAATGTTCTTATAATTCAAATAATGTCTATTTAGATATTTCAGTTGTAATAATTATCAAATTAACTGTTATATTCCTTACATAACCTATAGATAAACTTTACACAAGAGTATGTGAAATGTCTGCATCCGATTTTTCAAGAAGGAAAAATTTGTCACTGTTACTGTATCCGAATAAAATTGATTATCTTAAAATTTCACTACAATGTATCTTATAATGAAATAAGTTAAAAAAATAATAGTATATTGTTCTAATATAAAACAACACACAATGCACAACACAAGCAGACAAAAAATCAAGTAAAGAAGTAAAAAAATTCTCTCCTGCTGCCAGAAAGGAGACACAACCTTTCTGAGATAAAGCTATATATGTAAGTATGTTTAATCCTGACACATCCTGTATGTGTCTGTCTTAAGTCAGGAGCCTGTAATTAAGTGGTTGTCGTTTAGTGCTGTTTATCATTATTTGTTTTTCATTTTTTTTTTTTAAATAAATCAGGCAGTTAGTTTTCTTGCTTGAATTGTTTTTCATTTGTCACTTTGGGGCCTTTTAAACTTGCTATGCGGTACGGTGACCTTTAGTTGCTATCCTTCTATGTCATTTGGTCTCTGGTGGAGAGCTGTTTCATATGCAACAACAAATGGCCGCGCTTGCAAAAAAAGCTTCAATCCATCTTTAGGAGTGGAAATTTTCAAAGTCTGTAATTTCGGCAAAAATCAGCAGAGCAGAACCAAACATAAACTCAATCTGTAACTCATCATAGTAGACTCACATAAAAAATCATCTCAATATAAGAAGGTGATTAGTAAAAAGTCCATATAAATGTTATTTTCAAGAATTTTCAAAGTCCAAAGCCCCTAATTTTTGGCAAAAATCAGTGGAGCGTTTAGAGAGAAAGTCTGTATAATTGTTATTTTCATGAAATTTTCAAGGTCCAAAGCTGGTAATTTCGTCAAAAATCAGCAGGGCAGAACCAAAGGTAAAAGCAATCTGTAACTCATCATAGTAGACTCACATACTAAAATTCAGCTCAATATGTGAAGGTGTTTAGAAAAAAGTAAGTATAACTGTACGTTGCGGAATGAAGGATAAGGGTAACACTATATGGCCCCGACCTAAGTCAGCTGGGCCATAAACAATAATAATAATAATAGGGAAAAAGAAACGGAGGAAAAGCAATATGTCACCTGACATTGTCGATCAGGGTGTCGATAGGTTGACATAATAATAATAATAACTGAGCAAAACCAATAAGTCTCCAAACTTTGTTTATGAGACTTATTTATACCACATCTTCTTATTTCTATATTCAAGTTAAAGTTGTTCTTAAGAGGAAAAAAAGCCACTAGTGGTGCAGAAACTCCTTGTTACTAATTAGAACCCCCAGGTTTTGGCAAGATTTTTCTTGCTCAATATTTAGTTTTCTGTGTCTTGTTTTACTTTTAGGTCTTTATCTTTTGACCAGTGTGTCGCCTTTATTCAACTTGTAGATTGCGGCCTTGATAAATTTTTTTCAAGATAAATTTAGCATAGTACCTGTTTTCCAACCATTAGAGCTAGGGAAGAAAAGTGATGAATGTCTGGAACACTGTTCTGTGTTGAGATACTGTGATATTCCTAAGTCGTTGAGTAGTTCAGATATCATCCAGTCTTCCAGCTGTGATCCAGGTACCAGTGAATGCTGTTCATACCAAGTTTCCAAGGAGAACACTGTCATAAACAAGTCTCAAGTCATTCATATGTATAATAATTGATTGCTTTTGAAATGAATTTGATAAATATACAAAGAGGAACAGAGTTCTAGAAAAATGATGGTCCAATGTTTTGACCACTAAAATTTTGCAAGGACCAAAACAATTTTGGTATTTTGCAAATAGAAATAATAGTAAGTACTAGCAGATTTTCTTCAAGGACCACCAGAAAAAAAAAGAGTTTCTGCTTTTGTCACATTGTTCGTTCCAAAAAACTGTTCCATAAGAAGTTCAGCATTCGTAACATGACAGGAACAGATAATGATCAAATGGCAAGAACAGATATAAAAAATTCTAATATGACACTGTAGCAACTGACACATCTGTCGCATTTCTATCATAGTTTTTTGAGTTTTTATAATTGCTGTTTCATTGAATTTAACTACACATCAACGTTTATTTATTTAAAAAACTGTCATAAATGATCAGATTTACCTGGAATGATTGATTGATTGTTGACTGCTTAAAGTCAGATTTACCTGGAGAATGAAAGCCACTGGTCCAATCACACTGCTGCTTAGGTAATTTCATGTTTTGTAGAACAATGAATTGGTTTTTGCTATCACACTCAGGTATTGTACTCTCATAACAAAATGAAACTCTCATGTTTACTAAGTAGTATCTCTCAGTATACAAGTCTTCTATAATGTATCTGAAAGAACAATAATAATTTTTATCTGTTCTATGAGACTATTTTCCTTCTAGCAGACATGGTTTGGGAATTGGAAAGATTTGTAAATGATACATTTTAATTAAAAAACAAAGTACAAAATGCATTATCCATATTTAGTGTAAACAATATTTTATTATGAATTAAATACATCTTATACAATATAAATCCACATTGTGGCAAATGGGATTCTGAAACAAGCAACAAGTGCTTATATTAATCTGTCTCATTGAATTATACATATTTGTTTTTTATCATCAAAACTTTCTTTCGCCTCTAATAAAAAAAGTTCAACTTACTCAACTCTGACTATCCCCTGTAAGCTGAAGGAGTGATAAGTACCTATAAAATTAAAAAGTGCCTTTTATACAGTGCAAAATGGTAAAGACCCTTTTAGATAAAAATATTTTTCAAAATATAGATGGACCCATTTTGGATTTTTTTTTAAATATTATAAAATCCTGAAACATTAAACACATATGAAATAAAGAAAAAAATCAAATATTGCAGGTAGCATTTTAGCATGAATAAGTATGTTGCTAGCAATTTATTATAAGTTACAGACATATTTTAAGTTTATAAATTCACTGATGTCGGACACTATGACATAATTTGTGACTTACAATGCCCAATTTCTAATAAGTGCTGATATCATTATAGTAGTAGGGCTTTGTCTTTTCTTTTTACTTTTTGTAAATGTTTTCAAAGGAAATAACTTATTCAATGAACTTGATGATTTGTTATCTTTTACTGTAGCTTCTTTTCTTAGACTTTTATGCAGACATATGCTTAAAATGGAAAAGGAGTAGAGCCAGTAACCCCAATAAACGGCCCTGTAAAGGTGCATTTTTAAAACTTCAATTGTTCGAGTAAATTTACTGTGTATGTATTGCTAAATGTATTATTTTTGAAAGTAGTATAAGAAAAATGTATATCTACTTCATTTATTATAAATATATTACCCTGAAATAGTTAAAAATTTCATTTTAGGCCATTTTTCTAGAAATTTGTCATCTTTTTCAACCTTATTTCATGATTTTATATGTGGCGCCACCCCTCGCCCATTGAAATTTTGGTTGAAAAGTAAAGAATATGGTACATTTAAAATATTCCAGCAAAAATTTTGTGTGGGCAAGGGGGTGGCGCCACTGTTAATTTTTCAGAAAAATTGACATAAATTTCACCAAATTATGACAAAAATCAGGTGTTCACAAATTCACCTACATTTATGACGTAATTAGTGAAAAATCTTTTATAACTGAAACAATTGGGCATTTAAATATATGTTTTCATATAATTTTCACATCATTGCAGTTAAAAAAATTCAGGTTTTTAGGGCCAAAATTATGAGATAGCGAACCAACTCCTTTATGACCATTATCATTATCAAATAGTTTTCAATGACTAATTGTTTTCCTATGTGTGTTTCGAGTAATATAACTTTTCAAGTTCTACTGCTTTCAGCATAAAAATCCTCTGTACTCATTGGAAAAATTCAGAAACATTGAATCAAGTAATTTTCTTAAGAGGATTTAAACAAGTTTTCCATTTTTGCCTTCTCAGGAAAATTACATTTTTCTAAAATTGAGTTAACATCTAATATTGAATTTCTTAAGTAAAAATCATTAGTAAAACATTCACATTGGGTAGACAATGCCTAATACAAGTTTTATTATACATTAGATCCTTTAATCAACATTTGCAATATGTCATAACTATATCTTACCCCACTTAAAATCCAGTAAAGTACTGTTGTACTGTATTTTCTCTATACCAATACTTATTCTCTTAGAACAGCTGTCCAACAGAAATGAGACTTCAAAAGTCTGTTGCAATAAATCGTTCATAACACAACATTGAATCCCTGTGCAGGTATCTGTGATGAAACAGGAGATGTCTGATGGCAACATGGGTAAAGTCATGTTCATAGCACAATCTACAAAAAACAACAACATTCATGTATAAACAAAAGAAATTTATTACAGCTGATTAAGTTTCAGATCTCATAGCGAAATCTACTTTTTTAAATTTTTGATTGAAATAATCAGTATGCAAATTAAATACAGGTTTCAAAAAATTTACCTTGCAATATCAAAGATTTTAACAATTTTATCAATAAAGTATGAGCTACAACAAAATAAAGTAATGATTTAATGGGGTAAAAACATTTGATTAAATTTATCTTTATTACAGAATCATTAATATCCTACTTAACTCAATTATTTGCATTGAATTAAACCAGCCAGCACCAGATATCTGACACCAGGATGTTGTATGATTGCCAGTGAGACAGCTATCAACAATAGTTCAAATGAAGTGAATGTAAGCAATTATAGGCAACCATACAGCCTTCAACAATGAGAAAAACTCATACACTATAGTCTGCTATAAAAGGCCCTGAAATGATTTTTTTTTTGTATTGACTACTGCAGGCATTGGTTCTAATAAATTCAGTTTTTATACAATGCACAAGTATTTCACTTAAGAAAAAAATGTATATTTAAGAAAAACCCATACCTTTTGTCCAACTACTATCATAGGGATAGTGTGATTTTGAACATTTGTTATCCAGAAAGTAATGGCCTATATTTGTTTCCTCATACAATTGGAATAAGATATTGCTAGGTAGTGACTCTTTAACTTGATAGCCTTTGTCTTGTAGCCAGTTCTCTAATGAAAAATCTGAAATAAAACTGGTATAATAATCACTACTTCACTGCTATTAATAGAAGGTAAATTAAAAGAGTCTGCCTCCATATAAATGCATAGTTTTTATATTTAAATATTCATGTTTTTATATTTAAATAATTATATCTTGTTGCTCTTGAAAAGCATTTCCAAGGATATTAAGACTACAAAAATTCAGGAACAGAGTATTAAAAATATATGATATTGATTAGCTTATAAGATATTAGAACAGCACAGCCCTTACAAGGCCACTTCACTAAGACTCCTTTCAAACAATAAATACGTGCCAAATTATTTGTAATTTTTTGGAGTAGAGTAAAAATTGTCTATATTAATTTCTAATCATACTAGCAAAATCTACATTTGTTGCTGTATATCATATTTGTTTTTTGTTTAATGTTTTGTACATTTCTTGTTGGAATTGGAATTTTGGATTCTTTTATAGCTTACTATGGGGTATGGGATTTGCTCATTGTTGAAGGCCGTTACCATGTTGGTCTATAGTTGTTTATTCTACGTCATTTGGTCTCTGATGGAGTGTTGTCTCATTGGCAATCATACATCTTCTTATTTTCATATGTTATATACTGAGGCAAATTAAATATATCACACCAAGGCTGTAGTGTGAGATAAAATATAGCTCACATATATTTGATGCATTTAAACAGTAAAGCATTCAAGAAGTTTCCTTTCCAAGATTACAAATATAATTAATATTTGCTAAAAATGTGCATATTTCTAGCAGGAAACACCAGTTAATCAATATTGATTATATTAATAATTGATTTAAATCAAAAACACATACCGTGAATATAAAAATCTGATGTCCAATCACAGACTGCTTTAGGAAGTAGATTATTCTTCATTATAATATTATATTGCGGTTGAGTTCTGGCATCAAATCTGACAGACACATTTAGATTCACCAAATAGAGTTTTTCTTCATATAAATTGTCGATGGTGAAACTGCAACAAAAATAAAGGTCATATGAGTATACTAACATATTTGCATAAAAAGTAGTATGATATAAAAAAAAACAAAAAAAAACAATCAATAAACATGGAAGTCAGCTTGCCCAATCTTTTTTTGTCAGTTTTCAATCTTTTTAAAATTTTGGGCAACAGTGATATATTCTAAATAGCTTTCAAAAAACATGTTTAACCCCGCCGCATTTTTGCGCCTGTCCCAAGTCAGGAGCCTCTGGCCTTTGTTAGTCTTGTATCATTTTTAATTTTAGTTTCTTGTGTATAATTTGGAGTTTAGTATGACGTCCATTATCACTGAACTAGTATACATATTTGTTTAGGGGCCAGCTGAAGGACGCCTCCGGGTGCGGGAGTTTCTCGCTGCATTGAAGACCCATTGGTTGGCTTCGGCTGTTGTCTGATCTATGGTCGGGTTGTTGTCTCTTTGGCACATTCCCCATTTCCATTCTCAATTTTATTTTTTACAGAAATTTAAAGTTTTTATGCAATAATGCTTTAGATCTTTTTGTAAACTTAGAATGCATTTTTGAAATGTAATGTTCAAGTTTCCATGCAGGTTGGTTTCGCTTTGGAAAATAATGGGTACCCATAAAAGTCTCCAAAACAAATGGCCTTTCATTTGACATTTATCAACAAAATCAAATATACAGATCAGGGTTTCAACATGATACTTACGATATCTGAATAACACCATACAAATCTAACAATTCCTGTTTTCCTGAAGAAAAAAAAATTGTTAATTACTTAAATTATTAATTCATGATTTCTGCAAACTTTTACTTTTGAATGTAGTTACATGTTTTACACTTTCTGACTTTCTGACTGTTGATATCTCTGTAACAGTTAACACAATATTCCCTTAACATTCATCATGCACCAACGATGAAAAAAAGAGAGATCATGGCATTGATATGTCATTATTGTAGTATATGTCCGAAACTATATTAACAATAGATATGGGATATTAATCAATGTGACAGCAACTAAACAAGACAACAATATAAAAAAAAAGAGACAAAATATGTAGTCTGCCTAAAATATTCAAAATTCCTTTTGTTATTAGTTACCAATTGCAAAATGTTTTATCCAAAGGTAGACAGATAAATGACAAAAAGTAGTTTACCAATTGAAAAACTTCAACCTTCACACACAAAGTATCTCAAAAACTCTTGCTTTATGAAAACAGAGGTAATTGTCTGAAGGCTCCAACTCATGACTTTGATAAGCTACTCTAAGACTATTTAGAGGGGAAATTTTCCTCCCAGTATTAATTGTGCCAAATAAATTTTACCTGATATCTTTACTGGAATATCTCTGAATAAAGAGCTGCGCCATGAGTGCATGATACGCTCATCACCCTTTCAGCTGGTCTTTATGCTTTAGATGAATTTAAATGATTAACTTGAAATACTGTGAGTACTGCTCAAATAGACCCCACCTCCCCCCCCCCCCCCCAAAAAAAAAAATAAATAAAAGACATGCACACACAGTGGTACCCATTGACACAAAACATGAATAATTTGGCACTATTAAGGCTACCTTAAGTTTGACTAAGTTTGTGGCCTCAATTATTGAACGAATAAAATCCTATAAATGTCCAAAGTGTGTTAAATGAATTTTATAACTATAAATACGTTACCATCCTAAATTCTGAGTGTAACCCCAATTGTGTCAGATGGAATATCCCGACTAAAAATAAATGTACTCTCACTGGTCCGAACATATACCCCTGTTTGCCCATATTCTCCCATTCAATTTCCATCTGCGACATCGGTCACTCGTGTAAATTATTACAGATTCAACAGAGAAGTGTTTAGTTGTTTGTAAAGTAATAGCTTAATTGCTTTTCATTTATTGTGTATATTATTGGAAACTTATTCCCTTGTTTAGTTTGAATTTCTAAACAAATTATTTGTGTTCCCCCCCAAACTACCAGTACATTGACCGGAGTTTCGATAACGGTGTCTGGTAATGCTACCTATCTGACCCTTTCACACATTTTTTTTTGGGGGGGGGTACCTAAATCAACTTCGGTGACTCATACTTTATCTAGGCCTGTTAATTCATCGGGTACTATTGCTTCTGTCCCAGGTACAGCTATGGGCTTGAAATTGCCAGGTTCTAGGCCCCCATTATCCTATTGTGGGTATTTGCTTCCCAACTCAGGCACCCAACCTATACCTTCATGGTCCCAGCCACCTTGGCCACAGTCTTACCCTTGTGGTGGGTTTATGCCAAACCAACCTGGTTTTTGGCCTTATAGGGACAATTTCTATGGTCCCCCTTCTGGGGTAGCTACTGCTCCACCTTTAGCTCCATGTCCACCCATAGCAGTATCTTTGACTCCTGCAGTAGCTCCTTCTACCACCATACCTGACTCTCGAGCTCAGTCTTCTCTCATGGTACTCAGGGTTCTGATCATGAATCATCTTTGGATGGTTTTCAGAAGTTACTTTTGGACTTTGGTGAGTCTTTCAAGGCTGAATTTAGTACTCTATCCAGTCGTATGTCTCTACTGGAGAATAGAGTTTCTTCTCATCAACCTTCTCCAGCTATGTCTGTAGAATATGATAAGAGGGAGGATGACGAGCTTTCTGTTTCCCCTGGGAGTCATGAAAGGGCTTTCCTCATTGATGAGGATGTTGAAAGTTCTTCTTCTCCCAAGGTATCGAAGACGGCCCCTGAGCCTTCTTCTAAGTCAGCTCAACAACCTCCCACCAAGGAGACTGAGGATCCTCCATCCTTGAAGTATCTTAGGGATAAGGTGTATACCTTGATGAGGGATGAAGCACATATCATTTTTGCCTCTCCTTCCAAGCCGAAGAAACCTTCTTCAACTTTTGAAGCTTCCTGTGGTATTTCTCAGAATACTGTGACCTCTAACAATTCTTTTCTTGAATCTGGCTATATGGCATTTGCTTTACAATTTATAAATGAAGGTATCGCTAATTCTGCTAGTGAAAAAGGTTGCTAATAACAATATCTCTGGATTTGGAATATCATCCTTTTCTGATCAGGTTAAGTACCAGGATTTTGATATCTTTGATTCTTTACTGGGTAGACTTGTTCCCAGTTGTGACAAATCTCTTTCATCTTTATTGGGAAAAAAGCCAGTAGATGGTCTTCGTCTCACTCAACCTGTTTGGTCAAAGACTGAGAATCTCCTTCGTAGTGCTTCTCAAGTTCTTGGCACAGCCGAACATTTTCTAGCTGCAACTGGACATTTGCTTAACAGCGAAGATTCTGTTGTTCCAGCAGAAGTATGATCCTTTTTACGTCAACTGGATAAAGCTCTAGGTTCATCTCAGTTGCTCTTAATGGGTTCTATTGCTAATTGCACCCTATCTAAAAGAGCAGAGTTTCTTGAAAACATTTCTGTTGCTGAGTCTTTGAAAGATTCTTTACTGAAATCTCCACTTACTGACAAGATGTTTGATTTACCCGTACAGGGGGTTCAAGAGGAACTCAGCAAAAACCCTCCTCCAGTCAAAGTTAGTGTACAAGTTAACAATGGCAAGAGGTCGGTTAATGCTACATCTAGTTCTACTAGTACTTCTGCTTCAGGTGGTCCTCCTTCTTCTGCTAAGAAAAGGAAGAATAACTACGGCAAACCGCAGAACAAATCCCATAACTCCGGAAAAAGCTCAAGTAAGCCTTCTGGTGGTTTTAAGGGTCCCAAGAAACCTGGGTCTAGTAGCTAGGTTCTTGCCCTCGTACGTTATTGACAGCTTCCCCAGGGGAAAATTTACAAGAAGTTCCTCAAAAAACAATACCAGTAGGGGGGAGGTTATAATAAGTTTTTTCCTAAATCTGTGGAAGAAAATTACCTCAGACTGTTATGTGCTGTCAATAATTCGAGGGGGATTAACACTTCAGTTCAAGAACCCACCTCCTCTGTCAGCAGTTCCGATAAGTTTGTCTCATACTCAAGACTCAGTTAAGTATCAACTATCAGTAGAAGTGGACACAATGTTACAAAAATCTGCAATAGAGGAGGTGTCGCTCTTAACTCTGTCTCCGGGATTTTATTCCCGCCTTTTTCTGGTTCCAAAGAAGACAGGAGGAATGAGGCCGGTCATAGACCTATCTATTCTGAACAACCTTCTTATTTTTCCCCATTTCAAAATGGAAACCAACAGATCAATCAGGACTTCAATCATTCCAGGAATGTGGACTACTTCTCTGGATCTTTCAGATGCTTCAATATTTCCACATTCCCATTTCCCATACTTACAGGAAATACCTTCGCTTCGTTTGGAACAACAAAGTTTTCCAGTTCAAGGCTCTCCATTTTGGCCTGTCTACAGCCCCTTTGGCTTTTACCAAAATCTTGCAGGCAGCTATAGCTCACCTACATTCCCTGTCTATTCAGATTCATTCCTACCTGGACGATTCCCTTCTCAAGGAATTTTGCCCAATCAAATTGAGGGTTCAGACAGATTTGGTCATCAATTGTTTTCTGTCCCTAGGCTTCCTAATCTCCTGGAAAAAGTCAGAGATAGTTCCTTCTCAAGACTTTGTTTTCCTGGGAAAACATTTCCTAACCAATCTAGGCCTAGTTCTCCCACCAGAGGAAAAATTTACAAAACTATGTCAGAAAATGCATTTATTCCTGACGGTTCAATCAGTCACAGCACGTCAATTCTTGCAACTTCTGGGTCTATTGAATTCTCTGGCAGATGTAATTCCATTGGGACGCCTGCACAATCGTCCGCTTCAGTTTTATTTGCACAAGTTATAGATTCCAGCTTCACAAGAATGGGAAGCATTGATTCCAATCACTCAGCCTTTATTTCCACATCTTCAATGGTGGTTAGTACGGGAAAATGTAATGAGGGGCCTATGTCTGTCCCCTCAAGTTCCCAGTCTAACAATATTCACAGATTCCTCCACCCTCGGTTGGGGAGCATATCTGGAGGGGCTTACAATCTCGGGAGTCTGGAATCCAGATCTTTTGGAAGAGCATATCAACGTATTGGAAATGAAAGCAGTTCTGCTTGCACTAAATCATTTCCAACTGTCTCTAAATAATCAGTCTGCCATTTTGGCCACGGACAACACAACAGTTGTAGCTTATCTCAAGAATCAGGGAGGAACTCATTCACCTTCTCTTTATCAGATAGCCAGAGACATTCTCCTTCTATGTTTTCAACTCCAGGTTCATCTAGTGGCGAGACATATTGCGTGGCACCTCAATATTCTAGCCGACACTCTATCCAGATCCCTTGCTCCAGTAAACACGGAGTGGGAACTACTTCAAGTAGTTTTCAAAGCTGTGACTCTTCATTGGGGGTCACTTCAGATAGATCTGTTTGCGACCAGTCTCAATCACAAACTTCCAACATTTGTGTCTCCCGTTCCAGATCCAAAATCTTTTGCGGTAGACACAATGAGCCTAACTTGGAAAGGAATGTTCGGGTACGCCTTCCCTCCTTTCAGGTTTCTCTCCCCAGTACTTCAGAAAATAGCAGGGGAAAATTGCAAGAACATAGTTATTGCTCCAGCATGGCCTAATCAGTCTTGGTTTCCAGACTTCTGCGCCTATCATGTGCTTGTCCTCTAGTTCTACCTCTGAGACCAGACCTTCTGTCTCAAATCAAGGGCAAGGTTCTTTATCAAAATCCAGAAAAACTTCATCTACACGCCTGGCTTCTCTCAGGGTTATCCTCAGAAAGAGGGGTTTTTCTGAAGGAGCAACCAAGCATCTCACAAAGTCTATCAGAGACTCCACTAGCATTGTCTATGATGCAAAATGGTCAATCTTCTCAGATTGGTGTAGTGAGCGGGAAATTGATCCTTTCCAAGTCACTGTACAACAATTAGCAGACTTTCTAGTTTTTCTTTTTGAATCCAAAGGATTATGTCCCTCTACTATTAAGGGATGTAGATCAGCTATTTCAAGAACTATTCATATTTCTGGTGGCCCAGATTTTGGAAACAATGAGCATATTTCTCTTTTGGTTCATAGTTTTAGTCTTGAAAGACCAAGACAAAAAACTTTAGTTCCTAAGTGGGACCTTGGACTAGTTTTATCCTTTTTAAAACTTCCTCCTTTTGAACCAGCAGAAACAATAGATTTAAGGTTTCTTTCCTATAAATGCTGTTTTCTTTTAGCTTTGGCTTCTGGACAGAGAAGGAGTGAAATCCATGCCTTCTCTATTTCTGATGCTTGCCTTCGATTTAGCAGGGATAAATCTTCTGTTACTCTTTTAACTGATCCTGTTTTTTTGGCAAAGAATCAGATTCCGGATAAGGGTGCTTAACCAGTTGTGTACTTTTATGTCCAGTAAGAATCCTTTCTATTTATCTGGATAGAAGGAGTAGTTTATGTTCTGTTTCTAACTCAAGACTCTTTATTCCTATTAAAAAAGGAATCTCAGATCTTTCTGTTAAAACTATTTCTACTTGGATATGCAAATGCATATCTTTAGCTTATGGTTCTTCTAAGGCAGAACTTTTGAATTGTTTTAATGTTAAAGCTCATGATGTTAGGGGTATCTCTACATCCTGGGCTCTGTTTAAGTGATATTTTTATTAACAAGAAAAATGGATTATTAATACACAGCATATTGACATGTATCATCACACATGCATTACCTGTCCTTTATTGCCGATTGGGTATTTTAGTTCAGCTTATATCTATTAATAACAACCAATGATATAAGGAATTCCCTACTGGCCACTCTTGACATCTCGCTCTCTAATTGCTTTGTGAGATGTGGGAAGGGAACCAATCAGAACAAGGCCCTTATTTCAAATTATCCAATCGGCAGAGATAATTAGTTAATTATCATCCTTTTGTTTTAATTACTGAGCGCCTCATTTAGGCATTCTAGATAATACAACTGCATGAAGCAGACGCATTGTAATTTGGCATTAGCGAATTTAAAATCCCATCCTCACCCACCCTATTTTATTTTTAATTTTTATTGAGATATTTAGGTTGCTTCATCAACTAATTATAGATATATAATTGATTTAATTTAACTGTATATTTTATAAATGTGAAGAGTAGATTATATTTCAAGAACACACAGTTTTGGTTTCATATTATAAATGTAATATACCCTTGAGTGGAATACCACAGATTATTAATTAATTAATTTGTGTATTGTTTTCAAACTGTACTGTTGTTTGTGTTTTATTAATATGAAATTTAAGCATTAAACTGTGGTTCTTTTCCCAAACATGTCTTTGTTTTACACTAGTAACCATCTGGATTCACAGGTTTCCTGACTGGATTCCGATCAGAGTTAGACATTAACATGCATCTGATCTGAGACTGGTCTAGATTCCAACAGCATATATACACATACACAGGGGGGAGGGAAATGGGTGGGGCCGTTTCAAAGTGATGTGGATTAATCAGTACATCTTTAGAAGAGGTACTGTCTGCAGGTTTCTGGAGAAATGAGAACTCTTTTATCTCTCATTACCTCCAATCTATGGCTACTTTTGCCGAAAGTTTATACTCTCTTGGACCTATAGTTTCAGCACAAAGATTGAACTTTCCTCCTGTTACAGGGGATTCAGCTTTATGTTAGATTCTGTTACTCAGAATTTATGATGGTAACGTATTTATAGCTATAAAATATTCAAATTTTAAAGTAAATTTGGATTTTATTAGATAAATACTTACCATTATAAATTATAGGTCCCACCCACCTCCCCTTCATCCCCTTTCCTTACGTTTCTGTCTTGAGGAAATTGAATGGGAGAATATGGGCAAACAGGGGTAAATGTCCATACCAGTGAGAGTACGTTTATTTTTAGTCGGGATATTCCATCTGACCTATGACCCAATTGGGGTTACACTCAGAATTTATGATGGTAAGTATTTATCTAATAAAATCCAAATTTACTTTAAAATTTGAATAGTTTTTCAACAAATAAAGTTCCATAACTCTGCAATGTCCTATCAGAAATTTATAAAAACAAAAAACAAAAAGGAGCTAACTTCAATAGATATAAACCAAAGTTTTATGAAAATTGCTCAAAGTGTTTTTGAGTTATCAGAAAACTGGAAAATCCTCCCTTTTTTATGGATAAAGTCCAAATACTGCAAAACATAAAATCAGAAAATTTTAATAATCAAAAGGGAGCTTATGTCAATATATATAAACAATTCACCAAAGTTTCATGAAAATTGTTCATAGCATTTTTGAGATATAGTCAGAAAACTCGAAAATCCCTCATTTTTTTATGAATAAAATCCAATAACTTAGAAATGTAAAATCTAAAATTTATAAAAATCAAAGGGAGCTTACGTCAATAAATGTAAACAATTCAATAAAGTTCCATGAAAGTTGGTGAAAGTGTTTTTGAGTTATTGACTGAAGTGTTGACGACAGACGGACAAACGGATGGACAAGGGTATACCGTAATAGTCCCCTAAAGGGGCATATAAAAAATGTATGATACCAAGTTTAGTGCCATATATTTGGAATAACTGTCCTCAGAACACTCGAGGCCATACGTTTGAGAGGCCAAATAAATAAAAGTTATGAAACATCAAAAATTGTACAAGCCATATAACAGAACAGCCAAAACTGTATAAGGCCTCAGGTTCCAACCATAGTTTTAACAACAATGCACCTTATTTAAGTATTTCTACTAACCCCATAAGTAATCAAATAATGTTACATCAAAGCTCAATTTTTCAATCCTGACAGATAGTCTAAAATCACAGGGATCAATGTTGATTCCAATCTCTAAAGCTTTTCCTAATTCTGTCACATCAACACAACACTGGACTGCTGTACAAGTCTGGTCAATATAACAGTTCATGTTATCATGGAGTGCTGGCAAATTCTGTATTTCTTGTAAACATTCTAGAAGTGTAACAAGCCATTATCAATAAAAAATTATGGAACATATAGCAAATGTACATTTAATAGTTGATGCAAAAACTACATTCAAATACCTTTTGATTATTTTTGTGGTTGATATATACCCCACCATCTTCTTTTATTTACATCAAGATCCATTAAGTAATAGCATGATTTTCACTGATGAGAAATTCCCACAATTCACAATAAATCCAAATCTGTATTTTTTTCATATCTAGAAACATCTTTATAAAATCTATAAGCTTTACAAACAGCTATGACCTAACTTTGAGTCATTAATCAGATAAAATCTTATAGATACTTTAGAACTCTGTAGCAATATGTTTTTCATTTAAAAAACGGCTTTGTTGTAAATGATATTTCATGTGGACTTATAAAAGTAAGGTGTGGTATAATTGCCAATTAGATAACTAAATATACACCAGAGACCAAAGGACGAGGGTGTACTACCTGTTCTCCATCCATTGAATGGTGGGACATAAGGTGAGCTGTGTCTTTCACAAGCAACATCCATTAGGAATGGTGAAATTCCAAGTGTTTCTTGTAACTTTCTGATCTCTACTGTACTGAGTGATTGTGATGGATCAATACCAACGGAGGTCTTCCATGATGTTAAGGAGAAATCTATATAAAAAAAAAAATGTGTTATCATTGTGTTACTACCGGTACCTTCTAAAAAGTTAACTTGAGGTCAGATATTATGGAAAAAAAATTTCATAAAATTTTCCAATGCAGCAATACAAGCTGGATTGGATGGAGAGTTGTCTCATTGGCACTCATACCACATCTTCTTATATCTAGAAATTGCTATTGTGTATTCATTTATTTTCATGGGTACCAATTTTTGTGGATTGAAGAAAATTCATCTTTTTGAGGATACTTGATTTCATAGTTTTTCCAAAGTTCCATTCAAGCCTTTATGAAATTTATACTTTGCAAATACTTAATAGTATGCTCCAACATGAGTTCATGGAAGCAAACTGATTTTAGACAAGAAAATGAGTGGTATATTTACATTAAAAATACTTACCTGGGTCTTTAAAACCAGTATGCCATTTACATGGTTTCTTTCTAAGTTTGGTGTTCCAGAAGATCTGCTCTTCAAACACACATGGCTTCTCTGATTCCAAACATACACTTATGTTCATGTCTACAAGGTAGCTACCATCACTTTCTAAGTCATATATGGAATAGCTGGAATATGACAGAAAAATCCCTTTTATATCCCAGTTTGTCTGCTGACACAATCAAATACATGTAGCATCTTTCTAACCTATCTGCTTTTAATCAAAAGTTTCTACAGAGCTTAATTGTGTGGAATATATAAGGTAGGTAAAGATTTTAAGCATGAGATGAACTGGAAAAGTTTTGGGGTTTTTTTTGTAGAAAAAGGACACATCAATACGAGTCTGTCAACGTTCAAACTATAAAAAACTAGTGTAACAGTAATATATACTTACTCAATTCGAACAACATTTTTCAAATAAACTTTCTGTTTGGCTCCTACATAAAACAAGAATTAAATGTTTGTTATTGTAACAATTAATACTTTTGTGTTGTTTGTAATGAATAACAATATTTGTAGGATGATATCCCCAGTTAATTCTGTAATTTAAAGATAACTCTTGCAAATGAAACTTCAAAGAGTATTTGTTGAGGTCATAAATTGAAAAATTAAAAGGGAATAATTGTCAAAGATTAGAGTAGTTTTTATTTTACTATAAGATGTAATGTCTCTAACTTGTTGGAATCATATCAGTAACTCTGGTAAGATGAAGAACAGCAATAACAGTGGTATTACTTTGACAAATCTTTATTTCGAAGAGAAATATTCAAAACACAGATGATGTGGTTTTTTCCTGGGAAATATCTTGGCAATATACACTTATGCAAATCCATGTCATATTCTTTTCCTCAATAACATTCTTAACAAAAATCCTGATTACAAGGTGTTTAACCTTCCAGCTTTAAAAAAAAAATCAATAACTTATATAATTGGATGGTAAGATCATTTCTATTACCATACACTTATTTATACTAACAAGCATTCTGTGAGTATTGTCTGGCAATACATAGTCCGATACCGGTTAAAAATTCATTGTACTGGAACAAAATGCTAACTTGATCTATAACTTGTCATGGTGTAAATTATCTAACAAATATCAAGTCAATATCTTCAAGCATGACCAAAAAAAATGTGGAAAACTGATTATTTGAGTGAATTTTCTTAGTCCAAGGACCATAACTCTGCACAAAATCATCAGACAGGATCAAAATTGGATCTTGATTTGTAACTTGTCATGATAAAACTATATACCAATTATCAAATCAATATCTTCAAGCATGACGAAAAAAAGTGAGGAAAACTGATTATTTTAGTGAATTTTCTAAGTCCAAGGACCATAACTCTGCACAAAATCATTCAACGGGACCAAAATTCGAAATTGTTCTGTAACTTGTAATGATAAAACTAAATACCAATCATTAAATCAATATCTTCAAGCATGACAAAAAAAAGTGCGGAAAACTGATCATTTGAGTGAATTTTCTAAGTTCAAGGACCATAACTCTGCACAAAATATTCAGACCGAAACAAAATTCGAACTTGATCTGTAACTTGTCATGATAAAACAATACACCAAATATCAAATCAATATCTTCAAGCACGAAAAAAAAAAGAGTGTGGAAAACTGATTTGCCGGACAGACAGACAGACAGACAGACAGACAGACAGACAGACAGAGTGCAAACCTAAAGTCCCCTTCGACTTCCTCGGTAGGGGACTAAAAACTATTCACTCAAACAAAGGGCTAAAATTTTGTATCAGTTGATCAGTTTGAAGGAATGATTTCAAGCTGCAACCTGGAAGAACATTTTGAGGAATTGATACCATGAAAGGACAATGCCTTTCAAATACACACAATAAAAAATTTCCCTCATGAAAATATAAAAGTGGGAAATTTAAACCTTCTTTTCCAGAAGGAAAATCTATATGAAGGTACTTACCAAATTCATAGTGGTAAAGTGATATTATAAATACAAAATTATCTATGCCAACAATCAATTCTTCCTCACACGGATCTAGTTGTAAGATAACATTAAATGAATGATCTATAATATCTACGTCGACACAGCAGTCCACCTTAGTACAGGATGATAATAATGTACATGTCATTTCAGGCTGTAGTTCTGTTAAGTCTGTTGTAACTGGACAACCTAAAACAAATATTCGAAAAAATTACTCACAATAACTATTACAAAAAGTACAATCATTCAATGTTTTGTACATGAATCAGGCTTTTCTGATTTGAACTATTTGACAAGATTTTTTCTCATAGTTGTAGGTATAACAGTGACCTAAATTTGCTTACACCTAGGTCATTTGGTTTCTGGTGGATAGTTGTCTCATACCATATATCTGCTTATCTTTATACTGATTTAAAAAAAAAAATTCATTTGTAAACAGTTTTATATCGTTTATTCATATTCTCGCCAAGGAATTCTTTAGGCCAGTCTAGATCTCATCATTTTTGGATTAAATTTCTCATGCAAAAACATCTGAATTTACTGATAACAAATGCAAACAAGTTCAGCAATATGTTTGCCTTAAAGAAAGCTAAAGGCAATCTACTATAGTTACTTAACTTAATGGTCAATAAACTGTTCAATAAAAATTGGAATTAAGACTTACTTGAACATAACTTCTTTATAAGTCCATGAACACTAACACATATGCATAGTCAAATTTTATGCTGCCTTTTATTTGTTTACTCACTATTTTTCCAACCATTAACTTCTGGATTATAAAATGTGTTATTTCTGTTGCAAGGTGGTGTCTTCATGTATTTTGACAGGTCAAGATCTCTTAGAACTTGTAGAACTGGAACCTCTGGGAGATTTTCAAATTCCAAACCTTTTAAAAGTGCCCATTGTTCCAAAGAAAAATCTACAAACAAGACATGTAAAAAATGTAATTCAAATTTAAATATCTCACTATTCTATCAAAACGATTTTTTTACCCCCATAAAACACTGTTTGAAAAAGCTACAATTAAAAACTTGTGACAACCATAAAATACAACAGCAATGATGATCCAAATTTCAAGAACTGCATGTGTTTTTTTATCTTTGTCTTCATTATATACCTAAATTAGAAACATCGATAATCTCAAAAGTGTGAAATGTAGGTCATGGTGACCCATATGCAATGGAATTGTTTTCAACATATTCTTAAGATAGGTATCAAAATCAGAAGAGTTTTAAAAATGACATTTTTTTGAGAAATATGAATCTCTAGGCATAGAAAACATTTACCATGGATTCACTTATTTTTGATGGATTGAGGAAAAAATCATATTTTCATGAGTATTGGATTTCATGGTTTTACCAATGTCTGCATATAAGCCTATGGAAACTTTGTACTTTGTTGCACATTTAAATTCATGGTTCAATCTATACCCACAAAATATAATTCTCCTATTTACTTTGCATACTAAATCCGTTATTCCAGTCACAAGATGGTTTAGGTAAGCTTGTTTTATCTGCTACAACTCTTTTGATCATACAATTGGGTTCTGTCGATTCTAGACATACACCCAGGATTACAGATACTACATACTCCTTTGTCGTAGGCAACTCATCCAGAGTGTATCTAAAAATAAATCAAATTTACCATGATCCGACAGAAATGTGGTACATGAGTAATCCATTCTTAACTGAATGATGGACACGAGATTTGACAAAAGCACAAAGGATGATATATATATGTATATACATATACATGTATAGTAATTATATATAACAATGAAATTATATTTTATTCAAAATTTATCTTTCAGCACATCTTAATAATTTTATGTTGAAACTGTTAAGTGTATTGAATCTTTTCATAATGTAGTTCACTTTTGTAGAATGCAATGCAATCTGAAACTTTGATATTATGTATGATTAAGTTTAACTATTTGTAAGTGTTTTTAACCATGCTTGTGTTTAATCATGCTATATAACATTTGTAAAATTGCTGATGATGTTTGCTTTTGCTTTGCAGAGTTGTATATTTTCCTGGTATAATAAAGTACTTGAGCTTGTTGAGTCCATAAATTTGAAGCCCTTACCATATTGAGGCTTGTATAGACCATGGTTTTTTTCTCCTAAATTAATATTGTCAGGCAGGGGTGCAGATTATAGAGTACAACAAGCAAGAAATAAGAGAAAAACTAGATTTTGCCAGGTTTGTTCATGTTCCACCATGTTTGTGTAGTGAGCGCCCTTATAATTTTCGAAACTGATAATTAACCTAATCAATATTAATATGCAATTTTAATTCAATACCAATATTAACTCTGATAAATATCACAATTAAAATCTTTATCACATATTACTCGTTTCTTTTCATAGCATTGCATAACATAAACAGGAATCACCTTGTATTTACAGGAATGAAAAAAGTATATAAATCAGCCAGGAACCAGCTTATGCATTACAATGTATAAACTACAAAACGTAATTGGTTATTCATTCCATGTTGGTGTTTCATACTGAAGCATACATTTTGTTTTAGCTGAAGTTGATGATGATGGATGGCTGCTTAACGTCCAGCAGCAAATTAATATGCATATTCAGGACAAGAACATGTTAATGTAATATGAATATTTACCCTGCTTTGTACTAGACAGACACTCTGAGCCAGATTTTTAACATGCTAGTTCACAAGGTAACAGTCCGCAGGAAGACATGTCACCTTACCCGGACACATTATTCTGACTCCGAGCTGACCAGGCTTTGCTCTTACTCCTTAATGCTGCATGTTTAGCGGAGAAGCAGCAAATACCAATTTTAAAGTCTTTGGTTTGACCTGGCCAGGGTTCGAACCCACAACCTCCCGCACTCTAGGCTACCACGAGACCACCGAAGCAGTTTTTAGCTGAAGATCATTCAAACATTAATGTTATGGATATATTTGATAGTATTTACCTAAAGAGGGGAACTGTTTCAGTTTCAAAGTTGTATTCAAGTAGTAACTATAATTAAGTACAGATTTTTCACACACTTTCACCATAATTATTTTTGATTTACACATGCTATACCAACTTCAGATTAATATGAAATACAACTTTCCTAATTATTTATTCACGATTTTGACCTATTTTAACACTCGTGGAGTGTTCTAGGATCATTTACAATCATATTCAAAATCTATTTTATGATGGAAAACAGGTTTTTCCATGAAAGTACCACAAAGATCACACATGATTTGAAATTACAGGAGTTTCATTAGATGTTTTCAAGCAATTACAAAAAGTTTTTTTTCCTGAATTCTCGTGGAGGAAAGGGGGTGCAGACAATATACCAGTGCGGACTTTACAAGGCTGATTACGGTATGTGACCCTATTACACCCGGATGTATAAAAAGCTACTAGAAGAATTTTATAATGTATAAAATTTAAATATAAATTACTGATTTAGCAACTGAGTATAACAAGAACTACTTACTCAACTAAAAAGATTCCTTTCAGATATAATTGCTTGGGAGTTCCTGGAATTGAAATTAAACTTGAAAATAAAAAAATATAAAACATCTTTCACATAAATATTGGATATTTTTTTTTAAATGAAAACATCAAAAGATATATATTGCTGTAATTTTTTTGTCTGTGACTATCACAAAGAGACTATTCAGACATGTGTGTAGGGTAAGTAGATTCCAGAACTGTCCATTCAGATTAATTATTATACTTATTAACAAAAATTTAATCTCAATGTTTAAAACAAAAGCTCCAAACAAGTACCTTTTTTGAAATGTTCCTATTCCAATGGCTATAACACGATGAAATGTAGGTTATTAAAAACAGAACAGATTCAGTACGTATGGACATGCTTTCAGATATAAATAATTGAGATACATACCGTAAACATAATTTACAAGTGACTCGTTGTGAACAAATTTTTCTATGTTGATGGTAAACATGAAGTTGCATGCATCAAGTTCAAAGGACATGACAAATGATCTTCCAAGAGATACTGCTTCAACACAACATGTTATTCCTGTACATGTATCCATGGTTATACATGATGTTTCTGCACCATTCAGGTAAGGTAATGTCAAATAGTTTGGACACTCTGCAATAAAAGTATAAATGTAAATAGGATGGAGCTGTTATCTTGATATGGCTTCATGAGGAAACAGTTGATAAGTAAACTTTATTTTTTTTTATATTAAAATTGCTACAATAAAAATATGATACCATAAAGGTCATCTTGAAAAAAAATCAGTTGTCTTACGCACATTAGGATGTGGATGAAAATGCATAAAAAAATTAGCATGTCACTAGAAGCTTGATACCAAATATCAGGAAGCTGTGATTTCAAGTTCCTGAGAAACATTTGACACCAATTTTATAGGATGGATGGACCTACACAGGGACAGAGGGACTGAAAAAAATAAAACAATATACCTCCCATCACTGGAAGCTACCAGCTCCTTCAGATTGGGGTATAATTACCACAGTGACTAAATATATTCATTTTGAATTTACTCTGCAAACTTCTGAAAGAGTATAAACACATACATGTAGTTTGTACATACATATATTTAGAAAATGTATTTCTATTCATCTCAAATGTCATACTACCAGTATATATTTTCTCATATCACCATTATATTAAATATGGTATAGATACCTTCAATGGACTTTTACAAACTTCGAAAGCTAGCCTTGATTATTGACTGCAAGTAAATCAAAGTTATCTTACCATGCATCCAACCATTGTTGGTAGGGACCCAAGGTTCTCTTGATCTATCACATGAATATTCATTCAAAAAAGATGGAGCATCTAACTCCTCAAGGATCTGGTATAACATGTACTCCTTTAACACATCTGTCCTGATAATATCTCTATCTGACATCCACTTGGTTAGTGAAAAATCTGTAATGTAAATAAAATCAGGCGCTATGCAAATGTCACTATATTTTCTAAAACATTATATTCAATGCACGACATGTTTTTCAGAAATATCTATTCAAAAATTTAGAAAATAAATTCCACTTGTAAATGAAGTGAACCATTTTCCTATTCAGCCTATCAAAATTAAGTGCAAAATCATTTCCTAGTGTAGAATTTAAACGTGAAATTATTTTTCAAACAATATATCCTCAACAGTATCTATTTTGACACAAAAAAGGTTTGAAGGCTGACAAATGCTAAATTAACTACTGGTTGGTATTTAAAAGATATCTTTTAGTGAACAATGCCTTACCTTCTACAACAAAATCTTTGTTAAATTTGCACTCCTGCTTTGGTAAAAGAACATTTCTCAAAACCATTGAATTATTGCTATCACAAGAGCTCTGAGCTTCAAAACAAACTGATACATTCAAACTAATGATAAATATCTTGTCATCTGGAAGATCATCTATAGAAAATCTAAAATTAGAACAAACAAAAACTAGCTAATACCAAAACCCATAATTAAATCTATTTAAAATAAGAAATTAACAACAGCAAAAAATATTCCTTATCTTGTACCATTTTTCATTCCTTCATATTTTTAAACACACCAGATCATTTATCTTACATCAAGAGGTCTTTCCAGATTTGTTTTATTTGGTTTGCTGTCTCACTGATATATACCAATATCTCTTTTATTCACATAACTTTTCTGAAAAACTTCACATGGTTGTTGGCAGACATCCAACACTTAACATATCACAGAAAAAGGATGACTCAATGTCAAAATACAATCTCTCACAAAAGACAAGTGTCTATGTCATATGTCAAGTTCAAAATCTTCGACATGTATGTTTGTATGTTTTCTGTCAAGATAGAGAACAGGAATCTTATCTATTGAGCATGCCAGCCATTTCAGTACTTTTTCAATTTGTATAGATCATCTGAGTTGCTACAAATTGATATTATAAAATATCAGCTGCCAACCACAATGTAAACCTTTTTGGTGAGTGTGTCAAGTGGCTGATATTTAACGATATCTTTAAAAAACCCAAAACTCTGCTAATAAAATTACGGCTTTTTCTGGTCTTTTTACATATCTCTTAGAAAGTTTTACCCTTGCCAAAGTAATCTTGATGTCATTTCTTCACACATTGTGACTTTGTTGATATCTTCACTTCAGACAATGTGATGCTGCTGAAAAGTTCTGCTTTGTCTCAAAGCTGTGATATGAGAATTACAGATCCACTGAGCAGGTTGATATAGATGGATGTAAAGACAATAATAATAAATTATTGCTGGTATTTCAAACGAGAGGGTTTTTCTCAGCTACAATCTCATCAAATAGTGAGATGAGATGTGGCTGAGAAACATCTTCAAGTTTGAAAGACCATTAATAATGAGTTTATCTCTATTTTGCCTATGATGTCGTTATTGTTAACATTGACAACAGCACATGCACCCTTAGTTCCTAGCAATATTTTTTCTATCTAAAGAGAGTAGCATGATATGAAAAATTATCACAAAAAAAAAGTCAAAGGAAAAATACACAAAATATCCATAAATAATTTTTATCCTTACCTCAGTCACTTAATCTAACAAGGTAGATAAGTTCATATCATTGTCATAGCCACTAGCAATACTAGAAACTGAGCACTTTTTAGAACTAGAAATGCAAGTATAATCTCTGCCCCACAATAGTATTAATATATTGAAGTCAGTAAATCTGATTATCTCCCCTTAAAAATGATGGACTGGGATAACACTCCTTTTTGCATATCCTCATGAAGTATTCTATAACTTGTGTAAAGTTTTATCAATATTTGTTTAGTTGTCACTTACAAGGAACATGGACAGAGAGTAAGGGTGAATCCTATATCACCATATTACCCCCCACCCCTGAACTTTGTTTTGCAGCAGTATAAAAATTATAATACATACTCTAAATTCATGACTCCATACAAAGACACTGATAACACAGAACCTACAAATTTTAAAGTAAAACGTTTATTACCATTTGTGTATTGACACTTTTAATTGAGTATTTTAACAAAACTAAAAGTTATAAGAATACCAAATTCAAAATATTAAGACATGTGATATTATATACAAATATACATAGTGCTCACTAAAATCACTTCTATAAGTTGTATTTCTTGCTTTTAACTCATTAAAACTGAAATTAAATCATTACGAAATATTGGAGTCAAAATAAGAAATAACATCTGTAGAAATATAAACATTAATTAAATTTTAATACAATTCAAGACACTAAATATTATTTAAATATTTCCTCTTACCCCAACTGTAGTCCAGTAGACTTCTGTTAAATTTCATCCTTTCAATGCCAACCGTCAGCCTGTAGTGACATGGATCAATGTCCAAGTAAATGTGGAATGATCTTCCAAGCAGCTTAATATCCACACAGCATTCAACACTGGTGCATGTATCAGATAAGCTACAAACCATGTTGTCTGGTAGACTATAGATGGACTGGATAGTATGTGGACATGCTAAAAAAAAAAAACCAAATCACATTGTAACTGTCAAAAACTAGTTTCTATATCCGACAGAAAAAATGCAAAGATTATCAAGATGTTTAATGACTAAATGACATCATGTTAAAGGAATAGGGACAATAAGGCTCTTATTTGGCCCAAATAATAGTGCTAATTTAAAAATTATCATACATATTTATAAATTTGTCATAAATAGACTAAGGTAAAAGGTATTCAGAAAATAAAAACAAATTTCATATTTAACGAGTAACCATGGCAACAAACATTGACGGAATTTGTATAGTTTGTAAAATTTCTCGATTTTCCTTGTTTTTCATCAAATTTTAAGTATATTTTAGAGTGGCAAAGTATGTGCGCACCCAAGAAACAACTTCATATTTGGTGAGATTATGTCAATAGTCATAATAAAGCTTCTCTTAAATTATTTTGTTGTTTCTTGGCGGTGCACAATGTTTCCACAATGGAAATAACAATGGAAAACTTCATAAATTCTGTATTTCTCATTGTTTTCATGAAAACGGTACATATTATGACGTAACTGTGATGTCATCAGATAAAAAATCTTATGTTTTTCATTTATATTTCTTGACTTTATGCATTTCCAATTATTATGTGCAAATTTGAAACAGTTGTCAAGCATTTCATTTTCTTGTGCCAAAACCGGGCCCCTACTCCTTTCCATGGTTATCTTGAAGTATTCAAATCACAGAAGGAAAGGAAATGTTTAAAAGAAAAGAAATATTGATGATAATTATTCAAAACAGATTTATTTTAAGAAATATGCAGCATTGACATTATTACCTCTACTGCAAAAAAAAAGAAAAAAAATCAAAAATTATACTAAACCTCTTTAAAAAAAAATTCAAATCAGATCTTGACCTAGATTTTGATGTATAAATATATATTGTTGAAATTTCAATGATTTTAGAAACAGGAGAACTTTTACAATTACTATTATACATTAGAAATATAAAAACTACATTTTTCTGCTAAAAAATCTGGCTTCAAATAAAGTTTCAATAAAAAAAAATTTAATATCTTCCTGCTGAAATGCACAAAGAAAGTCACAAGTTATACCTATATTCCAACCATCTGATGATTGAGGGAAATATGGTGAATTACTTCTGTTACACTTAGTCTTCTCATAATATTTAGATACACCAAGTTCTTCAAGTAAATCTGTCAAAGCCTGCCCATGTAAAGTGGTATTCACTGTGTATCCACTTTCTGCTTCCCATTTTGTCAAAGAAAAATCTGGAAAAGATCATGAAATATTAAAAGAAAGTAAAATTACAATCAAAACCTACTATTTCCTAAAGTCATAAATTATTTGACACAATGAAACAATTAGGAGCTTATTGTTGCATGAAACTTTTTGCCATTATTACAAAATTTGTGTGTTTTTCAAAACACCATTGTATCAAAATGGTGCTGAATAAAATCAAAACATGGAACAGTTCTTATTTATTAAGGGGACACTATTTCTGATGTTCAAATCTTGTAAATCAATTAAGAAGAGGCAAAGCAAAGTAACCAATAAAAACTGAGAGAATCGCATTAACTCTAAAAGAAGCAAGACAGGGTACATTGACAGGATAAGCATCTCCTGCTTTGCATGCATCACCTTCCATGCTAATTCACTCAGTCAAAATGTCACAATTGGGAATATGATACAATTGGTAAAATCACAGATCAGACAACTATACTGGTACTTACAGATCTGAACAAGACATGAGACAGAAATCCGTAAAATTGATATTTTAAAAAACCCACTAAAAACAATCACATATACTTCATAATAGTTGGAAAATGTTTTTAATAAAAATTTTAAGATATTGGATGGCAGTAAACTTATTAAACTTTTTAAGTTTTAAATACAAGTTTTTCAGTATATAATACAGATGTAGCTTTTTTTTTAAAAGATACACAAGGGTTCTGCTCATATTGTAGTTCTTGACAACAAATTCAAAAACAAACAAACTAATACGATATGGGTAAATTTATCAATCCTTTAAATAAACTTATTCTAAAAGGTTACCAGTTCAACACTGTAATTAAATCTTTGAATATTGTTTTTATTGGTATAAATATTGATTTTGTTATCAGTAAATTAAAACCATATTAAATATTATTGTTATACACATATGTACTTTCATGGTACTACAATATGTCGATACCTATATTTTGGCATTGCACAAGGTCATGTTTTTCTCTGTTAATGACGTCTTTACACTAAATTCATTGGATGTTGGATGTGTACTGATTGATATTTTAGTCTTAGAAACATGATTTTTACATCGGATGACGATGAGGGCATTCCGGTGTATTGCTGTCGCCTAGATCTCCATTATGAAACTTTCGTGTTGGGATTGTAGCCGATCTATAAACATGATAAATACGCGGACATTATCGAGTGCAAAATAACATTCCTTATCGCTTGTTATAAATTCATTTTTTCAATGGATACTCCTAAAAATATTTTTTTTAGAACATAAAATTAATAATATGAAAATGTTTTGTCGTTAGAAATATATATATAAGTAAAAAATCTTTAATATCTATGCACACGTACAGAAAATGTGTGTTAACGCATGCGGAAGAATATCTCAAGAACGTTTAAAATCTCCCATGCAGAGTTATCGGTCCTCGCTCTCTCTCAAGGACCGATAACTCTGCATGGGAGATTGAAAGTTTCGAGGGAAAATATGAATGTTTGAATGCCTACTCAAATCCAATCTATTAGAAAAATCGAATTATTACAGAAGAGTGTCCACCATGCACTTGCACTGCACTATTATTAATATAGTAGAATAGAATGATATACAAATGGATGAAAATTATATATACATGTAACTGTAATATACAAATATTAATATAATATATAACAACAAACCAGAGTATACTGATTTGTATTACTTCAATATCATATTTATTACGGTGAAGTTGAATTTCCTGTCATTTATTTATCATCCCAACACGAAGTTGTCTAAGAAAAAACTAGAGGCTCTAAAGAGCCTGTGTCGCTCACCTTGGTCTATGTGCATATTAAACAAAGGACACAGATGGATTCATGACAAAATTGTGTTTTGGTGATGGTGATGTGTTTGTAGATCTTACTTTACTGAACATTCTTGCTGCTTACAATTATCTCTATCTATAATGAACTTGGCCCAGTAGTTACAGTGGAAAATATTTTGTAAAAATTTACAAAATTTATGAAAATTGTAAAAAATTGACTATAAAGGGCAATAACTCCTTAAGGGGTCAATTGACAATTTTGGTCATGTTGACTTATTTGTAGATCTTACTTTGCTGTACATTATTGCTGTTCACAGTTTATCTCTATCTATAATAATATTCAAGATAATAACCAAAAGCTGCAAAATTTTCTTAAAATTACCAATTCAGGGGCAGCAACCCAACAACCTGTTGCCTGATTGGTCTGAAAATTTCAGGGCAGATAGATCTTGACCTGATAAACAATTTTACCCATGTCAGATTTGCTCTAAATGCTTTGGTTTCAGAGATATGAGCCAAAAACTGCATTTTACCCTATGTTCTATTTTTTAGCCATGTCGGCCATCTTGGTTATTGGGCAGGATCATCGGACACATTTTTTAAACTAGATACCCTAATGATGATTGTGGACAAGTTTGGTTAAATTTGTCTTAGTAGATTCAGAGGAGAAGATTTTTGTAAAAGATTACAAAAATTTACGAAAAATGGTTAAAAATTGACTATAAAGGGCAATAACTCCTTAAGGGATCAACTGACCATTTTGGTCAAGTTGACTTATTTGTAGATCTTACTTTGCTGAACATTATTGCTGTTTACAGTTTATCTCTATCTATAATAAAATTCAAGATAATAACCAAAAACGGCAAAATTTCCTTAAGATTACCAATTCAGGGGCAGCAACCCAACATTGGGATGTCAGATTCATCTGAAAATTTCAGGGCAGATAGATCTTGACCTGATAAACAAATTTACCCCATGTCAGATTTGCTCTAAATGCTTTGGTTTCAGAGATATAAGCCAAAATCTACATTTTACCCCTATGTTCTATTTTTAGCCATGGTGGCCATCTTGGTTGGTTGGCCAAGTCACCGGACACATTTTTTAAACTAGATACCCCAATGATGATTGTGGCCAAGTTTGGTCAAATTTGGCCCAGTAGTTTCAGAGGAGAAGATTTTTGTAAAAGTTTACGGACGACGGACGACTGACGCAGGACGACGGACGACGGACGCCAAGTGATGAGAAAAGCTCACTTGGCCCTTTGGGCCAGGTGAGCTAAAAATTATAACTGTACATTAACCTCACTTTCAGGTATAGAGATGTGATTTTTTTTTCTGAGACAAGTGCTTGTGACCATCCACAAGAACTTGCAGTCATCCGATGTTTAGTACTTCAGCACTTCGATTTTATTAGTTGTTATTGGCTATGAACTAGCTGTCAGTAACTGCGATTACTCTCAGATCTGTACTTAGTGTCTTTTTTGTTGTTAGGGATGAGGGATGGATAAATACCCTGCCACTTCCGGTCTGTGTCTTTGTTTGATGTTTTTCTGCTTTGTATCGATCTGTTGAGTTAAACCTTTTTCAACTGATTTTTATAGTTTGTTGTGATGTTGTGCTGTTACACTACTGTCCCAGGTTAGGGGGAGGGTTGAGCCCTCACAAACATGTTTAACTCCACCACATTCTTCATGTGCCTGTCCCAAATCAGCATCCTGGAGATCAATGGTTGTTGTTGGTTCATGTCTGACATATTTGTTTTTCTTTCGTAAATTGTTTTGTTAAAATTAGGCCGTTAGTTTTCTCAATTGAATTGTTTCATATTTTTCATGTCGGGGCCTTTTAAAGCCGAGTATAAGGTATTGATTTTTCTCATTGATGAAGGCCGTATGGAAAATGATGAAAATAAAAATAAAAGTATGAAGTTTTATTTTGTTGTTGGGCTGTTGTCTAGTTGACATATAACCCACATCTTTTATTTGAAACATTATACTTCTCCTTTCTACTATTTCATTTAAGCGAAACATATGTCATTGCATTGAACAACAGTATTAAGTACCTTGTGTAAGGAAAGGCTTTTTCCATTCACACACTTCTTTTTCTAATACAATGTTTTCTAGGACTGTCACTCTATAATCACAGTCAGTCTTAGAACTCCAGCAGACGCTCACTTTCATGCTTACAATAAAGCTCTTCCGTCCTGGCAAATCTTCAAGCTTATATCTAGCAAATGAAATTATAATTAGAAAAAAAAACAACAGATGTAGAATAAAAAAAACATTTAGCAAGTATTGTTTTTAAGTTTTATCATTTACACTTGTTTGTTGCAAATTTGCAAGATAACTTTTTCATTTCATAATAATTAGCATAGATTTTTTGCCTAAAGTTTTATTTTCCTCAAAAACAGAACCTATATTAAATCTGTATAACAATTGAGAAATTTACTCATAAGTTCAAAGCTGAAAAATATTTCACTAACCATCTGACATCAATATTTACTTATAATACTAGAACCAGTTATCATCCACTTAATTTGAACTTTGGTAGATAGTTGTCTCATTGGCAATCATACCAAATCTCCTTATTTTTATATCAATGTTAAAAATGTTAATTTAAAAGATACCACTTACTGTATTCGAAAAATTCCTCCCAAGTAAAGTCCATGCTGTTGATCTAAAAATATGTATGCATAATATTTAAAAGATATTATAGCATGTAATAAAACTCTTTCACACAAACTTATACAAGATTACTCAACAACAGGCAAGACAAAAATAAATCTGTCGTTTATCTCTTTTACATTCCACTGTTTTTTTCACATCAACAACTTGTATGTGTTGTTTTGCTTAGCATACTCCCACTCATAATTCAAAGTAGAGGAAAACAGGAAGAAAATGTCCGACAGATCCAAAAAGTGCAGACACTTATAAGTAATACTGAGACCAGATATGAAGTCATCTTGTATAGTTCTGAAGAAATGTGTTATCAAAATATGAAGTTCATTCAACATATGAAAAAATTCAAAGTATTGGCAAAAAGGAGGAAGGATTCTGACACATAAAAAAATGCTCACATGTTACAACTCATCACTGTCAAGCTGCTGACCATATATGAAGACATTCTGTTCAGTAGTATTAGATAAAAGCGTGATGAAAATATTAAGTTCAACATTATTAAAATTCAAAGTACAGGCAAACAAAAAGTAGGTGTCTGACAAATCCATAAAGTGCTCACAAGATACAACTGATAACTGACAAGCAGATGACCAAATATACAGTATTTTTTTCCAATATGACATGAAAAAAGTGCGACAAAAATATTTATTACACAAAAAGATGGATAAGATGATTACAATATAGTCCCATTATTTAAAGTGTAAAAAATAACATTCTATACTTACTCCAATCAAAGTCAAGAAGTGATTGTGAAAATTTATACTTTTCAATTCCAACAATTATACTGTCATTACAGGAGTTAAGATGAATGAAAATGTTGTAGTTTTCCAGTGTCTTTTCATCATAAACACAACAGTCTATAGCGGTACATTGATCATTAATATCACACATAACAGGTCCATCCAGTAAAGTCCTAGTCTTAAACTTTGAGCAATCTATGAAGAGCAAAAGTTATAATTATATTGTAGTCAAATATCAATAACAGTTGTTATAAATATACTATTCAATTCCCCCCTCCCCTGTCCAAATAAATGTCTTAAACAGGAATTTTGAGTGAGTTTCTAAATATAAAAATTGTTATTTGATTAATGATAATTCAACATTTCTTAATTGTAGGAATGATTTCCATTAAACAGTTTGAAAAAGATAATATATTTGTACAAATAGTTGATATATGAGTGCATGATTCAGTTCATTTTCTTCACATGTTTATTCACTGTGTAAAGCTTTAATGAATCAAAGAAGAATGTGTTTGAGCACATGAATGCCCCCGCTCAAGATTCACGATTTTCAAAGTTAAAAAGGGGCATAACGCTAGATGATAAATGATTCATGACTCAAATTTGAACTCTGTCTTCTTGTTGTGGTTCGTGGCATTTTGTATAAGTTTCATAAAATTTAGGTGAGTAAAACTTAAGTTAGAGTGTGGAAACGAAAAAATTTGCAATTTTCCAAGTTATAAAGGGGCATAACTCTAGAACTGTAAGAAACTCACTGCCAAAATTCAAACTCTGTCTGCGAATTTTGGTTCCCTGCAATGTGTATGAGTTTCATAAAATTTGGATGTGAAAAACTTGTCAGAGTGCAGAAACAAAAATGGGATGGACAGAAGGACACACCGTCAAGGGTAACACTTAGTGCACCCGTTGCCTACAGCAGAGGCATAAAAATTTAATTGTAAGTCAAATTTAAGATCAAATTCTTCAATAAACCATTGATAAAATAATTAATTTAGTAATTTTCATTTTACACAGACTGCATACTTGACTGTAAGACTGTGTACTCAAAGTCATCAGCACATGTGTTCTTTTCAAGATAGAACCCAATGCCAGTTTCCTCCTTCAACTGTAGTATCAGGTCTTTGTCAGAAGTATCTTGTAGGCTGAGTTTAGATCCCAGCCAGGTGCCATAGGCAAAATCTGAAAGTAAGACGTGGATATTTTATGTTTAGACTAAAATAGTGTTTTTCTTTTACATTTAAAATACAATATAACTTTTTTAATATCTGTCAACATCTACGTCATTTGGCCTCTGGTGGAGAGTTGTCTCATTGGCAATCATACCACATCTCCATATTTTTATAATGTCTACAGTATGTGTATTTTAGCAATAGGAATCATTATATATTAGTCTTAAGTTTTAAAATTATTGCTGTCCCTTATCAACCTTGCATTGTGAACGTGATACGAACCAGACATTTTGTAGTTTTGTCTCCAATCACATTCTTCCTGTGGCAGATCTACATTGTCTAGTATTGTTGTGTTCTGTATGCATGGTTCTATTGATGACATACATACTTCCAAGGCTACTGACATTCTATACTTCTTTGCATAATGTAATTGATGTATCTGATAGCTGAAAAAAAACTGATATAAGAAAGATATTTATGAAGTTAATTTCAGACATGAGGTAAAATAAAGTTTGAAAATATGCTTGTGAACATGAGACTAGTATATTGAAGTTTAAAATCATGAAGTAACAAGAATGTGTCCATAGTACACAGATGCCCCACTTGCACTATCACTTTCTATGTTCAGAGGACCGTGAAATTGGGGTCAAAACTCTAATTTGGCATTAAAATTATAAAGATCATATCGTAGGTGGGGCATAAAAATTCTTTCTAGTATGCAATTTTTCAATTAAATGATTTGTTTTATCCCCAGGAGTAAATAGTTTAACTAGGATGAGGTGCCAATTTACACCCAGGTGATTAACTAATCAGATTGCAAGATTCATGCTTCCTAAGAAATATTGTATTATATACTTTTTGTTTAAAACTCAGGTCACTATTATAAATAATTTGGCTAGTTATTGGAGTCTATGAAATAAATTATGACTTCTATAACAATGGTGGGTATAATTGTTAATTCTAATATCCACTAACTGTAGTTTGAAGATTCCATTCAACCAAAAGGAATCATTACTTCCCCAGTTGTACTTAAAAAGCATCTGGATATAACGCAGTTTTTCTATTCCAACAGTTAGCTTAAGGTTACAGGTATCTAGGTGTAAGAACATGTTGAATGACCTCTGGAGGTCAGCAACTTCTACACAACAACTGATGTTACTGCAGGACTCATATAGCTTGCATCCTGTTGTTGATGGTAAAAATTGTACATCAATTAATGCTGAGCATTCTGAAAATTATAATAAATAAGTAATATATAAATTAAATAATTTGACTAATTGATTGTTGGTGTATATTGCCACTTTCAGCACGCTTGGCTATTATCATGGATGCCATTTTTTTAGTGGAGGAAGCTAGAGTGCCAGGAGAGAACCACCAACGGTCTGCAGATAAACAGACAATCACAGTCAATTAAGACAGTTTGAATTCAACTGCCACCTTCTCACAGCCTCAATCTGGACAGGCTAGTGATACTGTAGATGAACAACTTGGACTTGGCCACAATAAATCAAATCAAATTGAATTAAGAGTGTGAACCAATGCCTCATGGTTAAAATATGCTGAAACATGTAGATGCCATAAATAAGTAATACCTGTAATTTTTTGAAATGTTGTATTCATATTACTTTTTCATTTTTCATAAATAACACATGATAAAAATTGAAGATTTCAAACCAAAATAAAGTAAAAGAACAAAGGAAAATAATCAATGAATTAATTGTAAGTAAATCATCAAATCTGACAATTTTAAAATCTCAATAACAAGAATTTTTAAAACAAGATTTAGGCGAAAACAAGGGTGGCAATATATTATGCATTTATTTCAAACTTCTATTTACATGTGTTCAAATCTTAAAGTCTATCCAATTATTAAAATTGTTACCAATCATACCAGAATGGTTTAATACATATAAAAGTTCATTATTTAACATTTTTTATTAATCTAACAATTTTCAATAATATAAAAACCATCATAACTTTATAATACCTGAATCAAAACTTTTGATTTGTGTTGTGTTGTTTACACATACAGTTGACAAATACCATCCAATATCCAAATCATTGTATAGTCTCAAGAGATCAAGATGCCTGAAGAATGACACATTAATTCCTCTTTCAGAAGTCCAATCTGACAGATCAAAATCTGCAAAGAAATAAATATATCAGTGTACAAAAACCTTTAAAATTGAGAATGGAAATGGGGAATGTGTCAAAGAGACAACAACCCGACCATAGAGCAGACAACAGCTGAAGGCCACCAATGGGTCTTCAATGCAGCGAGAAACTCCCACACCCGGAGGCGTGCTTCAGCTGGCCCCTAAACAAATATGTATTCTAGTTCAGTGATCAGATCATTACACTTCCATAACTTCAAAACTGCATTCTATGATCTTTGTTGTTTCTTCGCTAAGCATGTAGCTCATAGTAAAGTGGCATGAATTCCTGCAGACTGTTACCTTGTGAACGAGCACGTTAAAAATACGGCTCAGTGTTCAAGTCTAGTACAAAGCAGGGTTTATATCTACATAATGTTCTCGCCCTGTTATGAATCAGAATAGTTTAGAACATACTACAACTGTGTGGACAAAGGACATCATTAATCCATTTAGTACTAACCAGTAATCAAAACTGCTTTTATAAATAAAGTACAATAAAAACATTTTGTGTCCTTACATACTTACTTTTAATGCTGAAATTATTCTGTAACTTCCTCTGTAGTTTTGGTAGTCTGGTACTTTGAAGTATATATCCAGACCAGGCACAAGGTTTGTAACTTTCCCAACAAACCGACACTTCCAGGGTTACCAAATATTCATTTTCACTCAATAAATCATATATGTTGTACCTAAAATAATAATAAATTAATCACTCTGCTGCCTGGCAAAATATTTTGGAACCATATTTTATGAAGCAATTTTCTTTTTTTATTTCATTCTATTATCACAAAAATTTGTGAGTCATCCAATATGAACATGTGCCGTCTGCTGTCTCAAAATGATTTAAGCAGAAATGGCAAATTCAATATTTTGGTATGAGAAACCTCAAAAATCACTCTAACAGTTCAAAAAAGTTAAATAAAATACTTACCGCACTCTGAATACATTCAACAGTCTAAATTCATGATCAATACCTGGAAAAAAAGTACATTGTTAATAAATCATGTAAAAATTTTACATTGCAACTGTAAATTGTGACTTAAATTGAATTAACTATTCTATTTGTGACTGACATGCTGTTTTCGCTGATTTTATATGTAACAAAGATGTTGATACTGAGATATATACAACTGCTGGTAAAGGTTTCCTCCCTGAGGTTATCACCAGCCCAGTAGTCAGCACTTCAGTGCTGACATGAATTATCAGTGATATGGTCATAATTATGAATTAACTGTTTACAAAACTTTAAATTTTTTTGAAATACTAAGGATTGTTTACCTCAAGAATAGATTACCTTAGCTGTACTTGGCAAAACCGTTCAGAATTTTTGGTCATCAATGCTGCATATTTTATTTGGCCATTTTAAATTGTTTGATTTGAGTGTTACTGATGAGTCATTTGTAGACTAAACAAACATCTGGTGTTAAAAAATTTGAATCCTGATATCTATGATGAGTTTATTTACAGGAAAATCAGAAGCAAAAATTTGATAAACTCAACTGCCCTTGTCAAATATTCTCCTTTTATGCATACAAATCATTTAAATCTCACCAAAGTCAAATCCAATCAAAGACAATAACAACTGATGTTTTCCTATTCCAATTTCCAGTAACTGCAAGTCCTGGTTCAGTTTAAGATAAACTTCTATGGTTTTCTCTATGAAGTCAACATTCAAACAGCATGATATTTCAGTACAGCTACTTTTCAGGTGACAAACAAGAGGGTAGGATGATATATTTGGTAAAAGCCTATTTTCACTACAATCTGTAAAATAAAGAAAGATAAGAAGTGAGTCCATAAAATTGCAAAATAAGAGGAAAATTAAATTGATTTAAATCTTGGTGAAACTGTCTTTAATCCAATGCCTTTTGATGAGATAAAAGTTTAACCAAATATGTACATGTAACAATTTTTTTTTTTTCATGGTACCAAGTTGATAAAATTCCAACAAGATGACCCCACACTAATATTTTGATAAAATATTGGTTTCCTATAAAATATATATATATATATATAAGTATAGAAAAATGGCAAGCAACAGATACATTTGTCCATACAACATGGGTGTGACAGCATTAACAAATATAATTGCTTATTCTCAATATTAAGCACATTTTCTAAGGTGTTGATTTTCAAAATCCATTAAGAAATCCCAGCATTAAACCCTTGTGATGTTAATTTTCCATTTCCAAGGGATGTAACTATGGTAAAAATAATCCATCTGCTCCGATTTTCAAAGTCACATTTGAAATTTTGCCAATGTGAACCTTTGACCTAATTCAATGAAACTCAAATGATAAATGTAGGTTCATTTGCACCTATATTGTTGATCCTTAACTCTCAACAAAACATTAGATAAGGACTGATTTTGGAAAGCTACAGATATTTTATATTAACCTTTTACATTGATTTCCTTAAACTCAGATGAGAAATACATGTTTGAGAGTACATACAATGTTGAGTTTTCAAATCATCTACATTTCCAGGGGTCATAACTCCACAAAATAAAAGAACAGAGTTTCGATGTCCCCCTCGTTGCACATATTTTATCTGACCATTAGCAAAAACTAAAAATTTCTTTTAATTTTTTTTTAAATATCTTAGAGAAATGAAGGTTTCAGAGCAAATGCAATGCAATTTCATATATAATTAATATTTCCAAGGGGCATAACTCTTAAAAATATTTCATCAGCATTGATTTTTTAAATTGTCCAAGACATTGCTGATATAAACCAAACTCTTTTAAAAATATTTCATCAGCATTGATTTTTAAAGTTGTCCAAGACATTGTTGATATACACCTTTGATATAAATTTGATAAAAATCTGGCAGAAAATGTACCTGTGAGAGCGCTTACAATGCAATTTCCCATATAATTAATATTTCCAAGGGCATAACTCTTTTTAAACTAATTGATCTGCACTGATTTTTTATCTTGTCCAAAACATTGCTAATATAAACCAATGATATAAGTTTTATAAAAATTTGGCAAGAATTGTACATGTGAGAGCACTAACAATGCAATTTTCCATGTAATTAATGTTTCCAAGGGGTAAAACTCTTTTAAAAATGGTTGATCAGCACTAATTTTCAAATTTGTCCAAGATATTGCTGATATGGCATAACTCTTTTTAAAATTATTGATCGGCACTGATTTTCAAACTTGTTCGAGACATTGCTGATACAAACCTATGATATAAGTTTCATAAAAATCTGGCCAGTATTTCTATGTCCACCCGCAACACTTTGCACGGGGGCAAAAATAGCAAATAAGCCCTGAATTTCTACTTTCCTCAAGATATTGCTGATGTTTTTTTGGACATTTTCATTAAAATCTGACTGACATAAGCATTTCTATAAATTCTACTCCGTTTTAAAATCAGTGGGTAGCAGGTTTGGGCCTATTAATTTCACATTCAGATTACCTGAATCAGCTTTTTTTTTAACTAAAAATATAGGAATATGCATCAAGACTTCATCTCAATTAATCAAACAAGCAATATCATCACTGAACATTGTGTATAAAATGCATGAGCTAATAGATTATTCTATTTTGTACCTATTTTCCAACCACTGACATCTACATCAAGAGTGTTCACATGACAGGTATCATCAATGATATAACTTGTCAATCCTGTTAGTTCTAGCAGTTCAGATACATAGTGTCCAGGTAAGACAGTGCCAAACAACAATTTTCTTTCTCTGTACCATTGTTCCAGAGAAAATCCTACAATACATGAAGATAAGGAGCCAATACATGTATTCTAAATTTTTTGTCATTTTTCAATATGAACTTTTTCTTATATTACTTCAATTTATAAACACTTTTTTCATTTGAGACCTAGTCCATACAGCTCAATGCAAGACACCATCTAGCAACACTAAAGAAGAAGGGCAACAAATGTGCTGCTTTTCATAACAATATATAAGATTAATATTATGTACTGTGCAGGTTTTATTTGTGTGATTGACTCATACAACATATGATCTAGATAGGCAATGGGAGAGGGTCGTGTGCACATTGAACTAGTTTGGCCCCATCACATTGTGACCTGTTTCAAGTCCAGCTATCTGGACTCTCTGTTGTTCATTGCTTTATGCATGTATTTTATCAGAGGAGCAAGGTATTGGTTGATTGTGTGGTTTGCTGTGCTGTTCGATTCTTTTTTAATATATTTTTGTGTGTGTATTCATTGACATTATGGCTTTCTTTCCAAATATAGCTATATCCCAGTCTTAACACAAGAAATGTGAAAAACATAAAATGTCCACTGTTCACTTTTTTCCCCAGTTTTCTGAGACTGGTGGTTTATTCATTAAAAATAAAGTTCAAGATACCTTTTGACATGAAAGCTGTGTCTGATTGACATACAGGTTTGGGAAATATCATGTCTTCTAGAATAGGTATAACCAGTTCACATGGACCATTTGATTCCAGACAAATACTGAACGTCAACTGAAGAATGAACATTTCTTGTTGTCTCAGATCTTCAAGATTATACCTGAAAATTAGATTGATTTTGAACTGAAGAAAAATTTTGAATACACAAATATAACAAGTGAATCTGTGAGCTACTGCTCACTAATGATACCCCCGCCCCGCTAAAAGTATAAAGTAACAGGAAGTTGTTGAGTGATGAATCTGAAAACGCATCAACGGTATAGCTGACTCATATAAACCCTGAAACCAAATTTCAGAAATCCTTGTAATGTAGTTCCTGAGAAAGATGCCACGAAAAATATTCATGGGACGGACGGACAGACTGACAGATGGACTGATGGATTGACGGACAGACAGAGGTAAAACAGTATACCCCCAATTTTTTAAAGCAGGGGTATAATTATAAAGAATCATGCAGTCACAGTTAATTTCAAAACTAGATAAAACTCTCTAAGTAGCATAACAGAATTTATTTAAAAACTTTTGATTCCTAGAAATTTTTTAAGTTATCTTTAAACAAAAGAATTCTGCAAAATTTTCTACACCCTATGCATGCAAATTCCTTAAAACTAACAATATCTAAACATTTCTTGTACCCTAGCACATATAACATTTAACAGACATTAAAACAAATAATACATACTCCAGTCTTGTTACTCCAAACAAATTAAAGTTTTCTGTTTCTCCAAAGGTATAATCTAACAAACTATACTTGTGGTACAATCTTTCTATTCCAACAGTAACACTAGAACGACAAGTATCTACATCTAGGTAGAAGTTCAATGTTGTATTGAGCAATGGTATCTCTACACAACACTCTATACTTGTACATGTCTCAAAAACATGACACGCAATGTTACTTGGCAGAGCAGGTAAGGTTATATCACGGTTACATTCTGAAATTAATAAATATTTGTGATATTGGATTTACAATATAACAACATTTCAGCAATATAAGAGCGAACTTAAATGATGGAAAATTGTTGTTATTATATAACAGATACTATTTCAAAACCATCAGGTGGAAACAAGTGCCCAACAATTACATATGTCAAAACTGTATCTTGAAACACTTTGAAAGACAAAAAATAAAGGAAAATCTTAAATACAAGTTTCTAATATTTTATGATATTCTTTCCATTGACTTCATTAATATTTCAAACAAGACCATCCTACAAAACTGAGAAACTGGTAATCCAATAAATAAAAGTATTTAACTAACCACTTCTCCAACCATTTTGATTGCTTTCCTGGTCTATTTGACAGGAATTATCTAGTAAGTAAGCAGCTACATGGAGATCAGACAACAGCTGTGATACTGTGTAGGCTGGCAATGGAGAAACATCAGGGAAACCTTCCTCAAGTAACCAGCTTTGTAGAGAAAAATCTGAAATAAAATAAGAATATCTGTATATCCAATTGCCACTGTGCCCTTTTATCAAACAGATTCTCAAGAAGATGATACAAGGAACTGGTACCACACACCAATGCCTTTCACTTCCCTGCTTTAGAAAACAAGCTTAAAAGTAATAATGGACAAGTCTTAAGAAGCTTGTTCCTTAATATAGGCATAAATTGATTTTCAGCCTTTGGTTTTTCAAACTCTTCTATACAAGATGCTAAAACAATTTATTGTGGATTCATTAATTTATGTGGATACAAACTTCATGGATTGAGGAAAAATTGTAGTTTTGTGGATATCTGATTTCGTGGTTTTGACAAAATTACATACAATCCAGTAGTAAATTTGTACTTCTATGAACATTTAAATTTGTGGTTAACCTGTTGCAATGAAATCCACGAAATTTGGTATCCCATAAATAATAATAATGAATCCACAGTATGAGAGTTGATGATGATAGCGTAAGTCATATTAATATCAGTCTTGATTTTCTAATTAACAGCAATTTCAAAAATTGATTCAGTATTTGTATTTTCCTTTAGCAAAGTGAGAGGTGCCATAATGTGGAAGCGGATTTGCTTACCCTTACAAAACACCTGTGATTATCATAAGGTCTTGGTGGGTTCTTGTTATTCAGTTCTTTAGTATGATGAAGTTTTTAGAAGACTGTTGTTTTGTCTTTTTAATAATTTCTTTTTTTGCCATGGTGTTGTTAATTTTTCTTCAACTAATGATTTTTTATTGTCCTTCTGCCTCTATTTTTGACACTTAACTGTACTGAAAATAAAGTCATGAGCCATTTTAGAATAAAATGAATGATTTAAAAAGTTAACAGAAACTTAACAAATCCTCACCATTAATAAAGAACCCTGTATCCCAATTACATTTTTGTTTAGGCAGTTTATGCTTGTTGAAAATTTGGACTGATAAATCACAAGGAATAGACCTGTCAGCCTCCATACACACACTCAGTGTTAAATCTATTAGGTACTGTTCCTCTGCAGTTAAATCTACAATGCTAAACCTGCAAGAAATATACAGTATACTAAAAGTGAGATCAATTTATATCTTACAATTTACAAATATGGCAGGTTATTTTAAAAGATGAAATTCAACCAACTTATCTTTTAATTTTCTTGTCATGAGTCAGCTTCTATAAAGACTTAAGGTTTTAAAAGTATAACACCTACATTTGTACTGTCAGTTAGGATGGTCATGTTGAGTGGATATATAATCACTTTTCCAAATTGCCCTGTTAGTTGATCTTTTGATAAAACAATATTATGGATGGCCTGGTTTTCTGTGCCTTTATATCATTATTACACTTCATTGATATAGGGTAGTGTTGATATATTTTATGCACCTCAGATATGGAAATATTAACTGCTGTTTAGATTCTGTTTCAAACTAGAGGCTCCTTGGAGCGTGATCGATCATCTAGTAAATTTACCTATAAATTGCTCAAAAAAAGATAACTTTTTTTTGTGTGACAAATATACTATCACATGGGTTTGTTTTCATCAATTCCATAACATTTCAAAACATTCCAACTTGTTGTTCAGAGATTTCTGAAAATTGGTCAATCAGAGTCAACCAAGACCACAATGTTTTTCATTAATTTGAAACCAAATGAGGATCTTTTGTAAAATATATATTCCATACATATCTTATTTTGGTTAAATTTGGTCGAGTAGTTCAGAATAGCATATGAACATGTGGTTTTAGGGTTTCATTGGGATCTACCAGCCAACAATGCTGCCATGTTTGTCACATCTTTAACATAAAATGAGGACTCTTTTCAAATATCAATCACCAATAGTTTTAAACATTTGGCCTTGAAGTTTCAATAAAGAATAAAAAAAGTTTTTTTTTAAACGATCAAAGTAAAAAAGTTCAGTCATAGGTGATAACAATTTTTTTAGTCTTATTTCTAATACAGATCTATTTATCTGGGGTCAGTTAAGTTATAAAATAAACTTACTCCATTCTAATAAATCCAAACAGCCAGACTTGGACAGGATATCCCCATTCATAGTCAAACAACCATTTACTGAACTGCAGTTGTTCAATAGCAACAGTCAGCTTGAAGAGGCAGGGCTCTATGTTGATGAAAGTTTCAAATGACCTGCCAATCTTCTCCAATGTTATACAACAGTCTACTGCATTACAAGTATCTCCAATGTGGCATCCTATTGGTCCTGTGTTACTGGGTAAAGCAGCCATGGATTGATTACACTCTGTAAAAATATATTAATCTAATGACCTAAAACTAGAAGCCCAAAATAGTTTTTACTAACTATGTTTAACTCATCAAACTCTATGATATCCTTTTTAAAAAGCAGAAAATTTCTCCATGCATCAGACTTTGAGTATGAGTTTCTGATTGTTTGGAGACTTTTTTTGACAGAAATTTATAAATTTACATGACAAAATGTTATTTAGATCTTACCATTTATCCATCCACTTGTGGTACATGGCTGTTTTTGTAAGAAATCTGTGATACCAAGTGTGTCCATCAAATCTTTCATGTCATTCACACTTAGGACATGGTCTTTCTTTAAACCTTTCTCTTCCAGGAATGTCATGTAAGAAAAATCTATTAAAACAAAAAGACATATGAAGTACAGAATTATATTTGGAGGTCTTAGGACTTCTAATTTGTGTTGCATATGAACAATTTTGTTTTAATTAACTCTTAAATCTCCAAGACAAAATCATAAATTTTCTGAATATAATGGATTCAATCTTATTCTTAAATATGAAAATAAGGATATGATGTGGTATGATGATTGCCAATGAGACAACTATCCACCAGAGTTCAAATGAAATAGATACAAGCAATTATAGGTCACAGTTAGGTCTTCCAACAATAGGAAAAATCTTTACTGTATAGTCAGCTATAAAAGGCCCCTTCATAAAAATGTGAAACAATTCAAACGAGAAAAAAAACTAATTAAAAGTATCCTTCAGAAGTACTATTGGTTATTTCTCAATTACCAGGGAAGCTGTCATCATAGTATCACTTTTGTATAGGCAGTTGTCAGTGAAAGGGTTAAACCCTTAGATATTGAAATCATACTACTCAAGTAAAGTAGCTTGCTTTAGGTGACTTAAATTTAGCCAGAGTTGAACTTGCACAATTTAGATTTCAACATGTGACATTGTATCACATTTTTTTCCCAAAAAGTAAAATGAAATTGTCCAATATGCTTGATTCATATCATATCCATTACTAAAAAACTCTTCCTCTATTTTGATTTTTGACGTCAATATTTTCTTTTTGGATGGCAAACTTGATCGTTGCATTTTCTAAATGACATAGTTAATATGGCAGCTTGTAATTTTACAAGCATTTCTGTATTTCTATGTACATTAATCAACCTTACCTACAAAAATAGGTTAACTTTATCATTTATAACATTTATCTAAGTCACAATATTGAACTTTTTAACCAATCAAGACATTCATCCCTTTGCTCAACGTACCAACACAGGTTGTATGTCCAACAAACCCAATAATGACATAAAACAATGCTCTAAAACCAGATAGCTTGACAGTATGATAACTATTAAATCAAACATATTGCAAGAAAATTGATTAACATATGGTTTTCAGCTTCAATGAAAATAAAGATATACTCACTTGGATCAATGAAATCACTTTTCCACTCACAAATGGTCTTGGGGAGAATGGTTTTCCTCAGAACTGGGACTGATATCATACAAGGTGAATTTGACTCAAAACAAATACTCACTTGGATCGATGAAATCACTTTTCCACTCACATATGGTCTTGGGGAGAATGGTTTTCCTCAGAACTGGGACTGATATCATACAAGGTGAATCTGACTCAAAACAAATACTCACTTGGATCGATGAAATCACTTTTCCACTCACATATGGTCTTGGGGAGAATGGTTTTCCTCAGAACTGGGACTGATATCATACAAGGTGAATCTGACTCAAAACAAATACTCAGATCTAATGTCACTTCATATTGTCTCTCTGTTGGATAATCTTCTATCAAAAGGCTAGAGGAAAAAAATATTTTAAATTCACAAACACCACATTCAACAAATGTGATATAAGTTTTGTATACTTATGACAATGTTAACTAAAAGTTAGGCGTTCCAGATACCTCCACCCACAGAAAAACTCTTCAACGGTAAATGCAAAAACCAAATTTCAATTGATTGTGACCTGTATTTTTTGTAGCACAAAATTGTGTTAAAATCGAAAAACAATTTTGTGAAACAGTACTTTCATTATTATCAACTGGAAATAAAAAACCTCAAAATTGTAAGGTACTGTGGATTCATTGTTGAATATCAATTTTCATGGATATTGAGGGTACAGGGGAACCTTGAATTTAAATGTTCAACAAACTACAAATTTTCTATAAGGATATATGCAGACTTTGACTAAACCACAAAATTTGATTTCAACAAAAATGCAATCCAAGAAAATTGGTACCAACAAAAAAAAAATTAATCCACATAAACTAATGGGAACTAGAGGCTCTAAAGAGCCTGTGTCGCTCACCTAGGTTTACGTGCATATTCAACAAAAGACACTCTTCAACATTGTAGATGAGAATAGAATTCATGACAAAAATCTCTTTTTTGTTGATCTTGTATTACTGATCCTTTTGTCTTTCTAGTTTCTCTCTATCTTCTTTAGTTTTTCCTCAAAACACAAAAGAGGGTAAAAAAAATCTTCACTTAAGAGCAACCTCACCTATAAAGAGTGACAGTCTACTAACTATATCAGTAAAATTTGACTTTCTTGTAGACCTTGCCTTGCTGTAAGATCATTTTTGTTATTGACAGTTTCTATTTATCTATAATAATTTTTATCATATAAGGCAAAACGCAAAAAAAATTGGTAAAAATCGTCCAATAAGGAGTCGTCGGACAATTTCCTCCATATTTGTCTTAATTAAAGATCTTGTCTTGCTGATTATTTTTGCTTATCTAAGTTTCTATCTATCTATTACAATTTATAAGATATAAGGCAAAAACACAAACAATTGGTTAAAATCATAATCAAAGGGCAATAACTCTAATAATATGGAGACCATTTCCTTCATATTAACCTAATTGAAGATTTTGTCTTGCTGATGATTTTTGCTTTATTTAAGTTTCTACAATATTGCAATTTTTAAGATACAAGGCAAAAATGCAAACAATTTGTTTAAATCGTCATCAAAGGTCAATAACTCTAATAAGGAGTTGACTGGCAATTTCGACCGTGCATACTTATTTGTAGATCTTGTCTTGCTGATTATTATTGCACTTTAAAGTTTATCTGTATCTATTATAGTTTTCAAGATAATAGGCAACAAGAATGTGTCCATAGTACACAGATGCCCCACTCGCACTATCATTTTTTATGTTCAGTGGACCGTGAAATTGGGGTCAAAACTCTAATTTGGCATTAAATCAGAAAGATCATATCATAGGGAATATGTGTATTACGTTTCAAGTTGATTGGACTTCAACTTCATCAAAAACTACCTTGACCAATAACTTTAACCTGACACGGGACAGACGGACTAACAGACGGACGAATGGACAGACAAACGGACGAACGTACGGACGGACGAACGTACGGACGAACGAACGAACGAACGGACGCACAGACCAGACAACATAATGCCCCTACTACTATAGTAGGCAGGGCATAAAAATGAAACAAAATTGTAAAATATGTTATTTAAGGGCAATAACTCTTATAAGAAGTCTCCTGACAGTTTTGATAAAAATGGACAATTGATAGAGTTCAACATTCTAAAGAATTCAGCTTTGTCAGATTTTCTCTATTTAAAACGGTTTTCAAAATAATGGGCAAAACTTGCACTTAACCCCTTTGTTCTATTTTTAGCCATGTCTGTCATCTTGGTTGGCAGGCGGGGTCATCAGACACATTTTTTAAACTAGATACCCTAATGATGATTGTGGCCAAGTATGGTTAAATTTGATCAAATTGTTTCAGAGTAGAAGATTTTTGTAAAAGTTCACGACGACGGATGCCAAGTGATGAGAAAAGCTCACTTGGCCCTTTGGGCCATGTGAGCTAATATCTCTTGAAAGGCAAATGTCGAAACCATCAATCAAACTTGACCTGTATTTTATAATCCATGACATTGTGCTAGAATTTCAAAAGATCTGGTCAAATGATACTTTAATTATCACTCAGAAAACAAAGAACTACCCATTTATATGGTAATTAAGAGGCATAATGAATATTTGAAGAAGGTTTCAAGTTGATGTGACCATAGCTTCATTATAAACTACCTTAACCCATAACTTCAATCTGATACTGGGCGCACTAACAGATGAACAGACAAAGAGACAGGAAAAACAAATTGACCTCATACTATTGTAGGCGGGCATAAAAATAAGATGTTTTAAGCAACTGTATTTCAATACTTAATTCTCAATTTCAACTTATGTTCAACAATTTAAAAGACAAGTCTCATGAAATAAGCAGATTGATAAGGTGCTTAGATTAGCAATGTTAATCTATCTTCAATGTCTTAAAAACATTTATATTTTACAAAGAAAAATAATTGGTATCAATTAAATAGTAAAATAACAAAAATACTGAACTCCAAGGAAAATTCTAAACGGAAAGTCTCTTATCAAATGGCAAAATCAAAAACTCAAACGAATGGAAAACAACTGTCATATTCCTGATTTCGTACAGGCATTTCCTTATGTAGGAAATGGTGGATTAAACCTGGTTTTATAGCTAGCTAAAGCTCTCATTTGTATGACAGTCGCATGAAATTCCATTATATTGACGACAATGTGTGAACAAAACAAACAGCTAAACCCACTACACAAAAACTTACTCTAATCCAAAGAGTCCAAATAACTTAATATGTTCTTGCTTGCCAAATTCATAATCAAAAAGACTGATATTCACAGTAAGCTTTTCTATCCCTATACTCATCCTTCTGTTACAGGGATCCAGTGTTACAAATGTGTTTATTGATCTGCCAATGATATCTACATCAGTACAACAGGTGATACCAGTACAGTAGTCATAGAGATGACAAACAGTAGATTGGTCCAGTGGAATTGTATTCACCTCCTTCTGACAAGCTGAAATTATGTAATATATAAACAAATCCATTACATTTGAACATTTTCACTGATGATTCTGATAGTCATCCCTCTCATCTTTCTTATAAATTCCATCATGACAATCAAAATTGTTTCAATGGGCACATGTATGCAAATGTCCATATTTACAAATCAGAAATTCTGATGAAATTGTTTCAAATACCAGTATTAGGACAGTGATATGTATTTATTTATCTATGTAATGAACAGTGCAACTAATTATGCATGACAAATTTAACCTAGAGGCTGGTGATGTCCAGTTGCATATTAACAGTATGAAGCAGGATGCTGACAGGTAAGAAAAAAAAATATCATTTAATTTCAACATGCATTTAAGTTTCTAATTAGAAATTGTAACTGTTTCTTAATCAAGTTTCTCAAATCACCTCATGACATGCGTGACACTGCCTTATCTTTTACCATCATCTATGGACTTTAAAGTGACATCAAAAATGTCAGAGGTCATGAGTGTTTGACCCATCAATATATACCCGTGAACATTTAGGATATGGTTTCATAGAGGCTTACTTACATCCAATAAAATAAGAAGGTTTTTTGTTAGAAAGAAAGGTAACAAATTATGTTTCTTCATGACTGAATTTCTTGTCTTTAAACTTAAAGTTACTTTACCAATATTCCATCCCTTTTGCCTGGGATAATATGGTAAATTGTTTGCATCACATTGCTGTTCAAGTAGGAATGGGCCCACTCCAAGGTCATGAAGAAGAACTGATGTTATGTACAGGGATAGCTGTGTTCCATCTGAACTTATTCCTTTCTCATCCAGAAATTCTGTTAGTGAAAAATCTACAAAAATATAAACATAATATTTTTTCGACATCAGAGTAACTGTGTCATCAATATCTTCTTATAAACAGCCCATTGACTATAAATATAATGTTTCACTATCACGCTGCATTGTGTGACTGATCCTTATGATTAAATCAGAGGAACGGTGAGTTTTCTGTACAAACTTTTTGCAGTGTCTCCATAAATAACCATTTTGCTAATGGAAAGCATAAGTATTAAAAATTATGTTATTTTAGACTTAACTGTCGAAGACACTTTAAATCTAAACAAAGATTGTTATAAAGTTAAGAAAAAAAAATAAAATGGTTTGTAGTTTCTCAAATTATAAATTTTTGATTAATATCGATTCAAAACATAAAATACATTTAAATGGAAAATCTTACTTGTTATTCTAAATCCAGAATTCAAATTACAATTAGGTTTTGGGAGTGTAACATCTTCCAGCAGTGTATGTTGAAATAGACAATCTGCTGATGTTTCCAAACAGGATGATACATTAACAGTGAATACTACCACACCATCGCTGCTCAGATCTACGATCATAAAACTGGAAAAAGATATTAATATTGCTATACCAGAATGAGCAGAAGCACTGGAAATCTCAAACACATTTTGGTGAGATACCCAGTCTGTGTATCTCATCACAGATGATAGGGAATCTTGTACAAGGGTACCTGTGATTTTCACATCTCTTTTTTAATAGGAGTTTGATTCTTTTTCTCACAGTTGAGTGTTCAATTAAATTGATAAAACAGTCAGAAATCATAGGAATAAAATGTGTGTACAGTAAATTAGGATATTTTGACTACAGATTTCCATGTCTTGCATATTTACCAGTTAAAAAAATAAGGAGATGAGGTATGATTGCCAATAAGACAACTATCCACCAAAGTTTAAATATAAAGTGGAAGTAAGCAGTTATAGGCAACCGTACAGCCTTCAACAATGAGTGTTTGATTCTTCTCCTAACCTAAAAATACAGGTGAAAAGTGGGTGTATGGTATCTCAATTTCTAACAAATTGTTCAAGAACTGAATATTTTTTTTTTTCACAATTATTCATCCTTTTGTATCAAATCAAATTAATTATAAGTCACACATCATCTGCTCCTTCCTCAGGTTTATCATATTATGTGACTATATGATTGTATAAATATATGAAATTTGTTACTTTATGTTCCATATATGAAACTATTAGCATATTTTGTTATGAACTCACCCAAGAAGCTTTTCCAAAAGAATTTTTGCAACACATATACATGTCCAATAATTAAAACATCACAAAAGTTTCTAAAGTTACTGTACCAACCTTAACTCCAATAATCCATACAATGAAAATTTCTTCCAGGATCCATATTCAAAATCAACCAATGTGTATTCCAGTGTAACCTCTTCCAAGGTCACAGTTAGTTGATAGTTACATAGATCTAGATCAATACCAGTTTGTACTGTGATATTTAGTAGTGGAATATCTGTGCAACAGTTTAGAGCTGTACATTTCTCAGGAATATAACATGATGTATGATAAGAAATGTTTTCATCTAACACCAATGTTGATGGACAATCTGAAAGAAATAACATTTTATCTGTGCTTCATGTCCGTAAAATTTCAAATATATTGTAAAATTTCTTTTGAATTAAAATCAATTAGTTATAGAAATGTGAACATAATGGTATCACAACATGACCTCATCTTCAGAAAGAATTATTTTGGTTTATCCATGTGGCTAAAACAAAACCTTTCCAAATTCAGCCCTGAATTTGATAAATTTATGGTGTTCATCATGTGAGTGTACTATTCAGGGGTCAAAATTAACTTTTTAAGGCCAGTAGCCAGCTGGGCTACTAGACTTAAAAATCAGTTAGCCCAGACAAAAAAATTAGCCCACTTTATTTCACTATCACAGTGTGAAGCCCGCAAAGCGGGCTGAACTTACTAGGGGTTTGGGGGCATGCACCCCCCCCCCCCCCCCCCCCCCTTAAGAAAATTTTGAAATTTTAGACTCAAAACCCTGCATTATGAGCATACCTGGAGGTGATTTAGATGCTTGGGAAAATGTCAATTTTGTCTTATTATTGTTGTTGACTTCAATCAAATTTCATAAAAAAAATCATTTACAAAATGGGAATCTTCATGCCCTGTGTACCAGTTTTTTTTTACATATCTTTTTAAGACAATTAAAAAATTCTCTGTCCTTGAATACATGTAGATGATAGATGAAATATTTAATTTTATTTCATAATAATCTAAGGCCACACCAATTCGATTTGTAGTTCTTCGGACAAAAGCTCCAAAAAATATGGGGCGAGCGAGCGAAATTTTTTTTATTGTATTTTTTTCTTGAAAATGAGTTTTTATGAGGCGGGTGCTCTACAAGTGAAGCAAGAGGTATAATTTTTTTTTTAAATTGTGCGATTTAAAATTTTTGTACATGTTAAAACTGGGTTACTTCATAGAAAAAGGAGAAGAAACATGCTCTAATGCATATAATTTGATGGATTCAGTGTTCTCCCCAGGATTTTTGGATAGCACCAGGGTAACGCGTGTGAACAGCTTGGTGAAATGTTTCATACAATCAGTTGTGTCGCGTGGCGTCGCTATATTTCTAGTTACTGCAGTTTTTATGTCTCTTGTTTTGTTTTAATACTGTGGTACTGTGTTATGTCAGAATATTATTGGTTAAAAAGATCAATAAGCAGTTTGTATTCTTTTTAATATTTTTTAAAAATAAATAAAACATGATTCATTACATAATATTCATCTAAATTTAAAGTAATTAAATCTTTTTCCATGATCAATAAAAATAAAATATCATTCAAACAGGAACATATATATATTGTTAGATATACTGTTCCCAGATTGAAAAGAGAACAAAAATGTTCAATTTAAAAAAAACTTTCTAGTTTCTAGAAAGAAAGTTGTTGTATGTGAAAGGATTCCTGTCATAAGGAGATATATAATTAACAAGAACAAAATTGTGTTATAATTTGAACCAGTTTCTATCTTAATTTTTAATAAAAAGAAATTTTTCATAGATTTTAAAACATTTTGCCATAGATTTCATGTACATGTAAATATTAACCTTTCTTGTCTTTGGTGATAATCAAACATAGATACAGACTTAATACTGCACTGAAACATAAATCTTTATTTGTCATGATCCATTTAAAAAGAATTCCTAAATCTATAAATTTATCTTAGGTCTATTGATCTATAAGTAACATATTCAATGTCAACAACAAAGTCTCCATATTTTCCCGCCTAAATGACAGGAAGTAGATATAAATAGATTTAACATGTGCTTATGGATTAAAATTGCAAGATCACTTCTGTTATTCATTAATGATCATATGGATATAGATATCCAGTTTGAAGGTACAGTCATGCATTTTATTTATAAAATAGAATAGATTGCAGTTAATTGTAAATAATCTTGAATATTCTACATGAACTAACTGGGTCATGTGATCCTTCCCCTTTGAATTACTTGTTGACAATTTGAAACCGGAATATCATGCAATAACTATGTCATAATTAAAGATAATTTTGGCAATGGTTTAATCAGAGACATATAAAACTATAATATAAGTATTGAGCTAACTTTATAATGTACAAAATATGTGTCGTCGTGTGTACAACTATCGGGTCAACACGGTTTGTGTACAAAGTATTTGCCGACTTGTCAGGTGATGAGTGAAGCCTTAAAATAGTTATCTATGATCATAAAGTTATGATCTCTAAATTAAAACACAAAATAATCATGTAAAAAGTGTTAATTACATCGATTAAATCCAATCAACAAAGGTTAACCTCACAAAGGTAAATGGATCACGTGGTGTAAACAATCCGTGTTGAACTGGTTTGAACTGGTCAAATTTCACCTGGAATTTTATACCGCACGGAAAAGATTTAACAAGTCGTTTAAAACTTTACCGATTTACGATTTTTTAACTGAAAATTTTAGCACCACGGAGAAAAATTATACATCGCGGTAAGAACGATACCACCGCGGTAAAAAATTATACATCGCGGGCCCGTGGTCCTTTAATGGCCTGGGGAGAACACTGGGATTGGCGCATGAACCATACCCAACTTTCTTGTCTCGCTGGGGTTTAGTTAATTTATAATTGTTTTCGTCAAATAAGCTTTGTCTGCGTGAATTTTCATTAAAATTCATACATGTGTATATATTAAGGAAGCATAGCAGATGCAGTTTAACAAGAGGAAATATGAACAGGCACTTGTCTCAGAAAAAAAATTTCCTATATACATTAATATAACACATTATTAAGGTATATAGGGGAAAAAATTTCTGAAACAGGTGCCTGTGGAATTATGTTAGTTAGGTAAATGACATATGTTGAATAAAATTTAAATATGTGTACATGTATGTACCAAAAAAAAAATTTTCATTATATCTATATATGGTAATGATTGTTAATTGGCTGCTTGATGTCCACTTTGAACTATTTATCCATACAAAGGATCAACATAATGAGTGAGGTGAATACTTCAACATCATGAGTAAGATATTTATATTGCTATGCATGTAGATCTCAATGTATTAAAATATTCCCTTAAAATACTTGTCACAACATTCACATGCATTATTCTGACAGCAAAATACTCTTTCCTTTTGCTCCTAAAAGCTGCAATGCATTTTAAACTCTTTAGCTTGACTAGAAGTGGTTGAACCAATTACACATCCCTAATTGTTATGAGCATACCAATCACAATACCACCACTTTGGTCTCGAATGTTGGAACTCTTAAATTTTCCCTTACAAAAGATTTCTGCTTGTATGCCAATAGACCAACAAGGGGATATGGACTTTCATCAAAATAAGATAAATCTTTTTTTAAAATTCAAGGGAATTTAATATTAATTTCATCCAAGATAGATAGGTCTATAAAACAACAAAGATTGTAGATAAATTTGTACAAAACAGCAGCCGGTGTTTCAAAATTCCACATAGCAAATCTGAACAATATAAACCGTCATTCTTTGTAAAAACATTTTTTTATTGGAATAGACTACCAAACAATCTCGTGTGTACCAATACAATTGAGAGCTTTAAAACTTCGGTTGCTCTCACATCGTTGGACTAATTTTCCAGCGCCTCTCTTCTGTTGGCGTTGCCATTGATGCCTATCCTGGCCCTGCAACGTACTTATTCAGATTCAGGTCTATGTCTGTTGAAACAATAATCCGGGATGACGATGGTTCTAACATACATTGATGTGATTGTGGTCATCTAAAGACAAATTTTTAATATTTGTCTCCTAGAACAGGTCTTCATAGATAAAATGAGATGCATTTCGGATAACTGTGTGTTCAGTAACTACTTGTCCACGACAATGAGCTGACACAACTACATGTTGGCATCCTGATTTTTGACCTCTTATTTACAATTCAATTTATCACACGTGCGTTTGAATCGAAACGGAGCAATATATGCACAAGAAAAACGTCTATGTGAAGAAAAAAAATTTCAAGGAGAAACAAAATTTGGAGCGGCATGCGGCCAAAAAATTTGCAGAAGCGGTAATTTTTTTTATTTATTGAAAAGTCAATTTCTCCAAAATAGGAGCGGGAAAATCCAAAGAACTATTAATCAAATTGGTGTGGCCTAATTTATTAAATATCTTGGTCGATTTATTTTGCGTAACTACGTACATTTGTAAACAAATGACCCCCTTTTTTCTCAAAAGACTTTGCACGTATTTCAAAAGCATTGTCATAAAATTGATATCTCCTCTGATTTTCTCTTTTTTGTAAACTGTTCAGTAAGTAGGAAACTAAAATCATTTTGAACTAATGTTATTTATTTGTGGTCGACAATGTTCTACTTTCGTTTTTGACCTTCATTCTCTGGACACCACGTGGGCTTTGAAAAGGGAACTACAAAAGGAACTGTTTTCCAGATTCTTAACAACATTATATATTATACTTTCTTTTATTTGACTGATTTTATTTCATAACATGCTATTGTCATCTTCTCTGACTGTCTTCGCTTTCTTGAAGCCAAAACCGAACAGGGTATCTGATCGCTTCATATTGTTAATGACCATCAGAACGTTTCTCTTGTTATCCTTGCAAACATACGATACTTTCCGACACTGATTTTACATCCTTGTTTATCGCGACCATGACTTTGCAACAATACGACTCTCGACACTTGCCTGTATACATCTTAAAAAGATTTTTTTTCTTTTTGAATTTATTTTCTTGTCATTGAAGTAGCCGGCACTTAATGCCACGGTATACAGCGGATTTCTGTCAGTCGAGTACTTTTTTCAATTCGCCACCTGGGCTACCACAACTGAATAAAAAGATCACCCAGGTCAATTTCTGGTCGCCATGGGCGACTGGTCGACCATTAATTCTCTTCCCTGCTATTATTCATTTGCATGGGCTTATGTGGAATGTCTTTAAATCTTTATATGCACAAAAATATCACATACCTCTTGACCATCCTTTACTATCAACAGTATAAGGTGTGCTGTATCTGTCACAAGA